GAAATAACTGGGATTGTAAAAACAGGGCCTAAATCCACCGTGTGAAGATTTTTAGGCAAATCTGTGGCCAAACTAAACATTTGGACATCTACCAGAAGCCTATCCATCAAGTTAGCTCTGATGCTGCCTCTAAAATGTAGATTTTTCTTCCTGAATAACTTCTAATGTGTTCAAAAAAATTTCACCCCCGTCCTGTCGGTGCTGTGGGAGTCCCAAACCAATCAGGCCAAAGTTGTATTTTGAACCAGCCTTCCTACCTTTTAAATCCTGTTTATGCAAACCCGATGGCTGAAGCACTGAAAGAAATTCACCAGGATTGCAGTCCGAGGTTTATTTTACCGACTAGTTACAAACTCACGACTTTCAGCTGTAGAAATCTACCAAAGTTTTCTCGAATACAACATGTTTGTTTCCATCTGAGAACAGAGGATGGGTTTCAAATGACAACATGAGTCACAGAATGATTATTTCAACGATGTATTAAAATGCACGGATAGCAGCACTTATGTAACAATAGCAGGGCTGTAAATGAAATGCATTATGGTACATTGTTAGAGCGTGAGTCAACCTTTGCATAACACAACTGAATATTAAATATCCTCATTTTAAAGCCGAAGAACATTCAGTGGCGTTACAGTAAAATGGATCCCATGGCACTATAATACAAGGATGAAATGACAGTAATATGCTGTAGGTGAAGTCGGATTAGTAGTTCGAGGAACAACTTTAGTGAGGGAAATAGAGGGAATTCAAAGACATCAGCTTTTATTCATGTGAGAGTCAAAACAGACACAGATAATAAATGCTTTCAAAGTGTTTTATTCCAGACACACGCTGCATTTGAAGTGATTTCTGTGGATTTTTCTGTAGCAGGTGTTTTCACTCCGGTAAATGAGCCTGTTCTCAGCCTGAACCTGGGCAGGTCTTGGCTGCAGATAAGCTGAGATAAGAGGAATCACTTGTCCTGCCTGATATAAAAGCTTCACTAGGTATTTAAAAAGACGTCAATCAAGGTTGTTTTTTCACAGCTCGATGTTCCCGAGAAAAACTCTTATCGGTCCAAATCACAGGACACACCTGCACCGCTGCTCTGTTGGTATTCAGGCAGGGTTTAAGAGCAAACACAGGGAAGTTTCAATTCTCTCGTCCAATTTTATTTCACCATTTAATCCCTTTTGTGATTCCAGATATCTGGCCTTACAGTAATTATAAAGTTTGCTACTTCCTCTCAAACTTGATATTTCATGCGGAGTGAAAGTGACGTAATGCCGACTGCACCACCGAGCTCACAGCTGCACTTTTCAGGAACACTCTCTTCTGATCGGAGGAGGCAGTTTGAAGCGTTTAGCGGAGACAGATCCCTGTTCGGACAGCTGGTCTGTCTCGATTTAGGACAGTTATTTCAAGTAGATTGAACACCAGGACAAATAAACCGTGACGGTAATTGTCACTCATTAGATTTTAATCTCCTGATGGGCCCCAAAGGTTTGGCTTTTGCAGGGAAGGTGCAGGAGAAATGAGTGTTGTTTGTGAATGTCAGGGCCCGGTTATCAAGAAGTAAGTCAATTTAAAGGGATATTCCGCCGTAAAATTAATTTAGGGTCAAACACACCGTAACACCGAGTTAGACACCCCCTCAAGAGATGAATGTTGCCGACCTCTTGCTTCTCCAGTTAAACCAACTTTAGTAACGACCGTCTGTTATCAATACACAGCGGTCTGAGGAGCCGTAAACAAACCTCAACCAAAACACCACTCTATAGCCACAAATGATGCTCAGAACAGCACCTAACTTCATCAACAGGACATATAGGGTCACAGCCATAGTACTAGACACCAAACATCTTTTTAACTTTGCCTAATTTCTTTAGCATAGAGACTAAACACAACTCACCTACTCTCTTCCAGCAGCCGCTTGATAAGAAAAAACGTGGGCCAAGAGAGACTTTTCATTATGGAAGTAAATGTATAATAGCTCGTTCCTTAGATGAGGTACTGCATCAAATACACTCAGTTAAGTGGTGGTGGCATCTCGAAATCATCTTCTGGCCATAGAGTGTGTTCATATGGGTCGAGTCCAGCAATGTCCATAATTTTGCTTTGGTAGCGCTCTCTTTCTTCAATGTTCAGCTTGTCCCTGTACGGTTTGTTGAGTCCAAGTTTTGCTCTCTCCATTCCGTTCTCCGTTACCGAGTAGTCAGCTCATAAATAGTTGTTTTTTAAAACCCAACGTCATCCTAATTTCATTCATTCCAATGTGCTTATTGTTCTAATGTCTGTCAAAATGGCTGCGCTAGCACGTGACACACCAAGCCCCCCGTGCTGACGTCGGCTACACTTTATAGAGTGACGTTTTGGTTGATGTCTGTTTATGGCTCCTCAGACCGCTGTGTATTGCTATCCTGCGGTCGTTATTAAAGTTGGTATAACTAGAGAAGCAAGCGGTCGGCAACTTTCAGCTCTCGACGGGGTGTCTAACTCGGTGTTACAGTGTGTTTGAACCTAACTTAATTTTACGCTGGAATATCCCTTTAAACATGCATGGAAACGTCTTGGTGCAACAAAAAAACAAGAGCATGCACGTGTGTCTGATCATTCGTGCTCAGTTTCGTGTAATCTGCCGCTTCCCGCCGTGTGATTGGACTTTAAATGTCAATCCAAGTTCTAGTCGACTGGCTTTTACTGTCACCGCACTTCATTTCTGAATGTTTGTCTTTCTGGCCTGGTCATTGATTTCCTCTCCGCCTGTCTTTATTACTCTGGCTGCCCTCCTGTGTATACCAGCAGCACACACACACTTTCTCACACACACACACACACAAATGTCTTGACTCTCCCCTTCTCCTGGCAGCTTTGTGATCCATATTGACCATCCGTCTTCGTTTGTCTCTCTCTCTCTCGCTGCTCTGTATTAAACCTGCTGTCTGGGTCTACCTGTCTGAGCTCCTTTCCTCCCTCATTCCTCTCTCCTGCCGTTGCTCGTTGTGTCGCCTCCCTCCTTTGTTTATTCTGCCTCTGTCTTCTTCTAATCTAAAACATGCAGTAACCAATCAGGATAATGAAAGGTGGCTTACAGAGTGGGTTAGAACCAGCGCAGAGGAGATGTAGAGGTGGAAAAACACCAAAACTAACTTGGCGAGTGCCCCAGGAGAACTGCACCTTAAGATCGCTGTGTTTCTACATTGTGCAAGCTAAAGGTAGCATGTCATCTTGGATTTTTCTTTGTTTGTTGAGTAAAAGACAGAAAAGGTCCACATTGAAACAAAATTCAAGTTTCTGCTCCAGCACTTCCTTCAAAAACTCCTGCAATCACTCCGCCGATCATCAACCTCCTGCAGACACAAACAACTTAAACATGACGCACTTCTCCCTACTTTTGAGATTTACCCCACAGCGTTTTAATCCCTGTCCTGATTGTCAAGAACCCACCTCCCCATCTTCTTCATCACCTCCTCTTCATGGCAAAGTGGGACAAATGAGTGATGGCAGCCCGGTTCAGAAAGAGCTGAGATTCGTTTTTTCATTCTTGCGGGAAGTCAAACATTGACATGTTACCTTTTGTGAGACTTTAATTTGTGCAAAATGAAGTAGAAAGAGAAATTATTAAGAGAGCGTGGGAGACAAAGAGTAAAGGCAGAGATGTGGAGAAAATAATTTTGGCACAAATTGTGCTTAAGAAAGTGAAAATCATAGCAGAACCTCCACAGACCGTCTTGGACTTATTTATGGTCCAGTATGGGGACAACGGTTTAAATCTAAATGATTAAATTCAGACTCTGAAACAAACTGAAGTTTAGAGACTTTACTTTGAGGCCAAAATTTAACGGTATACAGTTGCTCTACTGTGCAGCTTACCCCAGTGTTTGATGGTTTAATGTCAGAATTCTTACTTTAAATTTAAAAATTAATCAATTATTAGTTTTCTCTAATAATCCTCTTCTGTAATTTCCCATAATACCCTGATTTTGGATTACTTTCAAGGTGGGGTAGGGAGGAATCCATTAAAGAAGCATCTTTTTTTGTGGTGTATATACAAAAAAGCTTTTAATATCTGTCAATGGCTATTAATTATTGATGACATTTGGGATTATAATGATATCACTGTGTTATGTCTGTGTAGTCAACATTTTAAATTTTTGATCGGTCCGCTCTTTCTGACTGTAAACAAAGCCGTTCTCCGCCTCCCCGACCTGATTGGTTGTGAGGCAGATGCTGCTCTACTGTGTCGTTCATGAGCCCAGACAAAGTGAGCGTGCTACAATATCGGTCAGTAGAAACCAACCGGAAAGTTCGGACAACACAAGCAAGAAAACAAAGTAAATGCCAGAGACTGGCAGAATAACAGGCGCTTCAAACGGAGGTAGTACGGACAAGAGCTAATAAGTCGGGAACATTAGCACAAACGATGGGGGACACTTCGGGATCTTGGTGACCCTGTAACCTTTCTGCTGGACAGGTAAACCGCTTTAACAAAGTAAGACAAGTGTCTGTAACAGAAGTGTTTCTTGTCAAACGGACCTGCTGTAGCGTGTTGTAGCGCCATCGCTAAACTGTTAACCTCGGGTCCTGGACTATGTCACTTTATCCTAGTTGTAGAAGTCCTGCAAACATTGTGTTTGCTGGTAGTCTGTTGGCATCTAGTGGAGAGACCCATCAAATATGGCGGTGACTCTCCAGCACGTAATGAGGCGTCTACATATATAGTGTCTATGGTGTTTACATTCAAGATTTCTCCTAAAAACTGGCACTTCTTCAGATCCTGCCTACCCCACCTTTAAAGGGGGCCTCCAGACTTCTTTGGAGCTCCCCTCCTGTCCTCAGATGATTGGACCCATTTTGTCCCCTCACACTCTGGACACATTTAGATAAAATTCGTCACATTATGAAACTTCTGTCTCTAGAAATAAGCAAATAATTCGCTCACACTCCTGCCTGCCAGTAATAGTAATAAAGCACCTGCTGACTGCAGCCTCCACACTTCTTCACATTCTCTCATTTTCACACGGACAGGAAAAAGAAACGAGTCTGTAAAAGTCTGAGCAACAGAACTCTCTGTGCTGCTGCTGCTTCACCGAAGAAAACTTGTTCATGTCACAGTTTGTTCCGTCGAAGATTACATCAACAAAAACAAGAAATCCTATTACGCCTACTCTCTGCACATGCGCACAAGCGGCATACATCGAGCTCTGACATCCTTCACGTTGCAGCTTCGAATCCATCACCTCTCTCTCTCTCTCTCTCTCTTTCTCTCTTTCTCTCTCTCTCTCTCTCTCTCGAGCAATCACGCGCCCTTCCGCCACCACCTGCACTGACACCGGCTGCAAAAGTTCCTCGCGCCCAGGTAAGCAGCTGATTTCAATCAACCAATCGATTATCATTGTTAATCATTCTTATCAATGCATCATCGGGATGAAAGCGCGTGGATGTGATGGATGTGGTTGTTGTGTGTCTGCAGAGAAGCTCACACATGAACACGAACACGCTGTCCTCTCCAGCTGATCATGTAAGATCGAGCGCGCGCTTGTTTGGTGTTTATTTCACACAGCTGATTGGAAAGTTGTTTGTTTTGAGCTGAGCTGTGGGTTATAGAGAGATGTCCAAGAGACCTGTGTGAGTGTGAAGGTGAGGTGGAGTGGAGTGGGGGACATCCTGATAAGTTAGTGTACATTAACGTGGAACAATGAGAGGAAAACCACTAAATGATCACATGCAGGAAGATGCAAACTTCACATCACAGCTCCATGTGTGATTTTTTTGGCAATCAGAGAAGTGTTTATCATGAATTTGGTCAAGAAAGAGCAGGATAATCTTGTGTGTCTTTGTTAGAAGATCCTCAGTCTGTGTTGTAGTTTGTGAAGGCGGCATGAGCAGAGTGTGGGCTCCTCCAGCACGAGTCTGGATTTAGATTTCTGTCTGACTATTGAGTATTATCAGCACTTCCTGCAGGATCCAGTTTCACTTTGATCCAGAGTATCAATATCTTTGATTCAACACTGAAAAGAGTTTTTTTTCTCTCTCTCACTGTGGCCTTTTCTATTTTCATACTCCGGTGGACTATGGCGTAATACCTGCTCGGATCAAGAGGGGGACTCATTTTACAGTCTCCTTAAACAATCATTACTTAATAATTTCCTTGAAGTAATAATCATTATAAATAATCAATTTGATCTGCAGACGTGGTAATTCTTCTGCCTTAATGTCTCGGTCTGATTTTATGTCCATGAAGAAATGATCATAAATGTTCTTCCTTGAGCTGCGTCACCCCGCTGTAGTCCGTAATGGACTGGCTCGAGGTCTCGCTAAAAACAAGCGGCTGGTGGAAGAGAGTAGGTGAGTTGTGTTTAGTCTCTTTGCTAAAGAAATTAGTCAAAGCTTAAAAGATGTTTGATGGCTAGGACCTTATATGTCCTGTTGATGAAGTTAGGTGCTGTTCTGAGCATTATTTGTGGCTATAGAGTGGCGCTTTGGTTGTATTACTATCATGCGGTCGTTACTTAAGTTGGTACAACTAGAGAAGCAAGCGGTCGGCAACATTCATCTCTCGAGGGGGGTTTCTAACTCGGTGTTACGGTGTGTTAGACCCTAAATTGATTTTACGCCGGATTATCCCTTTTAAACTGTGTTCCTGTAGAAAAACTTTCAGTGCATTCAGCAATGTGCACTTCTGGTGCAGATGTGTAGCTCTTTAGAGTACAGTCTGTTATCATGATTGTACCAGGCAGCAGTATGATAGTCCAGCTCAGACAATGATCTAGTACAAAATTAGGGGCTGCTGTTCTGATTTGCTTTTTGTATTGAAGCAGCTGCTTGCTTCACCATTTTCAGGGAGAATTACTGTATGTTACCTTTTAGGTGCTTAAAACGTACTAAAAGAGCATGTCATGCGTGTATTTTGTAGTAAAAATGAGGAAAAGGGAACAACTTTTAACAAATTCTTCACTTTTTCAAAGCTTGGCTTTAAAGTTTACCGATTTAAAAAGCTGACAGGAACTAATGTTTCTGCCAAAGGATCAACAGGTAGAAGTAAAGCGTCGATCTGCAGGTTGATTTTTTTTTAATAATGTGTGTGATCTGGTTGTCTCTGGTGTTGCCTGTTATGAGGTTTCAACCAATCAGAATCAAGTATTTAATTCAGATTGGTATTAATTTTCCCTAAATAGACAGCACATGTCAAATTCACAATGATGTAGTTTCAGAAACAGTCCAGGCTTTGATAAAAATGGAAGCTGAATGATTATTTTCTGCATGGTTTGTAGTGTTAGATTGATCTTTTAATTTATTATTCTGATATTTAAAAACACTAAGATTATATAAGCTTAGCGTAGAGAAACTAAAACTACAATACCCCGTAAGAATTTGACACCAAAAACTACTAGAAATTATTCAATAAGTATCGACAAACTGTGGCTCCGTATGTAAAAATAAAAAACAGTCAAAGGCAGAGAACCAAACCTGAAATTTTATTCCATGATCTTGTTTTCAGTCATTCTTCATCTGTGTTTTTACTGTCACATTTTGTTCAGGGTTCACAGTTTTAAATGTTACTCTAGCATGTTGAAAAAAAGGCTACAGAGCACAGATCCATGTTTCCCATCATGCCTCAGCTCTCTCTAAAGACCTGGCTTCTGATCCTGGCTGGCAGCTATGTTGCTATTCTAATCACCACCAATGTTCTGACCAGCTCCTCCAGCGTGTTCATGTTGTTCCGCTGCTCTGTATTCACAGCAGGATTCATCCCGTCGCTGCATTCACGATGCACAGCATGGATCATTTGTCCTTGAACTTTTATTCTCTGCAGCATCTGTGGTGCCGCCGGCCGCCCCCCGAGCATTTGTTTGGTCCGTGTTCTGCTGCAGGAGCCTCACTCATAATCCTCACTGTCCGCCCTCAGAAAGCGGGATTATTTCAGTTTCAGGGAACAAACGGCTCTGTCACAAAGTTTGTGTCTTTGTTTTGGCTGTTGTGACCGATAACGGCTCCTCCCGAGGGTCCTTCAGGGATTTTAAAGCTTCCGAAATGGAGCTGTTCGAAGCTGCAGTTCTTCATAACGAACACTAGATGGCTCAGTTAAAGAAACTCCAGTTAACACAATTTAAATTTTGTCAAGTGTAGCTGACTAAAAATGAACGGAGGTCATGTTTAAGTTAAAAATGCATTGAGATTGGATAATTTGCATGAATAAATATAGACTGTAGGGCTGGGCGATATGGTCTCGAATCAATATCACGATATATTGATCAGTTCACCTCGATAACGATAAATGGACGATAACTACTCCACAAGCTGCTCACCCCCTCCCACATTAACTTCGTCTACTTCAGCCACTACAACTTTTGAACCGTCCTCCATCTCCTCACCTGTCTTTCCCTCTTTGTTACAGACTGGATGGGGTGGAGTCACGTCTCTGACGTAAGACAACATCTTAAAGGGACATGAGACCATAGCCTACCTACACACATCCAAAACCAACTTTTGTTTATTTTTTTCGAACAATATATTTATTGAACTTTTACATATACAAAAAAACCCATCAAAACATGGACAGTTGGACAATGAAATGCGGTCGTCTCCGTCTATAGAAAGACTGTACTTTGAGTTGTCCAGACAACTGTCAATAACATAAGTAAGTAAATAGAGAGTAAAAGATAAAAAAGGACAGGGTGACATGAGACAAAACAGAAATATATATATATATATATATATACATGTACTCAGCACAATAACACAATTAGCGTCAGCGCCCCAACGTCCAAGAAAGTCCAACTGGAGTCTCCAAATCTTCTCACATTCACTTGCTTTCTCTCTGATGACACATGTTAATCTCTCTAGTACAACATACAAAGCCATCTCTTCCACCCAAACATTTATCAAAGGTACATCCATTTTCTCCCAAGATAAGGCGATTTTTCTCCAAACCAACTTTTATTCATTTATTTTTTTGACACCGAATATACGGATATGGGCAAAATGACAGCGGTCATTGTCGTAAATTTCGGTAAGGGTACATTTTCAGTTTATCACCCAGCCCTAATAGATCGCCAAGCCTGATGATGTGTATATTTGCTGTGCATCAACCAGAGTATGAATGTGCATGACTGCTATCGCATACAGGTCAAAAACGGTGCCCCCTTTGGTCAAGTCGAGTCGAGTCAACTTTATTTATAGAGCACTTTAAAAAACAAAGTTTGAGCCAAAGTGCTTTCCATCAGGAAAATCTAGACTTTGATAAAAACATTTTAAAAAACACACTCGATGATAAGGTAAAAATATACATTTATACTTTACACCAAGAACAGGATAGCAAAATGGGTAAGAACTTAATTCAGATGAGGAATCAGGTTATGAGAAGGCAAGAGAGTAGAAGTGAGTCTTTAGGAGTTTTTTGAAACAGACCAGAGAGTCAGCAGATCTGATGTGTAATGGAAGGTTGTTCCACAGTCATGGTGCAGCGGCTGAAAAGGCCCTGTCTCCAAATGTTTTTTTGTGTGACCTTGGTACAGTGAGAAGACCTTGATGTGATGATCTGAGGAGCCTTGCTGTGTTGTATGGTGATATTAGTCCAGTGTGCAGAGCAATCGTGCTGCAGCATTTCAAACCATTTGTAGTCATTGTATCGATGACTGGTTGATCCCAAAGTAGAGGGAATACAGTACTGGAGGGAACTGGTCTCAGCTGAATCCAAACTAATAAGAAAATAGCAGATTGAACAACCTGACTTTACGTACACTGCACCCTACGATATAAACGGTATATTAGACCCTAAACATCAGGGTTTAATATGTCCCAGAAGTATAGAAAACAGTCACAGTAAAGTTTTTGTTGCCGAGTGGAGACGAAGTGAAGAGAAGGAAAATGGGAAAGGAATAATTGAAAGTATAAAACAACAATTGTAATAAAAATAATGAGAGTTCAACACGAAATCAAAGGTTAAAGAAAACAATTAAATGTAGTAATAGAGGGCATTTCATCAGCCACCTCTTTTTTTTTTACCTGTTAAAAAATAAAACTTTAAATAAATAATTTAGCTATATTCTTAGCTTGAAAACCTACCTGTGTCTGGTTGTAATGCGGTACAATAACCAGACGGTGGCAGTAGCTCATCTGAAAGCTGTTAATTGAAAACCAATAAAGCTCCTGTGAGGAACTTTATGTTTGCCATGTTTTGGCGCCCCCTGTGGACAAAGTGTTTACTTTTTTCTTTTGTAGAGGTTGTTCTGTACGCCAATTTTTTTGTAGAATGGTAGGGGAAGGTCCCGCCCTCCTTCGCCTCTGATTGGCTAGAAGTGCTGGGCTCCGATTAGTTATTCCTTATGGCTGTGAAACCTCATCGTCTGTTGGGTCAGGGTTATTAAAGTCATCTTTAAAAAATCCACAAAAATTACATAAAGTGCAAACTTTTCCAGGTAAAACTAGAGTATGCACGTCATATTTACGCAGATATCTTTATAGGATGCACCGTCATAGGTCTCTTTTTCTGTCACTATTCAGATAATTGCCTGATAGTTTCCAATGACATGACATCTCTTATGTGTGCATAAACAATTTTTTTTCATGTGTTTCCATTCAGGCGGTTTGTTTATTGTTTATGCATGACAGAAAAAGGCTTTTGCAAACTCCTAATCAAAGCAGTTCTCTCATTAAAATGTACCTTCCTGATGGATTCTGTTGAAAGAGCGATAACTCCTGCAGAGATTTCTTTAGATGTTTTGGAGCGTTTTTGATTAATTAACGAGAGTCTGTGACGTGGAGTCGTTCAGGAAAGCAGGATTTAATCTTCAGAGTTTGTCTTTAGAAACCTGAGGGCGACATCAGAGTTTGTACGTCAGTGCTTTTTTGTCTGTCTAGGGTACCGGAGCAAAAAAGGATAAGTGCTGCATGAGCAAACTTCACACTCTGGCACTTTCACCAGGACTTTCTGAAAGTTTAATCAGCAGCCAGAAATCATGCAGGGCGGCGCTGAATGTCTTCTTGTTATTCTGTGGATGGGGGTGGAGGTGTTGAAGAGTTGCAGCCAGTGTGAGTGTGTACAGTTTGGTCTGGATGGACTCACTGCTCACTTCCTGCCGTAATAAGCTTTGATTTCTGCCTCTAATCCTGATTCATTACTTTCTGTTCCTGTTAGTGACTCCATAACAGTATTATCCACAGGGGCTCATTTAAAAGGGATAAGAGAGAGAGGAGAGACTTTTTGTTGCTCAAGTTTTCCATTAAAACTACCAAAATGAGCATATTTCTGATCAAAGTAAGAAACCTTAAAATTTAGGGCTGCACAATTAATCCATTTTAAATCATAATCGGATTATTTGATTATAACAATGTTAAAAAAATTAAAATCGTCAAATCATTTTTCCGCTCTATCATTTCTCGCGCCTCCAGGCCACCGTAGGCTCCCCAGTTCCCACAAACACCAGTGTAAACAAACATGGCGTTTGCAAAAAAAGGCTATAATTTCGTGGTTAAATAGGACAAGAGGGAGTCAGTTGTGTGGAATTGGTACGACTTTGCTGTTTCGATTAAGAGCAAACCACTCCCCGTCTGTCTGAAGGCGGTACCAACTCGTCAACACAGAAACTAATTCAGGAGTAACAGCAAAAGTTTTTTGTTGTATCGGCATTTCATCCGAACAAAAACTGCATTTTGGGTGACTATGTTGGAGGGCCGAACCAACAATAACTTCAGATCAGGGGGGTTCACACATACAGAAAAGCAAACCCAAATAAGAAACGACTAGTTCATTGCTTATTTGGGCAAAAAGTTTTACAAGCGACTTCTGAGAGAAACAGGCCTAAAGTCATAAATAATGAGCAGACTTGGCAAATATAAGGTGTTTAAACTTGTCTCTGTTCACGAATGCAGTTCTAGGAAGTAAGCATGTGCATCCAAAAGGAAATAAAACAACGGCTAGGTTTTCAAAATAAAAGCAACACACTTTTATGGCATGTTGATGATTTGATTGACGGACCTCACAAAAGGCCGGGCAGGGACATCCAAAGGCTAAATGCCCTGGTCTGCTGTAAACGGTACTTTTTAAAAACGGGTCAGAGAGTGTATAAATCCGTAAACGACAATCATTTCATCCCCGTGTGGACACCTGTCTGTATCTCTCAAAATGATTATGTGACACACAGCGTAACTCTTTCATGGCGCCCGCACGTGTCCCACCAGAACAACCTTTATAAACATGCTCTGTACTGGCTCAGCATATGCACATCTTTTTCAGTGGTTTCGTTTTGAGAGATGATAGAAAAACTTATTATTGTTAAAGTGAAGTTTAGTGAAGTTGTCACTGAATGAATAAAAAAAAAAAAATCAGGATTTAATTTTGGCCCAAATCGTGCAGCCCTAAAAAGTAATAAAACTTGTCTGGAGGTGAAGTCCATCAACTGTGTCCACTTTTATTTGAACAGCTTCGTCCAATTCTGTAAAATACGTTAGGTAGCCGTCTTGAATCTTATCATGCACCCTCAAAGGTGGACAAATGATCAAGCAGGAAATGAATTTGTCATAAAACAGCATCGATTTGATCATCTGTTCAGGTCAGGTCATGGTGGCAGCAGGCTAAACACGTCCCGCTGAGCCGTGTTTCCCAGCTCCTCCTGGGGGATTCTGGGGCATTCCCTGACCATGTGGGACACTTAATCCCACCACAGCGTTTCAGCCTTTAACCTTCGGTCATGAGCTCCGGGTCAGAAGTCGGGAGTCCCAGCACCTGTGATCGAGCGCGATCTCTATCATCAAGACTGAACCATGACCATATAAGGAAGCGCATCCTCCCTCTTTTCTCTAACAGCAGAGCAAAAAAAAATATTAACGACAAGTGAAATTTGTCGTCAATCAGCATCAACAAACCCCTGCAGTGTCTAAACTGACTGTGTTTGGCATCAGCTGATTAGATGTTAATTGTGGAGATAATTAGATTCAAGTCATTCGAGCATTTCATCTCAGATATTCGCTGCATTCGAGGATTTCTGTTTGTCTCCAAAGAGAGTGTTAGCGGTCAGAAGCTCCTCCAGATTTTTTCTGTTGGTGTGGAAAGACTCAGGATCCCCTGCTGTGATGCTGCTGGAGCCTCTCGTGTGAAATTTTGTGTTTATTTTTTTTTCTTTTCTGCAGTTTTGGCGTGATTGCAGGAAAAGAGGAAAAACTGACCCTGGACACGAATCAGGGCTTGCTTCTCTCTTCAGCCAAATCTCTGCTCTGATGAAATTTAGGATTTGAGTCTCGGCTACTCTGCTGAAATACCCTTGAGCAAGGCATGAAACCCTTTGTGCGTTAACAGCGTGTGAGAAAGCGGCGTTGTGCGTGTCCGTGTGTGTGCGGGAAACCGCTCTAAACGCTTGTGATTGAAGCGCGGCGCTGAGAGGAAGAAAGTTGGACAGATGAAACGCGCCGAGACAAAGTCAGCAAAGTGACTCACACGTCTGTCATCTCTCCTCTTCCTCTTGTACAACATGCAAATGTGTGAACGCACAGCATCACTGACTGTGTGTGTGTGTGTACGTGTGTGTAACATGTGTGTTTGCATCCGTCACGTATGTCATCCTCTGCACACCAATGCAATTCACACTCTTTCCATTTTTTTTAATCTCAGCAAAATCCTCTCAGCTGGTACATCCATCCCTCTACTCCCCCAACACACACACACACACACACGCTCACCAGCTCCACCATAGACTTTGGAATTCACTGTTGCCATGGCGATGGAATGGAGCACGCTCTCTCGCATCGCCTGTTCTTTTCTATTGCTTTATATCTCTCTCTGTAGAGGCAAAGCCGCTTCTCTTGTCTGACAGGAGGCTCATTTTTAGCTGTGAGCGTCATGTTTGTTTGTTTGTTCGCTCGTTTGTTTGTTTGTTTATTGATCGATTGCATATGATCATGGTGAAATAGAAAACAAGTTTGATCAGGAGGAGATGCTTCTGAACATGAGCGTTTCTTTGGTTTCAAGACTCGTGTCACGTCCGTTAATCGAAAACCTCCTCTCTCTCTTCTTCGCATCCTTTCTCTTCTCCTCATTCTCTTCTCTTTCCATCCTTCCTCTCACTCTCTCTCATCTGCTCTTAACCCCCCCACCACCGCCGCCGCCGCCGCCGCCGCCACCACCCCTCTGCCTCTTTCCTTCTTCTCTCAGTAACTAAGATGACTGCCATGACAATTCAATGAGAGGAGAGGAAGCCGAGTGAAGCACCTCGCTCGCCGAGAAAGGAGAGAAAGAGTCATCCAGGTGAAGAGGAGAGAAGAAGAGGAAGAGGAGGAAGAGAAGAGGGAGAGGCGGGAGAGGAGCGAGGGAAGGGGAAGGGGAGAGAAATCGAAGGATAAACGGTGGATGGAGGCGGCTCGGACCGGGGCTACGAGGCGCTCTTCACTGACGAGGAAGAAGAAGAACAGCAGCAGCAGCAGCAGCAGCAGAGGGGGGGAGAGGAGATGGAGGCTAAAGGCAGAAACATGCCCCCAGGTAACACACACTCACTCACACACACACAAACAAACACACACACACACACTCACAGAGGCTCATGTGCGTGTGGTCAGATGTACCATGCATACATTTATACGCACAAACATTTATGGACAAACACAATCGTGCAACAAACAAATCTGTGCAGAGGTTCAGATCCAGAAGAGAAGTGGATCAGTTCTGTGAGGACGCTCAATATTTGTTCTATAACTGACACATTTGCAGGTTTTATACAACAAAATGATTACATAAATTTAGTAATATTAAAGCAATAGGAGTGTAATTTTAAATGTCATTCAGTTTCTTCAAAGTGAGTCTTTACTGAGGCGGAAGTCTGACCATAAAGTCGTTTTTACACTGTAGTTTGGAAAGATAAGTTTTTCAGGAAGTGTTTGTCTGCTCTCTCTTAGAGTTGACATTCACACTGAAGCGTGTGATCCGTGTCAAAATAAGCAAAAAATTATAACAAAAACAAAGTGCAACAATCAAGCTAACGGTGATCAACGTAAATATACAACTACAATTATTTTTTATTGAAGGTTTTTCTTTTCAGATTCCTGACACCTCCTATAGTTTTCAACAAAAATTCAGAATTTTGTCTATTTTAGAAAAAAAAATCTAAATTCGAAAAAAATATTTTCTCAAAAGTCAAAATTCTGGGTAAAAAAAAACAACTTTTTTGTTTAAATTCCAACTTTTTTTCAAAGTTTTAACTTTCTACTAGATTTCTGAGGTTTTTCTTAGGAGTTTTTTTTTTTTTTCTTAAAAAAAAAAAAATCAGAGTTTAAAAAAAATTCCTGACCTTCATTTTTTTGTTTGTTTTAGTGGCCCTAATTTTTTTTGTTTGATGATAGCTAATCCTTACTTTACAAAAGGATTTCTGACATTGAATCTAGAGATGAACGGTCCAGAGCACTAATGATGGGCACAGCAGGTCTTATAGATGTACTGAATCACTAGAATCAGTTCACTAAAAAGATTCGTTCAAAAGATTCGTTCACCCAATCACTGAATCACTTAATGCTTGGCGGTAGAAGCCTGCGACTCCGACCTCCTGAACTGATACACAGCTGAACGTTTTTAGGATTCACTTCAATTCATGGCTTTGTTTGGGTGTTTGGCTGTGTTGCTTTGGCAAACGGGTTTGTAAAAACGAACTGGTTTATAAGTCCTGATGTTTTAAGTGTACTGTACATGTACCATGTACCAAACTTGTACCGTTCCCTCGCAAACCGCTGCAATGATAAGATGCTGCGGGTTTAATGCACTACTTGTTACATGCTGTGTACTATTGTATGCAAGTTGTTGTGTTGGCAATTCAGCAGTATTAAAAAATAAAAAAAAGTTAGTTTTGACCGATAAAAATGACCAGATTTATTTGATTATTTCTAAACTCTGCCCAGCAGAAGGTGCATTTGTTCACAAATGAAGAAACACAAATTACAAATAACGAGATTTATTTAGGAATAATGGAAACTGATTGCAGGAGGAGCTTTCAATGTTGCTGCATTTGCAAGGTAAAAAATGTGAACTCATATAAATAAATCAAGTGTAGTGTTAGTTCAGGCAGGCTTAAGTGTGATGCCCGCAGCAGGTAGAGCAGCAGCAAAACCAGGAACAAAGCAGAGCTGACATCAGTGATAATACATGAGACACTGAGAAGATCAGACCCGGTGTAAAAGGAGGATCTGGGCTGGAGGTGGGTGATGTAGAAAACAGAAGGAGACGGCTGAAGTGGTTTAAATTGATCGTCTATTTTGACACGTGTTGGTTAGATTCAGGGAAGGTTATCAGCTGATCTGTCAGCTGATATGGGCTGGTTGTTGGATCAGCTGATGTTCTGTTCTTAAACTACATTGTGGTCAAATACTGCTGAGATCTAATGTTATTCAGAAGTCAGTCAGAAAGCCACCTTTGACAAATAAAGATAGGAATTATTGATTGGAAATAAAAAGCAGATGATTGAAAGTAGAAATTCAAAGATTAGACGTTCCTTCATCCTGCTGTCGGCCTGCTGCAGTCGTGTCTCTCTGCAGTCTTTTAGGGACTTACCGTATGCATATTCCAGCAGGCAGGTCACTCTCAGGGTCAGAGTATCGGTGGTCTCTGTTATTCTGGGATTTGCGTTGCCATGGAAACACCCCTCAGGTCGGCTGAATTAGTCAAATAGTTCAGAAGCCCACACTGGGGGCTGCTTTCCTCCATACCATCGATCGTTTTACATTAACCTCCTGTTTGTGTTGCGGGAACAGAAATATCTGCGTCCTCTGTTCTCGGTGAACGTTCAGAGAGTTTTTGTGTTTTATTCAGATCTTTTTGTGGAACTGAACGTTTAACTGATGCAGACTCTCCTCCTCCCTCCTCGTCTCCTCCTTCCTTGTTCCTTGGATGTTTCATTTATGCTTCCTGAAGCACAGCAGATGTGATGTATCTCAATTTCCCTCCTGTCCTCCTCCTCTCTGCTCACCTCTCAGCTTCCATTTAGCTCTCCAGTCATCTTTTCCTGTCCAGTTTTTCCCACTCTCATCCCCTTGACCCTTTCTGTTTATTATTATGCATGTAAACTTTTCACCTTTTTAATCCTCTTCTCTGCTGCAAACCTTTTCTTGCAGGAGTTTGTCTGATTGCATTCACAACCACATTTTCTCACGTAATCCTCTGCAAACTCCTCTTACTTGGATGCATCTTAAAGTGGGATTTCATGAGCTGAAATGATCAGAATTCAGACTCTCTGATTTCCAGAACTCACTGGTCTCTATAATAATCTATTTTTTAGCTCAATTCCTGCAGAAAATCCTTGACAAACTTTTTAAACAACATTGTTTGTCTCCAGGAAGTCCATATCCCACCATCGCTTGTTCACTTCTGTAACAATATTTGATGTTTTATATTTTGTCGATGCAGCAAGGTCGACATTTCTTTTCCGCTCCAGGCTGTGCACTGTTTTCTTTTTTGATTAAAACCCGCTGCAGCGTGCTCCCGCAGAGCGCAACGCAAAGACTCAGCCCATCAGCAGCTCCGACCAGTCACCCTCAGCCGCCCAGTGGGGACAGTCGTCGTATTAATGCATAAATATTTGACGCTGCAGTGCATAAATTTGAACAGGCCTGGAATGCTAAGGCGGTTTAATGTCTTATTTTTAGGATCTCATTTTTGATTTCATGGTCGTTCAACCTCTGAGGGCATTTTTGAACTTTAAGAGAAATTAATGGCTCAAAGAAAAGAGATAAATAAAGTCATAAAAGGAGCCTTAAAATCAATCAGCTGTGGACAGACACAGTGATGTGATGAGTAAAAATCAGCAGAGACTAAAGACACAAGTGAAAAAATCTTTTAAAAGGATCCATTAGTGTCAGACATTTGGGGTTTTTGGAATCTCTCTAAAAAGTTTAAAATAAATTGGTCAGGATAAGTTAATCCTGACTGGATCCTCACCAGAGGACTTCCTGTCGACAGCAGGCAGGGCAGTGCAACTTTATCCACCTCCTCCAATCAGAGTTAGTTTGATTTATAATGAGAAAAGTTCATCAATGATCCTTTTTACCATAAAGACAAGATGATAATGAGCTTGAATCTAGCACTGACGACAAGGACTCTGACAAATCATCATAAAATCATCAGGAAGAGGCACAGACTAAACATTTATGAGGGATTCGACTTATGTTAAACATATGGACAGCATTTATGCTGCGTTCAAGTTTCCTCGGAAGTCAGAAGTCCAAGCTGAAAATGACGTCCCAGCATTTCAGTTACCAAGTCGGAAAAAAGCAAAATCGGAGGCGTAAACAAGATGGCTACATCCTTGTCCGAATATAAGGCACGGGCTAAAATGACTTTCGTGGATGTAGCCATCTTGTTTCAGGCCTCCAAGTTTGCTTTTTTACGACTTGGTGACTCCATTTTAGATACCAGTGAAGAACCGTTCGTTTTCATGCATCACCCGGCAACCTTCATGCTGATTAGTTATCGTGACATGAATATCCACTCAAGTTGAGACATTTTCAGCTCCCGCCCAACAATCACGCTGCCAGAGTAGTAGGAGCGTTTATTCACGTCTTTACGTTGCCTTACCATGTAATTCATTCGCACAAATGATTTTACTCACGCTTAGTGTGTGGAGACAGAATAAAAACTCTCAAATTCACCTACATTAGCTTTCCTTTGTCAAGATTAAAATGCTTTAGGTGGACCTTCAAATATTTAAAACTTTTCATATTTAAATTGTTGAAGATGGAGATGTAGCTGAGAGCGCAGTGTATGGAGCATGTCCAAGGGCATTTCTTGGACAAGGACCTCAGTGAACACATTTGTAGTGGCTTCATTTTCCAGCACCAAATGTTTAAGGGGCATGTGGGCAACGGCTTTAGGTCATTAGCAGCCAACTTCAAACAGCGCCATCAATCCATCCAACTCCAAATGAGATCATTTTTCCATTTCATTTAGAGTTTCCGAATGAATTCGTTAGGAAAAAAAAGGAGGGATGAAGAGAAGTGTTCAAACAATGGAGCGTAATAGATCGACCGGGTATAAAAAGGCTTAATAGGTGATTCAAGCTCTGGGCCGTGAGGGTCAGGACTCATGAGGCCTGACTCCTGAGCCCCTGAAGTTAACAAATTGCCTTCATCAGTTCCAAGTGAAGCATCACCTTGTGCATTGGCGGTCAACCTCACACGTGTCTGTGTCCGCTGCAGATCTCAGCTTCCTTCCCCGGCCGGCGATGTGGTGGTGCGAGCGGGGGATCCAGGTGCTGCTGACCACCATGGGGGCATTCGCAGCTTTTGCCCTCATGACTGTGGCCATCGGTACGGACTACTGGCTCTACGCTCGCGCCTTCATCTGCAACAGCACGGCCAATTCGTCCCAAGAGGAATCCAGCAACAAGGACAAGAAAGACCCCGGGGCGCTCACCCACTCCGGCCTCTGGAGGATCTGCTGCCTGGAAGGTACGGCTGCTTTTCCTGTGGCGCTCAGAGTAATGTTCAAACCCTGGAAGCTTCAGTGTGGTCACATGTGTGTGTGATTTCTCATACTCTGGCTCCTGCGGGGTCTTGTTGAGGTTGGCACACTCATCAGTGGAATCAGCATGGGCATAAATAGGTGTTCTCTTAATCACAAACAGACCCACTCACTGATCGGATATTTTGCTCTTAATTAGCTCATTGGTTTGTTTGGATGATCTGGTTTTGGAGGATGATCAGAGTGATAGGTGATATTAATGACCAGTGAAGAGTTTAGATGATTTAGCTGGAGTGGGGTTGACTCTTTTGGTGGATTCCTAGAGAAAGACCAGGTTTTCTTGGTGGAGTCCACTGTGTATCTGTAGTGGCGGTTCTTTCAAGTCTCCAGCTGTTCTTGTTTCCACAGTAACATATATCCACTCACACCGTGCATTAAACATCCAGCTTATCTCTGTGCCCTAAAGCTCAGATATGAGCGGTGACTCATTCGGCGTCTGATCAAGTAATTTTTCTGCATTGCTGCAGCTGATGGGCAGGTTTAATAGCGGGGGACACACTTACACACACAGAATAAACACTCTCTCATGCATGTTTATGACAGATTATGTTTCCAGGACGCACTTTACATTGTAAGGGTTGTGTTGCCCTGCATAAAGGTGTCACATGATGCATTTTAACACCACTGTACTTGATAAAAACAGCAACATTTGTATGACTACATCAAGTTAATTTGTTTTTGCAAGCTGTGGCTGTTTGTGGGACTTTACTCAAAGCTTGTCTTATACCTGTCATGCCGTATTTAGCAAAACATTGACTCCTCTTGTTGCCTCGCAGCTTTCCTGCAGATCATCTAAAGTGTAAGGCAGATACTCTCTGGTTTCAGACCAATCTGCTGTCGATGTTTAAACACACTCCTGCCCCATTCAGATGAATGAATCCGCTTCAGTGTGATCACTACGGAAATGATAACACCGCTATGAATTATTAGACTTGGCTGCAGGATTTTCTTGGCTGGCTTTTGTTTGTTTGCACAAGTGTGTGTGTTCCTGGTTTTACCCGTCTTTTGCTTTATTGCAAGTGAAACAAGGGATCTCTCTTTCTCCTCTTTATGTTTATTTTGGCCATGAGACTCACAACTGGCTGTCTGGGGAAACAAATATTCTCTCTCAATAAGAAATGTAAGCGTTCAGGTGCAGATATCAGCTGATACGCTAAGCCAAGGTATTGATTTTGGATTGTATCGGAAAAAAATGGATCAGTGCATCTCTAGCAGTTACTGTAATGATTCACAAGATAAAACAGTTCTTGCCAAGAAATGTACATTTATTTCTGTCAGTTATTTCTTGTTGCAGTCGTGTGTTTTTGAAAGGATCAATCAGGAAGTAGAGGTCTTAGAAAGAGGTCACACGTTCAAGAGGGAAGCATCATTATATCCAAACAACGACCACTTTCAAACTCATTTTCTCACGACAGGTCTGTTATTACTGGATGTATAAATGTCAGTATCATCAGCATATGAATTAATTTGGCAGTCAGGGGAAGTGCTGGGGTGGTCATGCATAAATATGGAGAAAAGAAGAGGACCTAAACGTGAGCCCTGTGGTACTCCCCTTCCAATTATATATGAAGAAAAGCAACAAAATTACAGGAAATTTAAATTTTTGCTCAATATCTCCAGGTCTTTTATTACTGGATGTATAAATGTCAGTATCATCAGCATATGAATTAATTTGGCAGTCAGGGGAAGTGCTGGGGTGGTCATGCATAAATATGGAGAAAAACGTGAGCCCTGTGGTACTCCCCTTCCAATTATATATGAAGAAAAGCAACAAAATTACAGGAAATTTAAATTTTTGCTCAATATCTCCAGGTCTTTTATTACTGGATGTATAAATGTCAGTATCATCAGCATATAAATTAATCTGGCAGTTAGGGGAAATGCTAGGCAGGTCATTCATAAAAAAAAAGAAGAGGACCTAAACACGAGCCCTGTGGGACTCCCCCTTCTAAATTAAATATGAAGAAAAGCAACAAAATTACAGGGATTAAAATATTGGGTCCAGGTCTCCTGGTCTTTTATTACTAGATATAAAACTGTCATTATCATCAGCATATAAATCAATCTGGCAGTCAAGGGATTTTTTTGCAGGTCATTTTTAAATGTGGAAAAAAGAAGAGGACTTAAACATGAGCCCTGTGGGACTACCCCCTTCTAAATTAAACACGAAGAAAAGCAACAAAATTACTGGAAATTTATGTTTTTGCTCAAAATTTCTAGGAGAAATTACCCCAAATCCTCACTTATTATGATTTCTTGACTTGGGTGGCCGTAATTCACCAAAAAATGACAATGTCAATGATTTGTTTGCAATTTTAGCATAGCTATGTGTCAGGGTGTTGCTGTACAGTCGTAGAATTATGCCAAAAATGTCAGAATTTGTGTCCTGATCCGCGCTCTGAATACTCTCCTGCTTTTTCGTCCCTTACCAATCACACCCCTGATTCTGCTTGTCATTCCTGCCCGTCTGTCCCATACCTACCCTCCTCCCCTCTGTGTTCTCCACTGTTTCTGTTCCAGCACCTTCCTCACCCTCTCCTCCTCTTCCTCTCTGCCTTTTTTTTATTTCCAGGCCTGAAGCGAGGTGTGTGTTCCCAGATCAACCATTTCCCCGACGACGCGGACTATGACCAAGATGCTGCCGAGTATCTGCTGCGTGAGTCAACACACGTGTTTACAACTGCGCGGCAGATGCAGAACAGAACATTAACAGACATGAACGCTGGAATACAAAGACACAAAAAGACACATTCAGGCTGCGCACGTACACACACACATTACAGTCTCCATCACACACAGATAGAGAAAGGACAGAAGGGGATGGTGGGCGGACATCAATGCACGGATGTCAGATTGGAGAAAGCGTTCCTGGAGATGTGTGCGCGATGTTTGTGTGTGCATGTGTGTCTGTGTGTGTGTGTGTTTAGATGCCCAGGTGCATGGGGTTTGGAGTCTGGGGGTGTACAGAAAGCTTTTTTTTGTCACACATTGAAAGAACAGCCTTCACTTATGCGTTTTCAGCTCAGGATTCAGGTTTCACATCCTGCCTCCATCGTCACAGCAGATTCTGTCGAACAGCTCTGAATCTTTTGGTTTGTAAAGTTTATGTTCGATCTTTACATTATATAAAGACGTCTATTCCTGGGGAAGCGAGATGTGCTTCTATCTTGGATCCTTGTTCCTCGCTTTGCAGTGAACAAGAGAGCTTTGACCTTTCCAAAACCTGTACAAAACTTTCGATTTATTTTACAATCACAAACTTCCTTTGTCTGATCCTAAGTCACTTTTATACAACTCCACAGACTGAAGGAAGGCTGCAAAGATTTAGGACTAAGTTTTTCTATTTCTAAATATGTGTTGAAACAAGAGATGTCCTGGTTAGCTTTTTTAATCCCCAATATGATTTTTTTATATTTAATACGTGTTAAATTTCCATCAACAACAGTTGATACTCCTGAGCTGTATTTCAACCACCATCAAAATGCTATAACACTCCACTACCCTTATGTAAAAAGGAACAATTGACAGTTTCTTCTGACATTGAAGTTAGGGATGTCCTGACCCGATATTGATATCCGATATCAGTCCTATTTCAGCATATCAATATCAATCCAATGTTGATATCCGATATCAGTCAGATATCAGCATATTGATCCGATATTGATATCCGATATTCGTCCAATATCAGCATATTGATCTGATCCCATATTGATAGCCAATATCGGTCCGATATCGCCAAAAAAACCCAGAACAAATATTGGATTATATCAGCCTGGTTCCAAAATCTCCGATATCAGCACATCTATATTGATCCAATATTGAGATGTGATATTGTACTGATATTAGCATATCAATATTGATCAAATATTGATATCTAATATTGGTCCGATATCAGCATATTGATCTGATCCCATATTGATAGCTGATGTTGGTCTAATATCAGTAAAAAGTAACGAATATCAGATTGTATCGGCCTGGTTCTAAAATCTCCAATCTCAGCACATCTATATCGATCCAATATTGATATATGATATTGGTCCGATATCAGCATATCAATTTTTGATCTGATATTGATATCTGGTATCGGTCCAATATCAGCAAAAAAAAAACAGAATATCGGATTATATCTGCCTAGTTTTTAAATCTCTGATATCAGCGCTCTGATACAAGCAGTCCATTCCAGATTCCGCTCCAGCACTTCTACCTAGCAGCACTTGGATCAGCATGCAGAGCCCACGTTATCACAACAACAGTGTGTACGAAGGTACAAACAAAGTAGCAAGGAGTAGGAGTGATGTCAGCCGTGTGGCAGTATTTTTCGTCTAATTCTGAAAAAGACTTGTCATGCACAAGTTTGTGCTAATATCACATCAATATCGGTATCGTATCGAAATTAAAAAAAAGTTGTATCAGGACACCCCTAGTTGAAGTAGTGACGCCCAGCAGAGGTTTGTTACCTGAACACCCCACAGGTCAAAATTCACTACAAACCTCCTCCAGCTCAGCTTCCTTTCTTATCAGCTACTTATCAGATAATCAATACACCGAGCTGAAGATGCAAACACCACCCACATAACACACAACCTTTCACAGAAGCATTTCTATGAATATATGCTTATCACAGCATAATCGCCTCCCTTTAGAGGCAAACTAAAGATAAAGCTGCTCAAAGTCACCTTGAAAAGCTGACAGCTCTGCTTTTCCACCCAGCTCTTCACGTTAATCTTCTATAATGTCTCTGGATGTTATCTCTACCTTTTATAGGTGTGAGGTGTCTGCTGGAATTACACTGCGGGTGACGTTATGCAACTTTAGACAACCACACTGACAGTCCTTCGCTACAGAGGCTGAAGATTGTTCATTATGGATTAGTCAATACTGGTTAAAAAGTGGGGTGACCCGGCCTGTGGTGCCACTTTGTGACCATTTTCACCCTCATTAGGTTGCAATCAAGCAGTTAAAGAAAACAGCGGTATACTAGAAAGTTAATTAACTTTGTGGTGATGTTTTGAGGAGTTAATAAGAAATAAGAAAATGAATTACCATATCACCAAAATTCGTCCCCATTAAGTTTGTAAAACTGGTTTTATTTCCTGGTATCTAAGGTTTTTACTGGTGGTGTCTTTCTTTACTTAGTCCTGGCAAAGGCTCCTCCACAGCCACAAAAGCTATTATTTAGTACAGTTACATAAATAGATAGCAGCAGCTGCTGCAGAGCCAACTTATAGTATCAGCTCCAAAGTGTGCTCCTGCATATTCATAACACTTTTCATCCTGGTAGTGTATCACGGCTGCTAACTTTACACCTTTAAATAATTTTTAACCTCAGAAAAAAAAAGCCCACTGAAGCATCTACATGGTAAAAATATCGAGTTAATTGTATGAATGAGACAAAACAAAGCCTCAAGGTAGTTGATGAAATGGAAGTATCGCCCTAAATGATGTGATTCTCTCTCTCTCTGTGGTCTTTTGCAGGTGTGGTGCGAGCCTCCAGCATCTTCCCCATCCTCAGTGCCATTCTGCTCCTGCTGGGGGGAGTCTGTGTCGCCTCCAGCGGCTTCTACAAGAGCAAAAGAAACATCATCCTGGGTGGAGGGATACTCTTTGTAGCTGCAGGTAGCTGCTGTTCCTCTGATCTTTCAGTCACAGTCAGGGTGCAGGTTGGATTGTCATGACGTGTTTGATATCGGCTCTGAAACTTTGCAGGAGGCAGAAATTTTCTCTGCTTCTTTGTCAGCCTCCATGTTTGACTTTGTCCTTCTAATCCATCCTCCTTTAAAAAAAAAAAAAAAAAAAGAAGCTTCTCCACCATCCAGACCAACCAGTCAAATAAACAAGTTAGACCCTTAGAACTCCAAGCTATATCTATGTAGCAACTCGATCCTTTTAAGCACAGCAAATATATACACTTTTTTTTCAGGACAACTTCAGCTGTCAGTTTATAGGTGCAAAAATTATGTAAAATGAATGTGACAGTAGATTCAGAACCATCAAAGTCAACCTAAAAACAAAAACGGAAATTGAAATTGATACCAACCTTTGCACAAAAATCACATAAATCTACAGTGACCAAGTCTTTTCTCACCTGCAAATCATTCTCTCAAGTCTTGGCTATCAGGAGAAGAAATATTGGGATTGGAACAAACACACAACAGAAACTATTTACATATTTACACCAATTCTTCCAGGCGTTTTTTGCTATTTACAGTTGTTTATGCCACTCCTTGAAGCAGTTCCTGTCTGGGATGAGACAGAGGACCACATCATACTGCTCAGAATCTCTTCTTTGCTTGAGGACCTTTATTTCTTATTTTGCAGACAAGCAGGGAACTTTTATTGTCTCTTGTTGAGCTTTGGTTGCCTCTTATTGGACACTACCGTCAAGGGAACGGTAGAATATGAGACCGTGTAATTGGTCGAAAGTTTGACAGAAAAAGACGTCATCAAAACAGCTTGTTAAACCCGGAAGACATTAGCGGCATTTAGCGATAGCGATCTTTTTTTTATCACGACAATATGATAAATAATCATGTTTTCACCGGTATATCACTGCGGATTTACCATCAAACGTCTCTGATCAAACACCTATTTTTGTGGCCGGATTGTAAACCTTGTGGCAGGTGTAGAAATGCCTGGAAACCCTCGATAGATTGCCAAAAGGGTAAACTTTTGAACACTTTCATCCCATAGAGATGCACGGTATAGTTCCCGAGAAACTGTAAACAATATTATGGTGTCATGTAGGATCGCCAGCAATCCAGCAGAGTTTTAAGTGTTAATCTGTATGAGTAGGCCTGTCACGATAACAAATTTTGCTGGACGATAATTGTGCTACAAATTATCGCCGATAAACGATATTATTGACACCGTTTTTTAAATTATAGATAATGATATTATATGGCATAATAATGCGAGTACACCATGTCAAAAGTGATAAACTTTAATTTCCACACGAGAACAACACTGGTTGTTTTCGTTGACTAAAATATTTCCCTTTTCTCCCACGACGAAGACGTAACGTTGACGAGCTAAACATAAGTCGGAGATGACTGAAATGTGACGAGACGAAAGTGCGTTTACGTTGATGGGACGAGATGAAAATGACGAACAGAGTTGCAAAACTCAGTCAGTTAAACGCTAAACATGTAGGAGCAGCTTCAGTCCGCTCTGACAGCTCTCATCATCCTGCTGTGCTCCTCCAACACACAGACACACACGCACGCGCGCGCACACACACGTGGAGTTTTGTGGTTGACGAAAACAAAACTAGTTTAAAGCCGAAATATTCCCACACTTGGGCTGTTGCGTTCAGTTTAGACACCAAAGCTGTCGTGTTCATTCTGTTTGCTTGCTTTTCACTCACGACGCTCACTTGCAGCACTGTATCCAAAAGTCTGTGTCTGTGTGCCTGTGCGCGCCAGCCCCGTCGTGACAAAGACACTGAATGACTGACAGGAGGGTTCACTAACTCCGTTCATTCCGCTATAGAGCCAACGCCCCCAGGTGCCGAGAACAATGCGCAGAGTGAGACCTCTTCTCTCATCCAGCGTGTTTGGTAGCGAGAGAGGAGGAAAACAAACGCACGTCAATTATCGAGGCTGGCAAAATGACCGACCTCGTTTTTATTTATCGAGCGATAAGGCGATTTATTGATTATCGCGACAGGCCTACTTATGAGATGCAGTTTGACTTTAATATTGTGTCCTCCTCCTCCTCCTTCTCTTCTCTGGAACCACACAATAGATTTGCAGGTTGATTCATCTCAGGGGAAGACTCAAAGTTAAAGTCTGATTTATTTCCTCAGGCCTCAGCAACATCATCGGAGTGATTGTGTACATCTCTGCAGCCCTGAGCGACATCTCCCCAAAGAAGGACGAGGACAAGAAGTGGCACTACTCCTACGGCTGGTCCTTCTACTTTGGCGGCCTGTCCTTCATCCTGGCTGAGATGGTGGGCGTCCTCGCCGTGAACATCTACATCGAGAAGAATAAAGAGCTGCGCTGTCGCTCTCGCACCGACCTCTTCAAGAGCACCACGCACGCCATGCTGCGCCTGCCCAGCTACCGCTTCAGACGGCGCTCCCGCTCCAGCTCGCGCTCGACCGACCCGCCGCACTCACAGGAGACTTCGCCAGTCGGTGCCTCCAAGACCTTCAGCCTGCCGCCGTCTGCCCCGCCCTTCTCTGTGGCCACCCTGCCCAACCCGCACCACACCAGCAGCGGTGGGAGCGGAGGAGGGGGTGACATCTCCATGTACACCCTAGGGAGGGACTCAAAGCTGGGCAGTCTGGGAGGAGGCGCCCCACCTCTCTATGGTACGGTGGACCGCGCCACGCTGTACCAGCTCCACAACTACTTCCCAAAAGATTCCACCGGCAGCGGGGGGAGCGGTGGAGGAGGAGGAGGAGGAGGGGGAGCGGTAGTCAGCAGCGGTACTCTTCCTCACTCCAAGTCCAACCTGGCGGCGGCAGCGGCTGCAACCCAGAACACAGCACCTCTGAATACCTCCACAACCGCTGTAGCAACGGCCCCGGCTGCTCCGATCTCTACAGCCACCATGGAGAGGGACAGAGGCAACGTGGGAACCCTGGACCGGCTGACCGCCAAAAGAGGAGGGGATAGCAACTCAGATACACTGAACAGGAAAACTACACCCGTCTAAAATCTCAGAGAGGAAGGAGGTCGAGTTACAGAGAGGGAGAGAGAGAAGATAAGAGGAGGCTTAGGGCTGAAAATGTGTGGGTGACACTTCAACAGTAATGTTTCTGTCCTTGAGCCTGAGGTATCCGACTGCCATGTTCTACTCGACCAGATTTACACAGTGACGCTTTACCCCGCCGTTTTCAGATACTGATAGAATGACAACCCGCTGCCTTTCAGATTCAAGTCGAAAATGTAAAAGTTGCAACGAATCTGATGACGTTTCGATCATCCCAGAGGGTCACGTAAACATAACGCTTTATTTATTTTAAGAGGGGCCAAAGAAAGCAATCAGGACAACAACAAATTTACCCTAAAATACAACCTTTCAGATTCACTCAAAACTGTTCGGTCAAAAATCGGTATATTATCGCGATTTGTGTGTCAGGTTTAACATTACCTGAGCTTTTCACCATTGGGGGAAAAAAGCCACTGTGTAAATGTGGTACTGTTCATAAACAATCATAAAGCGTCTGATACAATAAGAAAATTCATTCTGCCTTAAAATAGTCAGACCTATAGACTGTATATACTATGGACAACTTGGTTCCACCTTCTGCCAGTGTACGGATTTGAAGCCGAAAAGCTTTCTCCATTTCCTGAAACCAACATTGGGCAGTAGCGTTGTATGCATTCGGCGGGAGAGTCGCCGAGAGTTGCTGTGATGACGCTCGGCTCAAACAGTGTATCCCCCGGGTGAGCAACACAATCTTCGTACGCCCATAGACTGTATCAGGTGTCAATCACAGAAAACATGAACCCCTTGATAACTTTTAAAAACTGAGCTGTACAGAAAAAAAGAGGACTTGAGCACAAACCAGTCTGACAGTAACTACATGTCAACATCGCAATAAATTTCTAAAGTTTGTCCACAGCTCCATAAGCTTTGCTGGTGGAGGTGGGATTTATGACCTATACTGCAGCCCATCACCAGAGGGTGCTGTTCTCTTTGTGGCTTAACCCAGCGAGGAGGCAGACTCTGTCTATTCTATATACAGTCTATGGTCAGACCTGAGAGTCTTGGTCATAACCAGTGACAGCTTCAAAGTTGAACCAGTTAAGGGTAAAGTGCCTTGCTAGGGAGGCAGGAGGGCTCAGTTAGTTTCACCCAAAACCTTATCATTATGACGGCCTCATAATGGAGCTCTGATTCAGTGATTAAAAAGTTAATATATTGAGTTTAAAACTGAAAGTCAGTAATTTACCGATTTAGACAGAAATGTGACAGAAGCTAAAAATACCGACATCTTTTGTTTTCTGACAAAATATACAAATCAGTCAGTCCTTCGAGATATTCTGAACCGAGCAGCACTTTTATAAACATCAAATGCAAAAATGAAATGAAATTAAAAAGCGTACAGATGGTAGAAGCCACAATTCTCTGTTGCATTTCTGTTTTAGATAAGAACAGAGAGCCACAGACGAGCACATTCAGCCGACCGACGAGCCGCTCGGTGACGAGTCTGCTGCCAATTCCAGGTCAACGGGAGCTACTTAACCTCTGGTCCTGAGAGACTAACCTCGGCCATATCGAACCCACTGACACACACTCAAACAAACCCACACGCACACACAGACTCGCAGAGGCTGACACATTGTGAGCCCATTAATTTTTCATTGTGTGTCAAAGGTAATTACAGTGACAGATGGGTATTCTCAGCACTACTAGAGGAAGGCACAGCCATAGACTTTAAGTTTCACCCCATCCGCCTCCGTTACAACACCGCCAGCTGTCACAGTTTGGTTACACTCTGCAACAATTGTCCATCTGAGGAAGTAGCTCAATTCCTGAAGCTGTTGCTCAAATATAGGAAATATTTGCCCGACTTTGAACAACACTGCTTTTCAGTCCTTCAGATATTTGACACCAAAGTGATCTGAACAAATAAAGAGGACTGATTTAAGCTATGAAGTAATAATGTGGAATCAAACAGCAAACCAAAGAGTACAAAGCATAACAGATAACAGTATATAAGATAGCTTGCTAGATGAGCTTAATACACCTCAGACCAACGGATAATCTTATAGGATAATCTTAGAAGACATAAGATAATCTTCCCATTGTTGTCCTTGGTCGGAAGGGGGAAAATCGGAACAAAATAGCCCGATTATCTTTATGTGTGTACCCCGCTTTAAAGATCATGACTCAGGTCAAGTCTTAGCTCCTCCCACTGGTAAAACTGGGTACTACACCGTTCTATTTTTTCTCCAGTCCTGCATTTTCTGCAGGTCTCAACGTGCACAAAGGTGAAAAAAAAACCTCCAAATGCACTAACAAAGTTGATGAGGAAAAGGGTCCTGGGTTTTTTTTTTATGATTGTTTATGATAATAAATGGATACCAACGGCTACAAGACAGTTCTATGTTGAGTGTTGCTGCAAAGGGCTGCAACCACAGGCAACAGGGCAGGGGGCAATTCAGTTTACACTCAGGGGGAGAGGTTTTTGTTTGACTGAAAAAACTCTGAATTAGCTACATATATATATATATAAATCAACTATCAGAAATCATTTTATCAAATTAAGTTCCACACAATCCTGGGAAATCACGAAATTTAAGCACATTATTAAATATTTAGTAAATATGACAGTTAAAGGAATTTCTATAGAGCCAATCAGATTTATTAACAGTGTATTTTTGAGAATATTGAGGAGAAAACATTCCTGATACGGATCTACGAGATTAGATTTTGGACTGAAACCCTTCACGCGTCCTTAATCTGACTATCGCACCACTGAACTGAACTCTGAATGCACTTCTCCTTGCATTTGAAACAACAACAACAACTCAATCAACAACTTGATCTAGTTGGAAGAGAAGAAGGAGGAGAGACAAGAGCACAACAGCGAGCTTCACTTCCTCTTCCGTCTGCCTCTTCTAGCGATAACTATATACTATTTCACAAACTAGAATAATAAATGTATTATTGAGTATATAATCGGTCCATTCTACAAAAGCACATAATGTCTGTAAATGGTAATCTTTGGGTTGTCTTTTCATTCAGAGTGATTGATCATCTGTAGGTTACACGAGATTGTAACTCTTTGAGTATTTATATCATGTTGCTGGTGTTTCTATGATCGTAATGGTTATTGCAGGGTATTTATACATTTGGAAACTTTTCTTTTTTGTATTTTTATATTCCTTTGAAGGACTTCTCAAATTTTTGGTTTCCTTGCTTATGTAGACTAAGAGTCCGTGGTGTCACGTGGAGAGCATGTGCACAAAATCCAGAGGGTTTTAACGTGTAAAGCCATCTTTTTATCTTTTTTTTTATTGCATTTGTTTGTACAGAGGGTGTTAATTGAATGTGCATCCCTATCATTCATACAAACTGGCACTGGCCCAGTGAAACCAGTCTACTCACTGGTAACTGAGCAGCTTCCACAGAACAATAGGGAGCTCTGTGCCTTGCTCGAGGGTACATTTATAATCTTTAAAAAGTGTTAGTTGTTTAATTTCAACCATCTTGGTTTTTCAAGCTGTTGTAAAGATGCTAACTAGCTAATGTGAGTCCTTCTATTATTTAATTATCACTCTGAATCTGACTGTGATATTCATTTTTACTGTGAATGTTATTGTTGAACTGTTCTATTGTAATCATAACTCATTTTTACAGACCTTTTTTCTCTTACAACGCCTGTTTTTAGGTCTTAATCTGGTGTTTTTTCCTCGTGATCGCTCTTTGGTTCGTCATTTTCTGAGTTTTTATCTCAACCTAAGCTGTTGGTGTTTGTTTTCATCTTATTCTACTACGTTTCCTTGCAGATTTATTTTGGAAACATTACCAACGTAGCCTAATAATCAGTGTTTTTTAATGTTCTGACTAGTGTGTAATTGTAGAGGATAGAATTTATATGAATCTATTTATTTTCGTGGTGATGTGTGTAGATATTCTTAGTGTTATTTTGTTTCCTACACCTATAACTTTGGGCTATTAAGGCTTTACGCCTGCCTGTGACGAGCTGTCAGTATCCTCAGTGCTGGGAGAGGGAGCTGGAAGGAGTGTGTGTTTTTTATAGATAATAGCTTCATTAAATGTATGTGTGTGTGTAGTTGTAACATCATCAAATGAATCCTATTTTCCTTTTTTAAAATGTATTGTTAAAGCATGCGTTCAGTTTCTCTGTTTTCAGTCGATATCTTTATGTTTAAGCCGTTTTTTAAAGGCAGCGTGAGTCACCAGCTGTTTCTCCCAAATCTTGGGCTACTGACATGAGTCATATTTGAAACTCTTCAAATGGAAAACTGGCAGATTTCCACGGAGCAGATGGATATATACAGTATATATATATATATATACAGTACAGGGGAATAAAGTGGAAGCAATACAATATAGAGATCTTCACTGGGAGAGTCAAAAATATAAGGTATATATACATATATACAGTATAAATATATAATTATATTCAATAAAGTTCTATATGAAAATGTGTTTATGTCATGTGAGTTATTTACAAGCCAAAGCAGTCATAATTCAAATTTAACCATATATTTTTAAGGTTTCAGCTAAATCAGTAAACCAATGTATCTCTTAATTATTGCAAAATATCAGGTCTCTCATATCAGGACCTTGATCTTTGACCACAGAGCAAAATTATTATTCACCTTGAATCCAAAATTGAAGAATCACCTCAAGGTGTTCGGGTTAAACAGGGATGGGTCGGTCATTATTGCTGTAAAAGTTGATCTTTTGGTTGTGAAAAATCACTGAGGCTGTCTTAAATCTTTGTGTGAAACTTAATGATGACTAAATGTTATTTTTTAAAGGATGATCATAGGATAATTTGGGGATAATGCAGCACATGAATGACAAAAGATGGACAGACTGATGAAGAGCAAACTCATGAACATCTTACCTTTAGCTGATGCTGTTTCAGGCACAAAAATGCGTTACTTGACAAATTAAAAAGGAAAATAAATATTGTTTATGAGACATGTTATCGTGGTGCATCAGTACATGTTATTATTTGACCGTATGCGGGGTTAATTTGAGCCGGGTCCTACCGGAACAAGATCCCGGCACCTCTTAATTTTGGCCTCCCTGTGTTCCGGTACTTGTTTGGGCAGATCCGGTACCTCTCATAAAAAAATAATAATGATAGTAATAATTAAGATAAATAAATAAAAATGTTTGAAATAAATTAATAAACATATATTAATTTACAGAACAAATTACAAAAATGTCATGTTGTTTATTAAGGTTTAACGAGTCGGAAATCTGTCGACGCACGGAAAAGCACCAGTTCACCTGGCCAACAAACCACGCCCCGGACACAGAAAAAAAATGAAATTCGCCACACTCGAGAGGAAGGCAGAGGGGAAAAGACGGTTACCATTTCAACGCAAACATGTCAAGAACACAGTTAAATTTACTGCCTTTTACCGAAAATGGCGACGAGGGCAGCTGCAGTGGTCATGTTAACGGTCGAAACCGGCCGCAGCAGGAGGCTAGCCGGGTTTACCGACAGCTAGCCAAGCCGGGGTGGACCACCAACAGCCGGAGCAACAGGCGGGTACCGCGACATCAGTTGGATTACAGTAGGAAGATTCACTGAGCGGAGAGGACGTGAGGTCGTGGGTGGCCTAAAGAGACAGAACTGCCGCAGACACACGCAGGGAAAACCCCAAAACAAGAGGAGGAGAATCGAGATGTGGGGTGTTTTGGACTTAACATGGTGAGTACCGTCTGTTGATAGGCCGCCGTGCCTATTAACTGGTTTTAAGAATAATAATAATGTGATTTGTCACAAGCTCTTTTTTTATTTAAACGTTAGCCCTGTTGAGAAAGACTTGTAAGTCCCACAGTGTGTCAAGTGGGCATCAGCATGTTGTTTTCAGCACGTTTTCCACACATGTCCCGGGACCTGTGCCCATCTCGTCATCCCTGAGCTGTCACATGTACTTTGTTATGATTTGCAAACTAAGCACTGACTGAATATCAAAATGCCATCATCTGTCCGGACCGAAAAGCAGCAGCCTCATCATTGCATGCATCTCATAATGACATAATATTACTGACATGGCACAACAGGAAGCGTGTTTTACCTTCATCCAAAACATTGTGAAAAAGTCAGGACACAAAGTAATGAGAAAATAAGACACAGAGTGGAACTAAAAGTTTGCCAAAGTTTGAATTAGTCTGTCTATTATTTTAATTTTATGCAAATTAGGGTTAAATTAGCTCTGTAAAAATGTCACGCAGTGGGAGGCCAGAAGGTCTAGCTTTTAGCGAAGAAGAATAAATGAGGGATAAAGTCGTCACACTGTCTGCTGTCTTCCCTGAATCTGCCTCTTAAAAGAAAACAAAAATAAAGTTAGATTTGGTGCAAAGTCACAGAGACTGGTGAAAGTTTCTGTTTGGTTGAATCTATTGAGGTCATCAGCAGCTGCATATCTTTGGCCTTTTCATGCATGTTATGGTTGTATGTTGCTTTAGTGTTGATGGTGAAGAACCATCTTTACAGTTTTGGCCAGTAGTGTTTAAACAATAAGAAAACAACATTTAGTTAGTTGGAAGTAGGATAGATAGATAGATAGATAGATAGATAGATAGATAGATAGATAGATAGATAGACACCTTAAAAAGTGTGACAGGCAGTAATTACCACAGCACTGTCTCTTAATAACTCTGAGACGTCTTCTCAGGAGGGGAACACAGGCAGGGACTGTCAGCCCGGGGGGACGTGTGACAGTTTTTAATCCCGCTGACAATAGATCTGCTGGCGGAGGACACATGAGACGGAGATGTGTTTGGTTGGAGCATCAGAGGAATGTGATTCAGTGTCAAAGTTTTAATTAGTTGGCCTCGCCGTCTGGATTCCTCCGGATGTTACTGTACTCCTTCTCCGGGTCTTTATACAGCAGGAACAGACTCAGCTGCTCTGCACCAGCAGGTTATACAAGGTGAAGAGTCATCTCTGTATGTCTGCATTCAAACCACGTATCAAAGACAGAAGATGGTTAATATTTATGTTGGTGTGTTGCACTCATTTATCATAGATGCATACTTCTCCTCCACTTTAATCACTCTGCTCTAAAACTCTGCCCTGAGATTTACATTTGCAGGTTTACATGGTGATCTTTGTAGCTAAGAGGAGACTTTTTGTTTTTTCCAGGGCAAGCAGGTTGGAAAAAATGTCTAAAATGTAAAAAATCTGAGAGTCCCAGGGCTGCAGTTCCTTGGTTTGCCACTAGAGGCTGGCTCCAAAAGTGAGTTATTTCCCATAGATGACCATATCAAAAAGCATTTTGCTGCATACATACACCTCATCACAACCTTAGAGGAAAATAGTTTTATGTTTTAGCTTTTCCACATTTATTTACTGTACATTGAATTAAATCAACACCACACGACAACTTTTGGTTCAAAAAGAAAAAAGCCACAGTTGCTTGGTTTACTGCTTCAGAATAAATTTTCCCCCCTTTCTAGTCACTTTGTTTGGGAAACTTACTTTGATTTTAAAACAGAATTAAGGGTGTGTAAAGCAACAGCGTTATTTCAAACCTGCTTCTTCTTAAACACACTCAGCAGTTTGTTTACAGGGTCAAAGATCCATCGATGCAGAATTAAAGGTGACTCTAAAGGTAATTAGAGGAAAAACGAAGGTGACTGAGGTTAAAATAAGAGTCAGTCATAGCTTTCGGGTCACTGACCTGTCTCTGCGCTCTCATTTAAAGCTCATTAAAGTGGTTTTAAGAAGCAGTTAGACTAGAGGTGTACTTTCTCCAGTGTAGTATTCCAGTCAAATATTCTTGTTGGTGAATGTATGAAAACTGGACGTGAAAAAGAGGCAGAGAAATCTTGAGGAATGAAGTGATCTGCCTGAACTAGCACTGGTTTTGCCCCAGTGATAAAGTAGCTGGCCAAAATCTAAACAATGTCTGATGACTTTTGGTATTTAGTGTTTCTAACCCACACAGTTTGGTTGATATTCAGATTTTGGAGCTCCTTTTGGTGTCCGTTTTGGCGCCTCCTGTGGACAAAGTTGTAACTGATTTAGTCCTATACGTGTCCGATGTTTTTTTGCCAGACAGAGGCAGATGTACGGCGACTTTTCCAAGACGGACAGTGTCCACATAGAGGTTCTCTCATGCCTCTCCACTCGGCTCTCGTGTGCTGTTCTGCCCACAGCCAGCAGCTCGGTTGTGGTACATGCGGTACAAAACGATAATAGCTGCTATTCATGAGTCGACAGGAGTCTGCTACCTGTGAAGATATTGTGCATTTTAATTTCCTCTCTTCTTTCAGCCTGACGCTCGGTGTCCGGCTGTCTTTCCTTCCAGGACTCTTTGGTGAAGAAGAGCGCATGTCTGCAGTCGCTGATAACAGCTCCAGGCTGCCTGACAACTGTCCATATGCCTGTAGGGAGGTCTGTCAGTCAAGATTACACTCTCATTTCCCCCAGTCCTTAAATCCTCCCGTTACCTCCAGAAACAAAGATCCCACAGCAGAAACCCGGGCTGTCTAAGCCGCAGTTTCTCACTGGAACCTCAGGGTGATCTTCTTTGACAGGACTCATACTTAATTCATGTAAGGTCGGTTTTGAAGTACATGCACGTTCATACGTTCGTGTGAGGATTCATATGATTCAGGTTATTATGTCTGAACAGATGGAACTGCAGAGTTAGGGTATTTCCGTTCAGAGTTGGTGTGAAATTCAACATTTTCATTACCACAAACAAAAGAAACAAAAGCACAGTGAGAGGATTGATCTGAAAATGTCAGAACGGGATCAATTAAGCTGAAAGGCAACCTGAGAGTGCTCACTGTAATACAGATTGATGTCTCAAAATGGCCAGATCAGATACTGTGTGAATAATGCACCAAAGTCAAACTCTCAGCACAGGTTTTTGAGATTTCACTAAACCGCAGAAGCTAGAAGAACTAGACGTACAAGTTAACATAGAATAGAGGAGCTGCGATCAAAAGTCCTGGCTCTTTCTGCACCTTTTTTATAAGTTTGTGGCAGCTTTTATTATTCGTATACACTGTAAAAGGCAGATATGCAAATTATAATTAGGGCCCGGCGGATATGGGGGGGTCCGATTACCGATTAATCAGCCGATTTTTTAAATTTTTTTATGAAGTTATCAAAAATATGTATACTGTAGATAAATTGTAGGTTACTGCTCTTCACGTCGACAGAACTTGGACCAGAAAAGCGTTTTCAACAACCCCCCCGCTCGCCGATCATTGCCTCCGCATCTTCACTCACGTTACTCATTTCCGGTCCAGTCTTATCTGGAGACATGCAGCTGCCTCAGTAAGAGAAGTAGCTCGATCACGTAATGTGTACTGTTGTTAATTCTACCGTTACTGGCACGGCTAACAGTGTAGCTAGGCTAATAGCAGATGGCTAACTCTAACTTAAGCTTGCATATTACATGGTGCTTCACCGTTAACTCGGCGTGACCGAGACCAGCACAGCGGGGAACATCGTGAAGTGGGTTGAACTGAAACTTGTTGACTTATTGTGCCATCTACAGGATAGGTCGGGGAACTTTTCAAATGGCGAAACATTTTCAAAGTGAAACCCGAATCTTATTCTCCGCATTTTATTTCTGAAAATATCACCGAAAATCAGCGAGTTTTGGCCGATTATCAATTAGTCTCAAACGCTTATAAATCAGTCCGGCCCTAATTATAATCCCAACAGGGTCCCACTCACCCTGTGGGGGTCTTGTCAGATCAGGATTATACAAAATACAGATTTTAAAATGATTTACTTAAACATCTCAAAAACATGCTTCTTGTCCGTGATGCTGAATGAATCCTCTGCAGGAAAAATTCGTCGACTGATTTGTCAAACTTCAGATCAGATTAAGTTGAACAAGTGGAGTATGTTGTGTTAAAAAAGCTGCATTCTGCTGTTTTCTTCTCTGTAAACTCAGGGTGTCTGTTTACTCCCACTAACACATTTGTGTCTCCACTTTGCTGACTCAAACCTTTAAGTCGTAGCTTTAACAACGTAAGATCAGCGCTCGCTCCTCTCCATGACTGCTCATTAATTAGAGCAGGATAATTTGATCCTCTGCAGGGCTGTTAAGTGGATTGGATGACGTTGGGAATGTTTGACGTCAGGGTTCAGGTGGAAACGGGTTCAGTCTGCGCTCACGCTGTGTGCGTGCACCCAAGTGTGTACTTTCGAATCTGTGTGTTCCTGTGCACACCGAGTCTGTTGTGTGAACCAACAGGATCTGAACAAACCTGAGAGAGTGTTTGTGTGCACAGCTCGTCTCCAGGTTTGTGTTTCTCCTGCCACGTCAGTCCTATTGGCCACGGTCTATATTTAGAGAGGAGGTCGCAGCCAAACAGCATGGGAGACGCTTTAGAGAGACGTGAGCCTGGAAGGAGGTCAACATGCTGACTGAGATGTGCCGTTAGCAGGATAACAAGAAAGTAACCAGGGGGGAACTTTAACGGGAGGAGAGGGAGTCCGAGTGTCACATAATCCTCCAAAAAGTTCACCATTGAAACACTTGATTGATCTCAAGTACACCAAAGAGATTCAATCTGAGTCTAACGTGATGTTTTAACTGCTTTCCTGAAATCTGAATTATGACTGTGGCGCACATGGCGTCCATAAAGCAGAGGGTAGAAGGGCCATGCTGGTGGTCTGGCAGGCTAAGTATGTGCTGGATCATATAACAGCATGTAACATACGACGGCGACATCCTGAGTTCAAATTTAGCCAGGACCTTTGTTGTATGTCATAACCTCCTCTTATTTACTGCATCTCTTCGAAGTTTACAGTCCTGTAATCGGCAAACGTCTCATGTCAAAAGAGGTTTGTAAGAGGAAAAGAATTTATAGTTTTTCATAGTTCCCTCTAATAATTGACTACTAAGACATCAGCTTTTACAGGGGATGGAGGGAGTAACAGTGTTGGCATTGGGCTTCTATGCATTTTCTTGTCTGGAATTGCATTCAAGATGTATTTGGGAGCCATAAAAGTAATAGGAAGTAATATAATAGAGTTAATCTACCCAACAAATAAGCCGAGTCAACTTGAGAACACTCATAAACCAACGCGTAGAGAAACTGGTCACAACTTCCAGTTTTGTTATTCACAGCATGTGGAGATGATAGTTACTGCGTCAGAAAAAGTGTTCTTACTCGAAACCACGACCTGACAAGAAAGTGAATATTTTTGCCACATGGAAAAGTGGCGCCCTCTGTGGCCCAGAGTAAAATGCGTATGTTCATGTGCTCAAGGTAAAATGATAAAAACAAGTTTGCAATAAGGCTGCACGATATTGGAAAAAAATAATATTGCGATTTTTTCAACCCTGCGATATATATTGCCATATTAAAAATACAGTATTTTCACCAGATGACATGAATAGCACTTAATGTTATGCTGCACTGCTGAAATCTTGAGGACAGTTAATCTGCTCTGATCTTACCTCTTTTTGTGAATGTTAGTAGAACGGCTTCTGTCTGTCTCAGAGATATTTTTAGCTTTTATTGTGCTGGGACGTTATTGTGGCAACAGGCGAACACAGAAGACGTGTTTTGGTCGACATCATCCTTCTTTTAACCGAAATAATTCCAGATAACTGACTTTCCTTTTCTTTTTGGCAACAAATCTTCATTTTCGGTGGTTTTCGCTTGTTCGTTGTTCATTTTGCGATCGTTGTTGTTGTTGTTAGCGGTGTTGTGCCGAGAAACGCATGTCCTCCGAGAATTGCATGCACCTCGCAAAACGCGCACTGCTTATAGTAGAGTGGTCCACGGAAATGTACAATTTAAAACCCATACAGTTCTTATTTGTTGGGCTTAATAGTCATGAGTAAAGTTCCGAAAGTAATTCTCAGCGGACACACGTCTCCCTCCATGTGCAGAACATGTGCAGGGGTGGGTTTTCTCCTCCCTGATTTTGATTGACAGCTGGCAGGGTAGTCTGATTGGCAACTGAGAAGTGAGTCTGATTGGCAACTGAGTTAAGGACGAAGGCGATTGGTGGATCGCTGCACAGCACATGCAGAGTCACATGGAGTGTATCTCAGTCGGTTACCCTTGAAATTAAATGAGTTCATTCACCTCCAATATCGCAGGCTCTGCGATGTGACTATCGCACACACGTACATCGCGATGACGATAGTCAAACGATATATCGTTCAGGCCTAGTTTGCAATGTTGTGTAGAAGGTAGGGGTGTCCCGATAAAACTTTTTTACTGCCAATATGATACGGACATTGTAGCCTTCAGTATCAGCTGATACCAGTGTTGATCGGATATTGGCACAAACTTGTGAATGACAAGTTTTGTACTCAGTTGCAATGTCTTTTTTGGATTTAGACGAAAAATACTGCCACACGGCCAACATCACTCCTACTCCTTGCTACTTTGTTTGTACATTAGTACACACTGTTGTTGTGATTACGTGGGCTCTTCTTGCTGGATCCGGGCGCTGCTAGTTAGAAATGCCAGAGTGGCGTCTGGAATGGACTGCTTGTATGGGAGTGCTGATGTCGCACATTTTAGATGTAGGCCGATATAATCCAATATTTGTTTTTTGGCTGATATTAGACCGATATCCGATATCAATATCGTAGCAGGACAGCCCTAGTCGAAGGCGCCTTTTTGTGCCTTTGTGCAGAGGCGGAGCTAAGGGTTAAGCTAAGGTCGTTTAGGCCCAAAAAATCCCAAATAGATCCTTCTGGATGTGTCCCAATAGGCTGCTGGTAGCTTTCTTTGTACTTCAGTACAACACAATAAGAAAAATTAAATATAAAAGAGAATTTTAAACGTTGAATTTTCTTAATCAATTAACCACTTGAAAGACTTTGTATAGTTTTCCACAAGTTCCCAGCTGGAACCCCACAGGGGCAGATTAAAAGCAGCTAGTTAGCACAGTCATTTTTACAATGAGGTGTAAAGTGGTCTGGCTCATAAAAACAGCTGTGGAGGAGGTAGTGAGTGAAAGCTGAGAACATGTGGAGAGAGCAGAAAAACCGAGCAGAATGAAACCTGAGAGAGGAGGAGGAGGAGAAACATTAAATATTCATGTCATGTTTAATAATAAAATGCAGTCATTTATACTCAATTGATTCGGTTCAGAGGCGGGTTCGCTCTCTGAACAGGCACAGAAAGCAGTTTGTTTCAACATGAATCATCCAGAAATAAAAGAAGGTAAAAACATGACGGCGTCTAACACTTTGAACTGATTTAACAACATGTATTATGTTCTCTACTCTAAATCTTCCTATTTCTGCTTGTCAAACAATAAAGTCTACATCCTTAATTCACATAAACTCCCCTTTTAATGTTTGCTTCTCCTGCTGTACAGTGCATGTGAAATCTGAAAATGATAAAAAGTCAAGTTGTGTTCATTATGGTTCTCATCTCACACAGGTTATAGTGAAAAAAAAACATCATCTAATCTATTTGTACCACAACATGATAAGAGCCCTGCCACAAACATATAGATGTCATGTATTTCCAACCATCTGTCTCCATGACAACTAATGAAAAACAAAACAACACTGAACATAGATGTGTAATAAAAAGACAGCTCCGCAGACAGAAAGACAAACACGATCATCCACGAATCACAGAGAAAAAAAAAGAAGATTGGAGGTCAATAAACTGGAGTTTTGGGGTCTCAGCGGCCATCTTTATACCTGAGCAGACAGGTGGCTCTGATTGAACCCAGTTACAGCTGATCATGAATCTACAGACTACATTGTTCTGGTTAGTTTACTGATAGACTTGATATAATACAGGTTCTCTAACATCCAGATTCAGTTTAGAGCTACAGCTGGTTGATAGGCATGTTTGCATTCAGGTTATCAAATTATGAGTTAGGGCCTGTTTCCATTACCACCACCACCTAAATTCCAGGACTCCTAAGTTATACCAAGGCACGTCTTCTGTCTGTCCAAAACATTCGTTTTAATCCAGTGGCATGAAAATCTGCGTCTCCAGATCTGAAAACTGTAGCTTTTGTTTCTGTGAACTTTTGACCGTCCTTGATAAACTTTTTACCCCGAATTTCCACCGTGTCCGGAACGGCTCCGATCCAGAATGGCAGCGATTTTCGCTGTCCGCCAGTTCCTACCGGATCCGTTTGTGTGGCAAATTCCATGGCAGATTACCGACAGCGGGAATCACGAGAACGCACAAGAACCCGCGGATTCACGTGCAATCGATAACGAGTTGTCTCTATAGCCATGTAACCATATAAGCAGTAGATTGTGTCCTTCCGGAGGAGGAAATCTACTTCTAGACTTTTAGAATCGGCATCTCCTCCTCCACGGTGTCATCGGGGTGAAATGCTGTCTAAAAACCTTACAATTGTTTGTCCCCGTCCGTTTGCATGGTGTGAAATACAATTCACCTGAAACACAGTGTGTTTTATTTTGAAAAGAAGCCGAATGCTCTATTTTGTGTCTGTGCCCAACTTGCTTTCCAGCACGGGTTTATCTGTGCTGAATTTATCCGGCATGCTCCGGCGTCCAGAAAAAATAGAACTCTTGCGATCAGTTGCGGAACGGAAAGAAGCCAGTGGATATCGACACATTAACTTGAATGGTTACGATCGGCGGATACGGCCTTTTTGTGGCCATTACGGATGCGGTGGAAATTGGGAGTTACTCTTGCTCCCTACAGTGGAATTATAACATAACTCGTAATTTTGACTCGAAGTACATGGAAGTATGATGGCTATAAAAATTATGCTGTTTTAAACGTATGAATCTATCCTCATACCGCAAGATGAGCCCTTACGCTTTCACACAGTTATGTGGTTAAGTATTGTTAGTGAGTTCTTGTGAGAGAGATGAAATAGTGAAGGAAGAGAGCTAGCATTTTGCTAACAGCTCATAGTTTATCAGATAAACAGTAAATTGCCTCCAAACCCTGCAGGATGTTTAGTAAGACAAAAAATATCAGTTTCCCAAACACGTTAAAGCATTTAAGGAGTATCAAAGTACATTCAAATAAGTGCTTTTTTAAAAATATAATTTGGGGTCATTATGTTTTCTTTGAGAACTTTCAGGTCGCTTTTAGGACTCGTATTTTAATTAAATGACAGTAGAAAGAGTCAGAAACAGGAAACAGCAGAGAGTAAGAGATGGCATGCAGTAAGAGACCGGGGATCAGATTCAAGGCTTGTGGCCTGTGTGCAAGAGGGATTTAACCACTTAACTAAACCAGCATCCTGTTGCTGTGTGTAAAATTAGGAGGTATTGAGCAGAATACTTAGTAGTCATAGGATATGATAATTTTAAGTTTACTTAATGCCAACATTTCTGTCTGTTACAATAGGCTGCTGGTTATTTTCGTGGCCTTTCTTTTTCTTCTGTTGGTACTTCAAATACCTCAGCTAACTTTTCTGTTTCCACACGTCCTGTGGTGCAAAATGACTGTTTTTGTGATTTTAGTGTGGTAGCTTTCAAGGCAGCAGTAACGTGCTGTTTCAGGTCAAAAAAGTGGACTGCTGGATTGCTTGAGGACACTTTGAGCCTTTCAGTAATAAAAAGCACTTCTCACAGATAGACTTCGATTGGCCATTTACACCTGTAATTACAGCAAAGATTAGGGGTTACATGTTAGGGAAACTTTATGTCATATTGCAGCCTTTGGCAACTTTTTTCATGCCGGTCAACAGGATAAGCTTCATATTAAAGGGTCAGTGAAGATTGAAAGAGACATGTTACTATTCTTTTTCCATAAAATACCTGACATTTCTTTAATTTCAAAGAAAAAACCTCTTAAATGCTCTAACGTTTTTGGGAAACCTCCTCGCCCCTCTGCACCCTCCCTCCACCCGAACAGAAAGGGCAGAAAAAGTGCAACGCCACCTCCAGGCCACTAGCTGTTGCTGCTGTCCTTGTGAGGGAGACACCTTTGCCAGGGGCTGTAGGGCAGAGCGAGCAGCAGGAAGAGGATCCCGCCCACGATGAGGACGGCCCCTGCACAGCCAATACACGACACCGACCAGGCGAGCTCGTGGTGGAGAGGAACTGTGTGGTCACTGGCGAGGAAGGCCAGAACTGACTGATGGAAGACCATCAGAGAGAGAAGCACCATGACACCTGAGGAGGAAATGGTGGACGGTTCGACAAAAACATCCAGAAGATTTTTAAAAGATTTGTTCAGCTGGCTCGTATTTCTCCACAACTGACCTGACATGATAAAGCAGACAGATGCCGGCTTGAGGAAGAACAGGATCTCTTTACTGAGGGACATGGTGATACAGATGGCCCCCATCACCATGAGGAACAGGCTGAACATGGCCAACATGGCTGCCGCTACATTCAGATCTGCACGGGAGAGAAGGAAAGTTGGAGTAATAATATGTAAGGGAGGGAAACCTGCTGGTATTTAAACTGGTTAGACAATATTAGAGGTGCATTTCGCTTGGATAAAACAAAACTGATGTCAGTAAGGAGTGTTTGTAAAATCAAGGGAATGTTGCTTGCATACAGTTGCATTTAACCTCAAGAAGATGTCTCATTTTTGATGCAACTCCATTCAGTTTCAATCAAATCCAAAAAGAATCATCGAGGACATTCAGTTTTATGGTCTGTTAGGTTTATTTAGGGCACCAAAACAGTTTCCTACACGTACACCAAAATGTGTACGTGTAGGAAACATAAAAAAGCATGAAGATTACGGTTTAATTTTCCTTTATCTCTGTAGCAAGTCTGTTGCAACTAGTTTAATATGAGTATACACATAGCTGTTACCTTTGCACATTGTTCGGCAAAGTTTTTCACAATTTACATCTGTCCATGCATCGCATTTCCACCACAGCTGAAAACAATCATCCCTGCAAAGGCACGATCAGACTGAATATCAGAAGAGTCTGTGTCATGTCAGTCGCTGATTTCAGATCAAAACTCTCAACTAACATAAGCACACGCAGAGTAGAGCTAAGGTAGAGATGCACCGATCCATTTTTTCTGATCCAATGCGATACGATACCTGGGCTAAATGTATCGTTCGATATCTAATACTGATCCAATACTACTGTTGAATGGATGAACTGTATACCTTGCCCTGTGAGTGAAGGCATGAGGCTTAACATTAGCCTTGTTAAAAAAAAAAGGTGACAAATTAACACAGATATAAATTTACTTAATATTATTTATTAACAAATAACAAATTGCACATTATAAGCACACAGCAAAAAGAAGTAAGACTTCCATGTAAACATTTAGTGCAGAATGATAGACAGACATAGAATATAGAGAGAACAGAATCACTGTGTTGCTGTGTATGATATTAATTAAAAGAAAAAAAAGACCGTATCGAAACTCTGGATCGGCATTATTCATCAGATATCTGATCCAGGTCTTTTGTCAGTATCGGAGCCAATATCCGATCCAAATATTGGATCGGTGCATCCATAAGCTTAGGCAGGGTTTTAGTTGTCTAGCTAAAACAGCTAAAATACGCACATCTGTCCATTAAATTATCTGTGCCCCAAATTTGCAAACGTATGCATAACCCTGCCCTGATCGCATTGAAACAGTTGCATTATAGATTAAAAAAATCATTTCCTGTGTTTCAGCCCGAATTGTCAACCCAAAATTGTTAATAGAGGCTTATTGGTTGTTTCAAGTTCCTATTAAAAATGAAAAAGCAGAATCAGAATAACAAGAGGACTCTGTGCAAAATAAGAGGAGGACAGTCCTGAACAATGACATGTTAGATGTATGAATGAAAATGAAATTTGGTTTCCTTAGGATGTTTAAAAATTATTCTTCACAAAAAAACAGGAATCCGTTTTTGTTGCATGGCTCTCTCTAATTTATGCTCACAGAATAATGAAGCAGGGTTTGTCACCACTGGGCTGTATTTGTCACACTCATGGCTGTGTTTTGTTGAATCCCTACATTGATGCCAACGGCGTGACGGTGATTTGACACCAGCTAACAAGGAGATTTTAACGTACATCTGTCGCTTCTCATTCAGTGTGCCGCTCTCTGTGATCTTAATACATTATGAAGCTGCCAGGGAAATGAGAGGTTAGGCTGCAGCTTGGAGACACTTGAACGCAGCGTGGGAGGAATAGATTTCAAAACACTCACAAAGCAGACAATGGCCAACCTGAAAGAGCGCTGCCAGGAGGTGAGGGGAGATGGAGAGGAAGAGAATTAAAGCAGGGGACAGAAGATAGACAGAGGACTGAGGGATGAAGAGAGACAGAGGAAGGGGTGAGGAGGGTGAGAGGAAGAAGTGGATAGAAAGGGAAAGGCAGAGTGGGTGGATAAGGTGAGACTGAAAGGCCAAGAGAGCAGAGAGAAGTGCGTGACTCACTCTTTTTCGTTGTCTTCTGGAACAACATTGTGTTTTCCCCTGTGGTGAAAAACTTGAAGTAGGTGCAGTTCGATTCTGCAGGAGGAAAACACGCAGGGAGAGAAACTGTAAACAGGAGGAACATACACACGGACAAATAACCTGCTGCAGCTGTGGACAGTCTTAATGAACGTCTTATTGAAATTCAAGGAGCAACATCTCTCTCCGTCCTTTACGCTTTAGCTCAGATAATTCTCCATCAGACATAATCAGCCGTGAACGTCAATGACAAGCTCAAGGTGACAATCCGATGCTTCCCCCACAATTAGTCTTCTGCAGTCCTGATAATGTGTTAGAGTGATTAGAGTTTGGCCGTAAAACAGAATGTGACACCTCTATCTTTTCCCCACACAAGCAAGCCAAACAGGCAGACACATCACTCTTAATTAGAGCGATCAAAGGCAAATCCTCACACTGTTCAAGCCGGGCTTTTCCACCGCAACAGTTATCAAGGTTAAATCTCTGATTCTGCTGAAGAGCTGCACACAGATCCCATTAACAGAAACAGGTCTTTGTAGCTGGTCAGTCAGATAATAATTGGACTTTCAACTCCCATGAATACAAAACACCCAGCAAGGAGAGCGCATCACAGGCATCCTACTTACTACAGTTATCATCCATTTGTCGTTATCGAAGTGAACTGCTCAATATATTGTGATATTGATTTTAGGCCATATCGCCCAGCCCAACTATATGCTGTAACACAAATAGATGTCCAATTAGCATATTTATGTAGATAATTGAGAAAATCAATCATGATCAAGCAGCAACCAATTGAAGTTGATGCAAAAACTGCAGTTCCTCAAATGGCCACTTGAGGCTGGCTCCAATAGTGAGTTAATTCCTATAGACACCCTTTCAGCCTAACATCACTAAGAAATATTTATGCACATTTAAGCAGCAGAAACAGCATTTTGTAAGCTTTAAAACACTGAAGTTAAACTCTTACAGGAAAACTGCAGTTCCTTAAATCTCCACTCGAGGTTGACTCCAAAAGTGACACAATCCCCATGAAGCCCCTTATAAAGATGGTCAACATCACAGCTAAACTAAACATGTTTACTGACTGCGATAACAAAAAAATAATGTACATCTGCATTATTTCTGTAGCAGACACACTGAGAAAACAACTACTACACAACGCTGTAAATGGTGACATAAGAGCAGGAGTGATTTGCAAAGGCATGCATGCAAATCCACTTTAACTCACGCTCTTCAAACAATTCTACACTTCTACTTCCTCTAGAGCTGTAATTTATAGTTCTCCTGGAGTCCTCTTGGTGTTTTTCTGCCTCTGCACTTATCTGTACCTGACAAGCAGCCAATCAGTGCAGCACCTCATTATCATTGCATCCCAGATGACCTAGATCACTGCTTGGATAATGACATTAGAAAGAGAAGGGCTGCAGATCCTCCTTAGAGGCTGGGCGTGTGATACGCCTTGCAACTGAATTCAAAACCTTCCACAAAAGACAACCAGGACATGTTGTAAACAGCTAAAATTACCATCATGTGGGACCCTAAAAGGTCTCAGGCCACACTGCAACACTCCAGCTCCATGAACCTCTCTACCAGCACTTAGCCAGAGATAATTCCTTTTTTTTTTTTTTTTTGATGAAAATCAAACAAGCATCCTGTCTGGCACTGATGATGAACACACACAGAGCTCCTGGTGGACTTTTCTCAGTCTGTCTCTCTGTTTTGCTTTCTATGTGAGTCATTCTTCAAAAAAAAAGGGAATTCATACAGGTGAGTCATGCAACAGGGGAGCAAAACTGCAAATAGCTTTAATAATCTCTTGCCACACTCCATCAAAAGCAGTCCACTTAGACAGCCAAATGTAATTTTCAACCCACAGCTGCTGCACTATATCCATTAGCTGTTTCCATTTCGCCCGTAACAAGAAACCTAAAACATATAAAAAGGGTTGAGACTACAACTGGATACTCAGAGCACTGGACTAAAGTAAAAGTTTTAGGCTCTATCTAACCGATCTAAAATGCATGTTCTTTAGCACCTGGCACAAAGTGGATCAGGGTCCATCCACTCCTTTTTGGTAGATAAGCAGCACAAAATCTGGACGCTAAGTGAAGCTTAAGGCATAGAGAGGCTGGACTAGTGATAGTTAGACTTACTTTTGTTGAGTGTGAGCTTGTTTGTGTATGTTTCTGCACATATCTGAGGGTGTGCATGATGGAGAGCTTGGTGACGGTCATGAAGCATCTGCTGGTGTACTAATGTTGCGTTCCAGTTGTACTCAGAAGTCGAAATTTGCCAGCTCCGAGTTGGAAATTCATCTGGAACACCCCCCTAAAGTCGGATTTCCAACTCGGACAGTCCGATGATCCTCACCAACCCGGACTTGACGACAACGTCATAATCCAAGATGGCAGTGCAGTGTATCAACAGTAAAGAGTAACAGAGAAAGCTCTCATAATGTTTTATTTATTAGCACTTCTGTTTTGTTCTTGTGAGATGAAGTAAGTGGTATATGTTGTGCTGCCCAACGTCTAACTGTGAACACGGTGCTTTGGTGTTTGTAAAGCCGCGTTCAGACCAAACGCGACCTGACGCGACTTGGCGACGGCTCCCAATGCAAAGTCTATGGCCAGCCGCGACCTGACGCGACTTGGCGACCGCCGGCTTCCTGCGACGCGACCATGCGCGACCGGGCGCGACGGGTCGCCAAGGCGCGTCGCCGAGGTCGCGTCGCCGAGGTCGCGTCGCCGAGGTCGCAGGACGCCAAGTCGCGTCGCTCCCAAAGTTCAAATATTTGAACTTTGGGAGCGACTCCGTGCCGCGACAGCCAATCAGGGCTCTGCTGACGTCAACAAACCGGCGAAACAAGGAAGAGGAGAAGAAGAATCACAATGGAGGAGCAGTTAATCACATCCGTTAGCTACCACCCGGTGCTATACGACGTGGGTTGCGGGCTGTACCGGGACCGCAACGCCAAAGAAGAAGCATCTCAGTTTCGGAGCGCCTGTATTTCGTGTCCAGGCGGGAGATGCTGCTTCCCACCCGGGCGAGGAGGTCCTCGAACTGCACCGTCGACACACGGAAGTACCGCTGGAAGCGGCCGTCGTCCAGGCGGAGTTCCTGGAGCAAGCGGTGAAATTCACCCAGCTCCGTCCTCCTCCGGATGGTTTCATGCACCCATAAACGCCGGCGGCGTCTACTGCGGATGTACAGATATGCGGCAGCACTGATGAACTGAAAACTGAGCTAGTGACATGGATGACGTCACCTGCGACCAGCCGCGACCTGCGACTGCAGCTTGTGAGATGAAGTAAGTGGTATATGTTGTGCTGCCCAACGTCTAACTGTGAACACGGTGCTATGGTATTTGTAAGAGTGAAATACTGTGTTATGTTTACAACTGGTATAGCTAACAACAACTAACAACAGCTGACAATGGCTTACAACAGCTAACAACGGCTAACGACAGTTGACAATTGTTAACAACAGCTAACAACGGCTAACAACAGCTGCCAACGGCTAACAGTAGGCGTCCATGTTGGTTTTCTGACTTGTTTACTGGAACGCTGTCAACTCGAGTGTAACGTCATTCCCAGCTTCGACATTCAAACTCCGAGGTAACTGGAACGCAGTATAAGATGTCTTTGTAGTGCACACTCTTAAAACCAGTAAACCACTATCCTATGGACTTCAAATTTAGGTCATTGCAGGTCTGCTTCCTCAACATTGGCACTCAACCACACCTCATTTCAAAACCAACACATCCTCCACGGGATAACGCGCAAGCTCATTTGCTTTGTGCACAACATGGTTGCTGGCCACAGAAGTGGTGAGTGTGTCAATTGGTAAAATCACAGTGATGCTTGCACTGCATGTTAAAATCCTCTGCACCATATTCATCTTTATTTTCCTCATAATAAGTTAAATTCTCAATTTTTCAAGGCGGTACATTTTGTCCTGGGCATGGCATTTGTTTTTTTGGTTATGAAAACACCAGAGTTTAAAATCTGCTTTGTGTACTGACTTTTTGGCCTCCTCTAACCAAATTACGCCTCTAATTTAATCTTAAATTTTGAATTGAAAAAATAAAAAATAAAAATTTTGCCGAATGTAAGTTAAAAATACCTAGAACCAGGAAACCAGGCACTGTTTCGCAAAAGCAGAGGACTTCAACCATACAAAAGATACAGCTTGACCCAAAAGCAGCTTTTTCACTCAGACTATGTAACAATGACTCAGGCAGTTAGTCAGCCAGAGCATTCATCCAGCCAGCCATCAAACAGCACGCCAAGCATCATTTGTCTGGCCAGGAAATCAGGTAGACCACTCATTCATGCCAACTCCCTGCTCCAAACTGAGCCATCCAACAAGCTCAAGTGCTCTATCAAACGTCCAGCCAGCCGAAAAGGCTTGTCAATCATTCTCTCTCCCTCATACAGGGCCGTCAGGCAGCATCAAGGTTAGACAGCCATCCGGCCAACCAGCCAGTAAAACATCCATGACTCACCTCCGGGTAGTTCAGCAGGTCCACAGCTCTCTCTCTCGGGGTCGATATCAGCCACCCACAAGGTCTTGGTGCAGCCCTTCCACAGGCCGTAGTGCGCTGTAAGACATGTCTGCGAGGAGCCACAAAAAAGGGAGTTTTTCTTTGAGTGTGAAATGAACAGCAATATTCTTGTCCAGTCTGTCACAAGGTTTAACTTCGGATGAGAAACTGTGATTATTTGTCCAAAGACTTGCTTGTTTTGTTCTTGTGTGTTTTGTGCTTCAAAAATCATTCCCGGACAGATTGAAACTTCCTGAGTGTGTCTGTGTGTCAGTGAAAACAGATTATGAATAAAGTCTGTCTCCTGGCTTCCTAGTATCCAGACAGTTCCAGCTCCAGTTCGAGTGTTAGAGTCCCTCAAAGTGAAAACACCACAAATATCCCAGTTTTAATTACTGTTTTAAAAAGTAGTCAAATATTTTTTCTTGTTTGCTTTGAAGCTTTTTCACATTTTGATCCACCTACTGGCAGGTAACCTGATACTGAAAGACACACATACTTGAGCTGTATGCCATCAGCTGACTTGACTTTGCTGAGTTTAAGTCTTTTCTAACGCGAAACGATTCAAGGCCAGATTAAGGACCTGATAAATAGAGGAAACGGCTTTTGATTTGGTATCAATATCAGATTTTAACTATAATCAGGAAGGCTGGAACGATATGCTTTTCTCCTGATGCGATTTTTCTATGATTTTTTGGATTTTTGAACTAAAAAATCGATTTAACAAAAAACAAAAAATTGCGATATTTGTGTGAATCAATTTTTTTCTTCCACCCGAATAATCAGCCAGGCAGGACAAGATGGGAGTAGCAACACATTCCTTCATAAACTTCTTCGACACACATAAAATATTGTGCTTTTATTTTGACATCTTTCCTGTCTTGCACTGAGGTGGCTTTTTACAGTCAATCAAAACTCTATTGCTTTTTGGATTTACAATAAATCTTTAAATGTTAGTTTTTAAATGTGCTGAATTTCCTCTCAGACGGTTGCTAAAGCTAACTAGCTAGCAGTTTCCTATTTTATTTTTTATCTTTATTTTAAGCTGCAGCAGAAAGAACCACTTCTATTTACTCACTGTGTTACTGTTTGCTTATTAGTGGCACAAAATTAATGTTTAGTTTTTCAAAAAGGCATTTATCATCCATACTGGTTTACTGCAGCAGTCCTGGTCTATACTGGAGCTCAGTAAGAGCGATATGTTTTAAACTAAGAATCTGCCATCATAATTACAATGTCTAATCAGAGAGCATATGAGAAAACATACTGTATGCCAACATTAACATGCACTACTTAAAAGTCTCAGTTTTGGATGTTTGAAAATATGGAGAGTGTTACAAAAAATCATGAAAAAAATGTTTGTTTAATGCTAATTCTAGTGTTTTACCTGGTTGTTATAGAAACTCTTAGGAGGTGAAAGCTCCACCCAAAACTCTGTCCCAACTCCGAGGACGGTCAGGACTACGCCAACGATGGCAACAAAGAATGCCAACTTGATCTGGTGATAGAACACAGTACAAAACAATTCAGAGTCTAAAGTGACTTAAAGCTCCTGTGAGGGGTTTCACCTGGTGTTGAAACGGACAGGAATTATGTCTAGTACCTCTTTGTCAGCTGAAAAAGTAAACAAGACCATAATGGACATCTTTTTGATGCCTGATATTTCCAAAACCGTAGTTCCTTACAGGCACTTTAATGTGTTTTATTTTCATTACTGAAGTGTAGGGAATCCTTTTTTGGCAGGCTTCCTTCTTGTACTTTCAGTTTAAGTCAAATCCAAGTTGGGTAATATCAAGTCACCGAGGCTTGTGCAGATCTGGTAGAAGCAATTCTACATTCACATAGAAATAAATACTGTTATTAAGCTGATAGTACATTACATTGCTATGTGCATTTCGATGTATGTAAAGATTTTGTCTGGCTGCACTTAACCTTTAACCTGCAACGTAAATACCACTGCTTAAGTACATGTCATTTCATAGTCATATCCATACTATTACAATGAAAAGCATTGTTGCAACCAAAAACAAGGCCTAAGATTGTTGGTCTTGTGCATCAGATGGAGTCCATAAAGTGTTATGTAACACACCATCTCAACTATACCACAAGAACCTGATAGTTAAGAGATGCCAAGAAAAAAGATGTGTAGTGATGGTTAGTGGACATAACAGCGCCAAAGGGTAAGAACAATCTCTGCCTTTTTGTAATGTCTTCAACGGATAACATATCGACTCTCCAAAGAGCTCTTGAGATCCGTGGGTGGGCTGTTGTGCTTCAACCTTTGTGTGGAGATGTTCAAAGTGAGAATGCTTTTTGAAAGCAAGGACCTTTTGTCTGGTCCTGACTTCTCTGAAAGGCTCTCCAGAGACTTGTTTTTAGGCAGGAATTTGGAGTGAGGGATTGAGATTTGTCGTGAAGGTCTCGTAAACAATTTGTTCAAGTGCAGTTGCATGTTGGTGAGTCATGAAAAGCAAAAGCCTGCCATCTAAGCAGGTGAGGTTTACAACTATATCACTACAGCATAAAATATCTTACTTAAAAATGTCCAAGAGCTGCACATGACCCTTTCCATTTCTTCTTTTCTCTCCTCTGAGGTTAGATCACACTTACAGCTAGTTAGTCCGGATAGTCTTCCCAGCAGTATGTTGTAGTTCTCCTTTGGGAACCCTGAGGCATTCACAGACCATTTAAGATGTATCATTTGACCATCAAGTTTTAGGTCTTCTTCCAGCTAGATGTGCCAAAGGTCAAGGTTGGGATGCAGATAAACAGGTAAGTTTAAAATATTGTCTGCATCGTTGCTTACAGAACAATAATTAAGAGTTTACCTGTGAGCCAGGGTAAGATACTTTGATCGTCCTGGCTGAAAACCCAACATAGAGGAAGCAATACTCTATTTACTATGAAGGATGCATGGCCTCTGACTTGGAGGTGCTGGCTTTCATTGGCTGCACTGGTTGCAAACTGAGTCATCACTGTGACAGATTAGTTAGACCTAGAGAGGCAATTCAGCCAAAATCAGATATGCTACTCCAAGGTCCCAAAACCGGACAATCCTCTGTACTGTAACGAGGTACAAACAACCCCCTTAAGGCCCAATACCAACCCCAAACTTTGACTCTGTACTAGGTGTATACATGATACATCTCTCACTTTGGGTAAATGGTGATACTTCATACTCCCCATACGTTCCAGGAACCACGCCAGAGTAAATATCTGGTCCACTGTTTCACCTCCTGCAGAGAACCTATATTGGTCCTCCCACATACTGGGCATGACATTTGTCTGGAGCCCCCTCCTCTTTGGCTGAATGGTATGAACTTCTGTAATTCAAGCACAATGATGTCACCTCATGTGAAAATTTTAACCACCACCCTGATCAGATGGACGGACTGCGTTTGTGGACTATATTTGCTTTCTCTAGTCTTCTGACCACTCATCGCATTTGGCATTACATGTCACATTCACCCATTTACTCCACATTCACACACACTGATGGCAGAAGCTGCTATTTAAAGTACCATCAGTGTTAACTAATTAACCAATCATTATGAGCAGTCAGCAAGGAGTGACCTGGAGCCAAGTGCCTTACCCAAGAACACTTTGGCATGTGGACTGCTGGATCTGGAATTGAACTCCTGACTCTACCACTGAGCCACAGCTGCCCAACAACTGACTGACAGTGTAGGTACCAGGCGTGTTCAAGCTGCCAGATCAGGTCAGGGCCTGGTGCCTATTGATAACATCACGCTATATGATTGGCTGGAAGTTGGTTCGGATAACGTAGAAGATTGTGGTTGGTACGGACATTACAGAAGCGGTGTTCATTGGATTCGGTTTGACCGGATTGTAGTTCTTCGGAGAAAACATGCACGAATTATACAAAGCAATCCATTGCTACTTATTAAAGGGGATTTACAGCAGCCGGACTACCACCTCTTTTAGGTTGCCAAAGGAAATGTGGAATAAAAGCAAAACTATCTATGGATAAACTGAGATCCTGCGTACATTATTTTTTCTTTGTCCTTTAGAAAAGTTAACATATACAATTAAAGCCATCTAAAAATGACAGTACAGTAAGTTGTAATTCTCTGTATTATATGGAGGGAAAACTTCGAGGTCAATTGAACGAACAAATGGTAAAAAAAAAACCACCAGGGGCTTTTAACTGAGAACCTTTGACTTAATGGAGCGCAGTGTAGTTTGCCCGAGTGGACTTGCCATGGTTTGACGTCTTCAACGGGCGCTGGGGCCTGAGCTGATCTGGCAGCCTGAACACATCTGGTACCTACAACGGGACCTGTCCCACGTCACTGCAACATTAAATATAGGCAAGACAGCGCCACTGCATCCAGAGCCATCACAGCAACATCTGGCATCAACATGACATCAGTCAACAGTTGGCAATCATGTACCAACAATATGAAAACCTGCTACCTTTCCTTCCTGTGCCTCACTCATGGCGTGTCCTGTTGATGTTGTCCTGCGGCGCTTGTTCCCTCCAAAGGTACTGCGTCCTGACATCAGGCTTGACAGGGCCACCGGACCCTGGGGTGGTGGTATAGGTACGGGTGCTCCCACAGTTCCTGTGGCCGCAGGACTCACCGTGCGGCCCTCCTCATCAGTCACCAAAAAGGTAGACCACATTTTGTGGCAGTGAAGAAAACGACTCAGACAGCCAAGAGAAATTTAGTTTGGTGTCCCAGTTGCCTCAAACTTTCTCCCAGACAGGGAGAGTAAATTTAGTGAAAAACCAGTAAAAGTGTTCTTTTCAATTTGTGCCTGTGTTATAAGGTCAAATAAATGTGTATCTGACAGTCAGGAAGAGGAAAAGCCAGGCAGAGGTAGAAAAACAAACGGAAAAAACGACAAATTGGTGTAATGAGTCCAAAAACCTCAATAGAAAAGGGAGGAAAATTTGAACCCAGAAAGTCTCTTTGGTGTTAGCAATTTCACATAAAACGTCCTTTGAAATTTTAGCAGGAAGAGTGAAAAATCAGCCTCTTCTTGTGAAAAAGCCTGAGAGGAAATGGCGGCTTTGATGACAGATGCAAAACTGCCAAACTAGTCATAATGAAAAAAAGGAAAATAACCGAAAATTAGTGGAGAAAAGTGCAGCCACTGAGAGTCTGAGGTAGAAGCCAGTGGTGAGTGAAATGATGCTTCCTAGAAAACAGACAGAAATGAAGAGAAAGAAGAAGTTGCAGTGTAAGGCATAGATATTCATTTAGAGATTTGGCAGGTGCACAAATAAGCAGATGTCATGGCACCAAATTTAACCAGGCAGGCGCAGAAATGCTGGTTAGCTGAGTGCATTTACTGTTTATGCTAGCACAATGACATGTATGGCATGCATGCAACCACCAGGTAAAATAGTTCATTTGAGGGGGGAATCGTTTGAACAGTAAAGTGACACCTGGTAGACTTTTTACTGACCCAACCAACACATCATAGTATTATTTAATTACTGTGTTTGGTTAGCTAACTAGCTTTAATCCTGCCGCTGTCGACACAGAGTTCAAGTTAAGATGTGTGTAACTGATGGAACTTGACACAAAGTTTGGGCTCGCTTACAGCGCCTGGTGTGAAGTGAAGGAGGATGAGTGACCAGCTACATAGAAAATACTGCCCTCAGTTTTAGTTTTATACTGATGTGTCCTGTCCTCTTGCAATTAAAGACCCACTCCAATGAAAATCATGTTTTTTTCTTGTTGTCTAGATGTTCATATAGCATTTTTCTGATGCTACAGGACATATATTTTCTTGAAGACTCCAAAAACAGGCAACTGGACTGTGTACACAGTCACACAGTTCAGTTGCCTGTTTTTGGAGTCTTCAAGAAAACCATGACCTGGATGAATGAGAACAGGACGTATCATGAGAAAATTTAGCGCAAAATTGCAGCTCTGAGTACTTCTGCATTCCAAATGCTGTGAATCTCTGACAGAGCCAAAAGGCAGGTTCAGACACAGTGAGATTTCCGATGTCACAACTCCAAGCTCTGCCCCCGGAGACCTGCTATGCAGGCCAAACTTGGAGAAATAGAGAGGACAATTGCGGAACAAGCTTGTGCGTTAGTGGATTGCAATGCTCGTAATAAAGCTAATTATGATATTAGCTTTCATCATGCCCCTGAAGACATTAGTGTTCGAGAGCTGAATAGCACCTAAGGTACCTGCCACTTCTACTACACCAGCAATGTTAGGCTGCAAGCTAGCATGAAGAGGAGTATGTAGAGCAGCTCCGTCTCCGTCCATGACTCAGAGGGGAATTGTTAATGAGCTTTTGGAGAAGCAGAAGAATAGTCCTTAAAAAATGACACAGGAAATGTGATTTTGGTTAAAATTTCACTGCCTTTTTTGGTAAAATGTAGCCATCTCTTCACCGAGATATCTTAACCATTTGTGCATATTGGTTTGATTTAGGTGACCTGAGATAGTCAGTGTTTCTTCACAGGACCAACAAACACTCAAACGCTTCACAGACGCTCAAACCCTGTCGACCCTTAGGTTTTGAAAATGAAGAACGAGATTCCTGAGAGAATCAGGTTTCGACTCCCATTCCTTCCATGGGTGGTGAAACTGTCGTGAGTCCAAATGACTTGGATTGTAAAGTGTTGGTTTCTTGCTAACTGTGCTGTCCACAAATAAAAAGTCAAAACTGAAGAAAACTTCTTCCTGTAACACATAAAACTGAATGTGCTGTTTGATCTTCCTCTTTCAATCTGAAGGAAAGCGATATAAAAGCACTTAACATAGTAGAAGCACAATCAATTATCTATTCTGAGATGTTATGTGACAGCAAACACACAGAAAGAAACACTCAGCAGACTGAATCGTAGTCTGCTATCTATTCTAAGACACTTTGTGGTACCTCAGAGGTTCAAAAACACTCATCATGTTCAAGCCGTAACCAATTATCTTTTTCGAGAAACTCCGTGATGGTGAAGTCACGCAGATGCACCGCAGATGAACCACAGATGAATTGAATCTTAAACCCTTTATGTCTGAAGGGTGAATGAAGCAGCTGTCCTGCTGTGTTCCAGCAGGATTGTGGTGACAACAGACATGACATGAAGCCCTCCCTCTTGTTAGCAAAAACAAAACACATCCTCCGGGGAAAACACAGAACTTTACTTTCATATCACTGTCCATCTTGTTAACAAGCTTACAAGCTGAAAAAAGGTAAAAACACAGAAACAACACAGCCCAGTGCAGATGGTGTAAATTTTCACTCATCAGTTATCCATCATAATTTTGGACTAGGGATGTAAATCAGGATTTGTGAAGCGCGTGCTCAATTAATTTTCTGTTAAGAATGATTTAACCACGTTTGGTCTCGTATATTGAGCAGCTGGGACAGTGTTTTAAGTTCAGAGTCTGTTTCAAAGCAAACCAACTGGATAAAGGAGTTGTATACAGCAGAGACACTCAGCCAGAGGCATTTTCTACAGTATGTGTCTGAACTTCAATTTTATTCTTTTATGAGAGAATTGTTTGTGTGGTACTGCTGGCTGTGAAGCAAATTGCCCCTTAGGGATCATAAAGATATCCTCAATTAATGCACCAGGTCTCCACATCTAAGTTTATTTTTTATAAGTAATTAATCATTTATTGTTATTTTAAAAAAAAAATAATAACTATGTAGACTCTGAATTTGCAGCTCAGGTCTGGATGCGTCTGTAAACTTCAACCAACTGCCAATGAAATAAAAAAAATACTTTATGAGTTTCTTGAATAAAGACATTTAAATTACTACACTTAACACTCATCTGCAATTTTGAATAGCAAGTAATTCAGGTCAAAGTTTTGGCGTGTTAATATCTGAAACTATTTTGGCTACTTTGGAAACAAATTCACCTGGAAATATTAGCTTATAAGGAGTTTTGCTAACAAAGGCTGAATTAAGACGGTTTGAAAAAACACTTACAGGATATGTTGCACACACTTCTGTATTTTTATTTAATTACGGACACAAATAATGTACAGACACATATAGCGCCTTTGCCCGCCCCTGCAGTCTTACGTTAAGACACAAGAATATGCAGCATACACCAGGTTTTTAAAATAGTTTTATATCCCGTAAATCAAGTTTTACTGACTGTTTAGTAGAAACTGCTTAAACTGGAGGAGGAAAGGTTTATTTTTTCTGTTTGAGGTGGTTGCACAATAAATGAAATTTAACAATTTGACACAGGATAATATGAAATGTTCCACTCTGAAAGTTTAAAAAGCGAATCATTAAATGATTAAATACTTTTGAATCGTTAAAGTATAATTCATGTACAGATATAACTCACATTAGAGGAAAAAGGTTGTTTAAGAACAAACAAACGCTCTGTTGTAAACTTTTGGTTTTAAGTACACATTTGAATCTGTGTAAACACCAAACAGGGGAACATGGCCACCTAGCAGTTTGCTGAAAAGCACTCAGGTGCTCACATGCATCAGATGCAGGTATCAAACCTTCACCTCTTCAGTCTAAATTAGAGAAAAAAGAGCTTTATCGCCTCTGAGCAAACACCTACACCACAATTTCAGGAATCTAAGAAATTCAACTTTTCACATGTAGTTTAAATTTAATGTTGAATAAGATATTTCCAAATGAAGTGTGTACATGTCAAGGGCAAGCAAGGAAACTTCTACCTTCAAGTCATGTGCATGCAGGGTGTTAAAATGGCAGCATGAAAATCTGTCAGTTTCAGCCAAAATCACAGCAGTATGACCACACAGCATTCACACCTTCATCGAGTTAGTAACAGCGTAACGTTAGTGCTCCAGAAATGCATCAGCGTCCCTGTCGAGGTAATAATGAACGTAAATTCTGCTGTTCTTACTCATCAAGAGTGAACTCGGCTCTCCTTATACGGCATCACATTGGACACAGTGGAAAAGTAGCATTGAAGCAAGAGGAGGAAAGTCATTACATGACTGTGAGCTGCGGCAAACAGACTTTAACAAGTTCACCCTGTGAAAGTCTCCTTCTTACTGTCTCTAAAAATAAGCCGACACAGTGTCAGCGCTGAGAAGAAAGTTCCTGTGTTGTAGCAGTGAACAAACTCGACTCCATAAACACATTTGAAGGAGCCCGTTCTGCTCTGACCCCCCCACCCTCAGAAGAGTCCACAGCCAGAAAAGATCATGCTGAAATAAGACACATTAGTTTTATTTTTTCACTCTTTAACACGTGCTGCGTGGACGCCTCATAACGCTCGCCGCCACCTCACAAATATCACAACAATGAGAGTAACAAGTTGCTGACCTTGTTTTTGTGTGTGTGCTTCTGCTTGAAGTGACGGAGGGCGAGGCGAGGAGAGGGAGTGAGCGGGCGAGGGAGAAAGAGGAGGACGCGCCTGAGGGAGGGGTATAAAGGGGTGGAGGTCGAATTAGGACTTGGTGTTATGTCCGGAGGAGGATGGGGGGTGTTTAGGAGCGTGTGCGTGGAGGTGAAAGTGAAAAAACATCATCTAAACGCCACTGAGCGTGCGTGTGCACGCTGTGTGTGTGTGTACCTGTGCACATGCTCATCTAGGGTTGCAGGAAGGCTTCAGTGTTCATGTATTTGTGAGCGTGCATGTGCATGCCATCGTATTGGTTTGCAGGATCCAGTGTATTTGTGTGTTCTGCAAGCCAAATATCTTAAATGTTAAATGTGTGTGTGTGTGTGTGTGTGTGTGTGTGTGTGTGTGTGTGTGTGTGTGTGTGTGTGTGTGTGTGTGCGTGCGCGTGTGTGTGTGTGTGTGTGTTAAAGATATTCATTCACACTGTATCTTCTGTAAGTAAATCTGTTTGTTTGTGCGAACGTGGACAGTCGCGCTGGATACATCTCTCAATTTTAAAACGTTCTTGTGTGGAAATGTGTCACACAATACACACACGCCCATAACACACACACACACACTCTCACACACACACACACAGCTTCAACTCTTTAACTCTGTGAGTGTGTGTGTGTGTTTAGTTATGCCTGCGTCCCGTCTATTTTTGCCCCCCACCTGTTAATGACATTAAAGCCGACCCAGGGGAAAGGGCTGCAGCAGGGGGCTGGTGTCAGCTCCTCCCTGGCTGTGAGGCTCATGTCTGCGGCCACGCGCTGATTGAAGAGGGAATTGTAGAGTCAACACCTCGAAAACAAGCCGCGCTGCTGGTTGGCCACTGTTTCTCTCACATGGTTAGACGGCAGACACTGGAGATCAAATCCAGCCGGACAGTGAAAACTCACTTTGCTGATAAAGGAGAAGTCCTTCCATCGTATTTTTCTAGATCAATTTTGACGTCTTTTTGAAAGTTTGTTCAATCACAAAACACAAAATGGCTTTTTTAGAGTGGATACAACATATGCCTGTGGCAGCCATCTTTTTTGTATCGTCATGCAGTTACTGGCAGCTAAAAAGTAACTATGAAGAGACAGAGAAGGAATACTTATCTATAGGGCTGGACGATATGGCCTCAAATCAATATCACAATATATTGAGCAGTTCACCTTGATAACGATAAACATATGATAACTACTAAGAATGAATCTTAAAAACTGACTTACATGTGATGTGTATTTTGGGGGAAATATGGTACCAGGAATAGTTAGTAGACAATCATAACCATTCAACTGTTTCACTGGTGTTAAAAATGCGGACTAAAAATCTGGTACAATATGGTAGAATCGCGATTCAAATCCCATCGGCTGTCAAAAAATCATAGAAGAATCAAATCAGGAGAAAAATATCTCGCCCCAGTCCTACCAAATATACCAATATGGGCAAAATGAGGTCGGTTATTGTTGTAAATTTCAGTATCGGTAAGTTTTCGGTTTATCACCCAGCCCTACTCATCCTTCTTTTGTACAAGTATCACCGCTTCTGAATCTTGGAAAATAAAAATAGTGACTACCAAAATGATGTTAGGGTGATTTTCAAACTTTTTACACTTTGTTTCCTTTATTTATATATTCTCTATGCATGAGTAGGGGTGGGATATATGTCCTAAAAATTATCACCTTTTTATCTTTTTGGCAGCACCAGTATTATACTGTGATATTTACAGTTACTTCTATTAAACATTTTAGACTCCAACAAACAGACTTTTTTCCGTCACTGTGGCTCCGCTGGTGTAAATGTCTGTCACGTGTGCACTCAAACCGAAAACATGCATGTGCAGAAGACCTAAACACATGTTAAAACTGGTGATGACAGCGTTGGAAAGTCTATGTTTGCAGCAGAACGTGACACCGGTGACAGTATTGAAACTGGAGAGAGTCCACGGTAAGGGAGCTGCACACAGATGAGTGTCTTTAAGCTGATGGGGGTTCAGTGATTTACTCAGGGGGTCCTCTCTGGCACCTCTCTACTAACCCAGTTCTTCCTCTGCATGGATACGTTTCCACCTCAGGGTAAACTAATGTGTTTTCTTTTTTGCACCAACACTGCGCCTATAATACACTCTGCACTGTCTCAAATAGAGCTGTCACAGATGTCCCGATACACGACAAGTTATGTTGATGTTACTATTGCATGTAATCGGATCAAGTCTCCCACTGATTTCTTTACAGCCTCAAATATCTATTTGAACATGGGTTGAGCTCAGATGACAGGCCGTCATGTCGTTCATGAACTGAGCTCAGTGTTTTAAGTCTGCACCGTGAAATATCCTGTTAGTGCAGCATGTCCCGAGTGATTCATTTACTGTGGGTGTGACGATTCTGACATGAGTTTTGTGATACTTGAGCTGAAATTTCAGAGCTTAACTGATGCATTACCGCTCTTGACAGTCATATCCCAAAAAACAGATGGTATCTGTTTTAATTTGAGGACCTCTCAGCAGGACTCGTAGAGACAATAGATGCAAAAAATATCCAGTAAAGATGCTGCCACTTCATGTAGCTTGAAATTGATATAATTTTATAGTGGTATTCTCTTAAACTCGTGGGATTTTCAGGGTGATTAGAGTATTCATTCATTAATTTTCCATCAATCTGATCAGATAGAGGGTCGGTGATCACAGAGAGAGAGAGAGAGAGGGAGGATACGCTGCAGTCAGATGTGCCTGGCGTTGTGATAAACAGTGTCAGTAAGCAGAGAGTCAGTCGGACAAAGATGGACAGAGATAGAAAACTAAATCGACCGGACAGGAGTGAAAGATGAAGTATAAGACAGAAACAAAAACTGAAGGACACAGTGAGGAGACCAGCTGAGACAGATACCTCAGCGCTAAAAAATATAGGAAAATACTGCTCAGCACAAGTTTAGACTCATTTCAGTGGTTTAACGTGTTGGTGTACACAAAAAAGGTTTCACTGAAGTGACAGGATACAACTGATTTAATTTTCTCAGGCATTTAATCTTTCTGCTGATTAAAAAAAGAAAACTGTTTTGCAATTTCAAGCTAAAATGATTTAAGTAATCAAAGTTAATGGTCTCAGAAATAATCTAATTCATGATCATACATTTTTAGCGGCACCTAAACTCTAGGTCCCAAATTTAACACCGTACATATACAGGAAAAATGTTCTTTGTGAAAGATGATTCTTGATGAAATGGTTTAATTCTCCATTCATGAGAGATACATCTCCTTAGAAACACGTTTTTTGCCTGTTGAGATCTGCAAATGACGTGAAATGGGCAACACGAAAAGTGCAAATTGAGCGGACTACTTCTGCGAATCAAGCAAGTAATTTGTGCAAACTAAGCAAGTAAAAACACAACATATATCCAGATATTCATGAATTAATCGAGGAGATGATTTTACTCATGCCTGGTCCGAACGCAATACTTCTTTAGATGTTCATAAGTGCTTTATCGACATTGCTTACAGCATCTGAATCTCCAGAAGCCTTTGACATGATGATTGCACGTCTGGTGCTGTGAATCTTTCTTCGGTTGCTGTGAAACACAGTGCTTGGAAACTTTCTGCAAATCTCAGTACCTCTCTTTTATGTGGCTGTCTGCCTCTGCTGTTGGTCCCATATTGTGAAGTATTGGCCGGATGACAAGTTCCATAAGAAACCAAACACATTTTTGAAGCATAGAAATCTTTATGAGTACTGCACAGTTAAACTTTTATGATTTCTACCTTCACAGAGAGCACAATACCCAAGACCTTCTTCAGTGTTGGGCTTCAGGAGTGACTGCAGGTTCTCAGCTTTGTTCAAGGAGTATTGTTCATTAAATGCTCGGGGAAAAGACGGAATTATTTATACCTTTTCTGCTCCCAGTTCACCCAGCCAATCAGTGGATATGAACCAGTGACACTCTGGTGTGCTGACTTCTAATCAGCATGATATTAGCTCTCCACAAACGTAGGAACTAGAGTAAAATATTCATGCATCTTTAAAGGCAAACTCCGATGAATATTTGCATATGTATTCTCTTGTAATGCAATGGTGAGCCATCACCATAAGATGGCACTACTTTGGCAGCGAGGCACGCAGGGAGATGAGGGTGGCGGGTCTGAAACTGTTAGAGTGAACTTGTGTGCTGCTGTGAGCTGGGATGAGATTACAGCAGCACAAAGGGCCAAGAGGATTCATTAGAATGTCCGACCTGCTGGGATGAAGCAGATGTCAGTTCAGCTTCATGTCTGCTGACTGAAAATCCACACTTCGCAATTCTTGTCACGTCCAAGCATATGCAATCTGTATCAGAGGCACGCTCGAATAGTTCAGGCCTGGGAGGAAGGTTTGCCAACATCATTTGGCCTCAGCAGGAATAAAGTCAAGTTTATTTGCTGCAAATCTTTAGACATAGTCTGCAGACCAACATATTTAAGAAAGGGAAACAAGTAAGTTTTAGCATATGAGTAATTTATTCGAAGAAGAGTATGTGATATTTTGTTAGGTCGTGATTTCGTTGCATAAAGAAAAGAAGCTCTGTGCAGGAGATTAGCGGTAGGTAGAGTGTGTAGCCTAAAGAGTTGGGGGAGGTAGAGCATACAGTCCAGACTGGAGAAGCAGGGGAACAGTTTGTAAATACCATAGGAGTTGAAAGCATGGAGGGGGCCGGTCTCAGGATGCCTGAGTGAACTGTTAAGCCTCTTTGAGGTTTCACAGGTTTGGCTTGTCAAACATAATTAATCACCGATCACTCTAGCTTTTGCAAAAATGTAACAAAAATGTAACAATGACGATAATGTAACAATGACCCAAAAAGTAACAATGACCCAAAATGTAACATTGACTAAAATGTAACATTGACCCGAAATGTAACAATGACCCAAAATGTAATAATTGGTCAATAATGTAACACGATGCTGAGCCCAAAATGTAAAAACTTTCTGCCAAAAATGTTGCACGTTGTTATAAGGTTTCATTATTATTTTTTATTACATTTCAGACTCAACACCTTTGTCACAAATATTGACCAATCATTAAATTTCGGCTTTATTACATTTTTGTTTTTATAACATTGCAGCTCACTGTTACAAATTGGGCTCTAACATGCCTACCTTTGGATATCCCCATAAGCCCAGAAGTTAGCATGAATCTCATTCGCTCCAGAAGCTAACCTTGCTAACTTACTTGTCATTCAGTTTGGTTGAAATAATTGATAAACCAACTCTTTTCATTGGTTGCATTTTTAACGTACGAATTGGACATGTTTTTTTTCATCAGTATCCTACAACATTCGGCTGCAGTCTAAAAAAATCTATGTCCAGATAGCTATGATATGCTAGCAGTTGCCTACCTGTCCAGTCTAGCCATTGTCAAGTGATTTTACTAGCATGTTTGGGTTTTACATTGGAGGTCTTCTGAGGATGACCTGGGTTTATTGAACGACTAATCTGGATGACTTTCCACCAACTGTTTCTGAAAGAAGGCTGTAACCAGACAACCAACAACAGATATCAGTATTGATTGTCTACCACTGGTTTACACTGACTGATTTGTTACCCAAAGTTATAGACCTTTCCGAATCTTACAACACAGATCTAAACATCTCTTTTTCTTAGTGCTGGTGGATTTTAAATATTAATGATGACACTGAATTACAAAAATATTGATTCTACCTCCTCCTTGGTTGGGTGAAAGCAGCAGCTGATGGAGTCGTGGGATTATAGATCGCTCTATAATGACACAAAATTGGAGAACATGTGATAGAAAACATGAAAAGGTTGAAAGAGTAGAAGAGAGAGGTTCTGAGAAAAACAACTGGAGATAATAGCAGCCTGCTGGTGGGTCTAATCAGCTCATCTTGTTCCCCTGATGTGTCTCTTTCAAACTGTGACTCACATTGTACAGATGTAGGAAGATGCGTATTTGTTACCTCTGTGACCTTGTTATTCTTACTCCCTCTATCAGCAGCTCTTCTCTGTCTTTAGTTGTTATTGTATGAAAGACAATTAGATATAATTATCTTTGTGCGTCAGTGATGTGCTGCAGGTCAGGGTCTAAATGATAATGTGAATACGTACAGTATACGTGATATGGTTATTAGTGCAGGAAACATCTCAGACAAAAGGCGCATTATTCACTGGGATTTCTCTGCACAATAAAAGCCTTTTATAACTCTGATTCATAATCAAAGTACATTTGACATACAAAGAACAAAAAGCCCAATTATCCTAAAACCACCGGTGCAAAACCTGTTTGGTTTAAGGGCAGGATGTCAAAGTCTAAACTAATCTTTTAAGGGAAAGACTCTTCTCCTCTTTCACACAAAAATGAGTCATTACTGGCACACGCTAAAAGGTTCTTTAAATCTTAAAGTTTAAAAATGTTAGAGACCTCATGTAGGATAAATAATAACAGATTTATCAGCTGCTTTTTTCTAATAGTGAGTGAAGTTCAGCGGTACAACCAACACAGCACAGCCGACACTCTCAAAATGGGAAAATCTTGTAAAAACCCTCACAGTCTGACGTAACTTTAGAGTAAACAAACACGGCGGATGATGGGATGGTTGTCATTCTAAATGCTGCAAGCTGCTTAGCTATGCACTACCGTCGCAATTTCCGTCCAACTTCTGAGTTTGATTGACACAAAACAATAAGTCGGTCCTCCATTTTTGGTTCATTATTTAACAATTATTTTACAACTTCAAATCCAGGTGGTCCTGACCAGGGTTGTCCCCGTACGATATTGATATCGGATATTGGTCCGATATTGGATTATATCAGCCTGCATCTAAAATCTCTGACATCAGCACTCCAATATAAGCAGTCCATTCCAGACTCCGCTCCGCAGCACCCAGATCTAGCATGCAGAGCCCACGTGATCACAACAACAGTGTGTACTAAGGTACGAACAAAGTACCAAGGAGTAGGAGTGATGTAAAACTTGTCATGCACAAGTTTGTGCCAATATCAGATCAATATCGGTATCGGCCAATACTGAAGGCTACAATATCAGTATTGTATCGCAGGTAAAAAAAAAAAAAAGTGGTATCAGGACACCCCGAGTCCTGACCATCTTTCAAGCAGATCAGGAAGAAGAAGAAAGAAATGAGGGTTCCTCTAAATTTGGCATAGATGTGGGGAATTTCATGGGAAAGGCAGAGTTTGAGTTTGTTTTGAGGATATCATCACTGATCAGGGACTAAACTAAGGGTGTCATTTAAAATCTGCATCAGACGGATGACAAGTCCCTGACACAAACAGAAGTGTTTGAGTGGATTCAAGCTGAATTATTTGACCACAGAAACTTAAAATTTCCTCTGAACTAGGCTGGGTTTAAAGCTGAACAACAACTTGTAACTGCAGTTCCATATGCCGACTGTCATTAGTGCTTTTGAATAGAAACAAAAGCTCTCTACTAAAGGCTCGATTCAGACAAGTTTGTTTCTAAACTCACCCCTTCACTCACGTCTCTCTCTTCCTTAACAAAAGGTTGAACTTTTAGGGGTTGTGTAAGAGCATTTACTGCAGCTCCTGAGCTGTCAGTCAAACATTAAATCAGATGATAAAAGTTTTCTAATCCAGCAGAACGAGCAGAAAATATTCAAATTTATTCATGGTTTCTTCCCTGTGTGGTTGTGTTTAAAATGCGCTTATCTCGCTTTGAAAACTATTATGTATCCGTCAGTCCTGCACTGACTGAAATGCTTTTACCACATGAAGAGCTTTGTTTCAGTCTGGCATGAATGCATTTGGGAATAGAATAATTTCCTGACATCCATCATTCAACAGCACTCGAAAAAACATAATAATACTGAGCTGTTTTGTAAAAATAGCATGATTTTGACAAGCAGGGGACTCAGCTGTCTGAGTCAAAACTAGTGGAGTTATTAGTGTTGGATTCCCTGCGTGGACGACCCATCACCCACTGGAGTAGTCGCAAATGTGTGTGAATGCAACCATATAATAACTCACAGTGTGTGCGTATTTAAACCCAAACCATGGCCAAGCATTTACTCCAGACACATTATAAACACAAAACTTAAAATCAATAAAGTTGTATGTTCTTGTTCAAGGTGTCTATGATCCATCTTACTATGTGCAAGAGCAAGGGTTTGGATTCACAGATTCTCAGATAAACAAGATGGGAATTCTGACCCAGAACCTTTGACTCCAAATGATCTGAGTCAAACCAACCCTGTGAACCTCAACAACTCTTCATAGCATCATTCAGGTATAAGAGCCGGCTTTTAGGGATGAGTTGTTTGGAAAAAAAAAAAAACACATCACAAGGCTAACCAATGTAGCTCAGATGTCTATTGCCATGGTGCTGCTTTCCAAAGTGAAATTACTTAGTTCAAGAAAACTGTCTTTAACTCAAGTTCAGAGTTCCCGTTATCATTTTAAATGTAAATGTTCATGTTACAAGTCATGAGTTAAAGACAGTAACCCCAGTTATCAATTGATGTAAAAGTGGATGGGTGTAGGTTACTGCTTGACTACTCTCTTAAAATTTTTAAAACGTCTTTTCCGTGTGTTTCAAGAAGTCACAGTGATGTTATGTGTTTTGACAACGCAGAAATCTTTTAAAATGGCCATACATTAAAATAAAAGGTACTGATTGGCAGTCATGAACTTGACCTGCATAAACTATTACTGACCCAGGGGCTACTAAGCCAAGGTGGAGTAAGACATTTTCTTTTAACCCCCATCAAAATATCATAAACGAGAACATTGTTCTGAAAGTCATCACCAATCGACCAAGTTTGTCATTTAGTCTCGGTGTCACCTTTCTGAACAAAACAACAAAAAAGTAAAGTCATATACTTGAGGTGAAACCCACTGAACAACCTGCTAGGAGCCCTTCACCCTTTAAGAAGGTTGTCTAAGGACGCCGCAAAATTCCCCTATTCCTGTAAGTGCATTATCACCTCTAAGAGGCTTTGAAGACCCCGACTTAAAAGGTTTGAAGTACTTGGAAGCTGCTAAGATGGTACGTGTCGTGAGTTTGTTGGGAGTTTAGGTGAGTGAATTAAGGGTCTGAGACACTTAAAGAGATTATTTAAGCCTCCAAAAACCTTTATGAAGTGTCCTTCCTGGAGGGAGCCCAGCAACAAGTATTTAAAAGTGCAATGAAAAGCACAGTTGAAAAGCTGTGGGCATTTTCTTCTACTTTAATACTAAATCAATTGCATACATTATTCAAACTATCAGGCACTTTGCTCTGCTTGTACAACTTAAGAACCAGCCAAGAGATGAAGAAGTGAGTGAAAAGCATGCTGTAAACACAACACAGCTCATCTGTTTACGCTTCATACAGGTGTAAAGCACTGCATCATCTGCATAAAGAGAAACTTTAACAATGCTGATCTAATTTTGTGACAATAAAACATGAAAACATAAACATTGCTGGTCCTTGGATATATCCCTGGGTTACCCCTTTTCTAAGTGAAGTTAGCTGTACCCCAACTGTGGAAACAGGTACAAAACAAACAGAGTTCATGTGAGCTAAGTGCATTAGCGTATGGTACTTTTTACATCAGACACCAATGCCTAAAGATTGAAAATACTGTGGTTGAGCTAAGTATGTCTGCACATTTTGCAGCACAAGATGGAAATGACGCAAAAACTATAAATGTCCCATTAATGACAGAGTCCAGCTTTAGCTTTTGTGTGTTTCTGCTCAGTTTTTATACTGTGGGATCTGAAAGTTAAAAATGTCAAAGATGTAATCAATTTGAAATAAGTAAAATTCAGTTTCAGTAATTATTCAGCTTCAACTCAGAAACCTGGCAGTTGTCAGGAGAGTCAAATATGGGCCAAAAATCTGGTAAATTATCTCTGAGTTTAGAGCTAGCTTGAGAAAAAATCAGACAATAATAATAGAGTGCAAGTCCAGTTTAAGCATTGGTTATTGAGTTGTTAAGTGTCAGTCTCTTTTGAAACTGTGACTTTATTTCACTCTTAAAAAACATGTATTCCAACCATGCAGAGCCGTTTAAACTGCTGGTTAACATAGTTATTCTAACATAATCTTTCTCTAAACTTGTCTACATATACAGCAGGTCATATAGTTGTCTATATTATTCAACATAAACGTACTGTAAGGCGTATTTTGGTGAAAATTATTAGGTAAACCAACAGCTTGGTCTTTTTTTAACCACCATCTGGCATATTTTTAGCGTTTTTCTAAATTTAGATCAAAACAATCAGATTGTTGCAGGATAATCTCATGTATATGTTGGAGTAACAAGTGAAAAGGCACCTGACAGGCAAGCTAGTATTACCATAACTAATTATAACAGAGTTCAAAGAAAGGGGAAGGACCTGGAATTAGCCCCGGGGGTCAGGAGGTCAGCCTCTAACGAGCTTATACAACAAGCTTAGGCTGAGGAAAGACCCAGACCTCTGTGTAAGCTGTGAAGTTTACTGTTCAGCACTGTCTCAGCTCAACATGACTAAGGAAGTCTACTATGATCAAAACACAGCAGGTTGAAAGCTGAGGTATACAGATCACTATCATTTTAGGTCATTACTACTTCCATAACTTTGAAACACTTGGACTAGCCTAAAGATATCACCAAGTTTGAACGCTTAAGCGCTATATGAGAAACAGCAAAGGGAAATACAACACATCCTCCATAAATCTTATTTTCTAAAGTCCAGTAGCAAATATATGTTTCCCACTGAGAGCTGAGAACCAAAAAGTAATAAAAGCGTAGGTGATTATTGGAATTTGTTTCATTCAGTTTTAGAAGCTATGTGCTGCTGATTCGCAATCTTTCGGGTAAAGAAATGCAGTTCCTCGACAGGCCACTTGAGGCATAAAGACAGAAAAGTCGACAACCCTTTTACATAAACCTACCTTTAAGGTTACTTCGGAGTGTACAGTTTTGTCTAATTTGGGGGGTTCTGCTGGTATGATATAGGGCTGGGCGATAAACCGAAAATTTACCGATACCGAAATTTATGACAATTGCCAACGCCATTTTGCCCATATTGGAATTTTTGGTGTCAAATAAAGAAATAAATAAAAGTTGTTTTTGGATGTGTGTAGATAGGCTATGGTCTCATGTCCCTATAAGGTGCTGTCCTAAATCAGAGACGTGACTCCATCCAGTCCGTAACAAAGAGGGAAAGACAGGTGAGGAGATGGAGGAGGGTTCAAAAGTTGTAGCTGCTGAAGAAGACAAAGTTAATGTGGGAGGGGGTGAGCAGCAGGTGGAGTAGTTATCGTCCATTTATTGTTATCGAGGTGAACTGCTCAATATATCATGATATTGATTTGAGGCCATATCGCCCAGCCCTAGACTGTGACCATATTTTGATTACTGAAAACCAGGACAAAAACTAGGACTCAGCCCGGCGATGGGGTTCTTCATAACTTTAGCTTTCCTCTTCATCCTAGGGCCCATTAAATTAATGCTTATGTACGGCATGTTAGCACTAATTTAAAGGGATGTCCACACATTACATCTTTCTGGTTCTGTTGTTGGCTTTTCCAAACAGCTAACAACCCTAATATCTCCCTAAACATGTTATGTCAACAGCCACACTTACTGGTAAATGGTGCCGTTTTTCACAGTGCTTCCAGTAGTCCCAACTGTGTTCAATATTTGATATTAAATGTAGCACTCAGGTGTTTCTAAACACAAGCACAGTGCAATGTCAGGTGTTAGGGAGAGTGTCTGAAAATCAAAGCTCGAACAATGGTTATCCCAGAGACAAACAGGGAGAAATCTATGAGAGAAGTGAGCACAGAAAAGCTTTTCTACGCCCACATGCAGTTGCAGAAAATAGACCTAAGTGCAGTGCAGACCCAAGATCTGTTTTGAGTAGTTCTCACTTTTTTTTTTTTGTGGTGTAAAAACTCACCTAACTTTCGCACTATGTGTTCTTACTATCACTACCACTCTCCACCTACAGTAAAAAACCAGCATGTGAAAGCAAAACATTTAAGGACAGCTCTGTCTGCAGATGGACACAGGCTGGTTATAGAGTGGTGAGTTTACACTCTGACTGGACAATATTATCATGATGGTTTCTCAACCATGTTGCTGTCTGAACTTGTCTTCTTAAACAAGGCTTGATGATGGATGTTTTTCAAGGACACCAAAGTTATAATGTTTAGAGGCACATCAAAAACTGAAGGAGTTTTTGAAAAGAACTCATGACTTGGCATAACGGTTCAGTCATTTAAACACTTAAAGTTAACTTAGTTTCCAATCATTTTCAACTTTCATGCCTCCAAACTGCATGTTGGTTTCAGGAAATGAAGAAAAATCACAGAATTACCGAGAGCTTTTTGGCTTCAAATCCATCTACTGACGGAAGGTGGAACCAAGTTGTCCATTGTACATTCAGTCTATGGTTTGGACCAAGTTTAGACCAAATCTAAATCTGGGCTATATCTATACTACACTGTATATTGCTCAACAGCCATCATAATTATTTTGGTTAAGTACTTGGAGATCAGTTATGCAACTCACAGTTGCTTTTTTAAATAAATAGTTATCAAATAATGGGTTAAAGTGCAACGTCTAAATTCTGTCTAAGAATATACAGAATCTCTAGGGTTGAAATTGGGTAAAAAAAAAACTAGATGTCTAATCGCCGTCTATTAATCAGTGGGAAATTCTGTCTCCTTCCCAAAAAGACATAAACAGATGAATTGCACCATTTTCACCGGTCGTCCTTTAATAAACAGTCTTAACACCAATGAATGAACATTCAGGAGCACCACAGATTTCTCTACATAAGGGTGATATAGAGATAAAGAAATAATTCGTCCCTGCTCAATGATAACATATGACCTATTTTGTTTTGTCATGCAGGTCTGTCTACCTGCCATTCAGTTCCTGTCAGAACCTTCCGCTCTGACGCAGGGCAGGTGCGGCTCCTGGTGACAAACAGGTGGGCGTGTCTAACAGTCATGGGGGCCGGACCATCGATCCCGGCTGAACTTAATCTGCAATTAAAAGGACTTCAGCCGCCAAAGTGATTGGAGTGGATTCAAATACAGTTTGACCCATTTCCGGTCCTTCACAGCATGTGATCACAGGTAAATCCACTGAGGAGTGTTTACAGTTTGGGAAAAAACGACTGTTAAAGAAAAAAAAAAGGATAAAAACAAACAGTTAAATTAGTAATGTGCAGTAGGTGATCGATGTTGATAAGCTAGGGGCAATGCAAAAGAAACCAACAAAAGTCGATTTAGAAAATAATCTTTTTGGTTCCTTTTAGATTTCATTATTTTGTCTTTTTTTTTGCTTCTGTTTGCTTTTTCAACCCACTCACAAACCAAATCCAAGAACCAGAAACTACCGCATCACCGCTCTGCATCAAACTTTTTGTTGAGCAAATTAACATTTCTTCAATAAATCCAAAAGTGACTTTGAAAAGTAAAAAAATCTAAATGCAAAGTGATAACACAAAGACTGGTCGTCAGTTCGTCTCTCTGAACATGCAGAGGAGCGATGAATGCATGAAAGAGATTTAGAGGGACGCAGAGACAGAGGGTTAAAATTATCCCCCTAAAGCCAATCCTCCTCAAGCTGATCAGTGTGCTCAATGGACTAGCCAGCTCGGAGACTCCAAAGTTGCAGGCAGGTAAGAAAACTTTTCTGTCTTTTTATTAAAAACATTTAGAGAACTTTTGTCAATTTTAAGTCTTAGCAGAGAATCAACGTTTTATTCAGTTACTCGATTGAGAAACTTTTAGATCGTTGAGTTTAAGCTGAGCTGCTCAGGTAGGTTACAGTGACACAGATGATGTGAATCAAGTCCAGCAGACAGAGCATCGTACTTTTTGATATCATTTTGAGGTTTAGTGGCAAAGAAATCTCCTTTTTTCCCACTTTATTATGTTGAAAAAGAAATTTACTCTTTTAGTTGCATAACACACGAGCAAGGATTCATCTAAGGGGGCCAAATAGGAAATAAACTACAAGATTTACTCCTTTATGTGCTGTTTTTATAATGCAGATAGAAACTGTGAGGTAATGTTTTTCTCATATCTGCTATTATTCTGCTCTGAGAACAAAGTCTATTCTTTAAAATCTGCTTTTTTTTCCTGTTAAACCTCTGACCTTTAAGAGAACAGACTCGGGCGTTTCACAAAATGAATTTAGAAAATTGAGTTTTGCTTCTTTCTCCGTTGAATTCTATTTCAGTGTTTCTCGTTACAAAAGCCGCCGCAGGGTTAAGTAAAGACTTCCTGAAACCTCCATGCTGAGCTGTTATGTGAAGCTGCACTGATATTAGAAATCTTGAATAACAGACCACGTGTGCTCACATGTTCCCCATCCTTTACTTGTTTTCATGTTTTTAAAGAACTTGAAAATCTCGGATAACTTTGGGTTGGCATTAAACGGAGCATATATACTCTCTGTTATGAGCTTGAATAAACCCATGGTACTCTGTATCTAAAGAGCACACAGTAGATCAGCTAAAACTTAGATTTTATTCATATTCAGTCAAAGCATTGTCTTGTCGCCCCGACCCCGACGACCCGTGCACCCGCCCCGTCTCTCCATGTGCCACCCTTTAACCTTGTTTAAAAATTAGAGCAGTTTTGATGGGCTTTACATCACGTGCAGCTAAGATGTTGATGTGTTTGACATGTCGACAATCCCCTTATGAGTTTGAACTGTTTGAACCGAACATTAAGAGCAAAAATACATCCTGAATCTTGTTGAATTTCAATATGCAAAGATCGGCAGATATGACATTCCTGATGAGCTCGATCTTTTATTTATAGTCGACATCGTCTGTGAGTTTCAGGAGGGAATTCTTGTTTCTCAAAGCATCAAAGTTAGATCAGATGGAGGAAGTTTGCTGCTGCTGCTGTTGTTGTTGTCGTCGTCGTCTTTACATCCTTTTCCTTTTCCCGTCTTGTGCATCCTGCTGAGCGCTGGCTTGGCCTGGTAGTTGGTGCACTGATGAGCTAAAGGCCACGTGCAGCAAAAGGACCTTGGTTTGACTCCTCTCTTATTAGTTGCAGTGTCGCCAAAGAGAAGCTTAAAAAGAGCCGAGGAAAAATGCGAGGAGATCCATCAGCACTCAGATGAGGAATCTGTATCTAGACAAGCGTAACTCAAGGTTTTAGAAAAGCTTGGACAGGAGGGAACTGGAAACTGGACCAAATAGTGAATTTGATCAACTCAAATTTCAAGACAGGAAGGAGATCTGATCCCTAAAAGTGTTGTACTTTCATCTGTTATTCTGTCACTCTGGTTCAGTGGGTGGACTTCTGTCACATTTAGCAAATTACATCTGTACTTAATTGTGGAGCGCCCTCTCTAAACAAAAGAGTGCTTCACGTACAAAACAAAATACAAAGGCAAAGGATGGAGTCAAGCCAACTTCACATGAAGTGCTTGTTAAACTTTAGTGACAGCGCTCTGCACAAAGGATGCAGTGCAAAGATAATTAACAACAGACTCTCATTGTCGGCCAAAATCTAAACTCCATCTGAAAATCTGTCTCGTTCACCGAGCTCTTGTTGGTTTTTGACTTTTGACACGTCTGTATTGCGGGTATAAGATCATATCTGTTCAGGATCTCGCTCTCTCTCTCTGTTGGTGAGAAACCGGAGCTCGCAGCTCTGCCTCATGAGCTCTCGCGCTAAGCCGGTGCATTGTCACATTGGTTTGTTGATGTTTTGACTTTCTCCTCTTGAGCCCTGAGAGCTCGCCGTGGAATCACAAGCATGTCCAGCTGGACCGGCGATGGTGACCCTCGACGGGAAGGTCTCTAATCAAAGCTGTCTCCGTGTCAACTGGAGCGTTGTTTTAACCTTAGGGTGAGGCAGAGGCTTAACCTTTGACCTGTCCGAACAAGCAGTGTGAGCTGGCAGCGATTCACAAAGGTTCAAGTTTACAAAAATCCCCCCCTCGACTCTGAGACGGAGACTATAAATCTTAAAGATCGTCCATGTCTGCTCAGCTTCCACAGACATAAATCACACAAGCCTCTGCTGACAAATCAACTATCTCAACACTTCTGAGTGATTTTTATCCTTTTTATTGAGGAAATGTATTTAACTGTTGTCTCTTTATTGCTGCAGAGTGGTACTAGAAAGAAGATCTGTGTTTTTTTAGTTTCTCTGGTACTTGCTACTCTTCTAAGATTAAATCTATTTTTGTGAAGGCGCTGGGTTTTGCATGTGTCGTTAGCTAACTGAGCCTCACCTTCTTTAATCAGCACCAGAATTACAGACAGGTTAAACAATTAATCAATATCTTGAATATAGTGGGTAAAGGTCTTTTTAAGAATAATGAAATATTGATAACATGTCTAAAATGATAGGGGCGGTAGTGGCTCTATATTCTGGTTGCTACTCACTCTTAAACGGAGGAAAGACAGATCCAAATCAATGTACATTTCTACAATTTACCAAGCTGCTGTAGTAAATCATATCTGAGGGAATGATGGTTTAAAATAAGGTTTTTAGATGACATAAAAAGGGACAGGTGTTTGCAGACAATGTGCAATAAAAAGTCACAAACAACCAAATATAATGAGAAAAAAACTGATGACATGTAGGAAAGTTAAAAGTATTTATTAGTAAAGTTAGACAAGTCTCTCCTGTATTTTAATGATAGTTTTAATTTAATATTGTGATAAGTACTTAGAGTAGATTTACAGTTTATATAAAGTGTGTTTTTTTTAACTAGCATGTGAATCGTTATATAGTGAGTTAATGCGTAATCAGCACAGGCATAAGGATGTTAACATGCGAGAAGGATCACATGCAGGTGGCACCAGTGTTATCTAACCTTGACATAATTTGTCTTTATTTACCCACAGACTCTATAAACCATGTTTCAACTCTAAGTTAGACTGTTTTCTGAGTGTTTCTTTAGTTGAAATTTAAATTACTATCTAAATGACTGAGAGATTAGCTGCTTTCGGTACGTCTTTGCAGATTACTTTATTAATAACTTGAATCATATCAGTGAGTAAAAACTTTGTGAATTGTGTTCTTTTTAATAATCCTGAAGTAAAATTTTCTACATCATGCTCTTAATCTTCATCATCTCTGATTGTGAAGACTGTCAGGGTGAAATTTTCTACTGTGAAGTGATGCACTTCAGTTTTTGTTGATGATCAGTTATACTCAACTTAGAAATGACCATGTGCAAAAAGGAAATACTATGAATGCATCTAAATAAATATATCAAGTTAGAAAGTATGTTGATATTTATAGTCTAGGAAGTCGCAGATGAACGAATAGATGGTTTGATGGATGGATTGGGAGAATAGTGGATAAATTAGATGTGGGGCTGAACGATTCCTCGAATACCTCGATTACAAAAAAAGGATCGAGGAATTTTCAAGAACCTGAGTACTCGTTTTTAAGCTCAAATCGTCACTGTTTTGCACAGATTATTTTCAAGGTAGCACAATGCGCTGGCGTCATCACGGTAGGAGGAGTAAGCGTGGTTTGGGTTTTGCAGAGTGGAAAAAATGAATAATGAGAGGAGCTTTTCTTCTGCAGAGCTCCAGTAGCTCATTAGCAATTTGCCTTTGAGTCGTGGGCGGAGACAGCGCTGCTCTACACACTCCTCTTCATGCTACCTTGCAGTAGCAGAAGCAGGTAATATAGGAGCTATTTAGCTCTCGGACACTAATGTCTTTAGGGACACGATGAAAGCTAATATCATAATTAGCTTTCTTACGAGCATCGCAATCCACTAACGCACACGCTTGTTCCGTGATTGTCCTCCTTTTTTTCGAAGTCTGGCCTGCATAGCGGGGCTCAGGGGTTGTAGCTTGGATTTCTGACATAGGAAATCTTACTTCATGTGAGTCTGCTGTTTTGGTCCGATAACTCGAGTAATTAAATCGATGGAATATTCGGTAGAATACTAAAATGTATTCGATAGCTGCAGCCCTAATTAGATGACAGTATTGGAGGTTTGTGGATTAGTAGGTAGCTGGATGGATGCATAGATGCTCTTTAAGTGACGGTACTTTGGACCACTGGATCCAGTAAAGTGAAACAAAGGACTACACTCCTGTTTAAACCCTAGAGGACCAAATAACCAACAAAAATGTGCAAAAATAAAAAAGCACAAGGTGAAGTGAAGCCCCTCAGTGGATGTGGTACTTAGTAAATCCACAGTGGAGGGCTGTTGACCTGGCAGCTCTAAACTGTAATTACACAAGCAGTGTGATTGTGAGGTGGGTGAGTTCAAAAAGGGAATCAGTCGCTCTTTTTTAAGCTCTTTTCAACTGATATGGAGCCTGTTTTGCATATTCAAAAGTGTGGGTAGATCTGGGCTTTCTGTGCACAGCAGCACTGTTGTGTCAAATAAAAACTTGTAGTTGTGATTTCAATCAAAGAATAAGTTTGACAGGTTTTTTACTCTTTGTTTTATTGAAATATAATAATTACACCTTCTTAAAACTGAAATATCTGTAACCCAGGTTGAATTTCATCTCTGTCTAAATTTGATTGAATGCAGAGAGATGAGAGATAATTATAGATGGCAGGATTAGTCACTTTTGAATAATAGTGTCACTTTGATGAGAAATTCTACTTTCAAATTCGAATAAAAACAAGCGAGAAGGCGATTTGATTTTAGGTGACTAACAGAAAATTCATGATTCAAGTCAACACTAACTACAAGAGTCTGAACAACTAATTTAAGGTTTGGTAAAACTAATCTCTCACGATTAAATGAGCTTAAAATAAATATAACTGACAAATAGTCTGGAAATAATCGAGAAGTCACCAAGAGTTAAAAAAGAAAACTAACTCTGGATGTAAGATCTTGCATGTTTTATCTACTTGTCATAGTGTATTGTGTATAAATAAGTATTTTTTCTATGTTTTTGAACATCTGACTTAGGACAACACATTAAAATTAGCATATAAGCTAACTCCGGCATATTTACATTGATGCTTTTGCTGACATGTCAATTTATGTGCATTGTTCTAATCAAATAAATGAATAATAATTGAAAAAAAAGTTTTTACATCAAAAAAGTTCATATATAGTTTGCCTCACAGACATTTCTCATATCAAAAATCATCAATCACATCTTCTACACAACTACATGTTTGTTTAGGGAGGAACCTTTTCGGGTCCAAACCATAAAACCCTGCCCAACCCAAGATTACAACAAAGTGTTAAAAACAGAAACCTTTAAATGTCTACATCTTTCTATCCATCAATACAAAGGTAAAAAAAAACAGGGTTTCTACGCAAGTATAAAAATAAATATTCCAGCTCTTAAAAAGTATGGAAAATGAAATATAAAGGATGGTAAAATATTGATGTTTCCAGACTATTACCACAGTTCCAAAATACTGTTTTCTGAAATAGAAGTGTAAGTTTTTCCAAAAATAATTCTAAAAAGTAGGGTATGGAAAAGTATGAAAATTCCAACTGTGTAGGAACCCTGGAGTAAGTCTTCAAAACTTAAAAATCTCTCAACAAAAACTTTTAATAACAAAGTCAGAATTAAAGCGTCCTTGATAATACTCTAAATAAAGTCGTGCACTCAGGGCCCATGTGTGACGCCACGTGCTTCGGTAAAGTATCATGACTTAAATCTCCGCTAATGTTGCTTTAAGTATCAGACAGCGGGGCTCACTGACGGATTTAAGTCCTCATGTGTTGGCATCAGGCACACCTCTGAAAACCTTATTAAACCCAACTCAGGATGCAAGTTAAACTTAAAGAAATGACGCATTTGGCATGATTTGACACCAGGATGTGATTCCTAATAGTTAGTCGTGATGATCTCTTGTTTTGTTCCACATCAGCAAAATATACCCCATGTATACCCCATGTTAGAGAAGAAGGAAAAGGACTGATCAGTATGTTTTTGCAGCCCCTGGTAGGGTTAAAATCAGCACAAGCCAACATATAAAAGTTATCTTACCTAAAAGTCTTAAAAACTCAATGTTGCTGCAGCTGAAACATCTACTCTTGAATTTCCTGCAGGAATCCTGTCCGTCCGCAGCCTCCACAGCTAAACTCGACTCTGAGCCGTTTTTGTCTCCCATGAATGAAATCATATAAAATGGTATGTAATCATACGCATTACCGTGAGGTAAATGGCTCCCACTTTGTCAGATTTGACAAAAGCCTCAGCTCTAAAATGGTCTCTTTCGAAAGCAGAGAGCCAGATTGTCGCTTTTTATCAGGCGAGACGGTGAGTTTCTTTTCTAACTGTGATGCATCGAACTTTCCCATTATAGCACTCAGATGCATTTCTCTTTGTATAAAAGACGAAGAAAGAGAAATATTCAAAAAAGACATACTTTCAGAAATGGTTTCAGAAGAGTCTTGCTTTTAAACTACATGGTTCATATCATGTTTTTGACATTTAAATTGGACTTTTAATGTAAATATTTATGCCTAATGATTGGGTGGATTATGGAAACATAGAGTATTGTTATCGCTTGTGAGGAAGTCTAACAGTATCGAATGGAAAATAAGTCGTTGGTGAACATTTGTACATTATAAGTTGGAGGACGCATCTTATAAGCTCAAAATATTACCTTTATAACGATAGATACATAACACAACCTTACATAATTATTATTATATGTCAGGTTGTGAATTAGTACTTTCTAGCTGACTCCAGAGATCACCCCGAACATTATCATCCATGACGAAATCATGAGGACACAATTCATAATGCTAATGAAGGCTGTGTATACTGTTGAAATTTTAATGTTTATTGAACTGAATATATTTCCCCTGTAACTGTTTAAATTTTAGTCAATAACTCTGTTTTTAGAGACTCAACAAGTGATGAATTGTAGTAAAACTTGAAATCCAGAAAAATTAAAACAAAAAAAATTAAATTTGGAAATAAAAAAAACTTCATCTGGAGCAAATGAAAGTGGATTTCTCAGGCCGCATATCTTGATAAAGATGCTGAGTAACTTAGCATAATGTAACAAGCATATGCAACATACTTAACAAAGTCCACAGTCTGTTTTTGTAAATCTAACCGAGATGTTTTGAGGGGAAGTTGATCACATGAGTTAGGGGGACTGAATATTCATAAAATTCAACATTTCAGTTGCTGAATCAATCCTGATGTACTTCTTCTAAACCTTGTGACTCATATTTGGATGCTTTTTGCCATACAGGGCTCTTTTTTCCTTTAATGAGGAACTCGTACTCGTAGGGATGATTGTCAACACGAGAGTTAGCCTGTAACGTAAGCGTGACAGCTCTGACGCCTCCTCCCTCATCAACCCTAAAAGTGTCTCTTGGCTGTTTTGCGGCATGCCGAGTCACATTTAGACAGACATGACTAGATTTCCCCGCCCAGGTTAGCACCCAGTCATAGCACCTGACAAGGTAGGAGGGAGGGCTGACTCGTGTGAAGTGTTGCGTAAGACTGGGAGGTCAGATCGGGGCACTTCCTGGTAAAAAAAAAAAAATGGAAGGAGGAGCGTGTCTTAGCTGCGAGAGGACAGAGGGTGGGATGAACATCCACTGAGCCTGGATAAGTGACCTGGGCAAGGGGCTTGGATTGGCTTGAGAAGCTAAACATGCATGCACATGTACAGACAGCGTATCCTGCATATGAGCTTAAACAGACTAACTCGCACGAACACAGGCTGAGATGTGGACAGAGGTTTTTTTGTTGAGTTTATTGAAGCTTTTGCAGCTTTTTTAGTACGTCGAGTTAGGAATCTGGTGTACGTTAAAAACAATAAACAAGAAGTGTAGAGACAGTAAAACAAACATTTCAACTTCCACGAATTCAAATGAATGTTTAAAAAGTGTTTTATCTATGAAAATATGTGAATTGTGTGAATATTTCTGTGTACTGACGTTTCATGCACATGTTCCCCACCTGCAGAGATACATGTGACAACAATGGGTGCAGAGCCGAGAGCCGAGTTCCTCTGGCAGAGCTGGTACCCTGCAGCCAATCCCTCATTAAATAGCATTACATCCAATCAATCCTATTAGTCTGTCACCCTTTAGTGGAGGACAAGAGACAGGGAGATGTTTTCTACTTGATCAATAAAAGAAGAAATCATTTTTAGATCTGAAACAGCACCTTTAAGAGCTGTCACAAACTCAAGTATACGCTGTACTTTTTGGACTCTAACAGAGAGAAATTATACTGGGAAAAATGTAGAGTAATGGTTCAGGAGGTTAAACATTTATGTTCGTCTGTGGTGGTCTTTTTCTGTCTTTCTTGTCGTCTCAGTAGAAAAGGGAAACCCTCGCCAACTTTCCCCTTTTTGATGCTCTCATGCTCTCAAAGCCCATGTGTGACGCCACGTGCCTCTGCGCAGTATCATGTCTTAAATCTCTGCTAATGTTGTCTTTAAGTATCAGACAGCGGGGCTCACTGACGGATTACAGCCCTCTTGTACTGGCAGCGGGCACACTTCTGCATGCCTCATTAAATTGCACTGACTTTGAAAAAGCAGCTCTAAGATGGCAGCACTTAGCAAAATAACGACCTGATGTCAAGAACTAAATGTTAATAACTGTTTCTCAGGCTTGTGGTAAATCAGACTCTTGCACTCAGGACCTGTGTCCACTGTTGTAGTTTTTTCAGCAGATTCAAAAATGCTCTCAACATCGGCTGTTTTTGTCACTTCCTACACTCTCAGTAGAAAATAGTTTATCATTTGAAATATTCCTGTCCAGGCTAATGTCATTCATCCAAAATAAAGAAGGGGCCAGGCTTAAGGGAGAACCTGACTGGTACTTTAAAAGGTGCCGTTTCCAGGCTTAAGTCGCTGTTACAGCCAGGACACAATTCTTTTCACTGTCTGTATTTTTGCTTGTAAATTTACCTGAATAAAACCAAATATTTAGCATACAGAGCAAAAGTTGCTGCTAGACAACTTTTTGTAACTCAAGAACTGGTATGAAGCTTTCTGGAACCAAAGTTGTGGGTGCTGCAAGCCAAAAAAAGGTTTGTGGACACAGGCCCTTATTATGACATCAGTGTAAAGACTGTATTTATATATTCCTTCTGGGTTGTCTAAAGTTGCCGGTGCTGCAAGCAAAAAAAATGCTGTTAGTGGACACAGGCCCTTATTCTGTCAATAGTGGAAAGACTGTTTTTATATATTCCTTCTGGGTTGTCTAAGGTTGTGGGTACTGCAAGCAAAATACTAAATGCTGTCAGTAGACACAGGCCATGAGTCTGTCGACAGTGTAAAGACTGTATTTATATATTCCTTCTGGGTTGTCTAAGGTTTTTGTTGCTGCAAGCAAAAAAATGCAGTTAGTGGACGCAGGCCCTTATTCTGTCAGCACTCTGTGTATATTGTCCAACAGGAATACCTCATTCGCTGTTTGTACTTGTACCTACAAAAAGTAATCCACCAAATTGCATACATGATCCTATTAACTACAAGCACATGCTAAGGTCTAACTTTCAACAAAGGGAGATTAAGTGGAATAAAGATATATTGGAGTGATGATTAGTCATTTGTTTCAGATACAAGGCTTTAATTCACACACTTATTGAAAAGTTAGCATTGAGTTATTTTCAATCAAGTCATTATGCAACAGGGGAGATGCCCAAAATGGTGTTAATATACAGATTGAAAAAGATAATGTTGGAATAATGTATTTTTTGTTTTTGAAGTCTTGGCTTTTACCTTTGTTTTTAGTCCTATTATTGAAAATTTTCAACAACAACTTTTTATTTAACAGATCAAAAAAAAAAAAAACTAATCGACTTCACTTTCTTTCAAAGATTGATCAATTTCAACATTTTTTAAGGGGCCAGTGTCACATGATGTTCGCTGCTGAAGCCTGTTTGCACCTAACGGGATGTTGTTTGAGCTAGTGATAGGCTATAGAGATAAGGAGCTTAAAGGAAAAACATCCTGTGTGTCCCGAAATGTCTTCCTCTTGGCGTCGTGTTCTGCTCTTTGGCCGACCTAACCAGCATGTAGGCTGAGGGCCGATCTTGTGCTGACACAAATTGAAAAATTGGGCTTATTTGCAGTTTCATCCTGAAGTCTGAAAACACAGAAAGCATTTGAATAGATTTTTATATAAACTTAAAAAACAGCCAACAATAATATGGAAGAGTTATCAAGTTATTTTGGTCCAGAATTGTGACTTATATATTCATACCTGTTTAGAGACCTACTGTATAGTCATGACACCTACGGTAGTGACATGACTATGAATGACTGAAAAATACAATTATCTTTATAATGTGACATTTTGACTCCATACATTGCTGGTGTCGAAAACCAATTTCCTAGCAAGACTCTGACAGCCTGCCGTGTGCAGGTGGGCAAAGTTTAACATGTGCTCTAGATTCAATTCTTATCAGAAATTATTCTGAGCATACGTTTATGATATCATTAAACTATGCATCTATACCTAAGATACCTTCGTCACCAATGCACTGCTGTAAAAAGTAGATCCTGGGTTACAGTCCCTCTTCCACAGTTCTTAGACTTTGTGTCTCCCCTCGCTGAGACTGTTAAATCTCTAGACACACAATAAACATCCTATCTGAGGGTGGAGGAGCACCAGAAACGATTCAAAAGGCCCCGGTGTAAGAGACTGGACTCCTCCAGCCCACCTATGTTTCAAATAAAAATCAGCTTTTATTAGATAAATTGCTTGGCTGTTGTTTTGGGGGCCGTTTAATTGGCTGTTATTTTGTTACTCTGTGGCCTGCTGAAGTTTTGACAATCCCCCTCTGGCCTCCCACTTAGTGCTTTCTACCTGTCTGCGAGCATCTCTGAACCTATATTGCAGTCTGCTGGCTTAGTGCAGACAGGAAATGCTGACTGCCTAAAGGAGCGTTTAGATAATTGGGGATTAATTGTTAATGAGGTCATTGTTCACTCAGGACTTGGATCTAAATATTTAACTGTAAGCATAATTTATCGACAGAAATCTTTGTTTCTTCTTGCTCCAGTTTTTCCCTTTAATATTCAATCTGCCAAACTCATGTTACACTCCTTTAATTAAAGGTGATGATATGCACTGAAAATGTTACACTCAATAGAAAGCATGATGGTGCAACATTAACTCTTCATTTCAAAACAGAGTCAAAGTTATTAGCAGTACATCATTCTACATTAAATCAGTTATTCCTGCATTGTTTTCTTAACACTCTCCTCTTTTCTGTGTCTGTTTGAAAGGTAAGAACACTGCGGTATCAGAGCGTTGTTAGAAGCTGAAGATAAAGGGATTACTCTTGGCTGTTGAACACAGGAGGTCCTCGGTGCCAAGAGGGATCATCAGGCTGGTTGAAGCCCAACAGATCTTCTCAGGGACAGCAGAAGGACCTATTTAGAAACATCAGCCCAGCTTCTTTTATTTTTTTAATAACTTGCCATGGAGCCAAGAAACCTTTCATGATACCATAGGATTGTCTTCAAGACAGATTTGGCTTCACCCTTTGGGTTGTTTGGAGTACTGCCTTGGATTTTGTGCCATTTTCACTCTCAAAGGGATAAATGCCGTTCTGGAGGAGATACCATCTTCATTGTTGATATGCTTCATCCTAACAGCTCTCTATTCAGTGCATATAACCGCCATTCATGGTGTTCCTCACAACAAAGCTAAGGCCTTGGAGGACAGTCGCTTGTCAAGGAACAATTTGGACCCTGGCCAGATATGGCCAGAGACGTCAGTTCTCTGAGCCTCATGCCTTTGTCCGCAAGGCATCAGCAATGGATTGGAGCCTCTTTGGGATCTGTACTCCCGGTCTTCCCACTACATGCTTTGATTTTCTACTACTTCCTGTCGTGCGCAGCTGCAACCGGCAGCTTGGATCATGACTATGGCATTAGTCCCAAATTTGTTTGCACCCCTATTCCCCCAGATGCAGACCCTAGCTGCTATTCCCCACCCACGGTGCCCCATGGACCTGGCAGTAATGGCCACAGTAATGACCACAGTAGTGGTGGTCGGAGAGGCGTGATGTCTGATGAGGCCAAAGCCACTATCTTGCACCTGCGCGAGAGCCTTGTCAGGCAAAAGGAGACTATCCTCGATCAGCGAGAAACCATCAGGGAGCTGACCGCCAAGCTCACTTTGTGTGAGGGCTTCGGTGGTCACCACAGCTCTGGTCACCATGATAACCATCATGACAATCACCATGACAACCATCATGATAACCATCATGACAACCATCATGATACACATCACGACAACCATCATGATGACCACCATGGGCCTCACAACAACCACCATACATCATCGCACCACGGGACGTTTCATAGCAACGATCACCACTACTCTCATGGCAGCCACAGGTCAGACACCCACCACAGGAAGGGCCCATCATACGGGAAACACAGCTCCTTCTCTCCAGAGCAGACTGGAAAGACGCTACAGACACTGAAAGAGAGACTGGAAAACTTGCAGGTGAGTGCAAGAAATTCACAACGCACTCTCAAGCTTAGTCACCAGTGAGGATCAACCAATCCTGTCCTGATACGATATTGATATCAGATATCAGATATCAGTCCGATATCTGCCAAAAAACAAATATCGGATTATATCGGCCTGCTTCTAAAATCTCTGATATCAGCACTCCGATACAAGCAGTCCATTCCAGACTCCACTCCGGCACCTCTAGCTAGCAGCGCCCACATAATCACAACAACAGTGTGTACTAAGGTACAAACAAAATAGCAAGAAGAAGGAGTGATGTCGGCTGTGTGGCAGTATTTTTCATTAAAGTCTGAAAAAGACATTGCAGCAAAACTTGTCTTGCACAAGTTTGTGCCAATATTGGATCAATATCGGTATTGGCCGATACTAAAGGCTACAACATCGGTGTTGTATCGGAAGTAAAAAGTTGTATCGGGACACCCCTAGTCGCTACCAACGAACGAGGTCAAAGGTTGAATGAGGTCGAATGTGCTTTGTAATTTGCAACAGGGTTTACAGTTTACCAACATTTAAAGGCAGATATAGTCCCAACGAAGCATAAGTTACAACTTAAATCTAACACCTAGCTATTCAACTATTAATTGTGTCTTTGCCGTTTAGATATTGGAGATACAATTATGTTTTTCTAAACATACTTGGTCTGAAATTATTATTATTATTATTATTATTATTATTGAATCTATAGATTTTAAACTACCATGTTTTATTTCCAAAGGTTCTTTCTTCTACTTCCTAAAAAACTGCAGCATCAGGTCTTCTTATATGATTAAATGCTTAGTTATGTTTCTGCAAAGTCAGGCTGAACAGTCTGCTGGGAGGCGGAAGCCTATCAAAGGTTTGACTTAATTGAGGTCATATCCTGCGTCACAACAGGTCACGAGCTCAGCCGCTACATCAGCGGACCGTGACGTCAGCTGAACGAAATGCTCACCTGTGAGATACTGTTAGTGTTACCTTTATTTAAATATTATTGTTAATCAGTTGCATATTTTAAAATTGTTTTGTAATTATTTTAGTTATTTAGGTTATTTCATCATTAGTAACTATTAAAATATTTAGATAAATATACAAATATACACAAATATAAAACAGACTCAGCTAAAAACAAACCTTTTAACATCAAATCTTTTCTCTGAGACACTCCAATCACTGTCCTGAATACCACTGATCTAAGCTTCAAAGGAAGCAGCCCAAAGTTGATTAGCTTTGACCCGTACCTGAGACAACCCATGCCCAACCATCACATGATTGGGCCAGACAAATGAAACCAAATTAAGGTCAGGGACACCAAGGGTAAAGATCTCTCCTACTCTTTAAAGATAGCATTTGTACAAAATCACTGTTGTGATTATCTGCAGTAAGATAAGAATTCATAAGAGGAAGTCAGACGTGTAACACAAGTCAAAATTGGTTTTAAATCACCGGTCCAAATACTCAAAGTTCAGATGTGTTTTAACTTTTGAAGCAGCTCTTGCTTGTGATGATTCTGCTGTGAAACTAAAACCCTGCTGCCCTCTAGCTTGTGAAAGCCTCAGTATCAGTGCAGGTGGTCTGAAGCTCAGTGAAGGTGTTCCCAGAAATCCCATTCAATCCCCCACAGAGGTGTGAGACAAAACAGAAGCCTTCCGTCACTCTTTCCTTTTAACAGGATGTCTACACAACCAGCTTCTGGCCACGCGCCGAAGGGCACAAGCCAGCTTTACCTTCAATTAGCCTTATCTCCTCTGACGAAGCTATTAATCGTAGCGTGTGCTGGCAGGGAACAAAGCCGGATTTGCTGGTGAAGAAAGGGAGCAAAAGAGAGGAGTAAAGGACTAGTAGGGAGGGTAAAACTCCAGATGTCCAATGTTACTCTTTCTTATTCACTCCAGAACACTAAAATTACAGCAAAAATCAATTTTAGCAATTTTCTCAAAACTTAGATTACATTCGACAGCTCTTATAGGATGAAGTTGACCTTGCGAAAATGAAGCTGACATAGTCCAACCTCTACCTTTTAACAGTATCAAACTCATCCTGGTATAAAATGAGAGAACAGCAGTTGAATTTCTAGTTAAGGGAGACCTATTTTGATCATTTTCACCTTTAATTATGCATTAGTTAGCTTGCAGGTGTTACTGTTCATACAGGTTTGTAGTCACCATAAGACCCAAGATTGACACTTTCACAGAAAACAGCAGAAGCTTGCTGTTTGCACCTACTTAGCTCCTGTTTTATCCCCATTAGCATATGTTAGCCATTGTTAAATTGCCTGCTGTAATGATGTTAGTCATGTCTTGTGGTTTTAAGCCTTCATAAAAGGTCCTCATGGATGAAACAGCCCCAGGTTTCAGTTACAATAGAGGCCCAAATTGAGCTCATACCGGTCTTTGTTTACAAATGAGTCATTAGTGACTTGACAAGCACAGAACAACTACGCTGCGGCTGTCATCCTTGAAACATAAAAACTTTCTACTTTTTTACTAGTGTCTTGGTCTTTTGGGAAAGAAAACTGCTGTGACCTTTAAAACCAAAAGAGCACAGCAGCATTGGAACCGTTAGCCAGGCATTTCCTTCAACATTGTCCTAATAGGAGCGCAGAATTGAATGTCAGGTTTCAAGTTTTGTGAAGTTTTTGAAAGTAGCCGCACAGAGAACCCAGAAAAATACTTTCAGAGATGCACTATAACATCTGGACAGCTCAATATCATGAATGTTTACCATGGTTTAGTATGGATATTAAACATGCCAATCCCATGGAAATGCGTCGAAAATCTTGTAGCAACTCAAAGACTTCCTCTTGTGATATCCAAATGTTCTAGGGTACCGAGGACCAAGTTCTAGTCTCAACTGTTTCGATGTAAACGACAAGAAATATTGATTAAGGTGTTTTGTTTTGTTTTTATCTGCAGGCCAGAAACTCATCCAGTTCTTACTCCAGTTCCTTGAGAGAACTCCTCCAGCGAAAAATCACTGCCCTGGAGGAGCAGCTGCACAGCTACTACAGAGATCACCATGACTATGACCATAATAACGATCACCATGATGATCATCACGACGATCACCATGGAGACCACCATGATGATCATCATGGTAGCAGCCACCATCATGACCACCATGATGACCATCATGATGACCATCATGGCAACGGTCCCCGTGATAACCACCACGATGACCACCATCGAACAGGTCACCACGACAATCACCATCGCACAGATCATTATGACGACCACCACAACAACCATCGCACCAACCATCATGGTAGTAGCAGGTACAACCATCGCAGCAATTACCATAACCGTAACCACTATGACCACCATTATGACTGGCACCACAGTAGGCATAATGGTCAACATGGCACCCATCACGGCAACCACTACAATGACCATCACGATGACCACAATGGTCATCATGATGACCACCACGACTACCACGATGATCACCATCATGGCAGCGATCACCATGATGATCACCATGACTCTCACCATGGACATGGATACCATGATGACCACCACTACGATCACCATGATGATCACCATGAGTACGGCCACCATGACGACCACCATGATGATCATCCCCCACAACGTCTCTCCTTCGGGAACAAAGAGACAGGTCTGCCCGGCCACAACAAGCTGGAGACAGTTCTCGGCCAACTTCACCATGAGCATGATGACCATGGTAAAAATAAACACACACACACAAACCCGTAGATAAGGACTGTAAAGACTAATCGATCCATACTGATCAACACCTTTAATGTTAGCCCCAGTCCGTAAAACTGTTATACAAACCAGTTCATGGCCTAATCTTCTCATTTGGAGGTTTTCAGCTTAATAAAAACACGCTCTGTGATAGTGAAACCTGTGATATGATGGAGCTAGCATGCTAACATCAGCAATTTTGGCACAAGCATAACAAGAGACAAAACCAAGCAAAGCTTTGGGTCATTGTAGCATCTATAGCCTCTTGTATTTTTTTGACTTACAACCTTTCTGTGTAGTTATGAGCGACTGCCAATGCCACTTGTTTACAGACCAACAATTGAAACCATCAAGGTCACTGGAAAGCTTGAGTAATCTACCAAGAACATGATCTACAAAGTCATAGCCTCCGATGACCACATCCTTCCCCTGAAAGTAGTCAGTCAAATCTCGACTCTGTCTCAACAGGAAACAACAAGAAGTTAAAGACTCCCAATGCTTTCCTACTGGAGTTTCCCATGAGGACCAATTACATGTACGCCAGGATGAAGCGGTCTGTGATCAACGAGATCTTTGCTCTGACCATGTGCATATGGATGAAGGCAGGAGCAGGTCCTGGCCTTGGCACTCCCATATCTTATGCTGTTCCCGGACAAGCCAATGAGCTGGTGCTAATCGAATGGGGCAGCAACCCAATGGAGCTCCTAATTAATGACAAGGTAAGGGTTGATATGGGGGCTAAAAACTTAAGAACCCATAATTAGACACTACAAATAAGTCTAGTTGACACTGTGCCTTTTGCATTGTCCTTGTTGATTCCTGTGCTAAAATCACAGGATCTGCTTTACATTGAAAGCTGCGTCTCTGAGCTATATCAGACCAGTCACAGAGGGTAGCACTGCAGTTGTCAAACATCTATCCAAAATCTTACCTAAAGGTTATGATCTAGACAAGAACACTTCTCTACATGGGTGCATCATGAGTCTATATGATCGACACATTCCTTAAGGAGTCCTTTAAATGTACTCAGGTTACTGACATACTAATTGTACAATTAGTGTATTAGACTCTTAATCTTTGTTTCCAGGAAAGGCTGATTCCCCAAACTTAAGACAGGAAAACAGATGTTTTGATCTCTTTCACTGTCCCAGTACTGAGTGCTCAACAACAGATCAACAAAGCAATTAATCTGATTATGGTAATTGATTAGCCTAATTGTCTGTCGTAGTGACATTACCCGGAGGTAGAGACCGACATAGCTTTTTTGTTCTAGTTACACACTTGGCAGACATTTGACGGATCAATGGCACAGTCAAAATTTTAGACAATATATTAAAATATTGACTGCACTCAGTTTTGAACTTTTGTCTCTTCTCCAACATTGTGACGTATTGGGATTTGTAGCGACTCAATCACAGTATCCAAAACTGGGCAATGAAAACACACGGGGTTATTTGTTTAGAAAAAAAACTTACTGAAGGGAGAAATGACCTCTTGGAAAACCAAAGAATCGCTACCCAAAAAGAAGCTGAGTTAGTTAGTTAGTTAGCTGATTAGTAACAGCTCGCTTCGCAGCCTCTTCTTGTGTCCCGAATTTGACAAATAATCAAACACAGATACTGATTTTAATTCTAGAGCTCCTTTTGGGGGGAAAATGTTTAAAATCAAGGAAAACGATCAACGATGGAGACTGCTGACGCCAAAACAAGCTAGGCTAATCTGTGAGAATATGACAGCAGCTCAGCACATAGTCTCTTCTGCTTCCCAAATTGGATGAAGATCAAGTTGAGACACTGATTTTAGTCTCAGAGCTTCTTTAAGTTGGATTTTTTTCAAGGTTCATGATTATGTGTACCATCTGTTTTGAAGACAACACAACCTCAGTCAAAGCACGGTCCCAATGCTATCTGCAGCTCAGCATGCAGCCTCCAGAGAAATGCTGTATTAGCCCCAAATCTTTAGATCTACACAGATTTTTACCCATGAACTCTTTCTACCTACTTTCAGGCGGTGACATTGCCAATTACCATGACAGACGGGAAGTGGCATCATGTGTGTGTGACGTGGTCAACACGCGATGGTGTCTGGGAGGCCTACCAGGACGGGGTGAAAAAAGGCTCAGGGCAAAACCTGTCAGCCTGGCACTCAATCAAGCCAGGAGGGACTTTCATCCTGGGCCAGGAACAGGTAAGAAAATCCACCTGGTAGTCAGACTTGATAGTTGATGTGACTGGTGAGAGGGTTCGTGAAGGGCTGGATGAGGAGAGAGTGATATCTTTGGTCCAAACAATCAGTTTAGGACTATCCCATAACTGCTCTTAAACTTTACATACTAAGTGGTAGTACATCTTGTTGAGCTCAATAGTTTGGCATCCCAAAATAAAGACAGAAAGTTTAAACACAACTCTTATAATCTTGACCTTGTTCCTCCCTGATCTGCACAGGACACGATGGGAGGCCGGTTCGACGTCACTCAATCCTTCATGGGAGAGTTGTCTGATTTCCAGCTCTGGTCTAGAGTCCTGACAGCCAATGAGATCCATGGCCAAGCGACCTGTGGGGCTCACCTCTCCGGTGACATCATGTCCTGGTCTGAGGAAGCAGTGGAGCTCCACGGTGGACTCGCAGAGTTCCCCTTTGACCCCTGCCACTTGTGACTGAAGCCAGAGCCTGACATCACTGCCAGAACAAATAATGGCTGGAGAGAGTAAAACTGTCTTTTCTGTCGTGGATGAAAGATAAGGTAGTAATCTGCGTCTTGCAAGCTTTGGTTTTTCCATCACAGGGATGAGCAAGAGGTTTAACAACACTAGCACAGCTGTGGACACGGACAGAGCGAGGGGTTATTTTGTTTTTCAATCTCTCTGCCTGCTCCCTGCAAAGCGACTTTAAAGGCTCCAAAGAGCACCAGGCTTTGGATTTAATGGCTGTGTGGTCAGGACCACAGGCTGCTGTGAGAGCCAACACATCTAATAGGATTTCATCCCATCAGAACAGTTCCCAAGGTTGCTTGTTTCTAACAGCTCGCCTGCACTAGCTTCTTCTTCGACAGGCAAAGAGAGAGCAGCTCAGCTTCTAAATGAAGCCACCAGGAGACATGAACTGCGATGATTCATACATATTGAAAAGTTGTTTGTTAAATATCTGTGGAGACGAAGGGATAATGATGCTGCAGAACTTTTTTATCATTGCAGTTTAAAAAAACAACCATCGGATATAAATTTTGCACGCTATGATTTGGCTGTTTTTTACTGAGTAGTATTTCATATTGAAAACTCAAATAAAATGTAATCCATGTGTGTCAATATATTTTGTTAATGTTGAAAGATCAAGATGGTTTAAACATAAAAATGTACAACCCCGATCAGACAAAAGTTTGGCGTAAAATGTCCACAAAAACAGATTTACATGGTTTACAAACACCTTCTGCACTATTTCCAATTGAATATAAGGGTCAAATTATTTGTTAACCATCTAATTCTGTTTTCATAATCCTTTTACACAGCCTCCAAACTCTCACAGGACACTGTGTCCTAACTCCTATTGTGCTGTCTAAATTCCTCCCCTCAGAGGTCGAACAGCCGCTGTATAGGAAAACCAGGGCTCAATGTCAAATATGACATGTCACGCGACACATGCAGGAACCCACCTGACATCATTCAGAGTGAACCGTCGCTCAACATGTCACTCTGCATCTGCTGGCTTACAGCAGGATTTACTTTTGAACAAGTGATCCTGCCTATTTCCGGCCAGCTCTGACCACATGACAGAGTTTGACACACACACACACATTCACACACACATGCACACACACACACACTCACACAGAGGCTCAGATAAAAGGTTGAACAGAGACGTTGCTGATCTCCAACTATCTGTCTGTAGATGCACTTTTATGTTTTTATAAAAAGAGGTTTTGTACATGTAAATGACATGTTATGATCTTTGTAATTATCAAAAGCATTTATTATGGTACTTCTGACATTGTATGTAAATAAGTCCATAGCACTTTTGCCATTTTTAACCATGTTTGTTTGAAAAGCACGTCTTTGGGAGTAAACTTGTTCATCATAACCCTTCTTTCGTCGTCGACGTCAAACTCATCATAAACTTTGCTACGTAAATGAAGAAAGGAGTTTCCTCTGTTGCCATGGTTACGTATCCCAGCATCAGGACCACATTTTTTTTTGGACAGTCACTCTGCAGTTCTGAATGTTTTCTTGGAAAGTCTTCTCTGTGGACTCCTCTGCCAAGACAAGCAGCACTTTGAAACAAAGCTCCTTTTCTTCAGATCAATAGTGGGCCAAATGCGTTTCTCTCTACTTTCCCTTCTTTTCTCCGACATAGACTTCAGATCATTCACCTTCTTCTACTGCAGAAATGTGTAATTGTTGACATAAGACATGTAAAAATAAGACGTACAACCTTATGCTTTAAGACTTGCTTAATCTCGCCTTGTGTACATTCAATGTTAGTTTTTCTATGTGTACTCTTGCTGTAAATATTCTAAGAGTAAACAGCGTGTTCAGTCACCAGTCCCTCCCTTAAGTGTAAGCCAAAAACTATAAACTGACATGTAAAACTTGAAAGAGGCACTATAAATGCTGTCAAATATTTGTAACCGTCAAGATTTTCAATAAAAGTATTTAAAAGATTTCGTGATTTGAAAAAGTCTGCACACTCATGTCTTTCACCTCGATTCACAGCACAGTAGATGTCAGCATGTGGCGTTCAAGACCCCACATACTCTCGTGGTAACTCTACTCACATAGACAGTGAATGTAAGTATCAATTGACCATCAACCATGACTTGTCTCTTGATCCATTTTTGCATGAGGTTTGTTCCCACAGGTATGTCCTCACCTTCATGCCAGCTGCTCTCTCTGCACTGTGGCCTCCTAATGGTGATCTCTATCAACCAGAAATTAGAAAAGTGGGTTTTAAACATAGACTGTATGTTTAAATTTGAAGCCAGAAAGCTCTCGGTAATTCTGCTTTTTCTCTCCATTTCCTGGAACCAACATTGCGCAGTAGCGTTGTACACATTCGACGGGAGAGTCTCCGAGAGTCGCTGTGATGGAGCTCAGCTCCAACAGCACATTCCCTTGGCGAGCTACGCAATCTTCGTACACCGATAGGCTGCATCAGGTGTCAATCATAGAAAACACGAACCTCCTAATAACTTTTAAAAACAGAGCTGTACAGAAAAAAAGAGGACTTAAGAAACAAACCAGTCTGACAGTAACTACACGTCAACATCACAACCAGGTGCAGGAAAATTTATGTTCTGTGTAATTAATTTCTAAAGTTTGTCCACAGCTCCATAGGGATCGCTGGAGGAGGCTGGATTTATGGCCTATACTGCAGCCTGTCAACAGAGGGTGCTGTTCTCAGAGTGGCTTCACCCAGCGAGGAGGCAGACGCTGTCCATTCTATATACAGTCTATGGTTTTAAATGTCGGCGCTGTCGCCTTATGTTGATTCTGATTGGTTGATATTGCTTGGTGCCTCCGTGGTTGGTTAGATTTAGGCATGTTGGATGGATTGGTCTGGGATTGGTTATCTTGGTCAGTCAATCAGATTTACTCGAACTACGGCAAGTTAAGTTTATTATCATGAAAAAGAGAAATATTAGCACGAGAAATGTAGCGTGTGGTGTGAGAATGGGTCAAATTGCGTTCTGCAGCTCTGGAGATGACTACATTAGCCAACGAGCTGTAGCAGCGCACAATAGCAGCCTTCCTAGCGACGTGCCTACTTGGCAGCCATCTTGGCAAGGGCAATGTTCCTGTTCTTGCTCATTTCTCAACCGATTTTCATGCGGTTTACTTAATTTTCAAAGTCAAAACATGTGCTTTAATACAGAACATTTGGTTGTTTGTTTTTAAAAGCAAATTTTCTGTAATAATAGCACATATTTTGATGTTGACAACAAAGTGAACCGCATGAAAATCGGTTGAGAAATGAGCAAGAAAGGGGCGTGTCGTATTGCTATTCATTTCTATGTTTGCTCTCGCTTACTTTCCACAATGTTAATCACAGAATTAGTTAATCCTGCATCAGAAAATAAAGGTTACTCGTTATCCTCCTATAGAGTTTTCCAGCCTGTTAATAATGTAGTTGATTTGGAGAATAATAGTATTGAGGAAAAAGGGAACAGTTGATGGTGGTTGTTGTTCAAGGATGAATAATAACTGAAGCACTACAGCATGTTCACTTATCAGACTCAGGTCTGCTTTGCATGCAGCTGCAGAGGAGCCTGTATTTTCATATTGGATATACTACGTGCAAGAATGGACTACTCTTCTGTAGTTGCTTAAGATTTAACTTATTTTTCATCATATTTTTAATTTTCTATTGACTAAAACAAGATCTGTACATCTGTAGGAAGTGATGAACCATGGGAGTGAACAACGGCCTGGTTCCACTGGAGGAGGAACAGGATACAACCACAGATAAGAGTAAATCCCTCTCTGTTTAGTATGACATTTGTGCTGCAGTGACAGTCGACTGTGTGCATTAATATTTAAAATATCATTTACTCAAATTAATTACGACTACTTCTCTTTTCTAAATCAGTGTCAGTATGCAGCGGGTTGAAAAGCTCTTCACTTTAAACAGAGATCCGGGGAGTTAAGTGGCTTTTTGGAGTGCTTGCAATTAACATTGTTTTATATTCAGCACCTTTTTCGCTTTAAAATCAGTGACTTGGTGACGTGGGTTTAACCTGAAAGCTGTTAACTTTTTAACTAATTCTTTTATAACTCAACAGTCGACTTAATGAGCTGACTTTCCTAACGGGACAAAGTAAATATTCATGATAGATAAATGTCCGCTCGTACCCAGAAATATATTCAACATGCCGAGTTTTATCTTTATTTGCTGAAGTTTTTAATTCATTGAGTTTGAAACATCATGCTGAAATTCTCAATATCAATATTTCTCTCCAGAAACTGTCTGGACGTTCCTTAGAATAAGCTGCAGACCTGACTGTGTGGATTCTGTCTCATCAAAAACACTTCAGCAAATAAAACTGAAACTATCAGCATGCTTTGATTCAACTGGAGGTGAGTGAGAGAAAACACAATCAGGGGGGAGTAAAGCGCCTCTTTCTTTTTGTCTTAATAATCCAAATTAAAACAACCATGCGTGAGTTGAACAGCGCCACCACCTGCAGACACCAGACTTTATGACAGTTGGACTCATTTGACTCATGTAAACTTTACAGCGCTGTCATCCGTTATCTGTGGTCGGGGGTTAATTTTAACTCTGTGTTGTCCTCGTTGTCTCTCAGGCTGTGTGACTCAGCACAGACAGCTGGCTCATTACTTCGCTCTGCTCTGCTTCCTCCTCCTCATCATCACTCTGCTGCTGACTCTCTGCTGTGAGTGCTCCACGATTACTTCATGATTGTTCCACTCTTCATTAGCCGCGTTGTTAAGAGGCGACTCATTTCCTAGACGTATTAATCGTCATTTAAATTCCATCTAGCGGACTAGACTTAAGGTAAAGAAAAAAAACAACTCAGAAGAGAGTAAAAAGTGAGAGAAATGAACTTACTTTATCGACTTCCAAATGCCTTTGCCATCGCTTCTGTCAAGTCACATGACAGATCAACCAGACATGACCTATTTACAACTTTATCTCCATTTTAGGGGAAGAAAACACCTCAAATACTTACCAGACAATACTCTTCAGTGTGATGAAAATAATACTAATAGTCATTGACAATTATGTCTGTGAAAACTGTGTAGGTATACTCATGCGCTGCAGCCATGAAGTGATCATTTCTCTCCAGAATATTTCCGACTTTGTTGCCAGCAGCTATCCCTCTGCCAGAAATGAAGACGTCCTCCCTTTCATGACTTATTTTAGACTGAATGTCTCCATTTGAAGGTTCGTTTAGAGGATTAACTCTTTACGTTTCTCCTGAACGGTTACATGTTTTTGTTTTGTTTTTAATTTCTTTGACCGTCTACTTTGTATCCTTAATTGTCTTGTATCCATGGTAACATTTGACGGGGCATTGTGTGTGTGTGTGTAATTTTCTTTCATTCTGTTTGTGTTTGATAACACAGTGGCGCAGCTCACCTTGGTTTTCCAGACTCAGTCGACGCTGCAGGAAGCCAAAGTGAGAGATCTGACGGACAAACTGGAGAAGCTCAACCAGTCGTACCGCCTCCTGTTTGACCAGTATCCTGCCTTGAACCAGTACTGCCCAGTACACAACATATCCACAGGTGGTAAGGATAAGCGCACAAACTACTCTGTAGAATAACAAAGACCACCACATAAGAGGATCGCATTAGTTTCCATTAATTCGTCTCTTTGTGACCATCAAAATTAGAGGTGTTGCTGGGGATTCAGCTCGACTGGGGCACACACAGGTCTGGAGACGCCCCTGATCCAGAGTCAAGCCTGAAAAACCCCACTGTTAACCTGATCCAGGATCAGATTGTGAAGAAAAAAAACATTATTAAACTGATTCAGGGCAGGAGTGTTACTCAGCATAAAGCTCTACAGAGGCAAACTGGGAAAACTCACGATGGCCAGTCCACCCCTGATACTGGGGCACAGGCCAAAAAATGTTGAAGTGGAATAGTGCTGAAAAGTTTCTGAATATTTTGTATTTTGAACAAATTTTCTGTATGGGAGTATAGAGGAGCAGTAGGCTTCTAAAATTGTGTGGAATAATTGAGGAAGTGAAGAAAATAGATTGATTTATTGGTTGATTGATTGAAGTTAATTTTGAACCTATTAAAAATAAGAAGAAGAAGAAGAAGAAGAAGAGAAAGTAAAGAATAGAACGACAAATAAAGTTATTCATGTTCAAAAAGGAGTGGGAAGAGGTCGAGACTTACCTGGTCCCACCCCTTCTCCTACACTAATGATTTAGATATATATCATTGTATTTTACATTTATAATAATAATAATAATAATAATAATAATAATAATCAACCATACTAATACTGAATACAAGATAAAATGTCTGGATTAAGCTGAATATTTTTAATAGTTTGATTGGTGAGAAAAGTGACTGTTTTCTCACTGTAGGTTAAATGCTTGTCTGTGATTAAAATCCATTATTCTGATGCATATTTTTCGACATGAAGGCCAGGATTTGAAAATGTCACACAGACTTTTATTCATAACTTAGACTGCATTTTTATTGTTATGATTATTTTGCAGTTAAAAAAATAATCTTGAAACACATATCAGCATGATTCTTTATTTTATACTTTTTAATTAAAATGACTATACTCTCTCTTTTTTCAACATTTGACTTTTTAGGTGTCCTTTTATAAAAATAAAGCAGACAAATGATTAAAAAAAATTTTTTTTTAAAGAAAAATATAATAATTATAATAATAATAAGAAGAATAAGAATATGTTTTTTTTGTTTCATCCAGAGAGAGCATGCAGACCATGCCCAGCCGGCTGGACGCCTCATGGTCACAAATGTTTCCTGTTCAGTCAAGACAGAGCCGACTGGATCAGCAGCCAGTACCACTGCATGACACTGGGGGGAGCTGTTGCCACAGTCAGAACAGAGGAGGACCAGGTACGCACACACAAAAACTGAGCTTTTCACAAGTATAAATGTGTTTTTATCTACTTTAAACACATATCTGAACCATTATGTGTGTTCATATAAAAAGTCACCGAGACATCTCTTGTTTTCGGAGAGTGTCGGTGTCTAAGGAGCCTAATTGATATGTTTGGCATCTGTGCAGCTGTAAACATGTGAGATGCTGTTTCTGAAATATCAGCTGTCTCTCTTTCTCACACACACATTAACTATCAGAGGAGGAAGTTAAGAATAGATTTAAAGCTGGATGAAATAAGGAGACGTCTGCAGGAGTGGTAGCTGCTCAAGGTCATCTAAGGTTTTGTCTTTCACTGTTTTACTTTACTCAGTTTAGGTGTCTGATGTTGCTCCCAGTAAACATGTAAATAAGGAGGGTTCGACTGAAAAGTTTCAGGTTTGTTGACTCATGAGTTTCTCAGGTGTTCCTGTGGAAAAAAGCCCAGAGTCTGAGCCAGGGGGACTCATACTGGCTGGGTCTGAGAAGCAGTGGAGGTGGTGGTGGAGGATGGAGGTGGGGTGACGGCTCCCCGCTGGAGAAAGGACCACAGTGAGTAACAGGATGAGGGTGAGGAAGGGTCAGACGGGGACTAAGTAGTGGGGGCTCTGAAGGTGATGATCCTCTAGACTCTGAGTTGTTTCCCTGCAGAACTTGGTCACATGTTGAAGGTTGAATAGTGAGGAAACATGACCACACAAACTTTAGATACATGATTCCAAGTACAGATTCTTAATTTAAGTCACATCCTGAGTGACAACAAGTGTTTTATGGTTAAGATATTCAAATTGACTCCCAAAACTGTAAACAAGGAGTTTATGAATGTGATTCACTTTGAGAAAAACTACATATTATACAGCGGAGGACACGTTTACTTTCATTTTTCAACTTCTAAAACTACAAATAATTTGGGGGACAAAAGAAAGGTATAAGTTCTTGACCATTTTTATTTGATGGTGTAACTGTTGCTATTTTATTTTCCATATTGCAGAATATTTTTTGTTTATTTTGTATGAGAAACCCACTTTGAGAATTACCAGGTTATTTCTGTATTTTATTTGCATTTTATATTGAAGTGTAAGGGTACTTTTATTTTGACACTTACGTTGAGCTGCTAGGCCAGTAGCGTTCTGGGTAACGTCAGATGCAAGCAAGCAGAGGTCGTGTGCACAGCTCTGACCCTTTAGCTGTCAAGTCAAGCTACGTTAAGATTGCTAAAACTTACGGTAAAGTCAAACTAATACTTCAAAGCTGGAAGATAAGAAGCCTACAGATTCCCTTTCATAGTATGCAGCCAACGAGGTATTTGTTTGTCTTTATTTTCGTTATGAATATTTGTACATGTGCATAGTAAGTGTGCTAACTGTTATTCCAATACTGTGTATTGCTAGTTTCACGGTTTGTGGAGGTCTGTGGATGATTATGAAGAGGAGAAGACTTCATTAAACCCGTTAAAGAAACATTTGCGTCTGGACATGCTTGGGGGGAGTCACAGTGAAACTCGGACTGCTCGACGATGCGAGTGAAGGTCGGCGTGCTCACCGACGCCAGTGAGAAGCAAGCCCAACGACGAGCTAATCGCAACTTCGTGGCTACAGTCGTCAAAGGACCGGCAGATGAGTGCATATTTAACACGTAGTTGACAGTCATTAAGCACGTGGACAATAAGAGTCGGCTAACTAATAAGAGTTGATTTAAAGGTTCATGGAAAGGATGTCTGATTTGAACTAATGTGTTAATGGCTATGCATTTATCCAGTCAACTTTGAATTTAAGCTTGGTATTAAGTGCATGTAAGTTTAAGGTTTAAAGCTAAAGGATATAATTTAAATGCTTGGAAGTTAAAGGTGAATTATTTCATTTTCACAATTTAAAGTGTATTTTGGTAATGTAAAGTGAAAGCTATTTGCAATTTTGATATTTGAATTTTCTGAACGGTTCTAAGAGAACTAAGGTTTATTTAAACAACTTTTTCAGTTTGTAAGTACATTTTTGAGCTACTTAAGCATATTGCTTGTGATAAGTACAGCATATTGTAATTTTGGTTTGAGTACATTGCCAAGTATAGTGTGTGACATTTAAACACAAGGACATTTAAGAGACATTTACACGCAACACAAGAGTTTTAGTGAATACAGACTTTATTTACGTTTTTCATTATTGAAATAGACATTTCTTGCCAGTTTAAGTTTAACATTCAATTATGGCAGAGTTAAGTGAGTCCACTACTCAGGTAAGAGATAGTGTTAGGGAAAGTGAAAATCTACAAGGCCCTCCAGAAGATGAAGTCGGTGATGCTGAGCCTCAGCTGGACGAAGCACAGCAGCTCAGACGTGGTGAGCGAACCCGTACTCTAACAGAGAAGGGTAAAGCAATGCAAGACGAGAAAATTAAAGCACTTCTGCATAGATTTGACTACATCTACAGAAAATGGAGAACACATGTTAAATTCTGCAAGCAGTCATTATCTCAGTCATCTGAGTCTTTATCAGAAGGCATGCTTAATGATATCCTTGGAGATGTTAGAGGCCTTTCCGCAGACGTTCAGCATGTTTATGAAGAATTGCGGCAAGTCTCAACTCCAGACCAAGATGTGCGGCGAAGAGTAGACCTGTGTGTTGAGGTTTCAGGCTTCATCGTTGCTATAGCCTCTAGCCACCTGGATGGAAAAGTTCCAGAAGGAGACCCAGAATGGCCAGAAGCAGGCTCTCTTTGGGACGCAAGCAAGAGTGAATTTGGTTCAGTTACCTCTATTCTGAAGAATGCCTCAGAGCAAACAAGAACATCTTCCATCAAGCATCAAGAAGCTGCTGCGGACGCTGCAGCAAGCCAAGCTGTTCTGAAAGTGTTACAAGAACAAGAAAGAGAGCAGTCGGAACTACAGCGTCTAGAAGCGGAAGCTAAGAGGAAGATAGCGGCTGAAGAGGCAGCGGTTATAAGGCGTCGCTTAGAGAGAGAAGAAGAGGAAGCAAAGATTAAAGCTCAACTAGAGGAAGAACACACAGCTCTACAGATGACTTTAGAGGAAAAAAGAAGAAAAATAAAGAATTTGGAAACGGTGAAGGAGCTTAGTGCAGCACAGGCAAGAATGCAGGTGTATAATCAGGGGTTGGACATTAAAGAAGAACCGAAAGACATTCTAAGCCATGAGATGGTAGCAGACATCAAGCCGCCATGTCCTTCAAGCCGTCTGCCTCTGTCTGCACCTTCTGCCCCACAACCTGTGATCACCTCCTCGAATCAAAGCACAGCAGAGCTCATTAAGGTACTCGCTGATGCTCTAAGTGCCAACAGAATTCCAGTTCCTGAACCTTCAATATTCAGCGGGGATCCGTTGAAGTACAGTGATTGGAAACTGTCGTTTCAAACTTTGATTGACCAGAAGAATATTCAAGACAGAGAGAAGATATATTATCTCCGTAAATATGTTAGCGGTCAAGCTAAGAATGCAGTGGATGGCTATTTCCTTCTTGGAACAGAGTCTGCTTATGCTGCAGCATGGGAGATTTTGGAAGAGAGGTATGGAAACCCATTCACCGTTGCGAAGGCATATAGAGACAAACTTCAAACATGGGCCAAGATTGGACCTAAAGATAGCTCTGGACTTCAAGAGTTTGTTGATTTTCTGCGTAGCTGCGAAGCAGCTATGGTCCATATCAAGGCACTGGAGATTTTGAATGACTGTAATGAGAACAGACAGCTTCTCGCAAAGCTTCCAGATTGGCTAACCGCAAGATGGAACCGGAAAGTCATGGAAATGGAAGAACAGAGTGGCCAGTTCCCTTCCTTCAGTCAGTTTGTGAGATTTCTGACCAGAGAAGTGAAAATTGCTTGTAACCCAGTTACATCGTTGCAATCACTGAAGCAAGGTGAAACTGAAAAGCCAAAGCAGCAAAAACAACAAAATGTTAAAGCTAAGACACTGACCACCAGTTCTAATGAAGAGACTGCTAAAACATGCCTCTTTTGTAAAAAGAACGGCCATACTTTACATGTATGCAGAAAGTTTGCAGAAAGGGAAGTGCCTGACAGAGTCAAGTTTGTTCAGGCTGAAAAGCTATGCTTTGGGTGCCTTAAGCCAGGTCATGTCTCAAAGAGCTGCAACAGTAGGAGTGTTTGTGACACATGCAAAAAGAAGCATCCTACCTGCCTGCATCAAGAGAGAGACAAAGAAGAGCAAAAGGCATCGCAAGTTAAACAAGGCCAAGCTTCAGAGAAATCAAGTAATCAAAACGAAAAGAACAAAGCAAAGCCTCAAGCAGTGCAACCTAAAGAAACAGCCACAGCTTCTACTACTCTGAGAGTTATTCAGGATGAAGCTACTGTGCAGACAGCGGCAATAATTCCTGTCTGGCTTTCGTCTTCCACTCAGTCAGCACAAGAGGTGCTTGTCTATGCACTCTTAGATTCCCAAAGTGACACTACTTTTGTGCTAAGTGAAGTAGCTGACGCTCTGGAGGCGGACAAAGAGGAAGTCAAGTTGAAGCTCTCTACTATGACTTCAAGAACTACAGTTGTAAAGTCACAACGAGTGAAGAACCTACAAGTTCGAGGCTTTTATTCAAGCAAAAGAATCAGCTTACCACCAATCTACACGCGTGACTTTATTCCAGTCAACAAAACTCACATACCAACGGGCGAAACTGCAAAGGCTTGGTCTCACTTAGAGCACCTCCAAGATGATGTAGCACCTCTGCAGGATTGTGAGGTAGGCCTGCTCATCGGCTACAACTGCTCGCAAGCCCTTCTCCCAAGAGAAATCGTGTCGGGCCAAGAGAATCAGCCTTATGCACAACGTACTGACCTGGGATGGAGTATTGTCGGCCATGGCAATCCCTGTTTAGCATATGGAGACGCTATCGGAATCAGTCATCGCATAGTAGTCAGGCAAGTGACGCCAAGAGTTGACTCTACTGTCAATCTGAAAACAGAGGTTCATTATGTGAACAGATCCAAAGTCAAGGAAGTGACTTCTTCAGACATCTTGAAGATTCTTGAATTAGACTTCTCAGAAAGAGCTAGAGAAGAGGATCCTGTGTCTCAAGATGATCTCAAGTTCCTGTCCAAGATGAGAGAAAACATAACTCAGAAAGACAATGGTCACTTTGAGATGCCATTGCCGTTTAAAGAGGATAGACCAGTGTTGCCTAACAACAGAATATGTGCAGTGCATCGTTTAAACTGTCTTGAAAGGAAGCTAAAGAAGAATAAAACTTACTACAAAGACTATGTGAACTTCATGAGCGACATAATTTCCCGCGGTGACGCCGAGAAGGTCCCCAAGGAAGAAATTGAGAACAGCCCGGCATGGTATATTCCACACCATGGAGTATATCATCCGCAGAAACCGGGGAAAATACGTGTGGTATTTGACTGTTCGGCCAAGTTTCAGGAAACATCTCTCAATGACCATCTGCTCACTGGACCTGACCTGACGAATACCCTGGTGGGTGTCCTGTGCAGATTTCGAAAGGGCTCAGTTGCAGTGATGTGCGACATCGAAAGAATGTTTCACCAGTTTCATGTGAAAACTGAAGACCAAGATTACTTACGGTTCTTATGGTGGGAGAATGGTAACTTGGAAGACACGCCATCCACCTACAGAATGAAAGTCCACTTGTTTGGAGCGGCTTCGTCCCCTGGCTGCGCCAACTTTGGCCTAAAACACCTGGCAGCTCAAGGGCAAGGTCAGTTTGGCAAAGACACTGTGCGCTTCATACAGAGGAATTTCTACGTAGATGATGGGCTCCTGAGTGTTCCTACTGAGAAGGAAGCCATTCAGCTCGTCAAAGAGTCAAGAGAACTTTGTTCTACCGGCAAGTTAAGACTTCACAAGTTTGTTTCCAACAATGAGAATGTCATGGCATCCATTCCAGAAGAGGAACGTGCCACAAGCAAAGATCAAGACATGGCTTTGAGTTTACCTCACATGGAGAGAGCGCTTGGAGTAGAGTGGTGCGTCTCGTCTGACTCATTCAGATTCAGAGTTCAAGTCAAGTCCAATCCATCGACAAGAAGAGGTGTACTCTCTACCGTAGCCTCAGTCTATGATCCGCTAGGATTCATGGCACCGTTCGTTCTCCATGGAAAGCAAATTCTCCAGCAGATGTGCAGAGATAAGATCGGCTGGGACGATGAGCTTCCAGAGAGCTTAAGACCTCAGTGGGAGTCTTGGATTAGAGACCTACCTAATCTATCTGAAATGGAAGTTAGAAGATGTTACCTACCTTCAGGGTTCGGCGACATCAAAGGCTATGAACTTCACCACTTCTGTGATGCAAGTACCTCAGGGTATGGTGTTTGTACTTACCTGCGCGTTGTCAATGAATCCAATGAAGTCCATTGCAGTTTAGTGATGGGAAAGTCAAGAGTTTCACCAACCAAAGTGTTGACGATACCAAGACTGGAACTGTCTGCGGCAGTAGTTGCAGTTAGAGCCAGCGATATGCTCCGAAACGAACTGGAAATCCAAGACCTGAAGGAATACTTCTGGACGGATTCAACAGTCGTTCTAGGCTACATAAACAATGACGCCAGAAGATTTCAAGTGTTCGTAGCCAATCGCATACAAAGAATCAAGTCAAGCACAAAGCCTGAACAATGGGCCTATGTTGCATCTGAGGACAATCCGGCAGATCATGCCTCACGAGGGTTGACTGCAGAGCAACTAGAGACATCCAATTGGTTTTCTGGACCGAAGTTTCTTTGGCAAAAAGAATTACCTGTCCGAGAATGCAAGGTGGGAGAAGTTAAGGAAGATGATCCTGAGCTCCGTAAGGCTGTTGTGTTTAACACGAAGGCAAAGGACAGATCGTTGCTCGACCGTCTTGAGAAGTTCTCTGTTTGGTTAAGGGTAGTTCAAGCAGTTGCCAGATTGAAACGACGTGTCAAGGAACACAAAGGTGAGAAACGACCAACCAATGAGAGTACAAGTCTAGAAGAAAGGAAAGAAGCAGAAACTGTGATCATTAAGCTAGTTCAAGAGGAAGCGTTCCTAGATGAGTTGAAGAGCTTGAAAGCAAAGGGAGTTATAGCTAAGACCAAGTACAGCAAGCTGAACAAGTTAAGTCCAGTTTTGGATGAAGAAGGAGTCTTGAGAGTCGGAGGACGCTTAAGTAAAGCTGCGTTGCATCCACACATCAAGCATCCAGCTATACTTCCGAAGAACTGTCATATATCAGCTCTACTGATCAAGCACTTCCATGAGAGAGTTCATCATCAGGGACGTGGAATGACGTTGAACGAACTGCGAGCTAACGGATGGTGGATCCTGGGAAGTAGCAGCGCAGTATCGTCACACATCTTCAAATGTGTCAAATGTCGAAAGTACAGGAGATACACCGAAGAACAAAGAATGGGTGACTTACCTCAAGATCGAATGGAAACAACTCCTCCGTTCACCTACACAGGCATAGACTGTTTCGGACCCATCTATGTCAAAGAAGGAAGAAAAGAGGTTAAAAGATATGGACTTTTACTTACCTGTCTATGTTCAAGAGCCATACATGTGGAAATGCTTGACGACATGACCACGGACGCGTTCATCAATGCGCTAAGAGTGTTCATTGCTATAAGAGGAAATGTTCGTCAGCTTCGAAGTGATCAAGGAACCAACTTCGTTGGCGCAAGAAGGGAGTTCGCAGAGCTCATGAAAGGAATGGACGGAGAGAGAGTCAAGGCTCTAGGATGTGAATTTCTAATGAATCCCCCAGCAGCAAGTCATATGGGCGGCGTCTGGGAGAGGCAAATCAGGACCATCAGGAGTGTTCTGACAGCCATTCTCGACAAGTCAGCGCAAAGATTGGACAGCTCATCTCTGAGAACTTTCCTATACGAGGTGATGGCAATCGTCAATAGCCGACCACTTACCGCTGAACATTTGAATGATCCATCCGCACCTGAACCATTGACTCCGAACCACATTCTCACGATGAAGTCCACCATAATCCTTCCTCCGCCTGGACAGTTTGTCAAGGAAGACCTGTATCTTCAAAAGCGGTGGCGCAGAGTTCAGTACTTGGCCAATGAATTTTGGATTCGCTGGAAAAAAGAGTATCTGCTGAGTTTGCAGCCAAGACAAAAGTGGCAGAAGAACAGAAGAAACCTGAAGGCAAATGACATTGTGCTTCTGCAGGATGATCAGGCGCCACGGAACGAATGGAAGTTGGCCAGAATAGCAGAAGTCTATCCAGGGTCAGATGATAGAGTGAGAAAGGTCAGGTTGCTAGTTAGTGACACCACATTTGATGCAAAGGGTAAACCCACAACCAAAACAGTGTATCTTGATAGGCCTATACACAAGCTTGTCACACTGATTGAAGCAGATTGATGCTTAATGTTTTCATCATTCCTTGTTGAGTGGTAAAGTTCTTTCAATGTTTAAGAGTTGATTCGCAACAGTCTTTAAGTGTAGAGAAATCCCACATTTAAGATTGGTGAGATTTGGTGGGAGTGTAACTGTTGCTATTTTATTTTCCATATTGCAGAATATTTTTTGTTTATTTTGTATGAGAAACCCACTTTGAGAATTACCAGGTTATTTCTGTATTTTATTTGCATTTTATATTGAAGTGTAAGGGTACTTTTATTTTGACACTTACGTTGAGCTGCTAGGCCAGTAGCGTTCTGGGTAACGTCAGATGCAAGCAAGCAGAGGTCGTGTGCACAGCTCTGACCCTTTAGCTGTCAAGTCAAGCTACGTTAAGATTGCTAAAACTTACGGTAAAGTCAAACTAATACTTCAAAGCTGGAAGATAAGAAGCCTACAGATTCCCTTTCATAGTATGCAGCCAACGAGGTATTTGTTTGTCTTTATTTTCGTTATGAATATTTGTACATGTGCATAGTAAGTGTGCTAACTGTTATTCCAATACTGTGTATTGCTAGTTTCACGGTTTGTGGAGGTCTGTGGATGATTATGAAGAGGAGAAGACTTCATTAAACCCGTTAAAGAAACATTTGCGTCTGGACATGCTTGGGGGGAGTCACAGATGGTATATTAGAACATTGTGATTGGAGCATTTTTCTTTCCTTGTACCTCCTGTACAGGTTTTGGGCCCATCAGCCTGCAGAAACAGACAGCATGGAGCTGTGTGGTCGACTCACCCCAGGAGACAACTACAGGTCAGGATGGTTCACCTCAAGATGTTCCAACCAGCTGAAAAGGATCTGTGAGAGGAGACAGGCCAGTCTACAGTGAGGGGACAGGACCAGAGACAAGAGTGGATTGAGAAAATCGAATGGAAAGAAGCTAATCTAACATGAGCTCACATGCATCGATTTAAATGTAATAGTTGTTTTTAATACAGACAATAAATAACACTGTTTTTCTTTGGTTTCTTTTCTTTTTTCATTTGGCTTATTAATGTTGTCATAGTTGCTGTTGATGTCAAATCCATCTGCTAATCCACATTAAAACTTATTTGACTTTGACTTGATACTATAACAGTTGGAGTAACAACACTATTATTTTAAAATATATGGTGCAGTGGTATCTTACAAAAGAATCTTGGTAATCATTTAAGAAAAATGCGTATTATAAAACATAAAAGATCCATAAAATGAGTTTGAACTCGGTCCAATTGCTTGTTTTCGCTTAATTTACATTCATTTACTTAATATACAGGGTTTGCATTGTGTAGTTGTACTTCCATGTTTTGTCCAGCAGATGGCGGCGCTGTAACTCCAAACATTCTCCAGCCCTGAGGCGTTTAAGCCTTTTTCCCGACATGCACCACGAGTGAGCGGCGGCGGCCCTTCAGAGCAAAGACGCTGAGGATTCAGATTATAGAGGAATTTCTCTGTGGAAGGTAAACTGATTTAATGGTGAATTTTCCTTTTCCTAAATAAAGTGTTAAGAATTATTTAAATGTGTCTGTCGGTAATTTTCCCCTTTTTGCTCAGAGAAGCCGTTAAAATGTAAAAAGCCTCCATTAAATCATCAGTGAAGGTCTTTCGCACCTGACCAGGCTTAACGTTAACATGTTTATCTCTTCAGATTAACGTCAAACCCTGGTTTAAAATGTAACCAGATGAATTTAGATTAACGTTAACATGTCTTTTTCTAATTAACAATCACTGTCAATAAACAGAGTCCTTGTTTTTTGTTAGCTAAACCTGCTTCACAGCGTCCATTTAAGTGTAGATATATGTGTTACCGAACTCCATTTGAAAAAGTGGTGTTTTTTTATATAACCTGTGTTTTTATCACACATACCTCTCACACAGCTCAATTTATGGTTTATTTATATTTAGTGGAGTCTTTTAGCAAATTCGGCTCCAATCTCTTTTTCCAAGACTACTCCTAACTTAAGAAATTATGAGGTTTATCAAGTGATACTCTTTTATCTGTCATCTCTTATCTCTGTCTGTCTTTTTAGGTTTTGTTATACTTGTACGTTTTTCTTAATTAACCTTTTTTTATCTCCTGCTCATTTCTGTTGCTTTATTTTATCATTACTATTATAATCAGTATTACCTGTTATTATTTTACTACCACTGTTGATATTGCCTTTTATATTTACTATCCTGCTCCCACTTTAGACCCCCATTTTCTTTTTTCTTAACTATTTTATGTTTTTATTCAATTTTAATATTGCATGGTTCTTGTATTGTCTGAGTTCCTTATGACATGAAAATGGCCTTCAATTCTGTATTTACTGAGCTTTTTGTTTTTATTTGTCTTTTTCCATGTTCTCTATGACTACACGTCAAAGCACTTTGTTAACTTCTGTTTTTAAAAGTGCTATACAAATAAAGCTAAGTTTCTGTTCGTTGCTCCTCATCACTGTATTCAGGATGTTACCTCCTGTCTCGATTTGATCTCAGTGTTGCTCATACTCTGTTGGTTTTCTGCAGGTTTTATCCAGCATCTGAAGATGTCTGACACAATCGAGGAGAAGATCAAGAGCTACAGAACAGCTCCGTTTGACGCACGCTTTCCCAACACCAACCAGACACGCAACTGTTTCCAGAACTATCTGGGTAAGCATCAGAACCACATTAAAACAGCTGGTGATATATTTGCATACATCATATACCTGCTTTCAAACATATATATTTACTTTATAGCTGTCTTTATTGTAGATGAAGAGAGAAAAAAATGTTGGGGTTTCTAAATTATCTTTGTTCGGCTTTTTAAAGAATTAAGTTTGTGTTGTGATTTGTTTGAAGATCTGAGAGTGACTGCATTTTGAAATGATTCCTTGCATTAGCAGTGTTTTGTTTTTTTGAACCCCCTCCTCATTAATGGCTTTATTAGTAAGTAGAGAGTAAATGGAGTCAGAAACGGAGAAGAGAGAGTGGGGGATGATACTCAGCAAAAGGCCAAGGGTAGGAGTCAAACCGAGGGTGAGAGCCTGGGGGATGGAAGCCTCTGAGCTAAACCAGTGCAGTGAAATTAGAGTTTTTAAAACTACAACATACTGATGGTCCTCTGATAAACCGCAGTATTAGAGATTACTGACTTTCGTCACTCTGTGTGTTTTCTGCAGATTTCCACAGATGTAGCAAAGCTCTGTCTGCCAAAGATCAGGACACGGCTCCCTGTGAGTGGTACCAGAGGGTCTACAAGAGCCTCTGCCCCATCAGCTGGGTAAGATACAGTTCAACAAACTTCCATCAAATGGTCGATACAAAAATATTGATGAACGCTGCGCCAGTTAAAGTTGTGAAATATTCTCAAGTTCCCAAATCTCATTTCTAAAAATCATTTAACAACAATTCTGATCAACCATGATTTAAAAAGTTACTTTTCTCATTTTTTAACTCCATATGTCTCTTAAAACATAATCATGAGTTTCATATATTTCAGTTTCTAAAATTGCACTTCATTAGGTTGAATTTCTCAATGTCTCTTGTTCTCTCTTGCAGGTGCAGAAATGGGACGAGCAGGTAGAGGCGGGAAGTTTCCCTGGAAAGATCTGAACTGGCACACTTCCTCTCCATCCCTCTCCACTTTTCCTCATTTACTTAACTTAATGTGAAGCATCTGCTCATCGTGTACAGAGGCAACTTAATAATAAATTAAACAATCTTACTGTGAACCTTATAAACACGTGCAGAAATCCTTCTTGATATTGATCTCAACTGTTGCGAAAACTTCTTTGGATGTGATGTTTGGCTTTTATGTGTAAAGACCAACTTTCTGATAATCTTAGACTGCATAGAAAAAACTATAACAAGTACAGATCTTTTTAATTAAATCTTAATGTAATTGACTTAAAAAATATATAAAAATAACTTCAAGATATCAACTTCAAGACATGCCAAAAACTATACCTCAAACTAGGCCTGGGCGATATGGTGAAAAAAGTTTATCACAATATATATTTTTTTCATATCAGTCGATATCAATATATATCACAATATAAAAAAATTACTTGTCAATCTTAAATGTTCCGTTACTCTTACATTAAATTTAACAGTGTTTATTGGGAGCATGTCTTTTTCAATAATCTACTGCATCTGTGAGGTCTTTGTGTCTCTTCAACGTTTAAGGGTCAAACACACCGTAACACCGAGTTGGACACCCCCGAGAGATGAATGTTGCCGACCGCTTGCTTCTCTAGTTATACCAACTTTAGCAACGACTGCAGGATAGCAATACACAGCAGTCTGAGGAGTTATAAACAAACCTCAACCAAAACGCCACTCTATAGCCACAAATAATGCTCAGAGCAGCACCTAACTTCATCAACAGGACATATAGGGTCCTAGCCATCAAACATCTTTTTAACTTTGTCTAATTTCTTTAGCAAAAAGACAAACAGCAGCCGCTTGTTTGTCGCGAGACCTCGGGCCAGTCCATTATGGACTACAGCGGGGTGACACAGCTCAAGGAAGAACATTTATGATCATTTCTTCATGGAAATACAATCAGACTGAGACGCTAAGGCAGAGGAACTACCGCGTCGGCAGTGCAAAATGATCATTATGGTGATGATTACTTCAAGGAAATGATAAAGTAATAACCATAAATGTATGCTTGACCGTAAATTAATTTTACGTCGGAATATCCCTTTAACTCATCAAATATTCACATTATATGATAAATATGATGGTCAATATGTAGAATGATGGCTCTTTTTAAGCATGTTGGAGACAAGATAAGCTGCTTTGTCACAGGGTGTGCCAAGATGACACAAACTCTAAACTTTTTTCATCCTCTTAACTTAGTTTATCTTTTTACACAAGCCCAAACAAGTCAGCTGACTATGAGTCACAAGCAAATCACAAGACTGGAGGATCTGCAGTGTGGACATTAACTTGATACCTGATCTTTCCTGTTTTTTGTCTCCACATTTTTGGAGATATTTTTGTGTTTTTTTTTGCCTTAAACCTCCTCTCTGTGTGAAAATTCAGGGGGGGAGAAAAAAAAACAGCTTTTGCAAACTTCTCATTCTTGCTGTGAGCATCATTCGAGCTGCGCCTCGTGACCCGTTGCCTCAGTAACGTTGCATCAGCATCCGCAGCATCAGCATCATCAACAGCTGCTGTCAAGGTCGCCGGCGTGGTGCATCATGGGAGAATGAGGAGGACACCGGAGCGAGTCGAGAGCATTCCCACACGACCCTTTTGGTTCCCCCATCCCCTTTTTCCCTCCCACCACGCGCATGCGCACACTATTTCGTCAAGTGGGCTGACCAACTCACCGAAAATCGACCATAATAGGACAATGGAGGAGCGGCGCTCGGCTCACGAGATGCGGCGATGATGATGCACAGGAGTCACGCATTTCGGCACGTAGAAGATAAGGGGCGGGGCCACGACACGGCACCCCGGCGTCACGGTTTTTCATAGGTTGATGGAGGAGACGGGAAAGAGATAATAAACACGGCTGCGTGCGGGTACGTGCGGTTTTCCACGCACCTCTTTGGTGAAATAGAGGAGAAACGAAGGAGGGAGGCAGCGGTAAAGCTCACAGGGGGGTCTCACTGTGGAAGGACAGGTGAGTGAACGCTTTCTGCCCGGGGTTTCGGCTCCTTTAACCCGGATCTGATTATTATTCATATTTCTGGGTGTGTGAATATCCTCCATCTCACTCCGACATCCTCAAAACTCTCCATCTTTATTTCTCTTCGCTTCTTTGCCTCTAATGTGATCTTTATAATTCGTTTAATCGATTATGAATGATCGGTTTCCTGATGTGAAGTAGCAGAAAATCGGTCGTGTCCTTCCTGGCAGAGCCGGCTGGTACCACGGACAGCGCCTGACTGAGGTGTGTTCCTTTTCCTGCAGCTCTCAGCACCGGCGGGCGGGTCCTGCAAAGCTTCTGCAACCACCACCACCACCACCACCTGAAGATCTCCTCTCGAAACCTTCCAGAAAGTTCATCCGGTTACATTTGAGAAGATGGCTGAAGCAGAGGTGAGCGGTTTTCTGTGTGTTTGTGGAAAGGCACGTGTAGGGAGAGTAAAGTCAGACTGAATGTGGGCGGTGTGAGGATGGATTTGTGCAATAATAACTCTGTGAGTCAGACATGAGCACTGCAGATGTGTGCATGAGAGAAACATTGTGTACTATGGATGTTTGGGAGGGTTTGGAGGATGCATGATCGATGTTTGACCCGGAGAGTGATGGGATTGGTTCATTGGATTGATCTAAAGGACTGGTTTGAATATGAACACCCATGATTGTCTGTGTCTTTACTTAGAGAGACAGAAAGTAAGAATAAAACAGTCATTCAACCTGTTTTAGTTTGTGTTTTAAATCAGTACAAGCTGTGTGATTGAGGAACATTTTAAGATACTCGGACATGGACTCTTATCTTTCCTCATGAATGCATCTTTTTAAATGCTTCCGGTCGGTTTTCCTCAGATGCATTAGAGGGAAATAAATGCCGTGTACTAGAGTGAACCGCAGCTATAAAACTCTCCTGACGCTGTTGCTTCTGTCTGCACGTACACGCATAGGCGACAGGGGATTCAACATGTTCCTGTGGGGATTTGTCGACAGGAACTCTGGGAAATGATGCAAATCAAATTAGAAGGAGACACACATGATGAGTGGGAATCTATTTAGAAAAGTCATTTATTGGCACCGTTGGCTGTTTTTTTTTTCTGTGTCTGTGTCCAGGTTTGTTTGGCTGGCTCAGGATCTGGCCTTTGGTGATGTCTGGCATTGATTTTTAGTCCGTAAAGTGAGATTGAAGAGATGTAGACAGGTCAAAGTATTTATTTACCAAATTTTGTGGGTTAAGTTGTTTAAAGATGTTTGCTGGAGGCTCCATTTTAAAAAGACATAGAGAGACAGAATGAAACAACATATTAAAGTAGAAGTAGTATAAATAAAAATCATGAAGGGTTAAAAAAACTATAAATATTAAAGGTCCAGTCCGTAGAATTAAAAATGGGTCAAATTCAAGACTGTAATTCTCTCTTGTTCCCCCTCTCATAAGCGAAGCAATGGTGGCCTTTGAGGACAAAAAGCTCCTGTGTATGATCCTCCATTATATATATATATTTTTTAAAGATATAACAATTTAAAAGTTTTGATTAATTAAAAACAGAATAGCTGAACTTTAGTGAGTATACATGATGGTTTAAGCCAGTAACCCGCTGAGCATTTTTTGGTCTAAAAGAGGTTTAATAGATGTCTAAATGTAGTCTAGCCGAATAAACTAAAATCAGGCTACCACTGGTTTAAATTTAGACCGAGTCTAAATCTGGGCTATATCTATACTACACTGTATATTGCTCAACGGCTATCATAATTATTTTGGTTAAGTACTCGGAGATCCACTTAATAGTTGTAGTGTAGTCGTTTATTCAGTCATGACAACATTAAATATTGTACACAATATTGATATTTCACACTGAATCACTAAATCAAGAATCACATGTTGAATACTGACTAAAAAGGCAGAAGCAGACTGATTATAAAAGCCGATCCTGTATTGTCAACTTTTTAGGCTACCGTACCAACCTTCAGAAAAGCAATTCTGTCTAAAAACATACAGAATCTAGACAGTTTAGGTCTAAAAAAAACTAGATGTCTAATAGCCGTCTAATGCTCAGTGGGAATATATTTTAGATGAACTTTTAATGAATTGATAGAAAGACACAAATACTGGGTTAGATGTAGATTGGTAAACATGGCTAATATTGCAGTCATCGATCGATATTACAACACAATAGAATATTAAAACACTAGTTAGAGACTGTCAGGTTTAGAGGAGGACCACTGATTGTTTTGTTTGTGTGAGTTGAACAGGTGAAAATTGAGAATGAGATCAGTTTTCTCTTTGGGATGTACTTTTCAGTAAAATACCCTCCGCTAATGCTCGATTCTTCAGGTTGGATGACCCTGGAAATCTTAAGTTGTGCTGTAGGAGGATCTTTTTATGGCAGATTTAGAGTGCGGGGCTTCAGGGGAGAAAAGCAGAACACAGTGTCCAGACTGAGCTGTAGGAACATGAAACTGTGTCAGGGCTTAAAATGAATCTTTGGACCGCTGCAACACTTTGGACCATTAAATAATGACAGATGCAATCATTTTTGACAATTTACTTATTTTTGGTTCATAGTTGTAGTTTAGTTTCTCAAATGTGTGTCGTGTTCTGGGTGGGTATTATCCGAAAGCCCACCCTGTAACCATTTTATCCTTCGTGCCACATATTGACCCTCTCATCGATAACAAACCCGACACCCTCACGCTAAAAGCTCACTCAAAACAGCTCAATACTTTTCTCCTCCCCTTTGTTTTACTCTGAAGTTTTGATTGGCTCTTGGATGAGGAACTGTGTTTTCTGGCTCAGGCTGGATGTGGGTCACTGTGTTTGTGTGTGTTTGTATGTTTGTGTATGTGTGTGTCCACGACCACATGAATCATTGCAGGACCCCAGCAGCAGCAGCAGCAGCATTACTTTAGATAATAAGACCCTGCCTGCCTGCTGCATGTGTGCGTGTGCTCAGGTCCTGTGCTTACTTTCAGCCACTGTCAATAAAGCTGTCACCTGCAGGCTGTTGCCATGGAGATGGAAAGAGGAGGAGGCGTGGCGAGGGAGCAATGAAGACACTCTGGGTTAGATGGAGGGAAAGAGGCAGAGCGACAGCGAGATTGTGTTGTTTAAGAAGTGGTCTTGTGATCCACGCTCCCACACACCGAGTGTCTTTTTAACACCTGAAGTCGTTTGACTCATTTCTTATTCAAGCGCGTGCAAACAGAAAACAAATCCTCTTTATTTTTTCCAATCTGGGTGTTAAAGATTAAAGGCTGAATGCAAACAATCAGGCTGGATTTGTGCTTCGGGAAAAATGTGATCACAATCGGCCATCGTGACACTGGTTGCCATAGTGACGGGGCATCTGTTCCTGCAAAGTGTTGGTTGTGCAACAGGCTGCTGTAGCGAAAGAGGTTTGCCCGGAGCTGAATGAAACGTCTTATGAAACATGGATGTATGTCGTGTGTTTGCTCAAAGAGGGATCAAACTGGAAGATGATGATTTAAAGATAAAAAAGGAAGCAAGATTCACAAGATTATAAAGGATCTGTGTGAGAATTTATCAACATAAAACGAGATTATTTCATATTATTCTCTGGAGATTCAGTTTCAGTTATTTATGAAACTTACTAAAATATGTGAGAGATAATGTTTAGTGAACTGGTGGTTATGTGAACAAGAATCCTGGACAGGGTGAGGCATGAATTAACATCAGTACTGCCACCTCTATAAATCTGGGAGATTGATCTACACGATGTTATTGATTTGTGTTTGAGACATTTGGGTGCAGTCATGTGATCGCCTAAATTCTACCGAGTCACGGTGACTTGACAAAAAGCAGAGACGGACACGAGCAACGAGGGAGACAGAGAGAGGAGAGGAAGGTGAACTTTAGGGGGAGTGTAGCAGAGAGAGAAAGAGACAGAGAGAAAGAGAGAGAGAGAGTGTTTGTGTGTGTTGTACTTCACTCTGGATTTGTTTATGCTGTCTGCACTAATTAGCTAAAGTGGTGGGGTCTTTTTTTTTCAGACGGATGATAAAAGATGAGTCCAAACTTTGCTTGTTGATGTTAAAACCTGCAAAACTGCCTCTGATATTGTCGCTTGAGATTAATTGTGTCCAAATATGTTTAAAAAAAAAAAAAAAAAAAACACTTTTGCAGATGTCGAATTTTTCAACCCCAATATCTAAGGTTTTATGTAAAATTTCTGTTTGCATTTTGATCATGAATTTTATGAACTCATCCTACCTGTTAAAGGTGCAATCTGCTGATGTTAATCCTTTTTTTTAGCCTAGCAATCTCAGTAAACTATTTCTATCTCTTCTCTATCAAAAAAGTTCAAAATCTCCCTAAACTGGTGTTGACTTTTTGCTGTGTTGACGTCATTTAGAGCCTGAATCTGCTCAGAGGACATCAGCTCACAGTACTCCTTCTTCTTCTGACTGAAACTCACATCTATTTATCTTAATACTAAAATATCAAAGATTACAAAGGTCAGACCAGGAAAACGGATTCTTGTCAGTTTGAAGCAGACGCTCATGGTTTTGAAGAGGTCAGTGTGACAGTTGTGAAAGTGTTTTTTTCTCACCATTCCTCCTCTGCTCTGCTAAAGAAGCTGAATTTGCCATCATATGTCAGTCAGAACTCTATGCCCCTCATCTGTAGAGTCAAATGATGAAGTATTAGGACTGCATTCAAGATTAGTTTCAAGATTCTTTCAAGATTTAAGTCATTTTCTCATGAAAATAAAGTCATAAAAGTCGTAATATTGTGTTTACATCAAAATCACATCATTAAAAATAAATAAAGTTTTAATATTATGAGACTAAAGTCGTAGTTAAGTTGTATGTTTTGGTTTACGGTGAACAGTTAGCTGTCTGTACTAAAGTAACAAAACCTGGAGGTTCTCTGGGCTGTTCTGCAGACAGTCAATAGGGGGAGCTCTAAACATTGGACTTAAAAATTTGACTGATACAAAAAAAAATCAAATTCGATAATTTTACAAAAAGATAGAAACAGTGATGTAAAAAAAAAACCTGTGTGGCTCCACTTTCCGTCTGTCACCTCGTTAAGTCAAACACTTTTCCTCACCCTGACACTAGAGCACCTTAACGAGGGGGCGTGGCCTCTGAGGGGCAATAATAAACCTTCTCCTGTAATATTCTTTGCACAAGACCAATCCAAACACAAACCAATGTTAGAGATCATTTAGCTTGTTTGATTTAAGTGTCGTAAACTTTAACTTTTACAACAAGCAAATACCGTAAAATGTCTGAAAACTTTTCTTTAATAAAACTGTAGAGACAAGTACAGAGCACAAGATATAAAGACAGACCCCTTTACATTATGAAGATCGTTTACTCCTGCCTGTTTGCTGTAGGGATTATAAATTAGATTAGGTCGGCCTCTGCTTCATCAATCCTCTCTGGCAAGCTCCCAACTGTCAACAAAACTAAAGCTAACACGATCAGGTTCCAGGTAATCTTATTCTGATGAGACAGAAACACAGAAAAAATCCATTCGGTCTTTGACGGAGGGTTTGTTTTGACAAGCATGAATAGAAATAAAACCTCTGAGGCAGTTAAATCACATCCATAATCACTGATTATCATGTTTCTACTGCAATCAGGATGTGAGATTATATGGAAATTTGACATTTGTAGCTTTAGAGGGCGTGTGAGACAAATTAAGGGACATTTTTAGACAGATTTACAGAGAGAGCAGACAAATCCATCAGTCCTCCATTTCCAGACACACCCAGAGATGCAGTGTCTTCCAGCGTGTGAGCTCACCAGATTATCGATCGCTCGTAAATGTCACCTAAATCCTCTGGGAGCAGATGCAAACAGAAACAGGAAGCACAGAAAAGGAGATGTTATGCAGCCAAAGAGTACATTTAATTAACTTCAAGAGTAACACTCCAGATGAGACCACCAGTTTCATGCAAAGACTTGAAAAAGACATGCTGCAAAAGGCCAAGGTCAGACTGGATCCCTTGGCTACACCAGGCCTCTCAGATCTGTGTTTTCCCCTCTCATCCTCTGATTGGTCCTGAGAAGCCCCGCCCATCTGGCTACAATGAATCATGCAAAAATGCGGTCCGTGCTGATCTTGTCCGACCTCGATCTGATATTGTCGTACCAAGGGCGGTGGATCACCTGAAGCCTGCAGGACTCTGTACCGTCTCATATAACAGCAGCTCCCTCTGCAGCGTCAGCACCGAGCCTCAAACACACACACATCAGCAGAAACACAGAGACACAGTGGCCTAATTTCTGCGGCGGTCACCCCAGATGACCTGCCTGGATTTAATATGTGGGATCAATCCAGGAGTTTGAGGTGGACTCTGTCTTTAAATGACTTTTTATTGCTGCGGGGAACTTGAGTTTGATAAGCAGGAAAATTTCTCCTGCAACTTTTTGTGACAATAAAAAGTACCCCTTATCTCTTTGGTTACATTTTCTGATAAACAGTCTCATCCTCATTTCGTAGTTATTTCACTCACTGTGAATATTTACACTGAGATATGTTAAAAAAAAAGGCTTTAATACACTTTCTCTAACGCCTACCTCAAGACAGGAGGTAGCAAGGGTTCAAAAACGACCATAAAGAAATGAACACTGCTGCTGCTGCTGATGGTCTTGTTTGCTCGTTTCAGTCAGAACATGCCCTGTTTTTTCGTCCTGTCTTGTTTTCCATTCGGCCCCTAAGATAAAGAGGACAGCTAAAGTTATAGTGAACCCCATCACCGGGCTGAGTCTTAGTTTTTGTCCTGGTTTTCACACAGAATAGACCGATATGGGCAAAATGACGTCTGTTATTGTCGTAAATTTCGGTATCAGTACATTATCGGTTTATTGCCCAGCTCTACACTTGAATTAAAAAGACCTGAACAGCATGAACAGTTTAACCAGAAAGAAATACACGCAACAGACCATCATAATAACATCATATAGAAAGCAGCTTATGTTTTTTCCCTATTTGAGAACAATTAGATTTGACGAGTCTTTGACTGCTCTGATTAAAATAAAATAAAGTGTCTTTCTGATGCTCGGTGATGGCCAGATGCTGTCATGTCTCGTCGTTATACCGGCAGTGCTGCTCCTTAAATACACACCCTGATTTTATTACAGAGAAAAATCAATGTGTTACAGAAACAGGAGCATGAGGATGGCCTCTGGATGAAGTTTACTCTGCTTTGAGCCTCATGATGTAGAAGTAACAACACAAAAACAGAAAAAGTTTCTTTTAAGTTCAATATCAGCTGTCGAATTGTTTTTTATTCACTTTAGCAAAGATCTACCTTCCATTTTTCATCTATTTAGACATTTTTTAAAATGATCTTGACTCTTAATTGACTCTAGAGTAACAGAATAAGCCGGTGTAATGTTTTCCATTTGGTGAGTCATCCTGTGTGGCATCAGCATCAGATTTTAATTTCATCTGTATGTCTGTGAAGTCATTCTGAACTCAGATTTCAGATTGATGTGTCTCTATTTCTCACTCTCTTTCTTCTTCTCCTCTTTTTTTTTGTCGTGTCCCCGCAGGGAAAGCAGGTGACGGGTTATCTCCTCTTCTCTCTGGGCACGGCGGTGATCGGCTCTCTGCAGTTCGGTTACAACACAGGAGTCATCAACGCTCCGGAGCAGGTCGGCAATCAACTGCTAACATTAAAACAAAGTTTGTAACTTAGTTTCTCCAATTTAAGAAGCAGGTGCCTTTTCAGATGTACTCAAACTGAATAAAGTCCTGTAGGTATTTTTCCATTTGTTGAACCATATCTGTCTCAAGTTTGTTGACTTGTTATCTTAAAGTCTAATCCATATTTCATCTGTCTCCTCTGTCAGAAATTACGCTCATTCTTTAACAATACCTGGATCGAGCGTTATGGAGTACCAATCAGTCCCGGGGTCTGTACCATCGTCTGGAGTGTCGCCGTTGCCATCTTCAGCGTGGGCGGCATGGTGGGCTCCTTCAGCGTGGGTGTCATGGCGAATCGGTTCGGCAGGTGGGACTTGAAAAAATCTGTTGATGAGTGTTTCTTCTTACCCTGAGTGTTTTCTTCTTTCTTTAATGGCTCAGAGTATTTCCTGTGTGGTTTATCTGAGTGTCATTTCCACTAATGGAGGATATGAAGTGTGCCAACCGCTCGGCTCTAATGTTCCCCTGAGTTTGTTCTCTAAGTCCCTCACTTCTCTTAGTGTTTTACCGTAATCCTGTTGACTCTCTGGGAAGGACTATGGTGGCCCTGAGGTCCAAAACACAACGGCAAATCAGAAAACACAATGACATTAATTATTGGGTTTCCTCTTTTTGTGTTGGGTTTTCTATTTTAGTGCTGTGTTTTCTGATTTGCCGTTTTGTTTTCTCTTTTTGCCGTTGTGTTTTGCACCTCAGGGCCACCGTATGGGACTGCTGTTTTGACCATTGTCATAAATTTGATTACCATATAAAGTCAGGTTCATAGAAAAACTAGAATTTCTGTTTCATTTGAATAATAATTAAACGACCAGTGAGTTTTGAGTTTGAAAATATTGTTGTTATGGAATTTTGACCAATCAGAATCAAGTTTTCAATCCAGTTACATTGTAAGCGAAGCTAACGGCCTCCTATTCTATCTCTGTATTTAACATGCAGACTTTGAGTGGTGTTTTCTTAAAGGGATATTCCGGCGTAAATTTAAGTTAGGGTCAAATACACCGTAAGAGCGATGAGTTAAACACCTCCTCCAGAGATGAATGTTGCCGACCACTTGCTTCTCTAGTTATACCAACTTTAGTAACGACCGCATGATAGCAATACAGCAGCCGCTTGTTTGTGGGGGAGCCCTGATGAGTCGATCACCAAGTGCAGCTGAAAACTTATGATTAATACTTAATGGAAATGCAATCGACTGAGACGCTAAAGAAGAAGAACTACCGCGTCTGCAGTGCAAATACAAGATACACAAGAACTCTGATTGCCAGGGCTCTCAAGTTTCATGCATTCCCTCCCGTTCACACGCTTACAAACAACACATTGTATTTCTCATGCATTTAAATTACCACAGTGACATCCACCAAGTTGCACCTCTCTAACAATGGAACTCTGATTGCATTTCCATGAAGTGATAATCATAAATGTTCTTCCTTGAGCTGCGAAACTCCGCTGCACTCGGTGATCGACTCATCAGGACTCCCCCCACAAACAAGCGGCTGCTAAAGGAGAGTAGGTGAGTTGTGTTTAGTCTCTTTGCTAAAGAAATCAGTCAAAGCTAAAAAGATGTTTTGTGGCTAGTACAATGGCTGGGACCCTATATGTCCTGTTGATGAAGTTAGGTGCTGTTCTGAGCATTATTTGTGGCTATAGAGTGGCGGTTTGGTTGAGGTTTGTTTATGGCTCCTCAGATCGCTGTATTGCTATCCTGCGATCGTTACTAAAGTTGGTATCACTAGAGAAGCAACATTCATCTCTCGGGGGGGGTGTCTAACTCAGTGTTACAGTGTGTTTGACCCTAACCTAAATTTACGCCGGAATATCCCTTTAACTTCCCAAAAACGTCCGTTTAGCATTAAAATTAGATGTTTAATTTCTATATTTCAAGACTTTAATCGACCAAAAGCAAAAGAGAGTGAAGATTCTTCGACAGGGCCAACACACGGATATATTTACACCATTAAAGTGGACAAACACCAGTTGATCAATGAGCTGAGTAGATGAGACAGCTCCTGACCTTCACTGTCTCTCAGGCGGATCGATCAGTCCGGACAAACCTGTGTGGATTTCTCAGCTGATCGATGGACCGTTCGATCTTTAAAGTCCTCAGACACAAACCTGTCACTAAATGTTTCCAAACACGACTGTACACCCCCCTGACGTTACATCTTCTTCCTCGTCTTCAGGCGTCGCTCCATGTTCCTGGTGAACAGTCTGGCTGTGATCGGCGGTCTCCTCATGGGCTTCTCCACCATCTGCTCCTCCTATGAGATGGTGATCGCAGGTCGTCTGGTCATCGGCCTGTTTTGCGGTCTCTTCACCGGGTTGACCCCGATGTACGTAGGTGAGGTGTCGCCCACTCCCCTCCGTGGAGCCTTTGGTACCCTCCACCAGCTCAGTGTGGTCATCGGCATCCTCATCGCGCAGGTCAGTGCAGAACAGACTAACCTTATAATAAACAGCTGATCAAGCATTTGACTGAGCTGCTGTGGTTCTTCATGTTTAGGTCTTCGGTTTGGAGGCTCTCCTGGGCTCAGATAAGCTGTGGCCCTTGCTGCTGGCCCTCACTGTGGCCCCTGCTGTGCTCCAGTGCATCCTGCTGCCCTTCTGTCCTGAGAGTCCTCGCTTCCTGCTCATCAACCTGAAACAGGAGGAACAGGCACGGAAAGGTACGAGATGAAAAATGAATCCCTAAAAATATAACGCTTTAGGACTATTTACCACATCCCTCTCCTGGCTGACTCATCACCCACAAGCAGCCACATCCTGAAACACACGGCCAGACGACAGGAGACGGACTTTTGTGGGTTTAATTGAATCAGTTTTGCTAATGGACCCGACCACGTCAACCAGGAACCAGAGGAGCTGTGGCAGGATGTGCACAGAGCTTTCTAGAGTCTGCGTGGTCACCAAATTTACAGCCCCAGCTTAAAGTTTTCATCCCGACACAGACTCTTAAACCTGAAGATAACCTTTACTTATTTTCAAAACAACTCAGTGGGCTATTTTAGAGTCAGGAGGGTAAATACCAGCTACAGTTTGGTCTTCTGTGCTGTCTGAATTTCTGTTTTAACATCACACACAAACATTTTTATCTATTTTGCTGTAGAAGTCATCTTGACTTTTTAAAGTTAACACCATCCTTGATAGTGGAGGATCTTAAACCCCAAATTTAACCCTAAAAGGTCTCATGTACAGATAGATACGGAAGAGGATCAGGGCCACTGGAAAAAAAAAAGGTCCATAATTTTTTTTGTTATTAATCTGAGAAAAAAAGTCAGAATTCTGAGTTTTTTCTCCCAAGATAAAAACAGTGGACATTGTAATTGAATATTCACCCTTTAAGTGTCTGATGTTTTTAAACTGAAAAGGCAGATTTCACGTGAGATTGGTGTTGTGCTCCAGTTTAGCTCGTTTGTCAGTCGTCCACTTGTAAAAACAGGTAGGACATGGACTCTCCAGTGTCGATGCAGCGAATGGCTCCTGAGAGAATCATGCTTCTGTCCACTGTGAGATAAATTCTGAGTTAAAAAGTCAGAATTCTGACTTATTTTCTCTGAATTCTGACTTTTTTCTCAAAATAATTATCAAAAAAAATGTTTCTGACCTTTTTTTTTTCCAGTGGCCCTTATCCTCTCCTGTAGATAAATCGACTAAGGAGTGTCATTTTTTATTCTGGTTTAATTTTTTATTCCACTTTTCTCACAGCTGGCGTTGCCCCCTGCTGGTCATTTTGAAAGAATGCAGTTCAGAGCATTTGAATGTGAAATTAAAAGACTGCGCCCACTTATAGACACCAACATACAGTCTGTGATCACAACATTACATCTTTTGTAAATAACCAAGTACTCTTTACTCTTTTTAATCTACTCAAAATAAAGTTTGTGTTGAAAAGTATGTGTTGGTTCGGGTGACTATATTCTTAATCCCCAAAAAGAGGACACAACTACGCAGGGGCGGAGTCACGTCGAGTAAATTGTGAGAGTTTTTATACTAGAGGGATTTTATAAACCCCCCCAAGACATGTCCGGACAAAAAAGAGGACATGTCTGGGTAAAAGAGGAGGTATAGTCACCCTAATATTGGTGCAAAATAACATATAACATGTAATATCAGATTAACGGGAAAGAGAGGTAAATCATTTTAAAGAAGGACAAGACAAGTAAAAAACAAAAGAGAGAAAGGAAGATTAAAAAAGAGCAGGTTAAAGTCATAACGTAAAAGATAAGACAGAAAGAGACAGTGGGGACTGAGTGGTGACAGGTACCAGGGTCAGCTCAGGAGACTGTGGATGATGTTTTCACAGAGAGAGAGAGAGAGAGAGGAGAGCCCTTGAAGTGACAGACGCTTCTGGCATATGTTCATCGTGGAGCCTGGCAGGGGTCGACTCTGAGGCTCTGACCCACTTCCTCACACCTGACACATTTACAAACAAAGACAGGGATCAGGACTCACGCTGAGAGTTGCATCACGGGATACACGAACTGCTAAAATCACTTAGTTACTCATGTTTTGTTTTTTGTTTTTTCAGCGTTGGTGCGTCTGCGCGGGAGCGAGGATGTGAGTAAAGACCTGCAGGAGATGAAGGAGGAGAGCGCGAAGATGGCCATGGAGAAGAAGGTGACCATCCTGGAGCTTTTCCGCTCTGCGGCGTACCGACAGCCTCTCCTCATCGCCATCATGTTGCAGCTCTCCCAGCAGCTGTCAGGGATCAACGCTGTGAGTCAGCAACACGCAGAGAAAACAGAGAAACACATGCATGCAAGGAAAAAACTGATGCTCTCCTGGTACTTCAAGAAAGGATGCATCATTTAAGAATCTCACTGCCAGAAGAGGGAGACAGAGGCAGGAGCTCCAGATAGACGTGACTCTCAGTGTTACTGTTATCTTACATTGACAGTTTAGAGTAGATCTGACCCTAACACACCCAAACACACTCGAAATCAAACTGAACCCACATCAGAAAGATTAAAGCTCCTCTGAGGATGTTTTTTGGAACATATGTTGTGATTTATTATGATGTGACCACCTTGTGAAGCCACATGGTTTCTAGGTAATATGTTTCTATAAAAGCTGGTGGTTCATAAAGTCACAACTCTATAACTCTCTGTCTTTCAGGTGTTCTACTACTCGACCGGCATCTTCGAGTCTGCAGGTGTGAAACAGCCGATCTACGCCACCATCGGAGCCGGCATCGTCAACACCATCTTCACTGTCGTTTCTGTGAGTGACTTCAGTGATTCACTCTTTGGTTTCTGAACATGTTTGTGTGTTTTTAGCAGCACATCACTCCCTCCTCTGTTTGTTCGTCTGTCTGTCCTGCAGCTCTTCTTGGTGGAGAAGGCGGGACGAAGGACTCTGCACCTGCTGGGATTGGGTGGGATGGCGGTTAGCGCTGTCATCATGACCGTCTCCCTCCTGCTGGTGAGTTCGGCATCATCTATCGTGGAGAAGATAGAATAATGACCTGTTATTATAATCAGGTTCATGGTTTTGTTGTAACTCAAGTTTAATCCCTTCTTCTCTCCATCTGTCTGAGCAGAAGAACTACACCGCCATGAGCTACGTGGCCATCATGGCTGTCATGCTTTTCGTGGCGATGTTTGAGATGGGCCCCGGTCCAATCCCATGGTTCATTGTGGCTGAGCTGTTCTCCCAGGGGCCCCGGCCAGCCGCCATGGCTGTGGCCGGCTGCTGCAACTGGACCGCCAACTTTCTGGTTGGAATGAGCTTCCCCAAACTTGTGGTGAGAAATGAGGGAGAATTGTGGTTGGAACTGGTTTTGGTTGAATTTGGAAGCAACTTTTTCTGACCTTTTCTTTCTTTAGTCTCTATTTTTGTCTCTCAGGTCTCATGATAAACTGAAACACAAGATCTCTGACAGCCTACGTGAAATCACACATTTCTGTAAAACCTAGGCGCCTCTCTTTCCTCTCTCCTCAGGAATTGTGCGGGCCCTGGGTCTTCCTCATCTTCACCGCCTTCCTCATCATCTTTTTCATCTTCACCTTCATCAAAGTCCCCGAAACGAGGGGCAAGACCTTCGACGAGATCGCCCAGAGCTTCGGCAGCGCCCCGCCTCCTACCTCTATATCTGTGGAGGACCCTCCCGCCAGCGCCAGCGCTAGCACCGCCGGGACGCTCCCCGCCTCACCTGTGAAGGAGAAGGTGCCGCTGGTGGAGGCGCCGGCTGCAGCTCCGCCTCCCGCAACCGAGAGCACGCCGCTCGACGACAAATCAAACTCGACAGTGCAGGAGAGTGTGTAGAGCAGCTGTTTTACGGGATTAAGGGTCATAAACGAATGAAAAATAACAGATTTTAGAAATTGTGTAAATTATAATCAAATATCAAACCTTGAACAATAGAAACTTTTATAATAGATCTTCTTAGAGCAGCAACATTACCACCATACAGTACAGGCTTTGACCTTTAAAAGGTTATAATAACTCCTTAGACTTCTTCTTTCTTTTCAGACATTTAATCTTTCCTTTAAATCCTCCCCTATGATCGATAAAAAAGGAGGACTCGCTGTACAAAACGACAGGTTAGATATACTTGACATTCCTAAGAGAAACGCTACTCTCATAAAGGTGTGAGTCTAGTCAGGATGACACTGTTTGAGACCGTGTTTGAGAAAAAACGTCGCTAAGATGTCTGTTAGAGGTCAAAGTCAATCACTGCAGACTAGAAACAGAGTGTGTTGTGACTCTGTGTGAGTATACAGGTGTTTCCAGATGTGTTCACTCCTGAGTTCAGGTCCATGTGTGAGTGAGGAGACATGGATGCACTTTTTTAATTCACTTATTCCTGTCGTAGTGGATATTTTAGTGCAATACTTTGGCTGTGGTCTCACCTCGTGATATTTATTTGTGATCTACTTTTTAGTTGTTTTGAATTGTTTTCAGATCTAAGAAGGGATTTAAAGATGAACTCTCTGCCCTCAGCTGTTCAATACAAACTGACAAAGTAGGGAGCTTTTTAAAAATGACCAAAGTACTCGACTTTGATTTCTACCAGGTGGACACGTGTGCGACCTCTAATGTGTTTTCCCTGGTAGATAAAGTCGGGTGAAAATAGAGCAGCAGCCACACGTCAGGCAAACTTGTTAAATTTTTTTAAGATGATCATGTAGTTAAGGCTATTTAACAAGTTAAGACACAAGTTTCGTCCACTATTTACTTGGTCAAGTCACTAAAAAGATTTAAAATTCACTAGGTAATTTAATCTAAAGAAAACTTTCATGGATGTGCAGAAAGTTGCACCAATACACAAATATGAATATCTGGAAAGTACGGAAGCCCTGAGAGGCAAGTAAACAAAAAGGAAGTAAAAATTGTTAAGGGGAAATTATGGGATAACTTGTCAGGTTACTTTTTCCCCACACTGGAAAGCATTCAAAAATGTGTTCGTTTTATCTTTCTCAGAACTTTTTTTTTTTTTTTTAATACAACAAAAAACAGTCATTTTAAATTCCTGCCCAGCTGTTTTGTTTTTCCAAAAAAAAAAAAAAGAAATTTTTTTGCAGATAAAAAATATCGGATAAATTTTAGGAAAAAAATCAATTAGAACGTCCAGAATTTTTTTTCCCCATAATTTAAATAAAAAAGTAACCCCGTACTTCAAGACTTTTTGGTTTGAATCTTGAATATAGCATAAAATATAGTTGAAAGCTCAGAAAAATCCTAAATAACGTTTTAAACATGGGTGTCTATGGGGAGGCTTTAGCTTTTAGGGGCAGCCTCTAGTGGACATTTAAGGAACTGCAGTTATTTTACTTCATTTTTCGATACAAGAGGTTGCTGCTTGGTTTGTAGGTCCAAAACGCAGACATACATAATATTTTTTCTCTGATTTGGCTCTCGGGGCTTCCATACTGATGTTCTCATAAATTATCGCTTTACTGAAGGTTTCGTCATGGTGAATGTTTGTAAATCTTTGTGGGTGTTGCTGATGACTGTGGCTTGCTGACACAAACATGGTGACTAAGTTAATTTACACATGTAGATCACATTAGGGTAATGTGCAATGTATATTATTTTTTCAACAGAATCTAGAGTATTTATCGCAGAAATTAATTTTTGTATACAGTATTTAATTCTGTAACATTAAAGGGAATTTAGAGTCGTAGTGCTTTCTAGACGAGCTGAGATATAAAGTAGAACGTGGAGAGACAACATGATGTGAACTGAGTGAGGGTTAAATGTTGTAAATCTCATCTGCTCCTCTTTCCTCTTAGATGCACTTTGTTATCCAGATAATTAGCGAAGAGAAGCATTAGAGCCACAATCACCATGAGGGGCATTTTAGCACAGTAGCGCTTTATGTCAAATCAATAGAATAATAACTAAAAACTAGATTTATTAGAAGAAGTGAGAAGATCAGGCTGAGCTGTTTCTAGAATAGACGAGTTTTATAAAATGTGCAATCTATGAAAAAAGGAGCTGAGAGTAAAATGAGGCAACTAAAGGGGAAGTGCTAATAGTGTGAAAAACAGAGAAAGACCATCTGACCTTATTAAAATTGTCTGATTTTAATGTTTTTTTTTAAGCTTTAATTGACTGTCCAAAAAGGGAAGAATGGATGCTCAATTGTGAAATCATTACTGACAGTGATTTGGGATTTTTTTTGTGAGTTTGCAAGAGGATTGTGCAACTTTTGCGTCCGCTAAACTAAATTACAAAACACGCATGAAGGGTTCAACATGCTCAGACTCTAAGAATGAAGCTTTGTTATTGTAAAAATGATGAAATTTGTGTCCGTCCTGAAGGTTTTAAATCAACTTCATGGAACCCGATTAGATGCTGACAGTTTATCTCCACAAGCAGACGCAAAACAAGTGCAAACTGCGCCGAGCTTCAAAGCTGTTTGGGCGTTTGAGCTTGAGTATCAGTGGTGCAAAATGCATAGCGGGGGCAAATGATGCGCAATTCCTCACCTGTCTATTTTCATTCTTATTCAATTTCTCTCAAAGTTAAAGACATGTTTTTTTTATTCACACAGTCTTAATCTTTGTCTCTTAACTTTGTCTCTTAAAATCTGTTGTTGGCTTTCAGGTCAAATTTTGGATTTGTTGTCTGTGTTTGCCTGGATGCCTAAATCACATCAGTCAGATTGAGTCTAAACACACTGAATGCAAGTTATATTGACATATTTCAGCCTCTCTTTTTAGTCAACTGCCGCTCTGTTTGCTACTCCCCTCAATCCTGCCAACATTTCGCACTGATGGTAGTTTCTAGATCTGAAATTGCACTGTTTATTTCTTGAAGGGGGCTGATTTTTGGCACAGAAATACTTCCTCCATAAACTCCAACATTGTCTTTCTTTCTTGTGTGTCTGCACTGAAAATGATTAATCAACAATGAATTGTTTCCGGCGTGTGTACTGGCTTTATTTGTCGGTCTACATTGTGAAGCTTTGTCTCAAGAGTCAGCCTCGTGTAGCATGGTCAGCTGTCACAGATATATGTATTTAAACACTCAGTATATTTGGTGTAAAAGTGTGTTTTCTCTATCGGCTGTGTGAATTACTGCAGAAAGAGGTGGAAACTGCGTTTTTTATTGATCTGCAGTGATTCATCTTCCACCTGAAAAACACGCTCTTGTGTTGATTAAAGTTTGATCATTTCTTTGGCTGTACTGGATGGATATTGTTCTTGGGCAAATACCTCAAATGAAGTGACAAGTTTCCTGCCTTTTTAAAACACCGACTTTTGTGCAGATATAAACATCACTCCACTCAAACTTGTAAGAAGTTCACGGGCTTGTTGTCCAGGTGAATATTTCTTACAGTAAGGTAACGGATGGTGGTCGGGATCATGGCTTTGTTGTGTACTGCTGTGTTTGTGGATGATAGTGTCGTGCTGTGTTCGCACTGAGGGAGGTGTGTATGTGTGTGCGCTCACACTCCTCTCATGATAAAGTGTTCAGTGTTGTGTTTAGCCTCTCCTGCAGGGTCCTGCTTTAGTCTGTGGCTTCTCCTGCACACCGCTCCTCCACTAAAACACTAACTCTGCACTAACACTGAACCTAACCAAACCTGAGTCAGAAAATATGGGTTTTTAAATGCTTTCAATTACTCGGTGCAACCAAGCACAGTTTGCACTTTGTGATTTGATGATTGAAAACATGTCTCCCCCTTTTTCTTTTAGTCAGAATTTTTGAAAAAGTCTGAAAAAGGATCTTTTGAGTTTTCTTAATCACATGAGTTAAAATCTAGTGTGCACGTGTTTGTCATCGTATGCATACCAGTTTATTTCTTGTGCATACAAGTGAATTATCTTGTGCTCACATGTTATTGTCTGATATACACAAGTCACTTTTTGTGCAAACAAGTTAACAGCCTTGAATGTACCAAGTTATAATCTTCTGTTTATAGGTGAAATGTACGTAAAAGATGGTTTCTTGTGCGCAAAAGTTGGTGATTTTATGCATAAAGACAATTTATTTGTGCTTACAAACAAATAATTATGTGTGCATAATTATTCTTCTGTGCACACAAGTTGATAATAGCTTGTATGCTCAAGTTATATCTTTGTGTGTATAAGTCGATTATGATGTGCTATGAATTGTGCGTTAATTTGTGTGTACAAGTCAACTATGTTGTGAACTAGATTTGTTGTCTTGTGCTACAGAAATTAATAATCTACATGCAGAAGTTGTTTTTAGTGCACAAGTTAATTGGAGTGTATGCAGAAGTTCTGGTTTTCTGCACAAAAGTCTGTCCTGATTGACATGTTCCCATCAAAAACCATGACTCCTGAAACATTTAAACAGATTTTACTCTAAATTGGGTTGTGATTTATTTAATACGCTGCTTTGAAGAGGTTAGAATTATTGATTCAGACCTTAAATCCAAGGTAGAGTGAGGGTCTCTAGCTGGTTTCAGACAATCTAACTTCCTCTTGCTAGTTGAAGGTCGCCCCCTGCTGGCCTTTAGAGTAAATGCAGGTTTAAGACACATCTACTGGACTAATGAGGAGATGATTGGGAGCTCATTTGCTAAATTTAATGTATCACAAAAGTATCTGAAAGGATTTGAAACCGTTATTTGGACTCAGGAGCGCGCCACTCCTAACCAACGCCATATGCACAACTCCAAAGCCTCCACTCACTTTATGAAATAAGTATTCATTTGTAAATATGTATTTTTTATAAGAGTAATATTTATATGTGGGCTTGCACGGTCATATGTATGTGTGTGTGGATCATTTTCTGTTGGGGTGCACATCATTCACTCAGTTTGTAGAGGTCTAGTAACAGTTTTCAGCTAATTTCAGGCAGCTCTTTAGATAGTCTCCCTGTCATATTTTAACTCCTCTGTGAGTGTGAAAGAATTTAATCCACTGCTACTTGTCTCTTTTTATTCTCCTCTCACGTCTTCTTCACAGCCGTTCCCTTTTTTTACACCACACACCGAGTTGTTGATGGTAATTTCTGGCTGTGTAAATGTGGAAAATCTCGCCATTTCATTTGCAAAATATCCAAACGACTGAAGAATAAAGCAGCTTTGAGACGAACCGTGTCTCAGAGGAGAAAAGTGTCTCATCATCAGTGTGCTTTGGCTGCTGCGGTGTCTGTTTTTGTCTATTTTTTATTGTTTGTTGGTCTGTGTGTTATCATTGTATAAATAAATGTACTGACTGTGCCGTATGTTTGATTATCACGTACTGTAAGTTTGCTATCTGTGCCTCTCTGCACCTCACACAACCACAGACTGTTACTAAAATGTGAGTTTGTGGCGAAGCTGTCCACTGCTTCAGTATAGAGACATGTCACTCCTTCATTAGATAATACAGGTAACTCTATCAGGTGCTGTGTCACTCTAAATCCGATCATTTTGGGCTTCAAATTGCTTAAATTGGACGTGTGTTTCTTGTTTCGGTGGCATGTTTAGAGACCAACTGTTGAGTTTTGGGTGATTTCTGTGAAGTGAATCGTGCAGACGACTTTGTAGCTTCAGTCAGGCTTTGTGACATCTGTGTGTGCCACGCCAGCGATGATGCACCCCAGCTGTTTCTGTTTCTCTTGTGTTTGTACTGTACATACAAGATATAATGTTGTTAAATAAATATTGATCATCATTGAATTAAAGGGCTTTTGGTCATATTTTATCGCTCCAGATATCCATATATATTATGTCATTAATCGATAAAACTACACAAAACAGTGACTTTTAGGGTTGGTTAAATTTTACATTGAGGGAAAGAGAAAAAACAACAAAATGATGCTATAGAGTAAATTATAATGTATTTTTATGCTCCGTGACAGCTGGGATAGACCTCAACACAAAAAGGGAAACTGATTAAATCAATCTCTACATCCACGTACAGAGTTATTGAGTTCATTTATAATTTATTCATTTTTATTCGAAACACATAATCAAACAGTAGCACAAAAGATATTAGCCTTCATCAACAAATAGACAACAAAAATCACTGTGGACAAAAAATCATTTATGTTGCCTACAGATCAAATTATTGACAATATTGTCAGAGCTTTTTTATGGTGTGAAGCTGTGAGGAACTGTGGGGACATTTAAAAACAGACAAAAACAAAAAATATATATATTTTTATTCTTTTTAATCAATTTCTTAATTTTTATGGTGTAAAAATGTGAGAAACTGGGTGGAAAAATTAAAACAGACCAAAAACAAACAAAATATGTTTTTTTTTTTAAATCAATTTCTGAAATTTTATGGGGAAAACTTTGATGAATTGGGTGGAAAATTAAATCAGACAAAAACAAACAAACAAAAAAAGTCAATATTTTCTCTTTTAATCAATTTAGTTTTCATGGTGTAAAACTTTGCGGAACTGGGTGGAAAATTAAATCAAACAAAAAATGCAATTTTTTCCCCTTTTTAAATAAATTTCCCAATCTTTATGTTGTAAAACTGTGAGGAACTGGCTGACACATTAAAAAAGACAAAAACAAACCAAATTTTCAGTTTTTTAAATTTCTTTTCATTCAATTTCTCAATTTTTATGGTGTGAAACTGTGAGGAACTGGGTGGAAAAATTAAAACAGACAAAAACAAACAACATTTTTAAAATTTTTCCCCCTTTTTAATCAAATTCTCAGTTTTTATGGTGTAAAGCTGTACGGAAACTGGTCGTTAAATTAAAACAGACCAAACCAAATTAAAAAATGTAATTTTTCCCCCCCTTTTCAATCAATATCTCAATTTTTTGGTAGGTTTTAATGAATCAATGACTTTTTATAAATTATACGAAGTAAACATACGACGTTTGACCTAATTATCTAATTATAGACCCAGTCATGCTGATGTGGAGTCGGTTCCGGTGTTTTCTCTTAATGGACCGGGGGTAAAGGATCCCCTTCTCTCCCCCATCCCGCTGCTCCGTCATCCCGTCGCGCCGGAAAAGGCAGAGCAGCGGAAAAAGGAGGCGTTGCCCTCCAACAACACATCAGCTGCAAATTTATGCAAAACAGTAAAAAGCACCGAAGAAGCTGCTGCAGCTGCTGCTCCAGTGAAGAGACGGGAAAACATCGCCTACAGCGGGGCTCCGTGGCCGCAGAGCCGCTCATAGCCGTTCAACAGCGGGCAGCCGGTGCAGGAGCAGGCGGAGAAACCCGGACCCGGCGACGGTAAGCACGAACCCGAGAGAGCCCCCCGTTAACGAGCCAGACGGGAGCAGCGGTTAGCGGGATGCTAAGAGGAGTAGCCTCCGGTCCGTGCAGAAACATGGAGGTCTAAAACATGGAGGCTAGCTGCTAACATTAGCTCAGTGTTTGGTACCGAGAGGATGATTTCAGATAGAGAGAGAGGAGGATTTTACACACCGAGCGACCGACCGCTGCTGCTGGGACAGGAGCGTGTGTGTGTGCGTGTACGTGCGTGAGTGCGTGCGTCTGTGTTTGTGGAGGAGGAGGAGGAGGAGGAGGAAGGGTGATGTGGAGATAAGGCAGGGATTTAAATCACATCAGATTTATACTGGTCAGAATTATACGGTGGCCGAAAACCGCCACTGCTGCAAATTAAAAAAGAAGTAACAACCGAAGCTACTGATAAAAAAAAGAAACAGTGCAGATAAATTTTTTAAAAAAAGCCACAACAGAAGTTAATGATGCAAAAAAAAAAAAAAGTGGTGACGCAAAAAAAAAAAAGTTACTTGCTGCTAAAATAAAAAGGATGCAGATATTAAAAGCCACTACTTTGCTCGTCTTCTTGTCTGCACCGTTTCTTTTTGTGATTTGCAGCAGACTTTGGTTTCTTTTTTTTCTGCATGGGTAACTCCCGTTGTGACTTCTTTTTTTTTTTTCATTCTTTTTTATTTGCAGCAGTGGCGGTTCTCAGCCACCGTAGATTTCTGCCCAGAAAAAAACAAAAACAGAAAGAAAGAAAAAGAAAACTATTTCTATATTTTTAAAGAACTCATCTCAGTTTCTCAAAGGTAAAAGAAGGAAAAAGTGAAACTCCTCTGGGCCAAATTTTGGTCACATTTTGGTGTTTGCTGTTACCATCAGAAACAGGTTCACCATCATAAGGAATTTGCATAAAATAGAAATGGAAACACATTTATCCTGTGGTCGTTACTAAAGTGGGTATAACTAGAAAAGCAAGCGTTCAGCAACATTCATCTCTCGAGGGAGTGTCTAACTCGGTGTTACGGTGTGTTTGACCCTAAATTAATTTTACGCCGTAATATCCTCTTAAAGAATAGATTAATTTTAGCAATGCAGCCAGAGCTTTGATGGAAGAAACTGTGCATTTCTTGCATGTGTTCGTGGTTGTAGCTCATTAATCGTGCAAATGTGGAAGCATTTTAAAGAGTGTTTTAATCTCTGCTGTGGAGCGTTCATGTTCGGCTTCAAGGAGGAAAGATAAAACCAAAAAGGGTTTTCTGGAAAAGCTCAGATCTTGGCCCAGCTGTATGATTTTCAGTCAGCATGTGCAGCTGTTACAGTCCCAGTCCCAAAAAAGTTGCGAAGTTGTGTAAAACGCTGGACAGATTTTGATGGTTTGCAAATTATTTTAACTCGTTATTTAATGAGAATACAGCAAATGCTTATTTTACCTTTGAAGCCAGGAGGACGCTTCAAAAAAGTTTGGATAGGCTCAAGAAACACTAAAAAGTTGTGGAAAAAACAGCTGGAGGAATATCTTTGAACTAATTAGGTGAATTTGCTTCAAGTCAGTCACATGACTTGTTGAAAACGGTCACTCCAGAGAGACTGAGACTCTCAGGAGAGGGATTCGGCTCTCTGTGAGAGACTGTGTGAGCCGCGATCTTCATCACTACATGACTCTGTAACAGAAAATATCTCTGGACTCTGCTGTCCTGGAGTGAAACCTGTGCCCCGAACGACCGTGTGTGTAACACAGGCTGGTTTCTAATCAGAGAAAGTGTGTCGTGTGTGTCTGTCAGTGTGCGTCTTCAAGTGTGTAAATTATGTGCGCCTCCTTGTGTCCCTTCAGACGACATGGAGACAGATGGAGAGCAGAACCAGCAGGGGGCCTCAACCAATGGGAGCCCTGCATCTGGGACGAATGCCCGTCCCTCTCCCATGAATTCAATGTCTCTGTATGAAAGACAGGCTGTGCAGGTAGGTGTGTGTGTGTGTGTCTTTGTTCAGCGTTTTTATTTGTGCTGGAGCTGTCAGAGGTTTTGTCTCCAGTTCACATCCTTTCATTTTCTTCAAACTGCTGCTTTTCTCTCCTTACAACAGTTGAGCTTCACTGTTTAGAACATTCAGAGAAATTTTCTGTGCCAATTTATTTTTCCATGAGTAATTTGGGGGAAAATTTGAGATTTTTTCTTAGCACTCGGGAAAAAGAATCAACATTTTTCATAATTTTTGGGTGCAGACATGTTGTCACCTAAGAGAGAAGAGAAACGGGAGATGAATCAAAAATAAATCAGATTACCAAGGATAATTTTTCACTCAAAAGTCATGTATTTATTTAAAAAAACATCACTTATGTCTTTAACTTTTCTTGTTAGGACTTTTCAGGTGAAATCAACTCATAACATGTTAAAGAAAAACACTTGATCCAAGTCAGTACAGTTTCTGCAGGTTTCAACAGGTCAAATTTAAGACTTTTAAAGACTTTTTTAAGACCATAATGAATAAAAATTAAAATACATTTTACACCCATACTTGCAAAAAAGTACAAAAGACATGAAGGGAGATCTGAACATTTTAAACTAACTTCAAATCAGTCTGTATTTGAAAGTAACATCAATACATTTTAAGACCTTTCAAATTTATATTTAAGACATTTTAGAAGATTATAAAAGAATTTTAGACATTTAAAGGCCTTTAAATTAAAATGATCGAATTTTAGACGTATTAAGACTTTTTAAGACCATAAAAAATACAATTTAAGATCCATTTTACACCCATACTGGCAAAAAAAGTACAAAAGACATGAAGGGAAATCTGAACATTTTAAACTAACTTCAATTAATCTTTATTTCTAAGTTACAACAATACATTTTTAAGACCTTTTAAATTTGTATTTAAGACATTTTAGAAGATTATAAAAGAATTTTAGACATTTAAAGGCCTTAAATTAAAATGATAGGATTTCGGACATTTTAAGATTTTCTAAGACCCTGCAGAAACCTTGTTTTGATCGACACTAACTTGGCTGATCTGCTCAGTAAAGAGCGATGTATAGAGAGCAGGTGGTTATGCCAAACTGAATCCTTTCATAGTAAGACACCTATGCTAAGTACAGGGTGTCTTGTCTCACTATATAATAATGAGGCTTTGACCAATCAGAATCAAGTATTTAACACAGCCTTGATTTATAAGAGAGCTGGGTGATAATGCAGGTAGAATAATCAGAATCAACCTTTTGGAGCTTATTAAAAATCATTAAAGTCATTTGTTTGTATTAGTTTGTTTCTTTACCTCCAGAGGCAAAAATCAGGTTAATGTGGTTTCAGGTAATTAACTTTCATTAGAGCTTTGTTTGGCTGTAAGGCACAATCCTGCCTGCAATAAAGATCGAGTTATTGCCCACTCTTGAATTGATGTTCCCTGTAAACTTGTCAGAAGTCATTAGCTGTAGCGTGACGAAAAAAACGATTTTACAGCCTGCTTTTGTTGGACAGTCTGTTTTTTTATGTACAGGTAGAAAAGGCTGCAGCTGTTTTATCTTGAAGTTTCAGTGGTGGGAAGCAGAGATGAGTGAGAGATGGAGGTGAAGGTTAGGGAGATTGAGTCTTGCAGTGTTGATGGAGTCTCTGTGTGATTTTCTCAGGCTTCTGTCACCGCGCTCAGCCATCTGTCTTTGTCACCGTGCGCTCACTAATCCAGCCCGCCACGCTCGCTTTCATCCCGCAACTTATTACTGTACCAGCCTCTGCTCATACATCAAGCAGCTGGCACCCCCCCACTCTGCCTCCTCTGCCCTCATTCCTCTTACTCCACTTTCTCCCTCTCTCATTTTTCACCGTACTCCTCATCCTTTTTCATCTTTTGTCTCCTCTCTCCTCCTTTTTGACGCCATGTTCTCTCTTTTCCTCCTGCTTTCCTTCTCTTGTCATGTCCTCTCTTGTTCCTCTCCTCCCTTATCTCTCCCTCCATCGCCTAACTGCTGGTTGATTTATTTCATTCTTCCACTCCTCCTCCTCTTCCTCCTCCCTCCAGGCCCTGCAGGCGTTACAGAGGCAGCCGAATGCAGCTCAGTACTTCCAGCAGCTGATGCTGCAGCAGCAGATCAACAACGCCCAGCTGCAGAACCTGGCAGCTGTGCAACAGGTCAAGGTGCAGAAACACTCATAACAGTAAACATCTCATACACTGTGGCAAGTCAATTTCTATGACTACTTTACGACAAAGCAGGTTCCACTTTAGATACTGAAACGATAATACTTATAACAAAGGGTAAAAACGAAGAGCAGAGATGGTGGAAAAAAGGAAACAATGGCGGCATACAAAGGGTTTTTTTCTGCCTTTTGAATATCTTTGCATCGTTCAAGAGTCAAAACTTGTGTGCAATCTACGCCATAATATTGATAACTCATGCAGTGGTTATAGCCTATCCTTCTGGATAACACTCGTTTTCATCTATTCCTAACTTCTCCGCTCTTCGTCCTCTCAGGCTACTCTGGCAGCAAGTCGTCAGTCCAGCCCTTCAAGCAGCAGCTCTTCTCAGACCACCAGCTCCACAGCTGTAAGCACCGATTTCCACGACTGCACAACAGCCGGTCTCATGCTGTCTACTGTGCTGAGAAATGCTCCACAGGTATGCATTAAAAACAGCTTGACTCAAACTGTAAAGTTCCTCCTTTTCGCTTCAGGCCAGTGTGACGTCTGGATCAGGATCAACAACCAGCAGCCGTCCTTTGGGCGCTTCAGCGACGTCTACAATCAGCCAGTCAGTGCTGCTGAGTGGGACTGCAGGGGGACAGGGGCAGATGTACCTGAGGGTACGTTTGACTCTTTTCATGGACTTTCAAGTATTTTATATTAAAAAAAAAATAGCTTTCATAAAGAGTAAAAAGAAGTGGCAAATAGGGAAAGATGAATAAAACAGTAAATTGAACTCAGTTTTAAAAACAACTTCCTTACAGACAGAAAAAGATTTTATTTAACCCTCTTGATAGTTAAAAAACATGATTTCATTTTGCATCAAAGTTGTTTTTTTCTTGAAATTGTGCTTCATTCTCTTGATTTAACAGAAATAAAACTAGAAGATTGTGCTCAGAATAATATCACCTTGATTTAAGATATTTGATCTCGATTAGATAACAGTTTTAGTGTCGCAGCAGTCGTATTAATCAAGGATAGAAGGTTTTCCACACATGCTCTACAGCAGAACGTTAAAGCCCTGTGTAGTAGATCAGACCTGACCTCCTGTTGGTTACCCTTTTGTTGACCATCATGTCATCCTGCAGGTTAACCGTTCCCTGCGGGCGCCCATATCTTCACAGCTCATCTTCATGCCTGGCAGCACAGCAACAGCTGCCGTGGCAACGGTCACTCAGCAGCCCCAGGCTCAACAACAGGAAGCAACACCAGCGTCTTCTTCCGGCAGCCAACCGGACAGCGACCAGGTTTGCTGCGTTAATGTGATTGTGATTTAAATACTCCATTTCCTTTGAGTTCAGTTTGCACCGCTCTGATTCCTCATGATGAATTTGCATTTAAATCACTTTGGTCTGCTCTCTTAACTTTCTCCAGGCGCAGAATCTAGCCATGCGAGGAGTGTCCAGTCCCAAAGGTGTGAAAACAGAAGCTCCAGAGGGGAGAGACTCGGGTAAGAAAGGAGTGAAGGGTGACCTGAAAACTGCAGGTTCCAAAATCGCGAAGTCTTACTATAACATTCCTGTAAAGACTATCCAAGCAAAGGAAAAATGGCCACCATATGAACACAGAAATTGTCTATTTTAGTAGATCTATTGTTTTAATTTACTGTCACAAGCATTTAAAGTCACATTTTTGAAGATTCAGACACCACAGGGACTTTTTCTTAAGCAAGTATTCACTGATAAACCCACGAAATCTCCAAAATCCGGCAACTGGACTGTGTAGAGTTGAGGGGGGGGGGGTGGCTCTTTTAGAACCGAAGAAGCTTCTTGGATAAACGGCAAAATGTCTTCTCAACTCTACACAGTCCAGTTGCTGGATTTTGGAGATTTCAAGGAAAACCACAACCTGGATGAATGAGAATCTACACGGACCTGCTGATAAACCCACTGTGCCTTATCATTCATGTCCAAATAACAGACGATGAAGAAAGTACGTCCTTTAAGCCTATTATACTTTTTAAGTAGTAGTTAAAAAATGAGCCTTGGTCATGAATTTATCAGCCAAACTCTGAACAAACATTATTTGGTCAAATTTATGTTCCTGAGCCGTTCAGATCTGATAACTGTTTTCTGTTTTGTTCATTTTTCAGCAGCTTACTCCCTGGTCCAGCCCTCCCACCAATCAAACTCCCAGTCCCCCACCAAACCAAGCCAGCCTCAGCCCCAGCCTCCACACATCAAAATCCCCACCTACCCACAACCCACCAACCTCAAAGCCCATCCTTCCTCCTCCTCTGGTCCCTCCTCTTCCTCCTCCACCTCCTCCATCCCTCTCTCTCAGCTCTTACTCCACGGTACCCGGACTCTCACCACAGGAACCACAGGAACCACAGCAGCACACGCACTGGTACTCACCACCTCTGCAGCCACTCAGCCCCATGGATATCCCGTCGGCACGGCGACCATCAAACCAGCGGTGAACGCTCAGACTCTGGTGGTGCAGCCGCTGCAGAAGACCTCGCTCAATGCTGAGAAATCCGGCCACGGTAACGGACCCATCCCCATCCAACCTAAAACCCTGCAGGGGCTCCGCCTGCCCCTTCAGCTCCCCTCCAGAAACCCACCACCCATCCTGCCGGCCCCGCCTCCTGTCAGCTCGGCTCAGTCTCTGCAGCCGCCGCACATCCCAGTCCAGATCGTGGGGGCCAGGCAGAGCACATTGGGAAACACACAAGCTCTGGCTTTGGCTCGGGGCAGCCAGGACGGAGCCGCTGTCCTCAGCAGCTCCTCCAGCCTGCTCACCATGGTGGCCTCCATCGCCTCCAGGGAGGGTGGAGTAGTAGGACGGGGGGTGGGTCTAAAGACGCTGCACTCCCCCCAAGAGGCTCCCCCGCTGGCTCAGGTGTCTCAGGTGCACCCACAGGCCAATCAGAACTCTGGACAGAGCCAGAACGGACCCATGGCATCAAGCCCCGCCTCCTCACAGTCCCCCGCTGTTTCCTCTCCTCCCTCCTCCATGTCTCGCTCTTCCCTCTCCCTCCCCCTGGTGGCAGAAGAGCAGAGAGGAGCGTCAGCTGCTGTAACGGCCAATGGAGACTCATCAGGGAGTCAGACCCCACAGGTCAGCATCAGTCCTGTAGGCGAGGTCGTGTTTTTCTTTCTTCTGTTCATTAATTCAAACTCACTTCTTTCAGGGGAAGCAGTTGAGTGGCCCCCTAAAAAGAAAATCAGACTCCAATTCAGCCAATGATGAAGACGGCCCCTCCCCTCCACGGCTTCAACCAGTCAGAGACCACCCCTCAGTGCTCTCAACCAATCCTGTTGAAGCAGGTTACTACACAGAAGTTTAACTGAGTTCATGAATATTCTGACGTCAAATTAATTTAGGGTCAAACACACCGCAACACCAAGTTAGACACCCCCTTGAGAGATAAATTTTGCTAAACGCTTGTTTCTCTAGTTTTACCAACTTTAGTAACGACCGATTGATAGCAATACACAGCGGTCTGAGGAGCCATAAACAAACCTCAACCAAAACACCACTCTATAGCCACAAATAATGCTCAGAACAGCACCTAACTTCATCAACAGGACATATAGGGTCCCAGCCGTAGTACTAGCCACCAAACATCTTTTTAACTTTGACTCATTTCTTTAGCAAAGAGACAAAACACAACTCATCTACTCTCCTCCAGCAGCAGCTTGTTTCTAGTGAGACCTCAAGCCAATTGATTACAGACTACAGCGGGTTGACGCAGCTCAAGGAAGAACATTTGTGATCATTTCTTTATCATTTCCTTGAAGTAATAATCATCATATTAATCATTTTGCACTGCAGACGCGGTAGTTCTTCTGCTTTAACGTCTCAGTCCGATTGTATTTCCATGAAGTAATAATCATAAATGTTCTTCCTTGAGCTGCGTCACCCTGCTGTAGTCCATAATGGACTGGCCCAAGTTTCTGTAGTCCTGAGCATCTCCTCTGCTCCTCTCTCTAGGCTCTGAAGCTCCGCCCCCCACTTCCTCCTCGCCAGTATTAACAGTGTCCCGCGGGGTCTGCGGTCAAGGGGAGAGAGCTCCTCCCCCTCAAGCTGTGGTCAAACCAAACGTTCTTACTCATCTCATAGAGGGCTTCGTCATCCAAGAGGGGGCAGAGCCTTTCCCTGTGAGTGCATCATGGGATATTTGTCACTCTGAGTGTAAACCACAAGTTTGATTCTGGTCTGAACTTTGTTTTTGTTACTTTGTTGTGTTTGGTGGACAGGTTTGTGGGTCTGTGAAAGACTCAGCTGGTGAGGATTTAACCAATGACAGTCCAGACACGAACCAATCAGAGACTCTTACGACAGCCACAGGTAACTTCTCTGAAAGTTTGATCACTCCACGTGAGATGTACAAATTTTAAGATGTGTGTTCTAGTATTTTACACATACTAACATCTTTAGCTAATTGTTTTGTCTTATAGAAAGTTTATAAGAAATTTTGTTTCATAGCAATGAGTTCAAATGTGGTAATGGACTAAACGAACACATATAATATAGAAAATGTGTCTAGTTGTGGTTAGAAATGGTTCCTTCATGAAGTTATCTGGCACAGTACACTGTCTGCAGCACATACAGCAGATCTACACAGACTCGAAGAAGTTCATTCAAAGTTAAAATAAAAAATAATAATTGAAAAAAAATAATAAATTAAAAAATAAAAATTAAAAAATAAAATAAATACAAAAATTAAAAAAAATATAAAAAATAATAATAAAAAAATAATAAAAAAATTAAAGAAGCAGCATTTTGATTGTGCAAATTTGTGCACACTCTATTATGAAGGATGTATTTTAATGCCAGCTCAGACATTTACTACACTTCCGGCACTGCTACTTGCAATAGTCTTGGTGTTAGGAATCAGATATTGCTCGGCCCCTTCAAACATGTAAAGTTGCCTCTTAAGTAAAAGTCAGATCTCTTTCTCGTTGGGTTAGACTGAAAACAGATCTCATAATCTGCCTCCGCCGACACTGCTGTGTTTTACATCAAACCTTAAAAAAGTCTTTTAGTCCTCAGGCTCAGTCTGAGATGCTCTGGTTGGTCATTTTTTGTTGTCCTCTATAAATAGATTTGTAATGGAACATATTTTCAATTGGCATGATGTGCTGATAAACTATCTGTCACTTTATATGACATAAAACGTCAAAATAGCCTTGTGGTAAAGGAGTCAGGACACCGTGTACATCTGAAGTGTTTATTTACACTGACGGCTAACTGCTCACACTAATTAGCTAGTTAACCTTGCCAGATATGACATAACATAAACACGGAGGGCTGGATTGTACAGTGTGTAACAACATGATCCTCGTGAAACCTTTGTTTACCACCGCAGGGAAACTCAGAGGTTTCTGATCACAGGCTTTCCAAACTTCAGGTTCGACTGTCAGACAACAGAAGCAGCACAGAAAACTGGGATACAGCCGTTTTAGTCCAGTTTTGTGTCCTCTCTTGATGTTATATCTGTTTAAATATAAACTACATTCATTACCCTCTGCTCTGTTTTTGTCCCTGCAGTGCTGAAGTGTGAGTACTGTAAAAACTTTGCTCCTGCCAGCCAGTTCAGAGGCACCAAAAGGTTCTGCTCCATGACTTGTGCCAAGAGGTACTTCAACATGCATGAAATATAATATATGCAGCGGGAGCCATCTTAGAAAAGATAGACTCTGCTGCAGGGAGCTAAAGCCACTCAAGCTTGCTGGCGAAGCTCAAGCGGCTGCAAAAAAAGCAGAAATTTGAAAAGTGAAAAGTGAGTCAGTGGGGTTAAAAGTCTGAGGTGGCTACAGCTGCATATTTTACAGCATGAAGTTTGTTATCAGCTCTCAGTTTTAAGTTATGATTTTTAAAGATCATGATAGCACCACTTCATCCTCTGTGTTTATATAATGCATGTGAGTTTCTGTCTGTTTTCCCGTCAGGTTGAGTTTCCACATTCTGAATTTTGCTCTTCATAAAAAAAGTGTCGTATTTATTTCTTCATGTGTTTCCTCGTATAAATGAGGCACTGTCTGCATTGTTTCTCTACTCTGCTTTGCATTCATCTCTTTGCTGTCTACATGTGTATGGATCGCATACACACTGTGGTGCAAAGAGATCAAAACTGTATGTGTTGCTCGTCTTGGCTTCAGTACCGTATATGTCACTCTTTGTCTACGATACAGTATGTATTGGTTCCCCAGGTACAACGTCAGCTTCAGGCAGCACTTCAGCGTGCGGCAGGGTCACGGTCACCACGCTGCAGACCAGGATCAAGGTCATCTCTCCAACTCTGATGAGGAGGGAGGAATAACCAGGCGGAGGGTTCCCCGCAGGACCAGCTCGGAAATAGCCAGCGCCAAGATAGCAGGGAGACCCATACCTGTGAAGGTGAGGGGGGCAAACGTTACCATCTCGTTATGGTGACCATTTACCTGTGAAATCATGCTCGGGTCTGGAAAATGATCTGTTGCAGTGGTTCTCAACTGGTGGGTCCTGACCCAAAAGGGGGTCGCGGACACGTTCTGGATGGGTCACGATCAGCTGGTCAAAAAAGTAAATGTTTAATGCAATATTTATTTGATATTTGATATTTTCTGTATATGCAACTTCAGTAGTTGTCGTCCTCATGTTGTCCCCTTCATGTGCTCTGAAATGCAATTTACTCAATGAAACGAGTGGACTTATGTTAAAGATTAGATTCTTTTAAAGGTTCTTTTTTCTTTTTATAAAAAATAAATTTGCTTGGTTTGAATTCTATAAAAGTGGGTCTCGACTTAAGGACCACAGGAAAATGTGGGTCCCAGAATAAGACCAGTTGAGAACCACTGATCTAACGTCATACTGTCATAATTCTTACACTGCAGAAAGAAAAGAGTCCCACACAGTAACAGAAAAGTTTAATGTTGGTGAACATATTCAGGAACATGGTGCCATAGTTAAAGCTCCTGTGAGGAACAATCTCTCTGTGCTGACTTTGGCGCCATCTTGTGGACAAAGTAATAACCCTTACATTATTACTGATTTCATCTCATCCTTGTGAAGGTAGTGTTCATTGAAAAAAATTTCCTCCTACTTGTCTTTTTACTGTGAGAATTATCACTCACAGGAAATATTTGCTGTTAGAAAAGTACCTACCTCCGTTCAGCACTTAGAGAATAAAAAATGATAATTTAAACATTAATAATCTTGTCGGTTTTGATCTGATTTGCTTTCTTACATTAAAGAGAGGCATTACTCTTCATTTCAGTCTGTTTTTTAACTTAAAAAAAATCTGCACAGGAGCTTTAAAGCTGAAAAACACCTTCATACACAAACCAGTCCAGACTCAGAAACTAAGAGACTTAAAAAAACAGCCTGGTCACAGTGGAAAAAACAATCCTGTCCCATCATTTAGTCTTGCCTTTGACTGCTGAGCTGTTCCTAAAGCCTCGCTCTTTGCCTCTCCTCCCCTTAGTGCCGCTCTGAGTCCAGCCATTCAGAGGAGGAGTCCAGTGGAGAGGAGGATGAAGATGATCCCATGTCCCTCTCGCCTGCGTCATCGGCCTCCTGCCACCAGCAGCCTCCTCCACCTCCAATCGCAACAGAGAACTCTGCCCCCAGCTGTCCGCCTGCAAGCCCCGCCCATTGGAGCGTGGAGGAAGTGTCACAGTTCATCTCATCTCTACAAGGTTAGGCGAACTGTCTGAACTTAGGACACTATTATCCTTTTCTAAACGATCATTTGCTTTAGTGTTTGATGATAATCTATCACAACATCATTTTAAGTGACTGGGTTCACTGGTATCAGATGGACATGGAACAGACTGATAGGCTTTCCAATAAATGAGGGTCTGGGTTTTAGCATTAGAGGTGCTCAGGGTTTTATAACATGCTTCTTTATATCTAGCATCCTTAGAAAAGACTGGCACTTTTTCTTTAGTTTTTCTATCACTCTCCTGAGGTTGTTTCTCGACAGATTTTGCTTTATGTTGTGATTTTACCATTTTTGGTTCCTCTCTGGTTCAAATCTCCATCCATCTTCGTCGCTCTTCTCCTCCTTCTCTTTGTCACCTTTGTTTCTACTCACCCGCCTCCTCCTCCTCTCTGCAGGCTGCGAGGATCTCGCCCCTCAGTTCCTGTCACAGGAGATCGACGGACAGGCTCTGTTGCTGCTGAAAGAGGAACATCTCATGTCCACCATGAACATTAAGCTCGGTCCGGCCCTCAAGATCTGCGCTCACATCAACAGCCTGAGAGACTGATGTCATTGTTCTCATAGATACACATTGCTCAAAGTCAAGCCCCGGGCATTTACCCCAAACTCTGCTCAGCGTCCGGAGTCGGAGTACTGTAGGTGAATTTGAGAGGGATGCAGTCTATAGCTGAAACAAAGCCAAGGCTCTTAAACTCGCACTCGGGCTAAAGCACTTGACTCTGCCGTGCACTTGTTTGCACTTGAGCACATTTTTTGGCGTGGTTCCAGAGGATCATTGTCATTCTTTGCAAATTTGTCACACCTGTGAGTTGTTACAAAACCACAGATTTCCTGTTTCAGCAGATAAAAGTCCCCTAAATTGCTCTTATTTTGTGGTAAAACAGTAGTGCAGTAGGAAACAGCTTTTACCGTCACAGTTAGAACGCCCAGTTTAGGTTTTATTTCTGTGTTATAAAGTCAGAAAAGGAAGTTTTGAATGTATTTGATCCAGGGTTAAGGTAAAAGTGACTACTTGCACAGGATTACTATTTTTAACTCGCTAAGTACAAATAGGGCTTCCCCTCCTTACTTTACTTAAGCTGTGCTGATCATGTTTCAGTTCTTTGGTCATGTTTTATATTTCTTCAGTTTAGTAACTGATAGGGACTGAAGCTCACAGAGTACAGCACCTCTCTATTTATCTTTTTGAATCACGATGTACAGGAAAAGTAGCTTTGGAAGATTTGTTGCCTTTGAGGGCAATCTAAGTTCTCATGTAGTTTTTGCCTTTTCTTTGACAGTTGTTATGGCAACAGTTATGCACCTGATAAAGACACAACCAGCATTTAAGTAAGACAGAGGTGCTGGAATAAACATGCAAAGATGGAGTTTGCATTGACCCCAAACTAACAAATGAGTACATTTTATTTTAACTGATAAGTGTTTTTTCCCCCCTTCTAAAAAGTATATATTATAACTCTATGAATGTAAAAACTAGTGCTGTGTCGACTGTGTGAATTCCTAAAAATGAGCCTTTTGAAAAGGGGCTCTTTTATCTTGAAACTTGCCTATGCTACTTTTAACAGGGTACAGTTTTATTAAAAGGTCTAGGACCAGAGTCCAAAAGAATCCCAAGTCCTTCAAGATGCAAAAAGAGTTTAAATCTGAGTAAAACAATGCTACGTATAATTTTCTCTCATCTTTACTTTCGTTTCACACAGATAAGACAAAAACTTTTTCATAAAACTCAACACTGTTCTCACTTTAGTACACTTTTGCTCAGTATCTTTGGGAGTTTTTTCAACGGAGGATGTTTTGTTGAAACTTTTCAAAGAAATTTAAACTTTTAGAAGAACTCTAATCTTCATAATCTGTTTAATTGTCTTTTTTAGGCGTCTTTACAAAAGACATGGCTTAACTAGGGGAGGGTAACATCACGGGCATGATTTTGTTTTTTTGTTTTTTTACTAGAAGAAATGCTGTAACAGATTAAGAATGAAGTAAGCGCCAAAACTGTGATGGTGTTTACTTAAGCTTTTAATTTGAAGTTACTTTGTGAACAAAACCAGAAAGTCTGTGATGAAAAAACAGCTGGCAGCCACATGTGGACCTATGTTTGGATGGATGATGACAAATCTGAATGAGTGAGTTAGTGTGAATGAGAAAACCTTTAACTATACTGTAATAAGTGTAATATTTGCCTTTATATTTAAATGCACATTTGTTTGCTGGACTGCCTCGTTTAAGCTTTGTACTGTAGGAGTTTTCTCATGTTCTCTCTCTCTCTGTGAACCTTGTGGCCTTTCTCACTAGTCTTACTCTAGGTTTAGATGACAATTGTCTGTTTTATAACTGCTTTTCATATCATTCCTTATTTTATATTAGTGCTTACTTTTCTACAATTGTTATTTCAAGCAATGACTTCTGTTGCCTTTCCCAAAAAACGTGACTGAATAGTAGCGACCTTGATTAAGGAAACTTTCTGTCTTCCTCATAGCTTTGTCACATAGCGTGTAACTACCAACAGCATTTACCTTTTTTAGCTAGCTATTTTTGGCTTTATTATTAGTGACTGTGGCTATTACAGTATTTTATTTCAAAAAAAGGGTAATAATCTTTGTTAGCTGTGTGTTTGTGTCGGTTGCCCCAGGATTTTGTCGCGTTTAAATCAGCAGGTCCCTCAGCACATTGTGAAAACCAAAAAGAAAAAGGTTGTATTGCATTACAAGGATGGGAAAATCAGACAGTTGATTCAATCAGTGTTATCCCCCCCAAAAAAACCTCTATAATGGCCATGTTTAAAAACAAAGAATCTACATCAGAAACAAAATCTCTTTGCTTGCAATAATCAAAAACCTGCAAAATCTTGGAGGAACTGAGTTAAATGGGAGAGGCTAACATCACTATCATGCAAATAAATAATCAAGGAACTGTTTTAAAACCATGGAGATTGTGTATTTATTTTGAATGAGGAACTGAGTTGGCAATAATTTAAGACTTTGGCTGTATTGTCATGCAAAATAAGCATTTTAAGGCATTTAGGCACCAAGACCAGTCAGTATCCTTATGATTTGACAGTCTATAAAAAGGCAAAGAAATGAGTGAGCAGTTCTTTCAGTGTGCATCAGTATTATCTCTTCTGTACTGCATTTCTTTTATGTGTAACTCTTCTTTCTGCTGTTTGCCTATGAGTAGCCTTCTACCTGTAGACCATAGATTATAGACACTTGTCACATTTAAAGGTGCAAGCAACATGCAGCATTTTCTTACATATATTATTCTTTAAAAAAATATATAAAATAGAAGATGTATTTACAGTCCATATATTACTCTCCTAATATATAAAATGAGTGCTCATTGTTCTTCATTTATGATGCAGTCACCTGAGTGCTCTCAAAGTTCTAGTCAAAGGACGCTAACGACAGCAGCGCCGACATAGTTCTGATTGACGACAGCGCTAGCCAATCAGAGTACGGCATAGTTGTACGCTTCTCCATATCCCGCCTCTCGGAGGTATCTCTCGATGTTCAGTGGTTCGGACACTCTTAGAACTGTACTCCCATTGGCTGATTGTTCTCCCGCGTGAAGCTTTCGTATCAGCTCCGACATGGAGAGACGGTGCTGTGCGTTCCAAGCGCAGCAGGTCCTGATAATAGAGTACCTGTTGACAAAGGTGAAACTACTGTCAAGTGTTGTCTTGGTTTAAAACATTTATAAGTTTAATTATTACAAAGTTTGTTCAATATGTCTGCAGTAGAGGGTTGTTGGACATTTCACAGACGTTGGTCTAAGCTAGCTTAACCGTCGACGGTTAGAAGTTACCAGTAACCTTTGAAGCGGAACTTGTCATGAATGGCTTTTGCCTTGAGCTGGTTTATTCGACAGATTTATCTCGTGGTTAGAGGGGGGAAAAGTACAAGGAAAATTTTGGGTAATTTCCCCTCGTCTAATAAAACAACAAATGTATTCAGTTAAGTTAGCTTAGCTTGCTGTTGCTACAGATTCAACGGCCCTGACGCGCATGCGCGGTTGGAATTTGGACTTCACGCTGACTCACCGGCCAAATGGCCCCTCGTCGTGTGGCAACAGTCTCATTCAACACACTTTTAATTTGTTAAACTCGTTATTCTGTATGTTTTATAGAAAGAAATAGCGTTTTCCCCATTTTCTCTGTGCAGCCGCTTGTTTGTAGCAAGATTTCGAGCCAGTCCATTACAGACTGTTGCGGGATGACGCAGCATAAGGAAGAACGTTTATGATAATTTCTTCATGGAAATGCAATCAGACCGAGACGGTAAGGCAGAAGAACTACTACATCTGCAGTGCAAAAATGATTAAAATGGTGATTATTACTTAAAGGTAATGATCATAAATGTTCTTCCTTGAGCTGCATCACCCCGCAGCAGTCCTTAATGGACTGGCCCGCTACAAACAAGCGGCTGCTGGAAGAGAGATGGTGAAATCAGGCAAAGCTAAAAAGATGTTTGGTGGCTAGTACTATGGCTGGGACCCTATATGTCCTGTTGATGAAGTTAGGTGCTGTTCTGAGCATTATTTGTGGCTGTAGAGTGGCTTTTGGTTGAGGTTTGTTTATGGCTCCTCAGACCGCTGTGTATTGCTATCCTGCGGTCGTTACTGAAGTTGGTATAACTAGAGAAGCAAATAGTTGGCAACATTCATCTCTCGTGGGGGTGTCTAACTTGGTGTTATGGTGTGTTTGACCCTAAATTTAAACCCTAAATCACTGTTTATAGGAATATCCCTATTAACAGTGTGAGTAAAACTCTCTGACAGTAAATCAACCAGTTTTGTAGTCAGAAGAATGCATGCTGGGCCTGCAAAATGGATGCCTGATTAAGACTCTTGCACATCATTTTTTATTACTCTGAAAATTGAACCATTGCTTCTATGCTGTTTTTCTTACAGTGAGTTGGAGCAGGTGGGCGGCCGTCTGAGATGTTTTCCTCTCTGGAGGTACTGCAGAAGTTCAGTTGCCATAAGCTGAGCAAACGGTGGGTCACCTGAGACAAATATGGGACAAAAATGAAGTCAGCGTTCAAAGGGTTTGGACATGGGGATTTTTTAAATCGATTGTATGAGTGATTTTTAGATATATTTTTGCTAATAATGATACATGTGTTGAAAATATCAAACAGTTGCCTTGTTTGTAGAGACTCTTTTAATAAGTATTTCAGTAAGCAATGTCTTTGTGAGGAATGAATTCCAAAATACCTACCCAGTGTGACCATTTCATAGAGCAGGATACCAAAGGACCAACTGTCAGAAAGAAGTTTGAGAAGGGTGTTATGATGAGGACAGGAGGATGACAGCATGACAGGAGGTTATAGTAGTTTATGTAAATAATTATCCAACAGTCAGATTACAGCCTAGCTTCAGCTTCACCTCTTTGATATCTCTGAGGTCATTTCAGTAATGGGATTTATTTATAATTAGTTGCTTTCTCTGTGTTAATATTCTCTCAGAGGACTTGGACACTCACACGTCACTGCTCTGAGTGAAGATTCTCCTCCCCAGCACCTCAGGTGCCTGCCACTTCTTGAGCTCCATCTCTCCAACTTCCCCTGGTGAGTTAGCCTGCGTCCTCCTGCGGTAAATTGAACCTAATCCCCACAGTTTAGCTGTCAGATCTCCACCAACCAGAACACTACGAGCTCCCACATTGCCATGAATGCAGCCCTGATTGTGAAGATACTCCTTAAAATGTGCAGAGAAAGACAAAGGAATAAGAGTGATGCTCCAAATGTAACATATCAACATGACACTAACATACTTTGGATGTATTGTGAAGATGATAATACAGAGAAGACAGATCGGGACAGAAGTTAACAGAATATATACAGAGCAACAGGTTGACAGAATGAGGTTTCTCTCACACATAATTCCCAGAAATCCAGTGTTTTTATTCAGCAAAGCAGTGAGAAATAATGCCAGTGAAACTAACCAGAGCAGAGGCCACTTGTCCTGCCATGGTGAAGATCCTCTTCTCTGTCATGTCACATGAAGACCCGGCACCTGAGTTATCCTTCAGGGAGATGAAAAGGAGAACAAAAAGATGAAAAATAAGTCAAGGTCTTCTGGTAGTCGTTTGAGCAGATCTGTGCTTTATGTTATATGACAGACATCTCCAATCATTGTACGTGTTCACAATCTGCTGAGGTGCTCTTGGCCTAGAAATGGGTGATTACACAGTGCCTATCACAAGCAATATGCTTTGGCTAAGGGTGTCTTTCTCAGTTTTAGTGGCAGGATAGTATCTATTATGCTGCCACCCAGTGACTAAAGGTAGTTATAACTAAAATGATTGTAGACTCTAACGTGGTAATCATAAGCCATACAAAGCTTTCATCAACAGTGTCGACCTAATGATGAGCTCATTCAGGAGAAGATATCAGTAAATGGTGTGCAGTTGTCATGTAGTTTGCACGGTAAACCACATTGGTAATCTTTATAGACCATTGTGGGAACATTTTAGTATATCTGATCCCCATTGTGTATCAGACTTCTGTACCTGTCGACATCTCCATAAGAATCCCAACAGGTCTCTGTGCTGCAGCTCCTCTACAACCATCATTGCTGGTGAAGGCGTTGAAACTACACCCAGGAGTGCAGGCAGGAAGGGGTGCGGCCCCAGTCCTGAGACAAAAGAGGCAAATCCATAGAAGTTCTGCTTCTCACTGCTGTTTGCTGTTTCTGTTGAAGTGAGAGATCAGATTTTTATGTCCTGCACGTATCGTTCCAGGAAGTTTGACAGAGGAGCAGTGTTATATATTTAAATATATATATGTTTTTTTTTTTTTAGGAGCGTCCTGTGAGTTAAACCTGCTTTTAGAAGGAAACAAACCTACATTTCTGAAAAGTGTATATGTCATATTTAAAGATAGGACATATGGGGCTAGAAGTGTGGGTAAACCCCCTGTCAAAATACTCATCATATTTCCTTGTTTGAGGAAGGAAAAAAAAACTTTCACAGCACACATGCAGCAAAAAGTTGGAGCCTGTCCTTTGAGGTTTGTTTCGTTACAGTTCAGTTACCTTTCAGCACCCTCAGGACGACGTCCCTGTTGTCCATGCGGGCTCTGTAGAGCTGGACTGTGTCATCAGACTTGATAGAAAAGGACAGTGGCAGAGCAGTGACTTGGCTGAAGCCTCTGTTGTGCCTCTCAGTGGACCTCTGTGGTACTGCAGCCAGAGTTGGCCTGACATTCTGTTGCACTTGTTGAACTGACATTGGCAGCTCTTCATGTTCCAGCGGGTTTATCCCTGGGGGAGCTTTTTTAGTGGTGGGGAGAGATGTGAAATACAGTTAAAAATCTCAGATGATCCTGTCTGCTATGAGTAGAAATATGCAACAAGGTTCTGATAAAGCATGCATGCTTGCTGACCATCGATGCCCTGCAGGTGGTGTCCACGGCTTGGCCTTTGGGTGTGTCTGTGTGATTGATTGTGTCTGTGTGATTGATTGTGTCTGTGTGATTGGGTTTGTCTGTGCGATGAGCTGTGGTAGCGTTGAGGCACTGTGATCCGTGTCCGCCTCGGTCTGGGACGGTACCTCATTATAAAGATGGGCAGCAGGGTGACAAGGAACAGAAAAAGGAGCACCACGGGTACGATGATCACAGCCAGGTCATACTCCTTTGTGACTATGAGAGAAAGAGAGAAGAAGTAAATGGAGTAAATGCCAGAGCTTAAAGAAGGTGGTGCACTGTCAAGACTGTGTCAGAGTAGGTTATCTGTTTGAAAGATGGTCTTATGGTTAGTTTGAAAGATTTTTTTAATGGTTTTGCAGGTACCGTTTTAGTTCAGCTGTGTTTTTCACAAGGACATACAATATTCAGCTGGATAAAAGTGTCTAAGTTTACTCTTTAAATTTTTCCAAATCCAGGTATGAGATGAATAAAACCCTTCATCTAGCACAGTTCTGCCTCTGCTTATGAAACTATGAAGCTGCTGGCTGGTGTTCAACTGTAACATTACATCATTATCCCTCATGCCAGAGAAGCAAATCAGTTTGCAAGCTACCGAAATATCTCTACTCTGTTTGTTGGATCTGTCAGTTGCTGTGACATAAACCAGGAAACAAAAAGTAGCTCCTGACTTTAAAATAGGTTAGTTCTTACTATCAGCAAAATATTTTAGCAAAGCAGTGATGAGACTTGGAGAATGCAGAGATTACTGTAAAATTAAAAGTGTATAAGATACATTTTTACACATTTCTTGTCATCGAAAAATTTGGCTGCATCCTTTTGAGTGGTGTGACTGATATACCCGTGTAAAATGCAGAAATGTATGTCGGTGTGTTACGATTTACTTCCCAGAAAATCGTCCATGAAAAAGTAAGTGGCAGTAAGTAGCAAGACAAACCAGTTTAGAGGTGCCACATTTTGACATCTTTTTTTCTCATTGGGTTATGATGATGCATATAAAGAAAGTGGTGGTGTTTGATTTAGCTATTGGATTGATCAGAGCATGCTTTTGATAGGTTAAGGACCGGCAATTCGGGCCTGAACTAGCTTTGGTGAATTGATCACAGACAGTGGATCCATCAGTACGACACAACTATCAAAAAAATCTGTCGGGCTAAGTTGAGTGACTGTAATCAGGCAGCATTTATCACACTGTTATTGTCATGTTACTGTGTTTTCCTCTGCCTTACTTGGCTGTGAAATTATTGGTGTGTTGTTATGTAGTCATCATGACCCAATTAGGCTGTAATTAGGACACACTAGAAAGACTCATGCATTGACACTTAGAGAAATTGAGTCAGACAGTCAAGAGTCTTTGCCAACATGGATTTCCTGGTTGTGCCTTTGAGTTTTTTTTTTTTATTAAACTGTGTCTGAGAGATTTCACTAATCTGATCTCTTTTTTCACGTAAGACACATGCAGGACAGATACAGCTGTTTTCTCATTTTAAAAGACTTTACCCATTATTGCAATATGGTTACTAAACTACTTTTTCAGTTGTTTTTATAATTTTATTATATCATGTCCATCGGCCATATTGGCCCTAAACTGTTACTTTCTCACAGCTACAGTCTGAGCAGAAAAAACACACCCTTAACTTACATCACCACAATGCAGGTTATCTGTAGTATCAGTCATATCCCTCATCTTACACACCTCCTGTTGTCTAAAGCCCTGATATTGATCCTCTGTTGTCAAAAGGTAGAAAACATGAATGTAAATCCATGTCCCTCTGTGTAAACACCGTTTTCTGGTTGCAGTACATTCTTAGGCGTGGTGAGAGATTTACAGAATTAGTATTAATCATTTTGACATACCCGTTTAAGGCTTTGTTTGAGCTTGAACTTTGCTAGTCCAGTGTCACGGGAAATGGCAGTTAACTCAGGCATCTGGTGGTGAGCTAATATTAACCTTTAAGTTGTCCACCGAGGATTAGCTTGACAGATAATCAGAAACACTACTTAGATACTGCAGGTAAGATACATTTTTCAGATCTGTAACTGTGTGATGCAGTTGAAATTATAGATTATTATTTAGAAAAGCAGTAGGGAATGGAAAATGTAGTTGTAGAGACACATTGATAGAGAAGCGGTGAGGGGTTGAAACATTTAAGAGGAAGGTTTAAAACCAAAAAGAAAAGTTGAGTTTATCAGTGAAAAATAATGATCATGCTGTGTATCCCTCCATTTATTTTCCTCATTTTTCATCAGCTAAATCAGAAACTAGCTGCCAAACTTGAAGTATAGTGTAGTATGAAGTATACAGGCAGAAAGAGGGACAGGAGGTAGTGTCAAGGAAAAGATGAAGAGTGGCCGTCATGTCCTTACTGCAGAGCCGGTCATCCGATGCACACAGATTATCAGTCGAGGAGTTGGATGACATGCTGGGGAATAAGAGAGGAGAACAGATCAACATAACTATTAACTGAAGCAAGATATCAGCGTTACCTCTGCTCAGCAGCCAACCGAAATCCCCTGAGCCGGGAGAGAGAGAGCAGCATCTGCCTCTCTAAGAATTTAATGCACTGTAAAAGTTGGATGCCGTAACTCATTCAGAATTAACCTTGGGTACATGCTGACCAAGTAAATATTTCACTCAGTTTTATGATGTCAAAAATCTTTTTGTTAAGTTAAAAGAACGATTAGAAAATTAAAAAAGAAAATGTTTAATTGCTTAAATGCTTTCTATGTCTGCAGTTTATGAGCTTAGAGAAGCAGAGATGCGTGCAGCCGACACTCAGCAGTGTCCCTAAAACCATAAATACCTCTAAAGGATCACTGACAGTCAACAGCCCATTAAACTTCTCAAGTCACAGAGATGATACAGACATCTTAACAGACATTTTATCACATTTCCCAGAACTGACACATGCTCAAAAGCTCACATCAGTAGTTTTATTACAAATACACAAGCAGTCAAGGCACCTGTTGATGGATTTAGGAATGGCTGTAAACTAGAGCGTTCCAGGTATGAGGTTTAGAGACAGTTTGGGATCCTTTCATTTTTAGTTTGAACAAAAAAAGCAGAATGACAACATTTCTCAAGACAGCAAAAATGATAAAAAACAAGCTCAGGGTGGAGAGGGGAACTTCAGTAGACCAACATAGAGACATGTAGAAACTTAAATGGCTGCAAAAAAGACTTTGAAGACCTTCAAAGCTCATGTTGAAGTGAACTAAGTTATTACATAAGGTAATACTTGTACTCTCTCCTTGTCTCTCACCTTCAACTTACATTTCCTCTTTTTTTAAAGTTTGTGCAGCTGCGGATTAATTGAGTCCTGTCTGTTTGAGATGGGAGCCTCCATGTCTGTTTGCCTCAGGTTTATTTTTTTTACTTCCAGAAAAGCTTTTTAAACTCAACCTGTATTCAAATTAGGGAGTTGAAGAGGAGGACACCTGTGTAGGATGAAGGGACTCTGTTGTTTCTGGGAATGCCACAGAAACCACTGTTACAAGCAGTGGCACGTATACTCTTGTTCCCCAGTCCATCTAATTTCTTTAACAAATGAGGCCGACGCTTAAGTTTCTGTCTACCTGATTAAATTTAAAGTTAAGCTTATCTTACATCTAGGTAGGAATCACAACAGTATTACTAATTTGAATGGCACAGAAGGCCTCACCCTAAAGTCCCTGTCACCAACTGTTAGCCAATTCTGGATGACTACCTATTACACATATTTTTAAACTTTTTTTTCTTCTAATTTTAATCTACTTTTTCTGATTTTAATGGAAATTAGTAAAAAAAAAGTGTGACATTTTAGGGGTGGTTAGGATTTGATTTGTCAATAACCATTAACATGTTTTATGTTTATGTGAGAAAGAATTATTACAGTTCGCTAAGTTTGCATTAGTATCAATAACATTGATGGTAGGAATCTACTGTATTTGCACAGTAGCAGATTATTGCTTTAAAGTTAACTGTCAGTACTGGCAGATATGAACATTTCTGCCAATATGATGACAGACGAGTTATGACAGTCACCAAGAACAAACTCCGACAAGTTGGCTTTTGGAGGTATTTTGAAGTTTCAGGATCAGACAATAAAATAACCTTTCGCAATGCTTCTGAAGCACAGGTGAGACAAACAAGAGTCCTTTAAGACTACCGATTTAATTATATATCAATAGAAGAGGCATCCTGTACAGTACCAAACAAGAGTGTGTGTTTTATTAATGGCAAAGTCAATTCTTATGGCTAATGGCAAAGTTAATTCTAAAACAAACTCCCACAGTAAGAATGACAGGTCAGTTCTGGTACAGGGAAGACTTTGATTTTAAAGATATCTTTGTCAGTAACATAACTTTGAGAAATCGCTCTGATGCCTTTCTTGATGACCTGTTTCATTCAGCGAAGGTGAAGGCATGTGCTTGACATCACATGCAGCTTCAGTTATGCAATGGTTTCGACCTCACATACTAAATAATCAGAGCATACTATACAAATTACAATTCAAGTTTCATAATTAAACGTACTGCAATAGTGATCATTTCTGGTTAGATTAATTGGAAATAAATATGAGTATGTAGAATCAGCAAAAAAAAACACTCCTTGAGGACAGATTAGCACTGAAGTACACAAGGTGTGTATGACGTTTTTCATGAACTAAGAATGCTGTGTCATCCTCACATTGATTAAGGAGATATTTTTCAGTGTGACACATAAACCTACCCCTACACTCCTCCTTGTACAATCACTCGGTATGCATTCAGCATTTCTGAAGACAACACGCTGACACGGACCTCTGCCCTCTTTAAAGCACGGATGTCACTAAACCTGTTTGTCGGCATTGTTTTTCTCACATTCACCTGCACCTCTCCCGCATCAACACATACCTGCACTTACAACAAAAGACTGGGTCATCTCACAACACACACTCACAGCATGAGAACAGACACTTCGACTTCTTAAAGACACACAGACACAGGCGTGTTAATGCTCATCCAAACAAGAAGGGTTTACGTGTGACATAGGTTAACTCCATGAGTGAAATGGCACCATTTACTTAAACATACAGTTTGACAGTGAAGCTAAAAAAAAGGATATTGCATATTGGAATGAAAGAATCGAAGCCCAACACGGCAACACACAACTGTTGTGATGTAACACCTGGGTGACCTCAAAGTGAAAAAGTGGAAATCCTAATCCAAATGAGTGAAGTGGTGACTGTGAAGTTCAAACATACTTAATTTCAACCACACACCCTCCTGAATTAATGTGCTTTCACACCTCTGTAGTTCATCTTACCTGACCTGCTGCTGTGAGGGGCTGCTCCGCTGTCAAACTCTGTATGTTTCTCTCATCCAACACGTGTAGCTTGCTGTCCCCTTGGAGCCAAATAAATGTAGAGCTGAAAGGCCAGTTAGCATACTTCATGTTTTTGTAGTCAGTCTGCAGCTCGGAGAGATATCCACAGGGAGACACATGTCCGCTAAAACCATCGGTGTTGTTCGAATCTCTGTTTCTGTTTTGCTGTCAGCAGCCAGGTGTGTTCTTTTCTCTGTCTCTCTTCACAGCTCTCTCTTTCGCTTGTCTCAGGTTGGCCACACCCACCCCTCCAGCACTTTTTTCCGTGTAAACCGTATCACCTGCTCTTACCTGGCAATTAACATTGAATTAGCCATGTGTATGTAATTGTGTCTTATTGTTCATCTCTTTGTGTGTGAAGAGTTTCCAGTCAGTTTGCTGAACAGGTGCATTTCAAAACTTGTATATTTTTTTCCATAAATCATTAGAAAGTGAAAATTTGACATATTCTAATTCTAAATATGTTAGAATATTTAATTTGGGGTTTGAGTATATCGCCTTTCAAACTATTAATACTTTGTCTTTCTTAGTCAAGTTCACCATCAGAAGGAGGGTAACCCACAGACGGTCTTTTCTCAGAGGACTGGCTGTTCACAGAGTGTTATTTCAAATCACATTAAATGTAAAGCTGAGTGGACAGGAGAAGTGTGGCAATACAAAGTGCACAAGCGACAGATGACGGCAGCTTTGAGAGGATTTTCAGAAGTTAATTCAACTGATTGACGGATTGTCAAGGAAAGAGACAAGCTTGAGGGAGATGCTGATTTCCTTTCCAGCAGGACTAAGCACCTGCCCACGGCGCCAAAACTTCTGCCAAATGGTTCGCTGTCCATGATACTACTGTGAAAAATGTTAAAAATGTCATATCATACTGGTACATGAAATTATGGTAAAGTAGTGTCAATAAAGTATTGGGTCCTTTGAGCTTAGCCAATATTTTGATACTTTCAGAAACTGGATACTGGAAATTTCAACCAAAAAGAGTTGAAATCTGTCTAATTATTAAGCAATGGTAGTATTTGGTAGAGAAAGAAAGCATACTGTACACAACTTGGGGAGGAGGGCATATCTTTCCATGTTTCTAAAAGTTTAGTGATTATTTGTGTGGCTGTTTACTCGCCTTGTACCTTTTTGTGTGAATGAGTCCACTTTTATTTACCTGAGTATCCGCTGAGGGATGCACATAAGGATTTCATGTTGATCAAATTTATCACATCAGTTTCATTTCATGTTCTCCTGATGCATGAGTCTTTGTGGTTTGAATGTTTGAGTTATTTATGACAACTTATTTTCTGTTCATTTTGGAGCATATTTTCCCGGTCAGAATGAATTAGACAGTGAAGCAAGGGTGTGGCTACCCCTGATTGACATGTTGCAACCTCGACCCATCAACCAGGACGAAGTTGTCCAAGTAAAGGAAGAAGGGCAAAAGTCAAAAAGCTGAGCCTTGCTGTATACCTGCTGCTTTCTGACAGGCACACCCACATGATTGCAATTCAACAGTGACTAATGATAACTCACCTGCATCTGTCATGTAAACAGCCTAGCTGTCTTTGATGGAGCTCGAGCAGAAGCCGGAAGTTGTGCTGGAATGGACTGACCCAGGTCTTGGCAGTCGGGGTTGAATCTCCCCCTCTCATACCTGATCCCCCCAGTGTCTCTTCTGATGTTAGGAAAAAGTACCTGGGATGATACCAATCTGAAAACTCTGGTATCTGATCTTCCTTGTTCACTACTGACCTACCTTCACAGGGGTAGGTTGTTAGCTTGGGGCACAGGGGGTAACCCCAGCTGGATTCACTTTACACCATGTGTTAGTGAGTGTGAGTGTGTGGTTCCGTTTGAGTACAGATCTTTGCGTGTGTGTGACTATGCCTGTGTTGCAATGTAGTGTGTGTATGTGTGAGAGCGAGCTTCCTGGCTGTGTGTCCAGCGCAGCCTCTGGTAATGCTGAGACAGACGCTGAGCGGGTGGGTTTATTTTTGGGACAGTGACAGTGTGTCAATGGCCGCAGATGCGTCGGAAAGGAAGGCTCTGAGATACAAGCAAACCCTGGTCAGTGTCTCCTTCTTCTTCTTTGTCTCTTTCTCTTTCTGTCTCTCAAAGTCTGTCTCTTATTAGTCAGCCTGTTTTTGTCTCCTCCACTTGTTTGACTTACTCACCTTACTCCTTTTATGACACACCTGCAACGATAGTGAATCCTGTATGCCCATGGCAGAAGTCTGTCCTACTTATGTGTGTACCTGAGAAGGAGCCTCATATTGTGTGTGTGTGTGTGTGTCTGTGTGTGTGTGTGCGAGTGCGAGTTGTAGACATGGTGAAGACCAATTAGCTGATGTATAACAACAGGGTCACGCACATGGTCAAGCAACAGGTGCTTAGGCACTGTGCACCTCCTTCACCCTTGATCTCAGCATGCACAGACACACACGCACACCACACACACACACTTTGTTGCTGTCTTGCTGTTTCCCCGCTCTAGAGCCGGCCACCTGTTTGCTCCCCTCTCCGCGCCTTGTTACTTAAGCCCTGATTGGTCTTTACACAAGTAGGAAGGACTTCTACGTTGGCATGATTGTATGCGTGAAAGTCTATGTGCAGTATGTGTCCTTGCATTTACATCTGTGTTCATGTGCATGGTGTGTGTTTTAGAGAGGGGAAACCCGAGCACTCATTTGCAGGAGTGCTAATCCTTAATATTCATGCGGTTACATGTGTTTTTTTGGACAAAGCTGTGTGAAGAGTGTCTAAAAGCATATGATGTACCAGAAGGGATTTGGGATGCACGCTTAGAGACCACAGAGATGGAACAATTAAGAGTGTTATGCAGTTTGATAGAATAGCCTTGAGATAATCCCTGGTCATTAGTTTACAGTTTAGTGGATATTAATGGGTGACTCAAGATTTGTCAGTGAGTGCTCATGAGGCAGAAGTCAGACTTTGATGAACTTTTATTAGTTCGATACTACAAGTTTTTTATTTTGTTCAAAAAGTAAGTACGTGCTGCTAGCACTGCTGCACAGTTTTCCAACTTTGTGTTTCCATTCTATTTCATTTTTGGTTTATAATGCTACTCTTTTTTCTCGCTTACTTCAACTCTAAAGAGTAGAATGGTTTATCGGCGAGCCGATTAAAATCCATATCGGTCCGGCCCTAATGGAAAGAGTGAGTCGCATCTGCTGACTTAAAGGGATAGTCTGGCATAAAACTAAGTTAGGACCCTAAGTTTGACTAAGGGTCAAACGCACCATAACACTAAGTTAGACGACCCCTCGAGAGATGAATGTTAATGACCGCTTGCTTCTCTAGTTATACCAACTTTAGTACTGGACTGCTGCAGGGTGACGCAGCTCAAGGAAGAACATTTCTAATCATTTCTTCATCATTTCCTTGAAGTAATAATTACCATATTAATCATTTTGGACTGCAGATGCAGCAGTTCTTCTGCCGCAGTGTCTCGGTCTGATTGCATTTCCATGAAGAAATGATCATAAATGTTCTTCCTTGAGCTGCATCACCCCGCTGAAGTCTGTAATGGACTGACCCGAGGCTACAAACAATCGGCTGCTGGAGGAGAAGAGGTGAGTTGTGTTTAGTCTCTTTCCTAAGGAAATTAGTCAAAGTTAAAAAGATGTTAGATGGCTAGTACTATGGCTGGGACCCTATATGTACTGTTGATGAAGTTAGGTGCTGTTCTGAGCATTATTTGTGGCTATAGAGTGGCTTTTTGGTTGAGTGCGTGGCTCTGTGTATTGCTATCTGCGGTCATTACTGAAGTTGGTATAACTAGAGAAGCAAGCGGCCGTCAACATTCATCTCTCGACGGGGATGTCTTGGTGTTACGGTGTGTTTGACCCTAAATTTATTTTACGCCGGAATATCCCTTTAACTCAAAAGAGTGTGGAAAGAGTGAGTCATATCCCATGACTAAGGAGCCTTTTCAGAATCAGTTTTCTCACTTTGGTTATCCTTTGCATGTGCCGCCCTGACATTTACACTTACCACTAAATCTTAACAGATGTACATTTTTCAGGATCTACCGTAGCTCAAAGGTGCTTTTCTGAGCGAAGACCTCCACTGCATGCAAGAAAGTCCACGACATGCAGCATCTGTGCAACTGTGGTGCACTCGCTGCTTGTACGGTAGCTGTGCCCAATGTATATAGCATTTGTGGTTGTAAGGTACATATAAGCTGAGTGAGTATATCAGGTGTGGCTTGCGCAAGCGTTGGCTGTTTCACAATGTGTAACCTTAGGAAGGAGAGTTAGGAGGCTTTGTAAACAACAATAACAAAAAACATAACTATGATCTATAACCAGAATTACATCTAAAATATTTCATGTAACAGATAACTTTTTAATGCCTTTATAAAATGAATGAAATAGATTTTTTAATGCCAAATAAATCTGTTTAGCCTCTATTGTGGTCTGAAAATAGACAGGTAACATGTGAGGCTACACACAAGGCCTGCGGTGCACCTCACAATGTGTCTGAGTTTATGATCGATAATTCATGAGGAATGATCTTCCTCTTTAGAGTCTCTGCAGTGTTCAGCTGCATGAGGGCATGTGATCATGGTGACCTATGGAGTTTAATAGTGTATGAAATCCTATGCCTGTGGGTAGTCAGGAAGTGCAAAGTCAACTAACCTGTGTGTGTATGTGTGTGTGCATGGTCTGTAGTAACCCTAATGTTTACTGGGTCACTCACAGGTGCAGAGTTATATACATCTGTGTTGTGTCATATGTTTCTTTGTTTATGGAAGTACATTGTGTCCTATCATTGTTGTTTCCCTCTCAATCCTTTGACCCAACTTCAAACATGAAGAAGTCATAAAAAACCCAAATGTCATAAAGATTAAGAGTCATTACCACCAACACAGTTTACAAAGACAGCGCATGTTGTGCCGAGTCATGCAAAGAATGTATGGAGATAAACCCTCCTCTATTTTTGAAGACCTTCATGTGCTTTAGATTTGACTTAGAATTGACAGCTTATAAAGGCATGCACTCACATTCAGATCTACACATGTAGCAAAGCATGAAGGTATTTGTACGTCAAAGACAAATGACATTCAGCTAAGCTCATCCTCACGGTGTGCAATGTGAAATAATCCAGTTTGGAAAACAAGATCTATACCACTTCAGCCTCACTGCATCATCAATAGATGTTTGAACCCTTATTACAAGCAGAGGAAATTCAGTTGGTACAAAACTGTTCACATCTGTTAAGTTAATAAGATGTTTTTGTTAATTAAGCTAATTTGTCAGTTTAAAACCAGTAAATGCACCCCAAACATGCTGTATTTGTGTAGCCTAGCAGCCTTTCTATTGCTATCAGCTCAGTCTGTAGTAAGCCCAGTAGTTGTGATCTAAAAGTCATATACAGAAGAAGACGGTGAGATGGTGTGACACAGATTGACCACAATTTTCCAGCAATTACAGAAATTTTTGACCTGCTAATAAACACTAATGTGTTCAGTTTAAGTAGTATAGTGTTCCTTCACCCATACCCTCTTCTCCTCCACCTGTCTCTCTATTTCTCCATGTAGGTGTCAGAGCCTCTGTCAGAGGGATGAACACTGTGTGTTATAAGTGGGAGGGGGATTTGATTTGATAGCAGAAAATAGGCTGAAAGATCAACTGATGATAGTGATATGGAAAGTTTTGATTGTTTCTTAGCACTTGGAATACTCTGCATTTATCTGGAATAAAGTCCTGTATTTTTGTACACTTCAGAACATAGAGTATTGCAGAAAGAAGAGTCACAAGATTTTTTTGTTTCATGTTGGTGCAGCCCTACCACAGACCCTTAAATGGTGTCTTAAAGTCTTAAATTGTGAAGTTTTTCAATCAAACCACAATCCAAAAGGTTTATTTACCCTAAGAGTATGCCACTGTTTTCTTTGAAAGCATGATGATGACCATACAACCTGACTAAACAAGTGAGTTTATTGCCATGGCTCCTCCAAAAACAGTCCTCCATGTTATAAATCAGAATAGAAAGGTCTAACAAGAGGACATGAAACAACATTTTAAAATAGTCTTGTTATGTTTGCTTTATTAATTCACAGCAGATGTGTTCATTTACCACAATTTCAAAGCAAAGGAGGAGTGTTTCATTTCAATTGGTCATAAGTGTGTGTCTGTGTTTGCTTATGTGCGCTCCTTTACCTTTAGTGTCACGAGAAACAACATCATAGCATCAATAAACTGTTTTATTTTTGGTTACAGGAGTTAAAAAATGTTCTATTTCTATTCTATGTTCTCAAGATTTTGCCAGTATTTAAAAATATTAATAATACTAATATTCAAGGTTGTTTTATATTTGACTTCTTGCTTTCATGACTGTAATTTAACAGCATTTGACTCCTGATACTTTTTAAAAACATATTTATTCAAAGAGGACAGGACAGTGGATAGAGCTGAAGGAGAGTGGTGAGGACCTGAGCCGTCTGCTGAGGACTATAGCCTCTGCCACTTCACCACAGCGCCTCAACATTCAGTATCATTTAATCAGGTTCTGTTGACAAACTGTATCACTGGGTACAGTGTAGGTCTGCGGTCTAAGTTGCCTGGTAAACTTAAAAGATTGATTAAAACTAATAGTTTTTTAGTCCTTGAAGGTTGAGAGTTGAAGGACAGAGAGAGGTGGACACAGGAAAACTGAAGAATATGATGAGGCATTGAAAGGTACACTGAAGGCAAGAGAGAGGTGTGGGAAGTGTAATGAGGAATATTGGATCGCGGTGATCCTAAATTTAGCTCAGAGTTGTGTTTCAACAGGAGAGAGAGAGAAGGAGAGAGCAGAGGAAAGAAAGAAATGGAAGTAGGGGGCACTAAAGGAAAGAAGCTAAGGAGTACAAGTGATTAGTGCAGAGTAGAGTTTCACCGGTCAAGAGGGAAAACAGGAAGGAGTGAGAGGATGAGGTCATGGAGTCAGGGGGGATTTCTAACAACATACATATCAACATGGTGGCAATATTCCAGGTCCTTCTGTCCTGGTCTGATCCGGACTGAAAAGCTGTTTTTGTTTCCAAACATTTAAATAAGGTGTTCTGATAAATTTATTTTTTACTACCTCCATCATAGTTAGGTTTTTGTGGCTTTTGTCATCAAAAGCCACAAACCCGGTGCCTCGTTGTTAGTTTGTTGTCCAGGACTTGATAGTATTTGGTTACCCCTCAGAAAGTGATTCTATGGAAAGTTACAGCTTTGCACCTTTTGTACGACCTGTGTTAAATGTAGCCTCATAGACAACCACAGAGCAGATCTGAAGATAACATTTCCACTGTCCAATTTGTGGACAATCAATACTTGAGAAAAGAGCATCACGCAGCAGGACCACAGTACCACAGCCCTACCTCCTGCAGCCTGGAGTCACATCTCTGCGTGTTTGTCACAGATAGTTTTGCGGTCAAAAGGTAGTCAGGTGAATTTTTAATTGTCGAATTGCATCAAAAAGTTAAACTGTGCACATGAACAGAAACAAGTATTTTAATGCAAAAGTTCACTGCATTCTAAAGTGTCTACAGACAGCGGAGTGGACAAGTTTGTAAAAGGATCTTGACACATTTTATTTGGTGCAAAGAAGGATCAGTTCAGGGGTGTTACTCCAGGTGTGGTGTTTACTGTGTATCATGTATCTTGTCTGGTCTTACATTATTTAAGATGATAGTTTGTTGCATTTGTGTGTGCTGTTTTTTGTGCGTAACACCCTCGCAGACGTAAAGTTTGCATACGTGTCAGGAAATATGGCCTTCTTAGAAATCATGTACTTTTATTATTTAAATGCTTCATTTGAGTCCCCTACATGATGTCAGTTTTGTTGCTAAACCAAACAATATTTTTAGTGTCAAAATTCAACATCCAAGACTGCTATTGTTTGAGGCCGTGTTGCGTGTTGGCATTCAGTTACAGCACAGAGTTCAAGTTTCACTCTGCATTGACTAGCATCTCCCCCCACACAGAATCACCTTATGAGCACATATAAGTGTGTGTGTGTGTGTGTGTGTAAACCCATCTGTCCATCAATCTGTCTGACCATGAACGTACTAATTTAGAAGCTGCTGAAAGGTTACAGCACACGGACGTCCAAAGTGTCAGCACTACACACAGCTCACCGCCTTTTCAGCTGTATTCTTGGAGTTCTATTGTCTGCTGTTGATGTACGAAGAAGATACAGAAACTCTGGTTTTATCCGTATGACACAGCGGGTACAGGGCTTGGAAAAAATTCAAAATATTTGATAATTGTATAAATAATCAGATCTCCTGTAGAGTGTTTATCATAAAATAGAGGGCAGAGTTCATCTTCTTGTTTATGCAGAAAAACATTCAAATAGATATTATATAAAACTGACAAATATATAACCATTTTGATTTAATTTGGACACTGTATTAGTGTTTGTTGTTTACCATGACTTTAAATCGAGTTGAATGATCTGCAGAAAACCAGCAGGCTGAAAGTTCCTTCCAGACCAGGTCAAATCTGCCTCTGAGGTCTCTTAATGTGGCACATTTTGAGACACACCCCAACCCAAGCCCTCATCTCAGTTTGACTGTACTTTTAATTCTGCCATAAGAAAGCCCATTCATCATTGAGAACTCATCACACTTATTCTAACCCAGTCAGTGATGTATGAGTCAAATCTATATTAGGATTTAGGTTTACATTATGTGAAGTAATACAGGCCAAAGATTACCTGGTAGACGCAGTGGTAGCTCCAGAGTTTGGGTAGAGGTCTCTCATAATTATGTAGTAGACTTGATCCCATCTGCAGAGAACTATTGACCGAGCTAGCTAACCTGCTGGTTCTCCTGGCAGCTTCTTATAAACAGGACAGAATTGACCAGCTTCCACTGAAACACTTAATAGAAACGTAACTCATGTAACTCGACTTCAGAGACACTTTTAAATGTACCACAGTCAAAATGAAAACGAAGCTTAATACTCATCAAAAACATCTGTGTACCTGAGCACTGAGGAGGTTACAGGAGATTTCTTTACACCTGTAATTAAACTGGAATAGATTAAAGAAGCAATGAAGCTTTAGTTAACAACAATAACAGCAGAAAACTGTTGGGGAAGAGAGAGAGAGAGAGACAGAGAGAGAGATACCTCTGCTGGAGAGAAACAGGGATGAGAATAAATCTCTTTGCTGGATCACCACAGCAATTTCCATGGAGTCTATCCAGACAGAGGTGATAAATCTCAAGGCAGAGCCCATGTTTCCGCTTCCATTAGAGCTGTTTGGGTCAACATGTGGTTTCATCTATTTATAAAATGGACTCCCTTCTGCCAGGGTGCTGCAGGAATACTATCACACTCCACAGTCCCATTTGTGCAGGAACTACCTGGACATGTTTATGTCTGATAATTTCTTACCTGCAGAAAGTGACTATGGCTAGTCTATTACAGAGAAGGAAGGGTATGCACTGGAAATACTCTGGGTTTTGGATGTTTCTGTGATTCAGTTCTAATTGATTGATGGTTTTGTTTTCTGATTAACTCGTAGCTCTATGGGGAGTACCAGGAGAACCAAGGAGGCTCTAGCAGACGAGAGGCCACACGTCTGCTGACAGAGAGACAGATCAAGAAACATGGCAGTCATCCCCGCAGCCACGGGAGGATACGGCATGGCCGCCGCAGCCATGGCCAAAACGGATACCACAGTCGACACAGCTATTACAGCAAACAGAGGAACAGGCGTCAGTCCAACATGGAGACCGAGCCTGCTGAAGAGCAAACAGCTGAACCTGACCAGGCCTCTTCTGTGACCAAGAAACGCTCCTACTCCAAGTGTGGAGGTAAGAAACCCCGAGAAAAGGTTGTAAACAAGTAGGACAGGATCAAGATGCTGCATGAGGACCTTGTGGTTTCTCTCATTCAGACTGCGTAGCACGAGTACAGCGGTTCCTTGTGACGAGGTTAGGTGAGGACTGGATCTTTCTTGTTCTGCTCGGCATCACAATGGCACTGGTCAGCTGGAGTATGGACTACGCCAGCGCAAAAAGCCTGCAAGGTATGAGGACTGGGTAAAAGGAAAGATGCTGTCTCCCTCCTCCCTTCAACCGTTCTGCTGTTCATCCCTGTCTGTTCTCTTCATTTCATGATTCCCACCCCACCCTCTCCCAGCCTATAAATGGATTTATGGGGAGCTGAGGGGGAACATCCCCCTGCAGTACCTGGCTTGGGTTTCCTATCCCCTGATCTTCATCCTGTTCTCCTCCCTCTTCTGTCACCTGGTCTCTCCTCAAGCTACCGGTCTGTACCCCCTTCTTTCTGAAGCCTCTGTCTGCATCCTCATGTTCTTCATCATCTACTTTTGATCCCAGTGGGTTTAATTCAAACATATCAAATAAAATGAATGTAAAATTTACAATTTAAATAAGGTTAAAAACATAACAATAGGCAAAGTCTCTTAGAAGAAAAGATGGGAAGAGGATCACCACTCTGTGTAAGGCTGTGTTAGCAAATCCATCAACAATTTCAGAATGTTCTACAGAACAGAGGTTTAATCTGTACTATGCAAAGTGGAAACTATACAAAAACTAACTCCACAAGGGCCAGCAAATTAATTAAAGATGGACTGAGTTCAAGTGGAAAAATGTCCCTTTTTATAATCCAGGTTACAATCGATATGCAACCCCTGCAGAAATGAGAAAATGTAAGAGGGGGCAATTAGGCAGCCAGGGTGTTTAGTAACTCCATACTGAAATCAAAGGGCAACAAATCATGAAAAACGTATTGACATTTTCATCTCAGCTAATTGGTGAAATCAGATCCTGTAACATTTGATTGCAGTAAAACCCTGCAGAGCCTGAGCTCTCCGGGGTGCCTGATTACCTGCCTCAGCTTCATGAAGAAAGAACACAAATAGTTTTCTCACGTTTTGTCGAATCTTTCCTCACATGATTTAATTGGTGAGAATTTGTTATTTCTCCAAAGCAAGAGGAAATGAAAGGTGTCGTTTTGACACTTTAGGTTAAGGAAATGTTTCCTAAACCCTTCTTCCTTTAAAAAACTTCTGTTTCACCTTTTTTTCTGCAGGTTCTGGTATCCCAGAGTTGAAAACTATACTGAGAGGAGTGGTGCTGAAGGAATATTTAACTCTAAAAGCCTTTGTTGCCAAAGTCATCGGTCTGACCGCCGCCCTGGGCAGTGGGATGCCTGTAGGCAAAGAGGTGGGTTAACCAGGTAAAACTGGGCCAAACAGGTTTTAAATTAATTAATGAAGCAGCTTCCCACCATTCTTACATCCTCTAACATCAGTCTCCTTGTGTGTTCACCTTCTCAGGGCCCTTTTGTCCACATTGCCAGTATCTGTGCAGCAGTTCTCAGCAGATTCATGTCCTTCTTCTCAGGAGTTTATCAGGTAAGCTGATGTCAGGAAATATCACACTTAACCGATCTTAACAAGCGTGATAAATAAAAGAAGGCACACCACATGAGTATTCCTCATCTATGATTGTTTTCTGTGTTCCTCAATTCTCCTCCTCCTCCTCCTCTCTGGATCAGTAGAATCCATACTGCTATACAGACATCCTGACAGTGGGCTGTGCTGTTGGGGTGGGTTGCTGCTTCGGTACTCCGCTGGGAGGTACACAGTTATTTATTTCTTTATTTTCTAGTCAGCTTTTTGCCGGTGAGTGTATTGCCCTTGCTTTTTTTTTTTTTTGACCTTTAAGTCTTTGTCTCTTTCTTTCTTGACCAGGCGTGCTCTTCAGTATCGAGGTTACATCCACATACTTTGCTGTGAGAAACTACTGGAGGGGATACTTTGCTGCTACATTTAGTGCCTTTATTTTCAGAGTTTTATCTGTGTTCAACAAAGATGCAGGTAATACTTGGAGAAAAAGGTTTTCATTATGAAATAAACAGTCTCTGTTTTATTTGTATGGAAATCCCTGGATACTATTATGACACTTTGTCCGTGTCAGACCTCTATGGGAGGGTTTCCACGCTTGAATACTTACCAGCTAGTTTACATGCTTTTAGTCACTGAAAGCTTAACATGCATTCTCCACTAGATGGTGTCCTCTACCACCACACAGCTCTTTGAAAGATTTAATACAGCAGTATTCTTTGCTTATTTTGCATTGCCAATATGTCTGGGAAACCTAAAAACACTGGAAAAGCAGAGGTATAATAGACAGAAATCCCTTTTACCTGAGGCTGTAAACACTTTACTGCTGTAATACCTTTTTTTGAGTCTCTAAATGTTCCTGTTTTCACTGGTTACAAATACCATAAATAGTGTGAGGAAGTTTCACCTCTTGTCTTCCAGTTACGATCACAGCTCTCTTCAGGACAAACTTTCGCATGGATTTCCCCTTTGACCTGCAGGAGCTGCCGGCTTTCGCAATCATTGGGTGAGCTACTGAAAAATGGAGAGGGAGATGTGTAATTTATGCTAGCTTTTTCTTTTTGTGTGTGTGTGCATGCGTGTGCGTGGTAGACATCTAAACCTCCTAATGGACGAGACGGAAAATGTTAATAACTCAAAATTTATGCAAGTGCAGTATTTGGAACATCATGAGCCTCATTTCTGAGTTTACTGTTTACTTCAAAAGAAGAGAGGCAGGGACAGAACTCAGATTTTCTCTTCTATGTAACAGTGCAGTGAAACACCAGATACAGCCCCAGCCTTTACAGTGATTCAATGTTCCTGTCTCTTCTTGTTTTTAGAAAGAGGAGATGCTGTATTATTATTTTTTTGTCTTAACATCTGATATACTTTAAGTTTAAACAAACTCTCAGAATCTGTTTTTATTTACATTTCAATCAGTGTCCCAACTTTCTTTTTATTTAGAGTTTTAGCATTTCAGCGGAGTCTAAATAAGTCCAAGCTTGAATTTGACTCATGGAGGGTGTCATTGTTTGTGCAGAATCTCCTGCGGGTTCCTGGGTGCGTTTTTTGTCTATCTCAACAGACAGGTGGTTCTCTTCATGAGACGACCCAACGCCATGACCCGCTTCCTGACCAGATAGTGAGTATTTGTGTCTGTCAAGTCATTATTTCAATATTTGCTGCAGTTCCTAATTTGACGCCCTCGTTAAAAATTTTTTGCTTTTAACTGTTTTTTTCTGAATTTGACTCCTTGGTGAAAGACCAGTGTTTCTTCTTTTTCCTTTTAGCCGGCTGGTCTTTCCTGCAGTGGTAACATTGGTCATCGCCACCTTGACCTTCCCACCGGGGTTTGGACAGTTTATGGCAGGCGAGGTCAGAGTTCATGTTTTGTTTTCTTCCCTGTCCTTCACCTACACAGAGGAGACTCTAAACCATGTGAACTCGTCTTTAACTGCATGCAGCATTCACAGCTTTTCAGGAAACGAAGGAAAACAGCAGTAAACAGTGAACAGCATTCCTTTACAGAAAACAGTGGCAATTAATTAACATGTTTAGAAACACATGTGGGAGTATACCTGCTTCAAAATAACACAAAAAGGTGTGATGTGCTTAAACCACCTACATGCTCTGATGTATCTTAACCAGCGAGTGAAATCCCAGCAGCAGTCTCTCAGATCTGTTGTCTCTTTAGATTTCTATGCTATAAATTCTCATCACACGCTAAAATCGGAGCCTTTTCCCCTCCCATCACAGATACTTCATCAGAGGTTTTGTGGGAATTGAAGTTAAACATTTTAAACTGTGACTTGTCAGTGCCACAGGGAGCCAAAGACGTGAACATTAAAGGGGGCGCACAGCTTTGATCAGGCAGTGTCGTTAATGAATTCACTTATTTAGGTAAGAAGCTTCAAGAAATGTATGTTGTTCAAATCCACTTCTGCACTTCGCCCAAAGACACATTTTTTTTGCGTGCGTGTATTTAGTAAAGTGGGACAGCAGGTTTCATAAAGTGGGACGCTCTGATGTTTTTAATAGTTGGATTCACTCTGAGAAAATGAGTTGTAAGCTCTGTTACTTAAAGCTAATGTCAGGACTTAGAACTCATCATGAAAAAGTATTAATTTAGTTCAAATGACTCTTCGTAGTTTTCAGTCGTGATTAGTGTGGAAGCCTGGAGGGTAAAAACAGTTCAGTAAATGAATGACCTACAATGAATGCTGTGGAGATACAGCACAGGCATACCTGATTGCGCTCATCTAAACCCCAGTCTTGAAGGCAATCCCTCGTGTGGGGCCTCGTTCAGTAACGTCTTCTTCATTACCTTCGGCCATGTTTGTTCGTTATTCTGCTCTGTGTGGGCTATGGCTGTGAGTCCGTCGCTCATGCTTATGTCACCAACTTGCATTTGTCGTATTTATCATGAGATTGCAAATGAGGATACATCATTAACAATTATTTATCCCCCTTCCCTACTGACAACCACAAAACAAACAAAAAAAACAAAAACAGTGACATGAAGAGAAACTTCAAGTTTCAGACACTTGGTTCTCTTTTACATCACCTGCCAACTCCTTGAATCACTTAAAACAGCTCGGTTCTTGCCTAAACAAGACTTCAGTGATCTTCACAAATATCTAGATGAGATTACTTCCCTTCACACCACCACCAGGATGAAAACCTGCAAAAGTACAGACAGATATATAACTTTTTGATCCAGCTGGGTCAATAATGCTGCTGTGTGAGAGGTAAAGGGCAAAACATTCTTCATCAGCAAAGAAAAGGTGGGTGGTATCATTCTTGCTGACTGGTGAAATTGTCTCTTCAAAAGTTCACTTCCAAGTGTTGACAATGAAAAATAACCTCCAAGTTACCTTAGACCACTTTCATGCTCAGTGTCCACTGGTGAATATAGCAGGGTATGGAAATAAATTACATCAATTTCCAGGTCTTACAAAGTATGGAAAATGAAAAATAAAGTATGATGAAATATATTTATGTTTCCAGGCTATTATCACAGTTCTAAAATACTCTTTTCTAAAAAAAAAAAAAAAGAAAAGAAGGTATTTCCAAAAATAATTAAAATAACACAAATAAAAATTCCAACTGTGTAGGAACCCTGATATAGTGTTGTTGTTATTTAGCTCAAATGGGCCTGTTTGCTTGTGTTGTCATCGAGTTACCATTGAAACTGTTTGCATCAATCCACAAAAACCTCATGTCAAAATGAGAATGTAGAGATACACTGACTGAACATATATTAATTAAAACGCTCAGTTTTATCTTTGTTATAGATACCTGTTCAGCCTCATCACCAGGGGCAGCAGGTTATCTAAGAGCATGAATCCTCTCCTCTGAGTTCTCTCTCCTCATATACGATTCTTCAGAGGCTTGTCTCCTCAGTTGATTCATCCAATCCAACAACCGAGCCAACGCTTGTTTTAAGGGATGCCTCAGAAATCCACAGGATATGAGGAGTCCTCACAGCACACTAGTGTGAGGAGAAATCTATACTTGAATATTCCGAGCACCTTCACAACATTTCTATGCGACTGCGGCCGCGCTGAGAATTCGGTGTCAATGTTTCTACAAGAATAGACGCCTCATGCCCGCAGCCTTCTGTGCCGTCTGTACACAGGGAGTCTTAAGGTGAAAGCTCAGGCAGCTGCGTATTAACACCTAGAGCTGAGAGTTAATCATGTGTTTTCACAGACGCTCAGAATAAACCGCCTAGTGTGAACAAGGTGTGTGTGTGTTATATGTTTTTGAAAGCACGTGTGTTACCATCTGCATGCATATGTCAGTCAGCAACACTTTAATGTGTTTTTTTTTTCTCTGTGCCCTGTGTGCGTGTCTTTTACACCCTCGTATAGACAGTCTCACAACTCCCTTATAACAAACTCAAAGTGTTGTTTGAACATAGGAGGTGAATGAAGTGATATCTTTCTATATATACCATTTCACTGTTTTCCCTTTTCCCTTAAAAAGATTTCATATTGCTCCGGGGGAATTAAATCCCTTCAATCCGACTCGATAACGTGGTGTTCAGCTGCAGAAGCAGCAGCGGCGCACTGAGGGGAGATTAAATGCTAGGTGGAGTGTGAACCAGACGTGAACTCATAACTTCAAAAAAAGGCACAGTAAAGCCTATTATTACATCCTGCTCTGTCGATGCCAACAGCAGTCAGTCACAGAGCTGATTCCAAACTTTTCCACTCGCACACAACGGTACGTTGAAGATTTCAGGGCCTCGATTCAACATCAGCTCAAGTAAAATGTCTCAAAGTGGAGAAAATCAAACTGATGTCTGTGTTTTTCCCCCTGCAGCGATGTTATGCAGATGCAGGAGGCGCTGGGATGTGTGCCTGTGAGCAAATTCAGTAGCATCTATGCAAATAAGGAGGAAAATGGTTGAAGTGAATTAGTCATTCATGAGTCATCTAAGGAGAATGAGTCATTGGCCAGGGCCACACGTACCCGTCTGCTCTCAGATTTCTGGATGACTTCCTGCTTGTTTATCTCGTTGACTTTCTTCCCCTCGTCACATTTTTTGCCCTCTACTTTTTTTCTATTCTCCTTTTAATCCTTTTTTTCTTCATCTCTTTTCATCATCGATCTTTAACCTCCACATACTTTCCACTCTTTATCTCCTTTTTCTCTCTTTTCCTCTCCTCTTCAACCCTGACTGTCTTTCTCGTTACCTCAAATGTTCTTTGAACCTCTCTCCCTTTCTCCTCGTCCGTACCCTCTTAAATCCATTTCTGTCGCCATGTGTTTGCTTGGCTGCCCTCCATTATGGTTTCTGCAGTTAACTTTCATACATTTTCTCCATGACTGACTAGTTAAGAGGGTAACAGTCTAAAAAGATTACCTGGTTCAGTACATTTTAGTTTTTGAATTATGGGTTGAGTAAATTTTTGGTAGAGTAAGGGAAACAAACTCAACAACAAATAAAGATTCTTTCCTTCCAATGGATTTTTACACATTAAGTAGAATAAAAACAATAATTATACACGGTTTAAAATGAAGTCTTTCTTCCTCTGTGTCCCCTCCAGCTGATGCCCAGAGAGTGCATCAACTCTCTGTTTGACAACTTCACATGGACAAAGATTTCAGGATCTCCTCCCCCCATCGGTCTGGGCCGCTCCATCGCCTGGATCCACCCTGATGTCAGCGTCTTCCTCATCTTGTTGCTCTTCTTGGTCATGAAGGTCTGTGGGCTGTTGAAGTGTTTTGTGTGCTGGTTAATTGTGTGCCATTGCTTCTGTGTGTGTGTTTCAGACAGTGCATGAGTTTGTGTGTTCCTGTGGGCGCAAACGTGAGACGGAGCGAGTGTGTTTGTGTGTGTGTGTGTGTGTGTGTGTGTGTGTGTGTGTGTGTGTGTGTGTGTGTGTGTGTGTGTGTGTGTTTGAGGTTGGCTCCACCTTACGTCAGCATCTTCGTCATCGCCCCCCTTGTCTTCGTCAGGGGCATTTGTTGTAGGTCACTCATGTTGTGTGTCGGTGACAGGGACATCTGTGTGTGTGTGTGTGTGTGTGTGTGTGTGTGTGTGCGTCTTTGTCTTCCACCTTGTATCTCTGTCCAAGGTCAGCAGTGTGGGCAGGCTGCCAGCAGCTCGAGGATTCTCATGTTTTCTTAAAGCAGCTACACACACACACTTACCACACTCACACACAGACACACTTACACACAGACACACTGGGGTTATTGTTCTTGAAAGCTCTCTTGCTGGTGGTAAATTTTCTAGTTTCAAGCAGGGATGCAGCAGTCAGAGGTTTTGATGGTATGAAAGCTCAATTAACTCTGTATTGAAGAGATATTTCAGCGCAAATTTAAGTTTAGTGTTATGGTGTGTTTGACCATAACTTGAATTTACGCTGGAATATCCCTTTAACTATTGACTAGTTAATAACTAGTTAACTATTTAACTGACCCATATATGTTTCATGCCCAACAACTTAGTGTTTCATTAAGTTACTTGTCACTGTTGTCATTATTATTGTTGATATGTAATAAGAAAACTTAGTGGGTGTAGTTCTGGTTTGTAATCCTGCACATCTGTTTGGACCTTTTGCTGCAACTTTTCTACTGCAAGTTTTACTGACAGCTGATCAGTTATCTTAAATAACTCTTTGATCGTTCTTGGTGTAATCAGAAGACTCCCACACTGCCGACTTTAAAAGGACTGACTGTCTATAAACGCGGCACATTAAGTTAATGCACCACAGGTGTGACGTTTTTTTTTCTTTCGTGCAGGTTGGACTGAACATGAACTCTTTTTGAGAGTGGCAACAAAAAAACACTCTGGAAATTCACAGCAATTTTCTGTGGTTTAGTGCAAATGCAGCTAGATTGAAGGAAAGACGAAGCAGTGAGAGTTTTTTATGACATTAGATTAGAATAACCTTTAAGCCATTTCCAGGTTTTTTTTCTTGTACTAACAAGTTATTCCAGGATAAAATAAGATCATTGAGCAGATCTGTTGATGTCCAACTGAAAGCATTCAGTTTTATCTACAGAAGCTTATATTTAAACTTTTAAATGCTTATCTATATAGAATTCAAAAAGGTTAATGTTATAATGCTATTTATACTCCTGTGATGTCAGCTGTTTTTGTATCTAACATGGCGACTGAATGTTTTTGTGTGGTCTATATAAAATGTATGTTCTCCTAAATTTCAGTAGACACTGGCAGCTTAAACGATCAGTGTACAAGTCGAGGTGCTGAACTCTGGTCACAATTGGTTGATTGGTTAAAACAAAGATGCAAAATCCTGGAAATGTTCTGGTGGAATCAAATGGCAAATGAAGGCACTGAGTGATCATCAAGTGTTTGAGGCCTTTTTTCCTTTGAGTAGAATCGAAACAGCTCCTGCACATGCAAATGAAGGAGTGTTTTCATTAGCAATAGACAATGTCAGAGAAGAGGACTTTAGGAACTTAATAACTGTTAGTCTGGGATGGAATGGAGCCCAGACTAAATCTACCCAGATAAATAGAACGAATTGGAAGTACTGCAAATATATTATGTCGTTGGAAAGATGGCACTGTGCCATTATTGACAGATAAAGCAGATTGCTGCCAAACCCGGTCAAACTAAAGAGAAATTAAAGTGTTAGTCACCAATAAGAGCAAGCAACACTTTAATACTTCCTTTACATACTTGATTATTTAATACTAAGAGCCCTTGTCTAACCCTTTAATAAAAATAATGGCAATAATCAGCAAACTACAGCTGTCAGACTGACAGAGCGGTGTGACCAGAGCTTCCAAGTGCAAGTGTTTCATGTATGAAAAAACAGAGTATTTAGAGACCAGACTATGTCTGTCTCAGTCCTGACCCGCCTACGGTCTGTTGGCTGCTGCAAAGCACCAAGCTGTTGCTGCCTCCTGTTAGCTGAAAATCTGCAGCTCCTCATGAGCTCAAGCAGACGGAGAGAAACGGGGAGAGTGGATTATCTTCTTTGTAATCAAACTTTTCTGTCAACAATAAAGTCAAATGACTCAAAGTATTTCCCATTTAAATCTAACTTTGGCTAAGTTTCACGTCTCTATGTGGTCTAGTTACTTCAAAGTCTTGACTGATTTGACCGTCTATAGACATCCTTAAACCAAAACTTTAGAGAGCTTTACAAAATGTTGGGGAGTTTGATAGAAGTGAGGATGAAATGAAAATGGACACATTGAAGTTTCAAAAATGTTTCTCTATTTTTCTTTGATTTATGCACAATAAAGTTTAATGGTGTTAGTTTCTGCCAAATTAGAGCCTGAAGTGATTTTCATAGCTTGATACTTGGACTCATTAAAATCCATTTGGCTTTTGAAGTGAACCTCAGTCTGTGTTTCTGCTCTATCTCGAGTTAAATTAGGCAGAAATACCTGATAAATGATCCAATCATCAGGATATTAGAGGCTGTCGCTCAGCGTCATACTCGGCATTAGCTCGGTCATGGTGTTCCTCAGTTGAGCAGAACGGCTCCCTGCAGTGAAAACTTAATTCAACCAAAACTGAGAGCAGCTGGCTGGTAAAACTCCTCTCTCTCTCTCACACACACATACACACTGTGTATTTTCAGCTTTCCTTTCGCCTTCTGCTGCTGCTAGCATCACTCTGCTGAAACACATGCAAACACTCTGGATCTTCCTCTGAACCACATGTGATGAAGGCTTTTCTTTCCCTGCCTCCCCGTGTCCTGATGAGACTTCCTGTCGTTTGTCTGACTGGAGTCTAATCGGAAGAGTGTCACATCAGGTGTTTCATTAACTTACTTACCACTTAGCTTCAATACTGATGGAGTTAAAAAAGAATTCTGCACTGCTGGTGTTTTAGCCCACGGGTTTGTATTGTCTTGACTTGCTTGTGACTAGAAAAACAATAAACCTACAAGCCAAGACGTGGCTGAAACCGGCTAAACATCGGAGTGACACGTTCACGGGCCACTTGTCAATAAAAAATTAGGCTCCAAGGGTCCGTTGCAATAATTATCCACCGTGAGTTTTATTTACAACACATCAATAAGTTCCAAATGCACAATTGCATGAAAAGATACAAGTTCACACGGATTCCTCCTTGACAAGTGCCAAAAAAAAAATAAATTGACGGTCAAAAACTTGTATGCTCTCACCGGTCACAAGACACAAACACACCTGCCTCTAATCAGCGCTATATAGGTTAAAGAGACAAGGAAACAATTCCGCCTCACATGCAGGTGGAGCCACCTACTGGAAAAACAACAAAATTGCATGAACCCAAAATCCATATACACAAATATACACATATACTGGTATTGGCACAAAATTATGCATGACAAGTTTTGCACTCAGTTGCAATGTCTTTTTCGGACTTTAACGAAAAATATCGCCACATGGCCGACAGTACTCCCACTGCTTGCTACGTTGTTTGTACCTTAGTTCACACTGTTGTTGTGATCACGTGGGCTCTACATGGATCCGGGCGCTGCTACAAAGAGGTGCTGGAGCGGAATCTGAGTGCTGATATTGGAGATTTTTGATTCTTTTTGGGTTTTTTTGCTGTCCGATACCCGATATCAAAATCTTATCGGTACACCCCTAAATTTTTCTCACGTGTCCAGAGAAATACCTTCACCTGTCTGTACACTGCATCTACTTTAATCTACGGCATTCATATTTCTGGTCTTTTATTTTGAAATGACAACTCCACATCATGTTTCAGCCGACTCTGTAACTCACTGTTCCTTTGAGGATTCGAGTCCCTGTCGAAAGGGTGGGCTTAAACGTCTGCGTGATAGTCGGCATCAAAAAGAGAGAAGACGACAGCGCACTCAGTGCTCTGTCATCAGGAAAGCAGCCTGTCTGTGAGAGACATACTAATGAGTTTTCTCTTGTAACACAGTAATTAAGTCCTCAAACGATGATGAGAGATGATGTGTGGAATAATAATCTGATCTGTTAAAATGGTAACGTAGTGTTTTCTTGCCAATTCCTTTAAATCAGAACCAGAAAAGCCCAGCATGTGGTGCCTGTGAAAAAAGCCGGGCTTGTGTGAAGGTAATCATTATCTCTGATGAGCTCTCTGCAGTCAGGAACAAAGTGTGTTATTAGGGGAGCTATTCCTGACTTAAACTCTGATGAATGCAATTGTTTCATGGGAAACAGTTTAAATGACATTTGAAAGGCAAAAACGAGAAGTTTTGATCTTTTTAACCCATGCCTCATGACGATGCTGCAGCACCATCCTCATCCTCATCCTCAGCAGCTTCTCTGGGGCAGCTGTTGATCGAGTGCCTTACTCAGTGACGTCTAAGAGTGATTAGATTCCCTTTCTAACTCGCATGAACACATTTTCCAGATTCTCTACTTGAGTGGCTCATCAAGCTGTTACCAAACTGTTTTTCTAACTCAAAAGTGCAAAAAAAAGGCACAATATCCCCAAAGAATGAAAGATCTATAACACCGCTGCCATTGCTAAAATCTTGGAAGTAATCTCTGTCTGTTCTACACCTGATTTAACTCCCAGACTGCTATTGGATTTTGGCTTGTATCAGAACTGCCTATATTGTCATATTCACTTCAGCTAATACAGATATTAATACAAACAAACCTTTAATTTTTCATTGTGAGTAACACCAAGTTTCCTCTGTATTGGAATATGCCTTTAACTCTTATTGTGACAGTCTGTTTGATTCAGAAAACTGACACAAAAGGAGACTAACATTTAATTCTGTCGTATGTATTCTTTACAAATATGTGTGCACGGCGGCAGTAGCTCAGGAGGTAGAGCGATTGTCCAATAACTGGAAGGTTGGTGGTTCGATTCCCCCTATCCCTAGTCTGTCTTTCGTGTCTTTGGGAAAGACACTTAACCCATCTTGCTCTCAGTGCGTGTCCTTCAATGGTATATGATTGTGAGTGTTGTGTGGTGGTGGTCAAGAGAGGCCGTAGGCACAAATTGGCAGCCACGTTTCAGTCAGCTGTGACTACTAAGGTAGTTTACCACTGCCAGGGTGTGAATGTATGAATGAAGTGTCCATTGTAAAGCGCTTTGAGAGTCTCTGATCAAGTGCGATTAAAATCTGATGCATTAGACATTCACTGACGTCTCTTCACAACTCTTAAAAATACTTCTATAAGTCAAGTTTAACAGTGGTGTTCATTTTTCTCTTTTTGCAGTTCTGGATGTCTGCAGTGGCCACCACCATGCCCATACCATCAGGTGCCTTCATGCCTGTTTTCATCCTGGGTGAGTTTAACACAGGCAGCCTTTATATATTTGTAAAACATGTATCTCCAAAATTAGTTATATTTTTCAGGAACATTAAAAAGCAATTTTATTAGTAAACTACTTTACAGAATAAACTGAAAACACGGTAATTAGACCTGAAATGAAAATCTAGTCATCAGTGCTTTGTGTTGTGAGTGATAGTGGACATATGTGTTTTTTTGATAATGGGCTCCAATGACATTCAGTTATATACAAGCTTTGAGTATCCCGCTTACGTCCCACTATGCTGATAAACCAATGATAGCGGGCTATCCTACATTTCCACATAACACATTTGAGTTGCGACTCCCAATTTAACACGTACTGTTGTCCGCGACTGAGTGTGAGAGAGAAAACAGCAGCTTCGCTTCTGGGGATGAACTTCGGCTCAAGAAATCTAACGTACAGGTAACAACACTGTCATGGTGAGAAAAAAGTTTGAGGTCGGCTTCAGTCGATGGGAGGACATTTGTGTAGCATTACCCTGGACTGTAATGAGTCTGCCACAGTGTAAAGTCTGTTTGCTGACATGACAACGCAGGACCAGGGTGGGAGGTACGTGCTTTGTTGACACTTCTGATGATGTTATAAAATGTCTTTCCATCGGTCACTTGTACACCCAAAGCTAAGGGTTGTTGGGGACGGTATGCTGCAGAATGGAGCATCTGAAAAGTGTTTAAAAAAGATCTTTTTGTTTTTCAAAAGAGAGTAAATCTTATTTTCCTGTGTCTGTTTTTTCCCCCTTTGTCCTCAAACACACATAAACAGATCTGTTTCCATGTATGTTCCCAAGGTTACGTTCAATCCTATTTAGCTTTAGGCTTTAGCGTATTGTTATTCAGATCAACATTTAAAAACATCAGTGTTTATTTGCAGTCCTTTGCAGTTTATATCTGATGTTTATGCAGAGTGAAATGCTTTTTTGGAGTGTGACCTTTACCAGTACTCCACTTTAAAATATTCATCATTACAGCCGTAAACAACTTCAAATGATTAAAAGAGATCTGCTGGGTCATGTCGCGTGCGTTTGAGCGTGTGCTTCTTCGCTTTTTTAAATGCGGCCTTTTGCATTATCACGTACTACATTTGCACAAAGCTTCAGACTTTGAAAGAAAGCACAATAGTAGCTGTAAAAGCAGTCATGTTTATTGTCAATAAATCAGTGATGACCTGAGTTCTGTTTTCTTTGCTGATACACTGAAGAAATGCCGTTTAGACATCAGTGAATATCGTCAGTCTTTTTTATTCAGCTGTCTCAGCACAAATTCAGCATTTATTTATAGAAACATGACACTTAGATTAGCCTTTAAAGGTGTAAACTTTATTTTGAAAGGACACTTTTTGGCTTCCCTCTCATAGGAGCTGCATTCGGCAGGCTGGTTGGGGAGATCATGGCCACCCTCTTTCCCCACGGGATCGTGTTTGACGGCATCCTCTACCGCATCATCCCTGGAGGGTACGCAGTCATTGGTTAGTCTCCCTTTCCTCCTCAAAGAAACCCCCCCTCTCCCCGTTTTCATCAATTTAATCACTTTTGTAACCGTATCTACACTCTTTCGTCCATCTCCCATTATTAATAAGTCATTGCAAGGGTGAAGTAAGAGAACCAGCAATTGCAATCACGTTAAAAATTCAATCAGGACATCATTTGAAAGCCACATCATCAAAGTCTGACTGTCAGGCTGTCCCTGTCTTTGTCCTTCTCCTCCTCCTCCTCCTTAACTGTCAAACTCCTGCTCTCTTCATATTTCAGAACCGCTCAGACTGTCCTCCCTCTGTCACCTCTTCCATCTTCTTTAAGTTTCTCCTGTGTCTCTCCTATCAGCCCACTCTGGCTCGTTGCAAAGTTGTCCTCCCCACCTAATCTTCCTCGTCTCCTTCCCTTTTGTTTCTCGTCTACTCCCTCCTCTCCTCCTCTCTATCACAGCATGTGGCCCCCTTTGCTCTGACAGTAAAATGTCACTGTGGGTTCCTTCAGCTGTCCTCACCTCAGCCACTGACCCAGAAACCCGGCCTTCCTCTAGTTGATTCCCCTCAGATTGCCATCCAACGCCCATCCCTCCTCTTTCTCCTTTGATCCCACCTTGGTTCCTTCTTCTCGTCACTCCTTTGCTCCTTTTCCATTTGTTTCATCCTTTTTGATCAGTCTCCATCTTCAGCTTTTTTTCTTGGACCTTTGTTTCTCCCTGTCGCTGCTGGCATACCCTTTTATCAATCTATTTTTTATTCCAAACCCTTTTACCGAACCATTGTTTCCTGTTCCTCTCACCGCCTTATCCTCTGTCACTTAGCACTCTTTTTTCTTCTCCTCTTCTGTCATAGTACATCTTTTTTTCTCTGTCACATTTTTTCATGTGTGATTATCTTTTCAACGCTCTCGTTTCCACTATCTTTCTGTCCATCTTTCATCTTTTCTTCTTGCCTAAAATATCTCCTCCTGTTTCCTAATCTTTTTGTCTTCCTCTCCTTTTTGTCCCTGCCACTCTGTGCATGTTTACATCCAGTTTCTTCCTCCTGCCTTGCCCCTTGACTCCTCTCTCCATCCGCATGTATGACCTCCCCTTGCTGTTTTTTTTTCCTTTAACATTCATCCTTCCCCCCTTTCCCCCCTCCCTCCCTTCATCATCCCATCCCATCCCATGTCTCTGACAGGAGCCGCAGCTTTGACAGGGGCCGTAACTCACACAGTGTCCACAGCGGTTATCTGCTTCGAGCTGACAGGCCAGATCTCTCACATCCTGCCCATGATGGTGGCAGTAATCCTGGCCAACATGGTGGCGCAGGGTCTGCAGCCCTCCCTCTACGACTCCATCATCCAGGTCAAGAAGCTGCCATACCTGCCAGAGCTCGGCTTTGGGCACATGAGGTTTGTGCTACTTTGACAGACCAGATGTTTCATGTGGGGCAGGTAAATAAAGGAGTTCTTCTTCTGCTGTGGAGCTGTATTTGTAGGAGATGATTTTTACATCTAGAAGTTAGGCATTTTCACACTCGGGTGTTCTGCAGATCGAGAACTTTCAGTTTTGCTGGTACTTTTGGGTGTAAAGATTTGATTTCGGCTGTGTGTGTGTGTGTCCTACAGCCAGTACAACATCTTTGTTGAAGACATCATGGTCAGGAAGGTGAACTTCATATCATCTCAGTCCACCTACAGAGAAGTCAAACTCCTGCTGGACTCCTCCTCACTCAAATCTATCCCACTGGTTGACTCAAAAGGTACAAGAGTGAATGAGGAGATTATTGGTACTGTGAATTATTATTTTTACCCAAAATAACGAGAGGACAGAATCACACCAGGGAAGTGTTGCCACCATTAAACCACTGAATCTGAGTATGATTGAGATAAAATTGAAGTTTTGAGCTGTGTCACAGAAGCTTCAGTCTGTGATGTTTAACTTATTTTTCCTCCTTTGCTTCTAGACTCTATGATCCTATTGGGCAGTGTTGACAGGGTGGAGCTTCTGGCTCTCTGTGATTGGTGGCTGTCTCCAGAGAGAAGGCTCCTGACGCAGGTGAGGACGGTCAGAAGACCAAGCACATGTGGTCATGCAACAAAATGATTGTGACACTTTTGTGACAATGAAAAGACAAACATGAAAAGTGGATAAGCTAAAGGTTGATGTGAACACTGATGAAGAACACAGCTGGTGGCATTGAGCCCATACAGTAAAGTTAAACAGCCATATTCTGAACTGTTATGGACATGAATTTCCTTAGTGGAAGTTGCACAACACGATGGAGTTATATAACAATTCACACTGGTGTTCACACTGCATTTAATTCCTGTATTGTGACAAACCTGTCCGTGTTGATTTGCTCACCTGGATTTTGGCTCAGGGTCGGAGTCTGAGGGAGCAGAATCAGTCTCAGAAACACAGCTGGGAGTCCTTCGCTTTCGTAGATGAAGAGGAAGAGGAGGAAGGCGAGAAGGTGGGACCTTAAAGTTGTCTATCTGTTGTGAAGTGTCTGCAGTTTATTCTTCTGTATTTTTAAGGCCTAACAGTGGAGGCAAACTCCTTTGATCTCATATTTCCCTACATAAAAAATTCAGTCTTACAGCCTTTATAGGCGGTAAAATGAGGTGAAGTAAGTAGAGGCTGTGATTTTAGTCACATGTAGTCTCTGTCTACAGAGCAGCCCGGTGCAGGAGGAGAGAAACGGCCCCCTCCCTCCTCCAAAGCCTCAGGAGCCTTCCTTAAACTACACGTCTCCTGTTCCTGGTGAGCTGAGTTTCTGCACATTCTGAGCATATTCTCCTTTTTTTGCTGTTTTTATTTTTAACCCAACTGGTGGAGTCACAGTCGTACATATCTCTGTACTTACTGATTGTGGGTAAATAAATTGAGTCACTAATTCTTAATACCATGTGATACAGCAAGGGTAGCAAAGGATAAAGACCTTTCTTGACAAGACCTTACTTGCTTAAGAGATTTCTTTCCCCATTTCCAATAAACTAATTCTATCCCATTACTGTTGTTTTCAAGTCACGCCCAGTTCAATTTGAAAACAAAAAACAGCTGGTCTCCTTCCCTTGTTTCAGTTACACTTGTCAAATTTTCAGACATGCAGCAGAGCCAGGGCAGAGGGAGCCTCATGGGCCTTGTCACAGTACTATAGATGTTCTCAGACAAGTGTTGCTCACACAGATAATGTAATAGGATTTATTCTTCCCTCTGTCTCCGCTGGTTTTTCTCAGAAAAAAGAAAAAAAAACAACTTTTCTACTGATATGACTCAGCATATAATCAGAACCCAGATGGTCCGAGGTATATAATGTGTTCCAGGGATGGTCTGGTTTTTGTAAACCTCTTGTAAAAGGTGCTCGTCAGTCGTGAATATATTGTCCTCAGCAGAGCACATGACCTTTTTGGAGCAGCCAGCTGATGTGTGGATATGAACGCTGGTCTGCAGTAAGAAGAATTTGAGTCATTTTAAGGTTTCCCAACTGAAATCAATACCTCTTTGAGTCAGAGGTGCAGTGGAGACACGGTGTCACATGTGTCTTGGCTTGGTTTCCTGGATGGATTGATCAAAAAGAAATGTTTCTACGTCTTGCTTTCTTAATACTCACTATTGATTCGAAGCTCATGCACCAACCCCTTTGAAGTGTCGAGCTCTGGCATTAAGTTTACAAGTGATCAGATATGGTTCATTCTTAATTCTTGTAGATGCTCCTAAACGCAAACCTCGACTGCATGAGAGGTTGTAATTACCTTTATTATTAATTAGTCAGTCCGTCACATTGACGTAAACACACTCGAGTGTCTCTGGCCTAATCAGATGTCATATTTTTGGAATTGATACCTCTTAAAGATGAGCTGTGTGGCAGATGGAGTCTGTGTACACATCATGTTACAGTAAACTCTTGAAATGCCTGCCTCACTCAACAAAAGACAGTTTCCCTGTAAAACGGTATCCAGACAACAACACTAAGGTATAGCTTGTGTTGTTGCATTGCCTTTTTTTTTCACCTGGACAGTCAAGTCTTCCTATAGCTGACTTACTTTGATTCGTTGACCTTTACCGCCTAAATGTCTTCATCTCGTCTCTTCCATGTGTCCAGACAAAGCTCCTCTGCAGTCTGTGAGGAGAACACTCAGGAATCTTCTCACATCAAAGAGCAGACAGGCAGAGGGACAGTCTCAGGTCAGTGTTTGCGTGTGTGGGCGGACACTTGTGTCATGGTCTGTCTTTACACTTTATAAACACTTGTGTGCACCACATATAACCATGTTCGTGTTTTCATGCTTTTCTAAAAAATGTTTTTATATTTTCTATGCTCGGTAACCTGAAAAGGATGTCAGAAATATACATCTCAACCCAAATTCATTCTTATTTGTTTTGATTTTATTTTTGTTTTTATTCTTAAAATATACTTTTTATAATCTTATTAACATTGTCAGTAAATCATAACTAATTCAGTAATAATGATAGTAAAACTATTTAGTAGCTTTTTTCCCATTATACTTTTAACGACTTATTTTTACTTAAAAAGTTATTTCTTAGTATGTGTAATACAGTATCAGGTCACAAAGACAGTGACCTTAGAGAGTTATGTTTAATGATATAGCAGCTCAAAAATCTTTGCTTTATGTAAACCAGTCCAGATATAACAGAAATTATTTGTTTATCGTTATGTTATGTTATGTTATGTTATGTTATGTTATGTTATGTTATGTTATGTTACGTTACGTTACGTTACGTTACGTTACGTTACGTTACGTTACGTTACGTTACGTTATGTTATGTTATGTTATGTTATGTTATGTTATGTTATGTTACGTTATGTTACGTTACGTTATGTTTTATTATTAATAATAATAGAGTTAGAGTAAATTAGAGTACAGTTAGTGTGAAATTAGACTTTGGTCATTTCCAGGTATGAGTAGGTGTAGAAATTAACATCATGGAAAAGTCTTTATTCTCAGATAATCACCTGTGGATCTGTGATTGAGAGGATGTAGAAACTCTAAACAGAATTTATGAAGTGTCACCACTTTTATAAGGATACACACCATAATTTTAGAGCAGGACAATGATAATGCATCCTATGACTGAAGGTCATTAAAATTAGTTATAAATTAGAATTGGCATACGCGTAATTTTTGGTTAGCTGTGATTTGAAATCCATTTGATGTGGACAGTATGTGTGACAGTCTCTGACAGATGTTGGCACACTGCTCCCTCTTTTGTTATGAATCATTGAAATGCAAATATCCTCTGTCTATTGGCAAAGCCATCCCAAAACATTCTCACACTGACACCTCTGGGTTATAAATATTTATTCTTTATTTTTGCAGGGTGGATTTTTCATTAAGGGGGACTGCTTTCTATTCAGAAAGACACAAAGTTATCTGATTGACAGAGGCACAAGAATACACAAATACTCCCCCATTCTCAGACAAACTCTCCGAAGTCGAGCATCTTTATTTTTCAAGCTTCTCATATGGAAATGGGTTAGCCAGATACTAGAGGTAGAGTTATTATTTGGCCTGGCAGGGAAAGCAATACATGTCATCTTTTTGAATGAAACCCACATTGGAAGTAAGCATATGCTTGTAAGCTCGCAAGATTAGAATTTGATTTCTGTTTTGCCCACTGCTGTGGCGTGAGAATTACCAGTCTGATTCTCTATTATGTTTTTGGATTCAGTCCTACTCCTGCATGGGGATTGTTTTTACAGCAGCGAGCCGCGATTCTGCTGTCCTGAATATCAAATAGATTCACAGTAGGAAATTGCCACTAGCGGCAATCAGGCCAAAGCATTGCTGAACTCTGGCTGTGAATCAGGTATTTGTCTTCTGTATGGCAGGTAACCAGACGCTGACCTTTCGAATATTATGTGGCTGGTGCAACAGTGTCAGCATCTTGTTAATTCTTGCATTGGCATCATTGCTGTGGCTGTAGTGATAAACGGGAAGAATGAGAATACATTTACACAGAATGCTGAGGTCTAATTACTGTTTTGTAAAGGTGAGGTAAAATAACAGGGGAACTTGTAAAAAATGTCCGGCTTTTCCCTCATTTTGTATGTTTGTGTTTGGTTGTTAAAATAGCAAACTCTCAGCTGTGGTTACATGTAGAAATCTCATTTTGGTATGCCCACAATAAATAGTACTAGTGCAGGGATGATAACACATTTTGCCTTGACCTCAGAGGCTCCTGTTTTCTGATGGTTTAAGAAAAGTGCATTTTAATATAGCTATCGAATGAGCTGATCAGCCTCCCCGTTTTCTTCTCCTTCTGCTAAGCTCAAAACATGTAAAATCGTGACATCCTGTTGTCAAAAATAGTCACCTTTTGAGTCAGTTTATCTCCTGGATGTTGCTTTAAACAATAGCCCAGAGATAGATATATGAAAATGCCAGATCATATCAACGAATTCTCAGGTGAAACCTCTCAGTGGATGTAAAACAGATCCGCCTCTCACTTTTTCTTTGACTCCTCTCCTGTTGGAATAAGATGAGACTTTCTGGACTCAGAGGTGGCAGCCAGCCTGTTTCTTCACCCTCACCAGAGAGACAGAAGTGACAAAGGATTTTTTATTATTTTTTTTCTTAGATAAAAATCCCACACTAACATGTCTCATCTCTTATCTGTCTGTCTCCTCCTTTTGTATGTGCAGGAGCCCTGTCCTCCGCCCCTGTCAGACACAATGACGCCTGAAGAGGTACGGCATGGTTTGCATGGTTTTACAGAAATGTCTGCTTGCCATTGTTCCTTTACCCTGAGGTGATCTGAAACTCCACTCGAGTTTAGAAATCAATTCTTGAGTCAAAAGCCAAGAACTTTGCAGCTGCCTTTACATGATCCGTCTTAAGGTCCTTACACGCCAGGACCGATGCAAATATACGACGCAAAATCACGAAATATTCTGAGGCGAATTTTGACGCGCCAGCCAGATGCAATTTTGCCAAGACTGACCCAACAGCAGACTGAGTGTTTTTCAGTTCTGATTAGACTCTAGTGTTAAGATGTCTGTCTGTCATGATAGCATGTACTGAGTCTGGGCCAGTACCAGATAAGAACATTAAACTATAATCCATAAATGTAAGGTAACAACCGAGACCTAATGGTGCTGTGACAGCAACACGATTGGGTTTGAGACAATGAAAATACATATGGTATGTTGTATCTGAACAGGTTAGCTTACGAGCTAAAGTTACTTAGCACAGATGAAAGTTAAAACAAAGACGTTTATCAAACTGTTAAAGCACACAAACCATCGTCACATGAGAAATCCGACGCTATGACTCTCCACAAGTCGTCCTTCAGGTCGTTATCTTTGTAACATTTGTGTTTTTTTATCAAACAGCACTCTGTTCTCCGACACGTAAACAATCAGCCGGTCGGCCATGACATCTATACTGAAAAAACTCTATGTTAAAATAGGTCACAGGCATTCCAGATCTGTGTCAAACTCACAAAGATCCAGAATTGGGGCACTTTCTAACAGCAGTGTGATCACACACATGAAATCTTTATTATGAGATCTTTTCAGTCGAAAGCGTCAAAATACTATTAGTCCCTCCAGTGTTCTCTGTTGGTTTCCTCTCTCTATCCCTACCTGGCACTTTCCCAGAAGGCTCCACAACACTCTCCCTCCCCCCCTGTAAATCCCACCAGACTGCTGCTGCTCGTGTCACAGCAGGCCAGGGCTTGTTGGTAAAACCTATAGAGAGGCTAAAAGGTGTCAGACATCCTAAATCTCAGAGGGAACACCAGAGACACGCAAGGACACAGTGCAAGGTTTCAGGGTTTTCTCACCGCTGCATAACTCTGGTAGACGGCGGTGAACCAGATCGTCTTTGTTCATTTTCAAACAGATAAAATCTACACAGACTCATCTATTATTATTTGTCCTTTTCATGGAGTGTAGGAGGATGTATGTATGCAAACTACTATTAAAGCAAATGCTGATCCTTAAAAGGATTAGTGATAATGACTCCAAACCAAGGTCAGCCTGACCACCTCTGTGACCTTGATTCTTATTGGCTGCCGCAGATCACAGCGTGGGAAGAGGCGGAGATGGACAAGCCGATGGAAATCGATGAGATACGAGTGGACCCTTCCCCTTTTCAGCTAGTGGAGAGAACGTCATTACACAAGGTTAGTGTGAAGTAACCCTTAAACAGTAAAGTGAAGGTAAAGAGCCTCTCAGAGGTCAGCAGATGTTTAAATCACATCTTAAGATTTGCCTCAGAAAGCCTTCCTTCCTGTCTGTTATTTTGGTTCTTGTGGAAATAATGAAAATGATAAATCAACAATTTTGAGACACAGTTGAATGCATCTTTTAGCAGCTTGGTATTGCTACAGATAAAAAAAACTGACTCATTAACATCCAACTATTTTACTAAAAGTCTCATGCCAAACAGATTCAGCGAATTCCCCTTTTTAACTTTTGTTATTCATGTTTGAATACACACATGGATGGAAGGAAATAATCTGTACTAATACCCTTTACTTACAGCCACTGATTGCTCATTGTTATTGATAGATAGATTATTGATAATAGACAGAAACACGTGCATGAATCTTTACTGGACTTCTGTGATCATGTTATTTATTCAGTTTGCAATACATGGGTCGCAGCAAAGGGCAGGACATTTAACACATTCACTCATCAATATAATACGCACGTCTGTCAATGTGCAGGACAGCTGAAGGGTCCAGCCATCAAGTGTAGAAGTGCCAAGTGCAATAGTCACAATAAATAAGTAAATAAATGGATTTGAAAACCTAGAAAGTAAAAAACAACCAGGTAAACTTTGAACTATCAATGGCATTTAAATACCTAATGGCTGAAGGAATAAAAGAATTGACATAACTGAGCAAGATATCGCCTCCAAGTGGGCATTAAGGAAAATCTCTTGTGAAGTAGATGATCTGGGTGTGCAAAGATCTGCATGACAAGTTTTAACAGGGCTGGACAAGCTGTTAAAACTCGCCATGTGGTCATGGAAACCAGCGAACAAGAAGAGGAAAAGATTTTCAAGTATCTCAACAGAGTTATCAAAATAACACGACTAGTTCATGACTGTCATATGATTTTTTTATTCATCAGCCTGCTGGTTAAACTTTGAGTTTCCCCATCGTTGGTGAAAATGTCATCTTTTCATCTCTCTCATTGATTTGGTTTCACAGACCTGCACATATTCCTGTTGAGATTATTGTATTAAATGCTCACTGCCCACACTAAGTCGGGTTTTTTAAAAAGTCTCCAGCTGCACATGAAAAATGTCAAAGTGACCTTAAGCTCACACAAAGTAACTTCAGAAACCGGAGCTTGTTATAATTCGTTGCACAACCTGATTTCCATCAGGAATTATTTGAATATTACTTCAGTTCAAAAGAAAATTGCTCCAGAAAGCAGGGAATATTGTAATTTTCTTCCATTTTCATTTCAATGTGTGATTCATTACTTCATAATTTGCATGAAATGACTTGAATAGGTAGCCTGCAGTAGTTTGACTGTGGACAGAAGTTTATGTTTTTATATCCCGGGTATTATTCAGGATAACAAGCATACAAATGAAACTGTTCAGCACCTGGAGCAGCCGTCAGACCTTTTCTTGAATCTCCCACACTGGGCTCTTTAAGTTGTTTACTCCTGTAACGTCTTATTCACCGAGGCTGTGGGTTACCTTGACAATATGAAGAGATGAGAGAAGCATATTAAAAACATTCACACAGTGGATTAATTCACTCAGTGTCAACAGACTCAATGGAGAAAACACAGCATCTGTTAGTTTAGGAGGGAACAGGTGGCGAGGCTTTTGTTGGTGCAAGACAAAGAAAGTCTCTATTTGTTAAAGACTATAAATCAGCCGACTATTTTATTTTCAATTTCTGTTAAAGAGGTTAAAACAAGCATACATGCAGCCTATGTTAAAGAAAAAACCTGAAGATGATCCAGGATTTACACATATCCCTGAAATACTGAAGCATGTAGACAGGTTGTACCCTTGCTGGTTGGTTTATTTTGTCATCAATGTAATTTCATTCTCATGCTAATATTATCCAGAGTATTCTGCTTATTCATGTGCAAAAGAAGGCTTTAGGGGGGAGGTGTGCTGATGCATACAAAGAGCTCATCTAAAATGTGACCTTAGCTGGGATATGAACAGAATAAATTGTGCCGAGAAACGCACTCAGTGACTTTTTTGTCTCGTGGTTCATTTGGAGCCTTGAGCTAGTCAGCTTTCATCTCTCTCTCTCTGTGACATTGGGTCTTGACAGAGCTGATGGAGAAGTCCAGAGCCTGTAAATTGTCTGGATGAAAAAGACTCATCTGATCCTCAGTCCAAGTTTGTCATAATGTGACGACTGTCCCCTTTTTCACTCCACAGACCCACACGCTGTTCTCCCTGCTGGGGCTGAGTCATGCCTATGTGACCAGTATCGGGAAACTGGTGGGAGTGGTGGCGCTGAAGGAGGTAAGAACTCTTATCCTGCCGATGTCAGGGCTTTTTTCTGTTTTGTTTGTTTTTAAATTCTGTCTAAAGAGGTCACCCCAAATTATTGCAAGCCAATAAATTCAATTAAATTCTTATTGATCTGAGTCAGCAGCCTTCTTCTTTTTTCAGAACTCTTTTCTTGTCTTGACTTTGGGTGGAGATAAATAAAAAAGAAAAAACTGATTGTCAGAGAGTCTCAGAAGCATTTTGAATTATGGATGAGTATTTTGATAAGCACAATCAATATCCTCACTGTACATTTCCTTCTTTTATTCGCTTAATTCCTTCTGTCCTGACTTGTTTGTCTCTGGTATCAGCTCCTCTGGCACTCCTCCCTCCCTGAATCTGTTTTTCCTGTGGATTTATTTACCCCATCATTACATCATTTGCTTTTTCCTCCTTTTTCCCTGTATCATTTCCACCACTACCTCCTTGCCCTTTCCTTTCCTTTCCTTTCCTTTCCTTCTTTCCCTCCTCCAGCTTCAGAAGGCCATCGAAGGCTCCACACGATCGGGTGTCAGGCTCCGTCCTCCTCTTGCAAGCCTGCGAGAAATCATCAACCACAACTCTGTCTCTAAAGCTCCACCTTCCTCTCCCACTGCTCCTTCTTCAACCTCCTCTCCGACTGCTTCCCGGTCTCCTCCCCCCTCACCCCCTCCTCCTCCCCTACACCATCAGCATCATCGGCCAAAGAGCGAAACGGAGGTGTGGATCGAGGGTGTGAAGAGGGAGGAGGGGGAGAGCAGCGGTGGCAGTGCAGGGAGTGGCGCTGGCAGCAGCACGGGGGCCTTAAGCCTGGCCAGCATGAGCTGCAGCGACAACAGCAACCTCAACCTTCCTCCCTCCTCCACTCCTCCCCCTGTACCTCCCTCCACTCCTCCTCGTTCTCCCTCTCCCTCCATACCTCTCTCCACCCTACAGGGACTTCTTGAAGGGGATGAAGACAGTGATGATGAGCCAATGGTCTAGATTAGACATGAGTGGGGGTTCTGTTTTTTATAATGACAAACTTTTATAATGATGTGAGTGTTTTTCTTATCTTCTTAATTTGTCGTGCATTTACCATTTTTTGTCACCTTATTGGTAGAGTATAGTTTTATAGTTCACTTTAAAATAGCTTCAAGCACACACCAGGTCACGATAGATCCTTTTTTTTTTCTCGTCTTTTTTTGAAAACTGTCTCTTCCCCTCTCCGATTCTGTCTGCTCATTTCATCGACCTTTTCTGGTTGGTTTACATAAACAGCCTTTTCCTCTCCTGCCCACCTCAACCTCTCTGTCCAGTCTCATAGCTTATTATTCACATTATGGGGTCAGCCAGTCCCAGAACTTCAGTTCCTGCTGCTGCTGCTGCTTTAAAGTAGTATGATAAATAGCTGACTCTTTCATTCATTAATGGATGTATCTTAAAATAGCTTGTAGGCTGATAAGATAACCCAAACATGTAAACACTGAAATATAAATACTGTAAAATTCTGTGACTAAGACACAGTATTTAGACCTTCTTTGTCATCTTAAAAGAGAGTTGTGACTAGGGATGGGTGATATAGGCTAAAAAATTTATCACAATAAGTTTTGCCATTCTGCCGATAATGATAAAAATCCAGATGAAAAATATTATAATTCCAAATCCATGTTTTTGACTCATTCTGTCTTGAGAAAACCAGTTGGAATCGTCAAATAAGATACTTAAGTACAAGTTTAAGTGGTAAGTTACAGAGAAAACCAGTGAAATGTGAAAACATTTTTAACATTTATTGAAAACTCTTATGGCACAGAGTGAACAGCAGCAGATCCACGGTCTGATGTCAGGCAGACCTGATTGCACTCGTCTAAACTCCAATCTTGAAATCCCTCATGTGGAGCCTCGTTCAGCAACAACCTGCTCAGAGACGTCTTTTTCACTACCTTCTTATTCTGATCTGTGTGATCTACGGCTGCGAATCCGTTGCTCGTGCTTAAGTCTTAAACTTGCATTTATCGCGTTTATCGTGAGATCTGACGATAAATCGTGAGCGATAATTTATTGCCCATTCGCTGTTGTGACTTATGTGCCGGTAAAATATGAAAACATTGAATTGTTTCCAGTGTTTCATCTAACAGATGGCACAGGTAGAAAGAAGCGACTGCCTCGATGATGCTTTTGTGCAACGCCCAAATGCTAGCAAGGTCAACCTAAACATGATTGATCACAGAAAAGAGAAAAGACTTGTTCCCAGGGGGCGCCAAAGTCAACACAAACCAAAAGCTCTATGACAATCAGTGACCAGCAGAGAAGTTGGTGAATCGGTGCCGTACAACTATGGCAGTCACAGATGGTAACTAAGAGCTACACAGCTGCATAGAAATTGAACATTGCTGAGTCATACTGCAAGAACAAGTCTGAGCCATTGGCTTTACGTGAGCTCCCTGGAAGTAGAATGAGTCTTAAGTTCCTTAAGTTGAGATAATCAATGTTTTTAATGATCCACTATCATTAATGCTCTGTGTGAATAAGAAATGAATATTTGAATGTTGCCTTCATTATTTTCATCCACCTGGTGCACTCGGTAAACCCTGCGCTGTAGTTCGTCATTACCTCAGAGTGTATTTGCCTTTAAAAAAAAAAAGGAGTTTTATCAGACGAGTGCAGAAGTTATTGATTTTCTTTTTTACTGGCAACAGAGTGTCTGGATAACAGTAGACTAATGGAGCTGCTCGGTCCACTCGGTCCACCGTGCAAGATTGGCCAAAGCCCCAGAAAGACCTCCAGATTGTGTGCTGACCTTGTGGATGCAGCCTCAGAGCTCATCTCATCACGCTTAAGATGATAGATGGTGCAGCTAAAGGCGGCTGACCACAGCCCAACACCCACTGCAGATTTTCTTTTTTCCCCATCATCTCGACAAAACATCTGCTAGAGTGAACAGAAAAAAACTCAACACTTCTGATCATGTTGAAGATTAGATTTCACAAAGAAACGTGTACAGCCTAACTCAAAGGAAAATGATATAGTCTGTTGACTCTGATCAGACTCTAAAAATAACCATAATCACCAAGTAATGGCTGACGCTCATGGCAGTGACTGACAGCTGACTTTTCATCATATGACATCCATATGTGAAATGAAGATGATGATTTATGTTGACAGTGAGAGATTTGGCAGCTAATGCATTAATTTTCTTAATTAATTACCTCATTAGTAAAACTTCTTAATATAGACACATCAGGAGGAGATTATTGAAGCTCTCATGTGAAACTTAAACCAAAGTGATTTTTTTTTTCACATGGTAAAAATTCAGGAAAACCAGGAGAATGTAGAAGCTCTATGGAAAAGTTGTTTCAGTGAAGAATTGCCAAGTCACACATGAATATGAGCAGAGAGACTCAACTGTATCATGAACAGCTGGAAATCAGAAACATGAATTAAAAGGGTTTTGATTATAAAAGAAAGATTCAATCTTTAGAGCTGCTACGTGACTACCTTCATATTTTGCTTCCATGTGTTCTTAGACATCTTTCTTTTTGGTGCACCTCTCTTCATGAATAACTCCATCTCCGCCTTCTGTCTCAGTCTTTGTCTCTTGGATTCAGTTCCTCAGGTGTTTTTTCTTCAAAGTCTTTAAACCTACAGATTTCATGAAAGCTGTTTTCTTTTTTCGTGTCGGTGTGAATTTAAACGTGTAAGTCCGCTTCTCAAAGGAGCTCTGGAGTGGTCGGAGGTCTTGTGTTTGTCTGTGGTTGTGGTTCATGTGTTTATTTTTTATCTTTGTGTAGACTCAAATTTATCACAAAAGTTCTTAAACTGTGAAAAATGTAGCAAAATAAAGTTTTCACAAGTGATATAATTCAGCTAATGCGCCGTATGTGTTTTGATTTAACCATTTATTTACCAATGTTTGAAATCAGATCAGATTATAAACCGACAGACAGAAGAGTCTTTATGAACCATGAACTTAACTTAGTCCATTTCTAAACTTCCCAGGTATGTGAATGTTTCATAAGTTGTGATTTTTAACTGGACTTTGTTGCATGGTAACAGTGGAGGAGGCTCCTGGAGTGATTTGTGTGAAATGACAAAAGACTCCAGAACCCGACAGGCTAAAATGAGAGAAGTCTTTTTTGCTATAAACATTGTAAAGTAACTATAAAGGTATCATAAAAACAGAGTTGAGTTGAGACAAGCATAATAATACTCTCCTTTAGTTTAATAGCCTGTGATACATCGACCTATCAAGCCTTTCTATCTCTCCCTCTCATCTTATCGTCTCTCCTTGAGTAGGTAGTTATCTTCAAAATGACAGATGAATTCTGCACACTGATATGTTTTTAAACTCTTCATCTGCAGGTGTGAGCACCCGGTGCTTTTAGACATGATCAACAACGAGAGCACAGATGATTGTCTCAGCGGTCAGGGACTTCGTGGGTCATGGTCACCTGAGTGAACAGAGTGAGCCGTCCTCCCAAGAAGATGTAGGTAGAGGCTTGTAATTGAATGTTTTTGAATATACTTTCAACGTTATTTGCTAACACAAGAATACAAGAGAGGCTTAAAGTCTATAAAATCAGTTTGTTATAGTATCTGAGCTCTTGAACATCATTAGACGAAGTCATCCCCTTGCCTGTCCTGCAAATAAACAAACAAACTCATGCTCGAGCTCACAAACACACAACTCTTATTTACCACTTATACAAAGTCACTGTAAGCATGGAGCTTTTAAGAGTTTCATCTATAATTTAAATGCATTTTTCATATTTTCTGAATCAGCATTAACAAAAACCAGCACAGCCAAACACACTGGGGGCCTCTACAAAAACCCCGAAAAGCACTTAAACCAGCGAGAGCACTTACCTGTTTCCACATGATGAGGACGGTTACTTGGCTCTTTGAATGACGGAGGCTGAAGCTGTGATCACTACAAGTGTTTTATGTAATAACTGATTTACACAAAATGGGAAAAACGACCGACTCATTTAAGAGAACACTGACCTTAGTATGGCATCTTAGTTAAAGCGGAGCATTCTTCCAAATTGTTTGTCTGTGTGTAGAGAGGATATCACAGAGTATTTTGTCTTACCTGGCTTTTAAGGATACATTAGTGTTTTAGAGGAAGTATTTCATTTGTGTAGATGTCCTTGGAAGGTCCTAATATCTGTCAGTTTGAATGTGAAGACTTTCATAAAGACAGCATCAAATTGAAGTCAGTTAAAGTGTAGACACAGGTTTATAATGAGGAAATTGCTGGCTTTCCTCCTGTGAGAACCCAATTTTTTAAATGGATGCTCTGGCCTGCATCATCATAATTTCACAGAGCTTCCTATAACTGATTTAATGTACCTCTTAGGGGCCATTAAGTCCTTCATAACCCAAGCAATGGGCAGATAGTCTGCAGCTTCATCAGGCCTTTCGTCATTTTTCTTCTTGTTTATCAGCCCAGGCCAGCACAATTTTATCTTAGTGTCATGCACGGCTGTGTTTTTTAACCATTATCGCTGGTTTGTTGGCTCCACTTAATGGGCCGTCGTATAAAAACCAACCTGAGAATTGATATGTCATTCTCTGTTGGGGCGGTTTTCTTGAGTTTTTATGATAGGTTGATTTGTTTACCAGAATACTTTAAAGGAGTAGAGATGCATGTCTGCTCTATTGTTTGAATACGATCAGTTCTTGTGGCAAGAAAAAAGGATTGCAAAAAAACGGAACCATAATTGGTGGTACCATGGTGGCTGTGTTCATGTTTTAACACAGTTTATGTTAAAGTTAAAATCTTGAAGGTGTCAGCTTTCTTTCCGTTGATGGGGTCTGGGGTGATTGGCAGTAATTGCAGGTGTGTTCGTGGATTACACTTCCCTCATTTCCGAGAATGGAAAAATTCAACAGCGGCCGTGTAAAGCATTAAGAGCCTGAGTTCACTGGTTGTACAGCAAATGCAATAGCTTTATCTGTGGGTCATTAACCAGTGAGCTTCCACATTTAGTGATTAAAGAGATATTCCGGCGTAAATTTTAGTCATGGTCAAACACACCGTAACACCGAGTTAGACACCTCCTTGAGAGATTAATGCTGTAGACTGTTTGCTTCCAACTTTAGTGTTACGGTGTGTTTGACCATGACTCAAATTTACTCCGGAATATCCCTTTAAGACCAATCAACCAAACACCTCTGAGGTGATTACTTAAAGAAAGTTGTATGAGGCACATTACCTAAAGAAAACATAAAGACACAGCTTCTTTTCATGTGTAGGCGAGTGAAACAGAACAGCACCGAGGTCATTTTCCCAGAATATATATATTTAACACACAAACAAAGCTACATTCATACAAACATACATACACACATACATACAGTCGTACATTCATACTAATACAGATCAGTTTATGGAGTTTTCTTGTTTTTATAAAAAGCAGTCTGATATATTATTACTTTGTATACTGTGTTATACTGTAAGGGCTAGGTCACTGTTAAAAAGCATGCACTTTCTTTTGGTTGTGTGTCCGGATCATGTGTTTGCAAATGACTCCAAGTATGTTTGGCACCATCACTTCGTCTGAGCATCCAATTGAACCATGTTTGCCTCATATGACAATCTCAAGCAGGACTCAGACAAACTGTCAGTCAGATCCAAATGCACCAATGAGCAAATCAAATGGTCTCCTCTCACCAAGTTGATTAGATGGGAAATAAACAAAATTCTGGTGTTCAGGAAAACCCAACCAACCCCTTACATTATTAGCAAATACTGTTACCCCCGTCTTATTGAGTCCACGTTTGCTGTATTGCACTGTATATTTAAATAGGCCCTGTGTCTCCTCTGCTTTTCTATCACGTACATCCATTCACTGAATGTGAGGCTCTCGGTCTTGGTTCTTTGGTCCATTGGTCCAGACTATTGGTGAATCCATGTACTCTTCACACAGACTCTTTCAGCAGTCACTCAGTTTAAGTCTCACCTGCTTTGAACGTCATGAATTCATTGTCACATATTAGGCCTTATTTCCTCTTGGCATTTAGTTTTACATTACATCCAACACCCACAAATGTCCTCTCATTTTTCCTCCGACTCTTTGTGTAAATAGTTGGGTGGGTGTCGGGGTTGGGATAGAATAGCTTGATTGATTATTGGAGTATTCATTTTATGTTCTTTCCAGTTTTTTCCTCTGGTTGTATGAATTAGTTGGTCGCAACGACGACGATCGAGCCCTCTCCTGCCTCTTCCTCTTTCTCCTCCAGCAATTGGACGACACAGGTCGTGACTTCGAACGGTGTCCTCTCTGCAACAGTTTCAGTGGTCTGTGCTGGCAGTCCTGGGCTTGAACCCCTTGTAGACGAGGCGTCCTCCCTCAAAGGGGATGGGGTCAAAGAGGATGGCTCTGGCTCCAAGGTTAATGTAACCTCTTCTACCTGCAAAGACAGGAAGTGTTCAGAACAGTCGCATCTCTGGATTATGCTCACCTATCAAGTCTCTGGGCTTTTCTCTCGTTCTCATCTTGAATATCATACAAGTCCTCTTCATCAGGATTTTATAACACATCCATGCAGTGCTGTATAACAGGTGATAAGAGCTCTGTTCTTCCTCAACACGAGGCTAAACGTTCACATGTTGTCCTCATTGTGTTATCAAGTTTTGTGACACTGATAAGCCCATTGTCTTCGCTTAATCTAATCGCAGTGATATATCAGCTTTGAGGACTCACAGGTGTCAGCTGTAATCGAACCCAGTTAAGCTGTTCCTCAAATGGGGGACAGAGCCTTTATTTCTCAGCCTCTCTTTTGTGGAATTATTACCCAGTTTCTCTCAGTTGTCTGTTGTTTGACTTTTCAGCAAAAATACATCGATGGTTAAACCCTGATCCTTTCTTTATCGTAAAGATCCAGCTTTTTATAGATCAGCCCCTATCATGCTGCTCTAGACCAAAGCCTGGGGGATATGAGTGAAGTCATACCTCAGTCACAATCATTTTAAATGTTGTTCAGATTATACGCATCTATATTGTCATGGTTAGGATTTGTCTTCAGTATAATTACAGTTGTTGTTATTGTTGCTGAATGTTTTCCTCATTGTCCTTCAGTCTAGGGCTGGACGATACGGCCTCAAGCCAATATCACAAGCAGTTCACCTCAATAACGCTAAACAGAGGATAACTTCTCCACAAGCTGCTCACCCCCTCCCACGTTAACTTTGTCTACTTCAGCCGCCGCTGCAACTTTTGAACCGTCCTCCATCTCCTCACCTGTCTTTCCGGACCGGACAGGGTGGAGTCACGTCTCTGATGTAGGACAGTGTCTTAAAGGGACATGAGACCATAGCCTACCTTCACACATCCAAAACCAACTTTTATTTATTTATTCTTTTGACACTGAATATATTGACATGGGCAAAATGTCGTAAACTTCGGCATCGGTAAATTTTTGGTTTATTGCCCAGCCCTACTCCAGTCTATGTCTTGTTCAAAGAAAGACCTGGGAGGAAGGATTTTTTTGAAGCAAAGAGGTCCAGAGGTAGACCCACCTTTGTCAGCTCCTCCTCTTCCTCATCATGCTGCTCTGGTATCCCTTCAGACTCGGGCTCTGGCTCCTCTCCAACCGTCTCTACCACTCCTCCGACCATTTCAGCCATCTGTCCGCTCAGCTGCCCGATGATGTCCACCTGTAAACCAGATCAATTTGCTGGTTTAATTCCTTGTTGCGTTTTTGCACTGGGTTTTAAACTCGAAGGGCATATAGTCACAGGCATTGACTGTTCAATTTCAGTTGCTGATATCATTCAAAGGAAGAAACAGACAAAGAAAACAGGAAGAAGGATGAACAAGCAGAATATGAGCTCCCCTGTCCCAACCACAGCTTGGTTCGCCTGTGCAGGACATCAGAGAGAAAAAACAGATACTTAGACGAGCACAACAGACACAGATGCTGAATCCAAATGCCTAGAGTTGCAAACTTGCGGACTTCATAGCATGCTACCCTGAGGACTGGGTGGTGTTAAGGATGACCGTTGTCAAAATTCATCAGGTCCATTCTTGGCTGTCATGCAGACTTTTGGCAGTGCTCCATGCAGATTTCCAGCCTGTCTCCTACCTTGCAGACTCCCCCTGGCAGTTTCTCCCATCATTCACTGCACTACAGATGTGTGCTAATTGTGCCTGCTGATATAAACAAAGCCAGATCCAGAAACAGAAACAGATTAGCCAGGATGAATGCCAAACATGAAAAAAAGACCATAAAGGCTTCCTGTGCAAAATCTTGACATCAACTATGAAAATCCGTTTTTTCACCTTGGAGGACACGTGCCTGAGAAACAACAAAAGCAAGAGAGTATGATCGATCATCAGACATGCAGTCATTGCAGTGTTGTCTCACTTTTTCATAACAGTGACTAAATTTAGATGCTTTCGCCGTTTGCTTGCTTTTGCTTTGCTTGGCTGTAATGACACTCATGCAGCCCTCTGCCCTTACAAATTTTCTTAGCTTCTCTCGCTGAATCTGTCAGACTGTTCAATCTAGTCCGCAAAGTCTGTAATCTGACCATTTGGATTCAGCAGGCGAGTGCCTACATGATGAGCCTCGACCTGCGCAGCGCCCCACAGGTCGGCTAAACGAGGATGGGTGGGAGGACCGAGACTGTGGATAGTGCTGTTGGGAGTGGCCTGGAGGGAATGGGAGGCACTGTGTGGCCTGTGCTCCATGGACTGTAATCAGAGACAACAGAGAGGGAGAGTTAACAAGGGTGCACTTCAACAAGGAGGGGTGTATGTCGGTTATTAATGGCCTTAGTTTTTATTCACAACATGAATGTTGCCAAAAACCGTAGCCCCCAGTTCCTGACAGTATTTGCTAACCCTCTGAACAGAGAACAATGCCATAATTAGTTTCTGCATCACAGCCTAAGCATGCCAAAATATGACAATTTCATCCCTCCAGCTTTTGGCAAACCTCGCCAAACACGGGGAGATCAGATTTTTTTCGATTGTTTTTCCCCACTTTCCCGGTCTCTAATAATAGTCTGCTTCCACTTTAAATATCCCCTCAATTATGAGTGGGGATGAAGCTGCAGCGAACATTAGGGAGACGTCTCAGGCTCTTTAGCATAGGCCGATGCTCAGAAAATTGACTGACTGACTGAAAAGCTTTATTATAAATGTAATTTGATATATTTAATGGTGCCTAATACTAGGCGAACCGTATAATACACCCAGTGAAGCTAACAAGCTCATTTCTACTGTGGTCTGGGATCAGTACACCTTTTCTGTGACTCAGTCCCTGACCTTTTTCTGTTATTATACAAGCCTCCATTTTTTAATGAGCTCTGAGACGTGATAATGCTCGAGTGGTCAAGAAAGCTTGAAGTGTCTTTTCGACGCCATGGTGCAGTATGATTCACTTCTTTGCAGAAAACCTCTGAGAAGCCCGAAAGCTGGAAGTCATTATCTTATTGTCAGGAATAAAATAATGTTTTCTACAACTTCAACGCTGTAATGGGATGGAGGAGAGGTCTGGTGATGGGCACACCTTAAAAAGTCTTTATTTGCAGATGTTACACTCTGCTGTACTCTATATCTTGGCTCTTTGACAGTTGTGTACCATCTGTGCTGCCCTCTTTGTTTTTCTTTTCTTTAAAAAAAAGTATCATAACTCTTTAACTTGTCCTACATTTGTACCACTTCGCCCCGGTCACCATAGCTCTCCATCTGACATCCTCCTGGCACTGTAGCAGTGAGTGATGTCGCTTTACAGAAGAGTGGTGCTGTCCACTGTCTTGGCATTTAATTCCTTAAGCCTTGAATAGAAGACAGTCCCACTTCTGATGTGTTCCAAGAATAATAACCTGTCTTATATTTGGGTCGGTCTGGTATTTTTCAGGACATGACATCTCTTTATTTGACAGCAGAAACATTTTGTTTGTTATTTTGTTGGCTTGTACTTTTCCTTTGACGCAGATAACACAATCTGGAGAGTTGCCATCATGTCCATTACAACTAATTTAAGGTGACTTGTATTGTTAACAAAGAATTCTCATCCCTTTTAAATTTAAATTAGCATTTTTCTCTAAAGTAAACCAGAAGTGGCTTTGACATGTGATCAGAAAAACGTCAATCCTTAGATTCAGTGCTTTAAAAAAGAATTCACACATAAAGTAGGATCTGATTTGGTTTATTAATAACCAAAATCTCGCTTCAAGCCCACTCAATATCCTCATGAGGCTGCTTCTGTTTAAAGTGTTGCTTTACCATTAATGCCTGCATTTACTATCTTACACTTCGGCTTGAATGTTTTATTAGATAAGTTTCGACTAACAACCGATGATCGATTGTTTTCAAAATTTATATCCGGGATGTAAACATTGAAGAAAAAAAAGCTTTAGTTTCTGACCTGCTGTTGTTGGTACTGCAGAAACTGTTGCTGCTGGAAGTGATGGAGCTGTTGGAGCTGCTGGAGTTGGGTTTGCTGCTGCAGGACGAGATGAGTCTGTTGCTGTTGAATAAAACTGCCTACCGTCCCCTCGTACCCCTCCCCAGGTGTGCCCCCTGCTCCACTGCTGCCACCTGAAACGACCGTAAAGCGCTTTAATAGTCGGAATCAGTTTTTTAACATAACTGAGGAAATCCTCAATTCCCACCAGCAGCCATGATGTAGGAGCCCCCGCCAGGTGAGGCCACACCTGAGGGCTGGCTGGTGATTGGGTCCCAGGCGTCCGAGGACGACAGGCAGTACAGCCCCTGCGAGACGTAGGTGTGAGGCCAGACATCTGCAGAGGAGTGGTGCAGCACCTGGTCTGTTCAGGAAACCACAAGTAGGTAGAAAGAGAGTCAAGAGAGGTCAGAGATGGATAAAAATGTCAGTGAGGGAGTGAGTGTGTTTTGGTGTTGTTCGCTAGCTAAAGCATTGAGCAGAACCCACATGCTGTTGTTAATGAGAGCAGGGAGAAGTCCTTGTGCTAACCTACAGGCTCTCTCAGGGTGGGACAGGACTCTGCTTAACTAAACAAAAACAAGAACTAAAATAGAAAATTAAAAACATCGATCAAGTGCAGATTTCTCCTGACTAAAATAATCATAATCGGATGCTAAAGGACATCATTAATCTTTTTGTATAATGTCTATGACTGTCCCTGCCAGGTCATCTTTTCAGGGAAGGGCAAAATGGCTAAAATATATCACCACATTTTTGTCACCAGTCGTTCCTGTTTATTCAGAACACTTATTTTCTGTTTCCGGCCACGACATTCAGGATAAATCCTCTGTTTGAAAAAAGATTTGAGTTAAAATATTCCACGTACTCTCATGCTCTGTATGATTTGTATGTGTTCTGGTTTTTCAGAAAACCTCTCTATTGAATTTTTCACTTATTTTTCTTAGAGACAGTAGCTGGTTGCAATGAAAGGCAGAAGTGTGCAGCTGTGAGCACGTCCTCCAAAACTCCTTTACAGCTGGTTGGCAGACTAACTGACATGGCAAGTTTGAGTCTCTAGTGGGACTCCTATTTTCCCCAAACTGTGCATTTACCCGTGATAAATACATTGCCATCATACATGTGATTTAAAAGACTCAGTATAGAAAAGTCTGTATGCCTACTTTTATTACATAAAAGCAGCTTTCAAAGTACAATTACTGCACTTATTTCTCACTCCCCCCTGCAATTACTTGCAATGTCTCAACGTTTGCCAAGGTAAAAGATTTCAGGCAATTATTCAAGCCGCTTGAAGTGAACCAACTCGTCCACTTACACAGCCATTTTCATTTGCACTTGAATGGTTTTAACTGCGGTACCTCTGCTTGTGATGCTCTCCTGATTGACCTCACTGAGGTGAGCGACGCTGCCCTGGTTGGAGCCAGCTCCCATACTCTCCCCGTCCATCGAGTTCCAGCCGAACAGAGTGGCCTCGGAGATCGCAAATTGCTGCATGATGCCTGTAAAGAAGTGAGAGGGAACATAATGTCACCTGACATGCAGCAGCACTAATGGAGCATAAAAATAACACTATCATCCTTTTGAATCTCTGAAACACAGTCTAGGGTGCATTCAGTATCAGGTTCAGGTACAAAATGTAGACATAGATTGATATGGTCTTACTTTTACAGCAGGATCTTGTATTAAACCCCAACACAGAGTAGACAAAGTAGAATTTGTCAGAAAATCATGTTATTGTCTTAAGAAGCCAAATGGAAATTTTATAACTGAAGGTTTTCCCCCCCAGGAAAGAGTTCAACAATAGTAAAGGAAACTCTAGAAGTAATCTTGGCCCCCCCAGCACTAAAACTCTTTGACAAAAGTCTATCACCTGTAGATTTTCGTATCCCTCACCTGCAGCAAAGCGAGCCTCCTTCTCACCATCACTAAGATCGCTGTAAGCGTCGTTCTCCATCCTCCTCTCTTTTTCCCTTTGCAGGTTGGTGTGTCCCGCACCCCCCATAGGCCCTGCAGATGGTTTGCCCCAGCTCTGCCACTCAATCATATGGGCGACTCGACCCTGGGCCATGGCAGTGGGCTTGGTAACTTTGTCCTTCATGGAGCGGGTCACACCTACAACAGGTACGGGGACGAGCCGGAGGGCAGACATGCGGCGCATACAGAAACACATTCACACACGCAACAGACACACACAAACACTGTCAAAACTACTTCTGGCCTCAGCAGCGGAGGACTCCTCTATGTGAGGGAGACTAGGGAGGATGAGGTGGAAATGAGGATGAGATTAGACGAGGGAAGAAACTTGTATATCATGAAACTATGAGGCATACTTATGCCCATGGGGTTAAAGGGATTACAGGGAGTTCTGTGTGAAAAATGAGGACAGGAGGGCTGATTGAGGTAAGACTAAAACTCTGTCAGGGGTCTATAAAGATTTTTAACATGTATTTGCTGCTTTAAGTCAGTTTTCATGCCGATGTAAATCTTTCCAACGTATCTGTTCATCTTCTCTATATATCCTTGAAACTTCTGGAAGAATTAGCCCTTCTGTTGGAGCAGCTGAGGACTAAATGCCTTGCTCAAGAACATTAACCGCTGGAGACAAATGCATCCGAGCTTGAAGCCACAGCAGCTTTCCAATTTTATCCTCGTTATATTAAATAGACGTCACTGCAGCATCCCTGCAAAACGTATTCACTTACTGGTTGCATGTTAATAATCAAACTGAGTCACCACCCGCTGTTGATTCATATCAAATCATGTCATTATTAGCTGTTTTACATAATTATGATGTGGATTAGCAGGAGCTATGAAGAGCATCAGTCAGATAACCATCATGCAGTCTAGTCTAACAGCAGTAAGTGGTCTTTCCTCTTTAAGTTGTTCTTTGTTAGGCTTAAATCTTCCAGTAGATTTAGTTTTTTGAACTCTCTCCTCAGTCCTACTTAAAAACAAAAACAAAAAATTAAAATCCTCTTTTACTTTGAAATCCAGTCTCTGAGAGATCAGATTAACCTCAAAGTGTAAAAAAACTCAGTTAACTACTGTTTGTATAATGACATAAATGAAGCCCTCTGTTCTTGGCAGGTTCAGAGGTCAGATGTCACGTGACAAGCTAACAGTACAAAACAAGAAATGATTTCTTCGAGCTCCTTTGAGTTTTCAGTATTGAACAGAGAGGGACGAGGATGACAGCTGAAACGCTGACAAACCATATTAATGATAAAAGCCATTACTCATCTGCTGGTAAACAGAATAAATGAGATTCATTAGACTTTGCGTAATTAAAAACGTGTTACAGAGACTGAGAGAGGCAAGGAAAAAGTAATCCTTGAGTGTAAACAGAGCGCTAAGAAGGGTCCACCGGCAATTCTCCGTCCAATTAAGATGCAAATATAGGATTCAAACTAGTGACAAATACACTAAGTCAAATGCTCATAGAGAGGCTGATCGATAAAAAATTAAATTAAAATCAAACAAGCATGAATAAACAGAGACAGAGCTTTGGAAATTGCTCCCCCGGTCCAGAGGGCAAGTTGCAGGCTGAGCTATAAATAGAAACAGTTTTTCCCCTCAGACAAAGAGAGCCAATCTCATTTGAAAATCAAACACTCCCTGCAGAGTCTAATTGGGGATGGAAATAGGAACGGAAAGAATGGGGATGAGAGATGAGGGAGGGTGTTGGGGTCTTTGCTATTCAAAGGCTCAAAAAACAGCTTTACACTGTAAAATTACAGCAGCAGATTGATTTGAAGTGCACCAGACACATAAAAAAACAAGCACTTTTTTTCACAAACACTGAGGTGCTACACTTAAACACTACAAAGCACAGAGCACCACAGTGAGAAGCACGAAGCACGAGAGAGAGAGAGAGAGAGAGAGAGAGCACAAAAAAGAGGCACCAGCCACTCAAGGTCACAACACTGCACAAAAGAGTCACTATTTCACAAATGTGAGGCCACACCGCCACCAGCACTGCCACATAACAAGTGCTCTACATTTCCCAACACGCCTGTGGAGATGCTTCAGTAAGTCTTTAAAGTAAGTCTTCTTACTTACTTTAGTTTCTTTGAAATCATCGGTCTGATTGGGTTTCCATCAATGACTCTGCGAAATATGTCTGTCATTGACGTCAGCAGTTGATATCAATGGAAGAAGAAGGGAAAGTAGGGAGTGATAAAGGAAGGGGCACCCACAGGGGCGGCCATGTTGGTTCCAAGCTCCTCTTTCTCCTCCTGCTCTAGAGTGAAGTTGTCTGTTGAGGTTTGGTTTACAAAAGTCTGGCATTGATTGCAAAGTTGAAAAGATAATTACTGTTTTTTTTTTTTCTTTTTTACTCTGTCGTGTAATTGTTTGGCCGCTGAGTTGCACAGAAACATAGTGGAAGTACAATCAAGCATAGAGCTTTAAACCTGCGAGAAAGGTTTACCGGAGGGGCTGCCCTGGAAGCTAGATAATCTCTTTAACTCAAGAGCCTTTCTAAACTTCTAAAATTATTTCTGCAAGCTTACAGTATCCTCAAGTTTTAACATGCCTCAAAAGGCAAAAGTAACCTGCTGGTTGACAAACAATCTGACTTAACCTCGAAGCCAATGACCAAACATTATATACTCCTTTAATTTTGTGACTAAGAGGCTATAAACTCAGAAATGTTTCTAATAGAAAACGTTTGAGTAAAGTTGCATTTCGGAGCGCTAAAAGCGCAATTGTTTCTGTCCTTAATTGAACTGGCAATATGCTGAGCCATTGAAAATGGTGATGCCATTGTCCTATTCACGCACATTGTTTTTAGATTGTAACTTTACGTTACTTTACGCCATGTAATTTTACATCACTTAATGTCCCCATACTTTACGTGAGTGTACACTTTGTTACTTAACGTAGTATCACTTTACGTAGTATTACTTTACGTTCCGTTACTTTACGTTCTGTTACTTTACGTAGCAGTACTTTGTTACGATACTTAGTGTTGCGTAACTTTACGTTGCATTACTTTATGATGCGTCACATTACTTTACATTCCGTAACTTTACGCTGTGTTACTTTATGTTACATTACATTATGTACTTTACATTAGGTACATTTTTATATTACTTATCCCAATGTGACGTTGCATCACATCACTTTATGCCACGTTACTTTGTCACTTATTGTTGCCATACTTTACGTTACTTAACGCTGTTACTTTACGTAGCATTACTCTACATTGCGTTACTTCACAGTGCGTTACTTTACATTGTGTAACTTTACGCTGTTACTTAATGTTGCGTTACTTTATGTACTTTACATAAGGTACATCGTTACGTTACTTGTCGCAAATTGATGTTGCATCACATTACTTCATGCCATACTTTGTTACTCAACGCTATGTTACTTTACGTAGCATTACTCCACATTGCGTTACTTTATGTGACGTTACTTTATGTGACGTTACTTTATGTTGCGTTACTTTACACTGTGTTGCTTTACGTTAAGTTACTTTCTATACTTTACGTTACGTCATATTTTGCGATGCAACGTATTGTATTGCGATATGTTGTGCTATGTTACCTACTCTGACACAAAATAAACATTCGAATACCACAAAAAGAAAACAACAATTATCTCTCAGAAAAAAGAGGAAAGGAATTTCATCCTTTCAATCCTCAACAACAACTTCACTCTTGACCCTCTGTGGAGCATGTGGAAGCAACATGGGGGCGTTTTACCATCTAGCAGCACAGACACACACCTGACACACCTGACAGAGAGGACTTAGCCAGGGCACCGATCCCATAAGAGTTGGCAGGTTTCCTCTTGAGACGAGGCAGAATGGAAGTAGTGTCCTCCACGGACAACTAAAGAGAGAGGGGAGGGGGTGAAGTGAGGACAAGAGACAGCAAGAGGGGGATATTCAGGTTAAAAAAAGAGAGGGGAAAGCAGCATTTCAGGTAAAACAACAAAAATTAAGGTGATAAAGAGGAAGAGATGAAGGCCAGAGAGACAAATGAAATGGATTCAAAGAAATTGAGGTAATAAGAGCAGATGATTGAAGATTTAGAAAATGGTTTGAGTGAAATGAAAGAACAGAAGTTTGGTTGTAATAAAGGGAATAAGAAAGGAGGGTTAATTATTAGAACAGCTGGTACATTACACACAGGAAGCACTGATTGAAAAATGAATCATATGAGTGCTGTTTCTGAAGGGAAAACAGGTTTTCAAGTGGTGAAATAAAAGAATTTTAAATGGACAGTCTTTCATTAGCACAGTCGCTTATATAGTGGCACAAAATCATGATGAAAATCTTGACAAATTGAAAAACTACTGATGGCTATGGTGTATTCATTAGCAAACTTTCAATGAACATGAAAAAAATAGATGAGTATGTAGTGGAAACAGTCCCAAGGTAATTTATTCATTATGCTGGTGTGTTTAAGTAGGATATGCTGAGAGGAAATGAGAAAATGTAGCTTTTATTTCCAAGGACTCATCCTCAGAGCAGAGACAAATATTTCAATTTGTGTTTCCAGTTTTAATGATCTTCTCATTCAGCCCCCCTGTTCCTCTGAAACCAGTTTGACCCAGAAGTGACTGACTGGAGTGTCTTTTTCAGAGATTATTGCCGTCTCAGATGCCCTTAGTGATTATCCCTCCTACCTATAAAATAAATACAACTTCACGAAGAAACTACAGGCTGTTTGTTTATCATCGTCGTTAAAACTTCAGATGCCAGTGTGATGAGACAGCTCTGTGATATGAGGGTTAGATTGACTCTGTTGTTTCTCCTGTACTTACAGAATTGAATTAGTATTTGAGGATTTATCATAACTCCTAATAGAAGCAGATCAGGTCATAAACATTCAAATCATTAAGACCAAGCACACTGATTTACTGCTCAAAACACTGAACAGCTCATGCTTATGTGATTTCTACTGTACTTCCTGGCGCCGGTGCTCATGGCAAACCAACCAGTGAACAAATGAACATAGAGACAAAGCGCTCCTTCTAATGAGGTCCTACCAACAGCTAATTACAGAGTGAAATGGCAGGAAAACATGTGGACTGTGTTCCCACCAGGGGATTTGTGATAAATGTGATGCAACGTGAGTTAAAGTGCTTTAATTACCACACTGAGAGAACTGAAATGATTTGTTTTTGGTCCCTGAGTGATGTACACTTGGAGTGTTAGACCACGCCGTGTGCTCTCTTTACATGTAACAGAAACATCATACGCTGTAGTGATACAGCAGTGTGGTTATGATAGTGTTGTAGAGCAAACAGTTGTCCTGTTTCAAACAAGTGGGTTCTAAAAAATCAAACCAGTTTGATATAAGAGACTAAATCTGAACAAGACGTCATTGTCAGCAGGATAGACTGGAAGCAACCTTTATGCTTCATTCTTCAGTAAATTATGTATCAGTTTTCATTTGGACTGAACGTTTAATTGGGATTTCAGAAAATTGCGATTGATATTATTCATAATTTGGTCCGTATATCTATGAATTGTTTAAGCTGATATTAAAAACACACTTTGGTCTAATTTTAGTTATAATTTCTCTGATAGTTATGTGATAGTTTTAAAAAGAAAGATCTTTGTCCTGGTGGGAGGAAAGAATGTGTCACTATGTTTAGTCATCATGGCCAAAAAAGCTTTTCTTCCTTATGCTGTGCTTATAAACTGTTCTTAAAAAAGTGCAACAAGTCATGGAAAAACACGTCTAATAGTCAGAAATCCACAGACACATTCATGTCATCAGGTCACTGATGACTAATTTACCCGGGCAGACACTTGAGGTTATTTCGTCTGATAAACTGTCTTGTGTTCAGTGTTAATATGACTGTATAAAACAGCAGTCTTACCAACGTGCACCGGGTGAAAAACCATCCAACGACAATAACAAAGAAGCACAAAGGCGGTGAAAGTTTCTACAGGTGCACTTGTAGCAGAAATATGATTAATTAAAATGGAAAAAAATTGTGATGTACCTTTTAGTCGTGCTTCTAGAGTCAACTATTTTTTATAACTGTTCATCAGGGTGTTACCAGCAGAGATTTCAACACAATTTTCATAGCCAGTTTATTCACCACTTCCAGTAATCACCTCCACTTGGTTATGAAAAACAGTTTTTTTGTTTTTTTACCCACCAAATGAATCATGACTTAGTTTAATTGATTAACCTTCTCTAGCTCATAATTTTTGATTGAACATCTTTGTCACTGCAATTTGCAATGTCACCGTTTTCCAAAACCAAGTTCATATTTTCAGCAAAGAGGATCTGCTTGTCTGTGCTCATGGTATCTGCACAGTACCGCCAAACAAACTCAGTCACTACCTGGTAAATCAAGCAGAATATTCATGAGTTTGTTGGGTAAAAAAAAACATAGCAGAATCTCCCAAATCCACCAGTTCTAACAAACCCAACTGAACTAACACCTACTGGTCCGTAAGGCTGGATTAACAGACCAGGAGTACCGGAATTTAAAGTAAATCTCAGGACCAACAAAAGTCCTTTAAGGTCAGCAAGGTCTTTGTTCACACTGCATTTCTCCAGACTGCTGTTGCTTTAAACAGATGTGTGCTTGTGTGAGATGATTTGCCTTCAAGCATACTTGAGTCAACAAAATTCACACTGTGCAAATAAATTCTGCTGAAAGTACAGAAACAGCTGAGTACCCTTGCACTTCAGCGTGCAGAGCTTTCAGTTAAAACTGGGACTTGTGCGCAGGCTTCAGTCGAGGAGGAGATAAGCTTATTACTGCCTGTTATCTGTGACTCTGTGTATATATGAAGCTTGCAGGACAGTAGATTAGCAGAGGGCCCAGAGAAGAGACCGATGGGAGAGAGAGTTAGTGGGGGGGGGGGAGTAAAAGTAGGGGATGAGAGAGAGAGAGAGAGGGAGATAAGAGAATGGACAGAGGGGGGAAGGATAAACAAGTGGGATGTCAACTTATATACTCAAAACCAAACTCAGGTAGTAGGTGAGTGAAACAGGAGGGAATGAAAAGAGGAGTGAAAAAAATTAAAAACAAGGAGACTTACATTGATTCCTTCCCAGGAAAACTCGGCACGGCCATGCTGGGGGAAGGAGAGAAGGGAGGAAGGAAAGGGGGAAGTGGGGGAGGACAGGTGTAGAAAAAGACAGGAGGAGAAGAAAGAGATTTGAAAGAGGGGAGAGGAATTTCGGGACATAGAAACTAGATTTAAGCCTCTATTCTGAATAATAGTAATCCAACATTTAAATTCTGATGTCAGGTAGTCGTTTAAATCTCCACATTTGATTTCAGGTCAGGTTTTCATCAAAGGTCATTAAAACGTCTCCCTTTATTAAAAAGAAAAACATGATTTATATCCTGAATTAATTACAAGTAAGCTTAGTCTGTAATTGATTTCAAGAGTAAAGCTGAAAATGAAAATAATCTAACGAGGTCTGACCCTCGTGGAGTTTTAGTTGTATTCTTAAATATCCTGCTTTTAGCTAAACCATTCAGCAGTTGGTGTTTGTAAACCTGGACACTAAAAATCACAAGATTATCCAGTAAAACCTCATTTATTTTCATCAGCAGAGTCAGTAGAAAGAGGGCATCAGGAGCAGGTTTTGTTACGATAGAAAATGTCGTATATGTTGGTGGTTTTTATATATTGTGTGTAACCAGCTGCTCCATCCCTCTTTGTCCGTCTACACCTCAGAATGTTTACGTAACCAATGGTAACCATTCAGTTGTTTCCAAGGGCAACAGCAAATGTGGTCCTCGGCAAGAACCTGGATGACATTAATTGTTTGCCCTCATATGCGAGCATGTAGTCACACACATACATACACGCTCAAATCATCATGCGTGTTCATTATGTTGTCAAAAACACAGAGATGAGAGGAGATCAGTTTGAAAAACCGTCCAGAGTATTTAGACACACAGCTGTCAGAGTGATTTTTTCTGATTTTTTTAACATCTGACACTGCGTGGCTGTGCCCTGAGACTCCCTCCTCTGGCACTTTAAGCTTGTTATCATCCTTTTACTCTTCACAGATCACAGACTGCACGGAAGGTGAACAGAAATGCCCTAAACTTTGTGTCAAAGTAGATGCAGAAACTTTGTCTCGTGTCATGGCAAAGCAGTGACTGCTGTTTCAGAGGAGCTCAGAAAAATTGAAGGTTATAGGATATAATTGAGCGGTCAAACATATTTTGACTTTGAGACGCCAAGATTTTCTGTGGGTAAAGTGCATAATCTATCGTGCAAAGATATTTGTCTGTACAGGGATAATAGGGTGACCCATTAGACGTTATTGGATCTGAAAATGAGTCAAGTTCCACTTTCCTTTGTCTTCATTGTTAATGGGCAGCGATACTATAAAGTTATTCATTTTCTTACATTACCGCTGCATTCATTATCCTCTTGTCATCCATTGAAAAAGGCTTAAAACAAAATTACATTATCAGAGTGTAAATTGTGCACCTACACCACCTCAGACAGGTTTAAGGAAGCTCCACTGAAGAAAGACGCCTTATTCCCAAAACAAGGAAATGAAAAAATACCCCATCCTGTCTGAAAAGGTAGCCTTTCTGTGCCCTGCTGTATTTCCAGCTGCTTTAAAATGCCGCGGTAGATAAAAACAAACACATTTGACCAGCCAAACCAACTCATCTTTGATACTTTATGCCAAAAAGAAGAGAAAGAACATGGGAGGCTCTCTCTTTTCAGTCAGTGGATTCATTTGTTGTTTTTTGTTGGCAAGAAAGCGAAACCTGCTACCACCAGCTGCAACAAATCCATGAATCCGATTTAATCAACAGCATTCGGAGTGTTTTCTCCTCCAGAGTTGTGTGCTTCACATGAATAAGGGGTGAATTTTAGCATAAAAATCTAATCTTCTGCAGCACCATTCAATTCGATGTGTTTGTTGTTACTAAGAAAGTGGAATTAAAGATTAGATATTGAAGAATTTAAATCAACGAAACAATCTAGGAGCCTTTTCATATCATATTATTGTTACTTCAAAGGTCATAAAAAGCAGCAAACCAAATAAAAATGCTAATATAATAATAACAAGGCCGCAGACAATGGACAAACTGGATGGAAGTTGTCAAAAAGAAAATAAGAACGTAATCAGAGAAGAGGAAATAAAACATAAGCCTCTTTAATCTGTGATTTAATCAGCAGCTGCTTGACTCTTAAACAAAAATATCTTCATGAGTGAACGTTAACCTCAATCTGACTCGCTCAAAGACCTTTTTGCTCTAGTTAACATTTTAAATATAGAGGGTGGTTGGCAAATTGAAACTACTTTCTTGTCCCCCCAGGCAGTATCTTTGCTCCCTCGTCGTAAAATTAACGTCAGAGATGTTTATTTCCATTAAAAGTGGACGAGGAACGAGAATAATCCTCCCCAATAAAGCAGAGAGGCTGTGAATAAACCAGCCGTCACTAATTCAACTAAGATCTGCTGTACCGAAAGAGACGATGTGAGAAATTAGACGTCCAGATTAAATAATGTGCACACCTGGGAGGACTAACCTGAATAAAAACAACAATAAACAACCGATATTTTAACCTTCACCATGAATCAAATCAGTGTTAACTCACGGAGCTGACAGGCTACACTGAACCAATTTAACAGCAGTTTATTTAATACCAGAAGCTAATGAAAATGGTCATCATTAGAGCAGAAGATTGAGTGAATACAAATTAACTTTTTTATCTTATCATTCAGAGAATAAAACATTTGGTCTGGAACAGCAAATTACAGAAAATTACTCTTTGCTATGAAAGTTTCAGCCCAGTGTCACTGTACAGTTATGAAAGACTGAATCAGCGATGTCCTTAGACTTTCTATGACAACGTTAGAGGTCGATTAAAAAACCCGAACTGGTATTATCTCCTCTCAGCACGGCCTTCTCTTTTTGTGTTGCTCCGATCGATGAAAGGAAAAAGGTTGAACAAATATTCCAAGATCACTTTCTAATTTATTTAAATTCATGTTTAATGATAAGCTGATGATTATGTCACATTGAACCCTAGCAGGGTGAGACTGATGCGAAGTTCTGGGTTTCTATTTGACATCAACAGCAGCTAATCAAACATTATCTAACTTATCACCCATCCAAGGACTAAACATGCAAACAGGCCGAACATCTGAGGACAGTTACTGAAAGTGAATAAAGATTTATCTATCCAAAAAAAAGAAAAAGTCCTCTCGACCACCCCTCTCGTTTGAAATAATATTTCTTTCCAATTGAGCCGAATTGGATCAGAATCGTCCGATCCACATGTTTACATGAGGCTTTTTTATTCTGATCGGGCCTTTATTCCGATTATTTGTGCCCATGTAAAACACAGCTAATGTTGTTCTTTACAGCCAAGTAACAGATCCCATTATCATCATTTATCGTTATCCTGCTTCACTGCTGTAAATTTTTAGAAGAAAACTATATTTCGCCCTTTTTAAATGATTCAAAATGAAACAAACACAGCAGAGTTTAGGGTCGGCTCGTTTTAAGGATGAGAAGCTGAATGAGTGGGGTTTAGGCGTGGATGCTTTATAACGGTAGAAGCGGTGAGCAGTAACGCCGGTGTCATCTCTGTCCTTGGACTGTGTGTGTGAATTATTAACACTGCCTGCGTCAGAGGTTGCAGGATTTGGATTCAGAAGCAGCCCTCAGTGTGTGAATGTTGAGCTCTCATGGTCAAACGAGGACAGAAAACGGGGAGTCATCACCATCTTTGAAATGAGTGTGTGTGTCAGTGTGTGTGTGTGTGTGTTTGCGCTCTTATTCTGAATTCAAATGGAGTCCGTAAAGTATATCACAGAGGAGCCTCATCAATAGTGGATTTTCCTGAATCGAAGTGAGGCGCAGCGGCATTGTGCGAGCTGAAACTCAAATCCATTCAGCTGTGATAACATTGACAGTCTGTCAGTAAACTGACATTCTCAGCTCAGCGTTAAACTGTGTGCCCAGCTGGTTCGGTCGGCTCTTTATGCTGCTGGAAAATCTGGCCTCTAAGTATTTTCCTGAAGTAAACAGTCTACACAGTCACAAAAACCTTCTATGTACCAGTCTGTTTTCTATACCTGTGTATCCTGCTCAGGGTCAGAGGATGTTTGAGCCTCTCCCAGAATGCTTTGCAGTAGATGTTGAGTGCAAAACCATATGGATCTGTGGTTATTTTCAACTTTCTTATAATAAAATCAGGTACAAACTTTGAACGTTTGTCATCAGAAAGCTGGTAGAAAAGTCTGTATATAAAAGAAATTCAGCTCTGTCTTAGTTCTGCTTCAATTTTTCATCACAAATGCAAGTTCTCGATTTTTTTCTTCTCATGAAAACTCAATCCATGCAAATGTAAACAAGATGAGCAGAGGACGTCAAAAGGCTGTATTATATGGGTCATAAACCCCGCCTCCATGTTGACAGATGGGAAACGGGTCAAACGATGAGACAAAGACATCTCATAAATGTTTCTCAAACATGGTTTCTGTCATAATAATTAGATTTACATCCATGTTTGTTAGGTTATAACCAGTTATTTAGTACTACAAAGACAATTGATTGACAGCTCTGTTGACGAATGAGGCTCCTGCAGCGTTAGCAGAGCAGAGGAGAAACAGACTCGGAAAATATAACAAACACCAACACAAGAGTCAAAAGCTTAAAGTGTCCACTTCAGAGCAACACAAGAATCTGTTCTTTTCACCTGAGGGATATTTAACATTAACCAAGCTGCTTCTGCACACGCCTTGTCTCCAAAGTGCAACATGTCAGCTCCTATAGATGTAGTTTTAAGACGTCACATCTCATGACAGGCAGTTATAAAGGCATGTTGTCTAATTTAAGTACAGTCAGTGGTTCACACTAAAAGACTGGTCTGAAAGAAGGAGTATTAGAAATGAAATGTGGTCTCTGAGTCTTAAAACATAAATATTAAAGACACTAAGTACCACAGATGTCTTTTAAACACCTTGAAGAAAATATCTGTGTTTCTCTTTTGAAAAAACAAAAGATTGATAGTGAAACGTTGAGTGTTGTGTTTAGCTGCAGCTCCCTCTCACTCAGATTTGTTTGTGTTTCAGTCGGACTTGTGTGAATTTGGGAGACATACATCCTCAGAGGAGATCTGATAGGAGCACTCAGTATTGATCTCACTAATAGTGGGACCACAAACAGGCTGATGTTTCACCTAATGTGCCTTTCCCCGAGCTCTAATGCTACAGGGATGTTTCCTCACTTAAGTTAATAGCCCTTAATGTGACAGTGTGAGTGCAGCCTGATGAGCCCGTACCTCTGATACGCTCATGTTAGAAAAACATGAACAATGTCAGAACAATTTTAAAAGCTGCTTTTGCACTTTGCATGTTTGATGTAGCAAAACGAAACAAAACAACCTCATCATTTTCTAGAGTCTGTTTTTAACCATGCATGGAGCTCTAGCGTCGGCATTGTTAGCTGGTTGGTCCATCGCTTTGATGTTAGTTGCTTTTTAGCTCTACGGTCATAAAATGCTCTCACATGGTTGTCATGGCACTATAGCCTCTCTCGCTTTCTTTTTGCTCATTCTGTCCCTTGGCTTTTCAGACACACAGATAAATACATCTTCTCCTATCCCCGCTCTCCTCTCTCCTCTTGCGGCTGCCTGACAGCTTGCACTGCTATTGCACCATGTGCTCCAGATACAAGAGTAGGATCTTCAAAGTCGTTTCGCTCCCAGCTTTTGTTTTGTTTCTCTAAGTTTATTATGATGATGTTTAAGTGGGAGCTGCTCTACTGGACTGTAATTAATATTTGATGAATCGCCCAGCCCTATCACTCATCTGTTTATGGTAGTTGGATGTAGGGCTGGGCGATAAACCGAAAATGTACAGATACTGAAATTTATGACAATAACCAACATCATTTTCCCCATAACAGTATATTCAGTGTCAAAAAATAAATGAATAAAAGTTGGTTTTAGATGTGTGTAGGTAGGCTATGGTCTCATGTCCCTTTAAGACACTGTCCTACGTCGGAGAAGTGGAGAGGAGATGGAGGACGGTTCAAAGTTGTAGTGGCTGGAGCGGCGGCTGAATTAGATGTGGGAGAGGGTGAGCAGCTTGTGGAGTAGTTATCGTTCTTTTATCGTTATCAAGGAGAACTGCTCAATATATCGTGATATTGATTGGTCATATTATTATTATTATTATTATTATTATTATTATTATTATTATTATTATATTATTATTATTGGCCATACCGTTCAGCCCTAATTGGTTGGCAAAAAAAAGTTCATTACCAGGCTAAAGAGGTACTTAGTTATTGCATTAAATCGATTCTCTCTGACTAAAAACAGGTAATAAAGAGCTTTTTGAAATCTGTCAGATCTCTCTGATCTTAAATTTCCACAGTAACATGTTTTGTCATCACAGGTTTAATCCTGTTCACCTATTTCCTGTTGCCTTTTAAGGTTTCTTGTTTGAATACCCGGCTCGGGCTCTACAGTATTTGTTTTGTTTGAAGTCTTAAGTGTTTTGTTTGTCACACGTCCCGTTTCTAAGCCCGACTGATCCCCCCCTGAGCTTTCAGAGTTCCACTCTGTCAAATCCCTCTCCACATGCTCTATCCCCGTTTCTCTTTATAAGTCTCTAATTTGAGCTGAGGAGTCATGTTTGTGGAAGTTTACGGCTCAAAAGCCATCTTAGGAAACAAGATTACTTGATGATTCTCAAGTGATCCCATTGTCACCAAATGTTAGCTCTTATCCAGAAATCTAAAATATTTGCTGTATTTCGAAGTTTTGGATGATGTTACAGAAACAGACGTCACTGTTTTGTTTTCTCTGGAAGTTATAGGGAACAAGAAGAAAGCTGGTTCATGGTTCTGAGTCAAAGATGCTGCTTTTTTTTTCTTCTTTTTTTTATATATGTGCTGACATTTCCTACCTGCAGCAGGCGTATACAATGACTGAAATAACTGCTGCTCATTTGACCTTCATGCAAGAGCAAAGACACTAAATAAAAGAAAACCGCAGCAAGCGAGGGAAAAACAATAAGATGAATGTCTCCGTTTCTCTCTCTCTCTCTCTCTCTCTCTCTCTCTCTCTCTCTCTCTCTCTCTCTCGCTCTCTCTCTTTCTCTCCCTCCCATGGGTCCACAGCTGAGAAGTGATACATGGCTCAGTAATAGTCTAAGCCCTGGGGAGAGCAGCTCGGTGGCCTTGGTAAGAGACTATCAACACACACACACCTTTACACACACACCTTCACACCCAGCCAAGCACAGCCTGTCACGGGAGCGCGGGCAGACACACAGGAGCACACGTACGTAGGTTTGACTAATATGAGCCTCTGAAGGCTGAAACTAGTCTGTCTTCTGTTTGTTTTCTTTATCTCTGTTTTGAAAGTTTGTGTTGATACTCATCTGGTCGGGTTTGAAAGGCCTCTGAAAGACGATTTAGACCACAGCAGAAGTGAAACTACAGCGAGTCGACTTTATAAACACACATTAGATTAAGTATTAGACACAAATGTCAGCTTTTATGATGGTCTTTACATTCATATCAAGTCAAAAGTGCAGGAACATTTTCTGCACAGCCTCCAACCCTTCAGGGGTCAAAAGTAATAATAAATCCTCCCAACCATTATTCAATTTTTCCTGCTCAAGTGCAGAGGGGCCTCAGACTTGATTGGCTGAGAGACAGGGTGCACCCTCGACAGGTTGCAAAGCTGTCACTGAGCTGACACATTCAGGCAGTGAACCATTCGCACCTCGACCAATTTAGATCCTCTCATTAATCTGGACTACGGACTGTGGGACGAATCAGGGGCGCCCTCAGGCTGGAGAAAAACTCCAAACCCAGCACCTCCTCTCTGTCGAAGCGGAGGAAAGCAGTCATGATTCAGGGCCCTAAATTAACTCGTCTGAATTAAGTGGTGCAGGGACATTCAGGCTTGTCCAGCGCCTCTTTTTCTGGTGGTTAGATGTCGTATAACTCGGACAGAATATTTCCAATGTGAGTGAAATGTATCAGTGTATGACAGGTTCAACCATACAGGGGTGGGAAAACTGAAAACACCTGAAACACCTTATTTCACCCGCCATCTCTTAAAGCCGTCCTCCAGCACTCCAGAAGCCTCCTCCACTGTTGCCATGCTACAAAGCTGTCATGAGCAATTGACTTTCCTCTATTTTAAAGGACAAATTATGAAATACGGTCACGTTTCAGACCCCAAATCTGACTCAAAAAGTTTAGGAAGAGCCAAAACCTCAGAAGCACAGCACAGAACAGAGCAGGATGGTTTTTTTTTTGGAGGTATTACGTTTTTTAAGCTCTTTGAGGGCGATCAGCAGGCATAAAAGGAAATCTTTTGTCCCTCGAGCGTTTCTCTCTACAGAGCCGCCTGTAGTCTTTTGATTCATAAAATGTGAAAAAAGCACTGTAATAAAGTCAAGAGTGAGTTCATAGACAATGCACACAGGCATGTCTAACAATATAAATGATATGCACCCTAAAAGCAGCAAAAGTCTGCACCGCTGGGCAGATCAACATCAATGAAGTCTACTGGTGTGTGTCTGTGTATATATATTTATATACTTGCAGCAATACTGTACAGACTAATTGAAAAGTTCTCATGATTAAAAGTGTAGTGGTGGATTTACCCTAATTTAGTTAAACTTTCATGTACTGGAGTCCAGATGTGACATGGATGTTATACGTTCAAATGCTCAACCACAAACCCACAAGCTTAAACCCTGAGAACAATGTTTGTTTGTTTTTTCCAGAGATTTCATCCAGACGACCTTTCTGGAGGCCGAGGCCTGTCCGTCTAGCAGCAGGAGGCAGTTCTGGGTGAGTAGCAGCGCTTCTTTTTTCTCACCTCGGTTGATTTGAGGTGACAAGAAACGACACAGGCATGCAGCAACATCTCTGTCTGTGGACTGTAAGAGGAGAGCTGAGGACATCAGCACTGCTGTCTTTTGTGCCCACACAGAGAGGCTTTCAGCTAAATGGGTAAAGTAGATTGAGGTGTGCAGAAATGGTGAGACATTAAAAAAGAAAAAGATAATAGCATTTTACCTGATCCCCATCTTTCCGTACCGGCACCGCATCCGCTGCTGCAGAGACAAAGAGAGAAAGAGAGAGAGATGGATTTTAGATAATTTCATTATCGCAGATGCCTCAGTACTTACAGGTATCAGTGTAGAAATATCAGTTCAGAATACACAATCACTGTGTATCAGCCGTCTCTGATAGAGGAGGGCGAGCGAGGGATTCTGACAGCGAGAGAGAAGGAGATAACAGTGTGTCAAAGTGACGCAGTCTTGAACATGCTCACTGGGAGAGGATGACAACGCCGTCCAGAACTTCTCTCTGTCCCACTCTCACACACAAACACAGTGTGCTAAAATTAGATCAATTATCCACGCCAAGCTTTGGCACACAGAGGGCACAACCAGAGTGAGTCATGGAGGCCACAGATCATTCCTCTGAAGAGATTTAGGGAGATTAAACATTATGCTTCTTATTATTGTAAACAATGTAGAGCGAGATACTTTAGATACTCCCACATATGAATGGAAAGATGCTCAATCGCACCTTAACTGAGTTATATTCCCAAGATAGAAGATAAAAAGTTGTCTTAAGTAGAAGCTGTATGTCACACAACATCTTTCCCTGAGCTTTGTGGGTGTACTGTCCTGACCTGAACTCACTACTGGGATAGGCTGCACCATTAATCATCATTTCATCATTACTAGAGTAGGAGCGCACAAAATAAACACTTGCAAAGGTTCATTTTTCGCAATAAAACGAACTTTATGTGAATAATAGCGGTGGGAGAAAAAATCGATACAGCATTGTATTGCGATATTTTGTCTGGTGATATACCGCGTCGGCTCATTTACCAGGTATGGGTTTTTCAGATTAATTGCTAATATGAAGTCAAATCTATGATAATGGAGAAAAATAAAATCAACTGTTTGTCCAGTGAAGTTGGCAGAGGTGACACCAGAGAGCAGGAAAAAGTTAGTACAACAAATATATTTAAAGTTTGCAAGAATAAAAAAAAAAAAATGAGTAAATAAGACAAACATAAACGAAAGACGAATTCTAAATTAGCTAAACAGTTGAAAAAAATGATATAAATCGCAAAACTCACTGTATCGCAGAATGTTAAAAAACGCAATATCGTATTGTGGTCCAAGTATCGTGATAATATCGTATCGTGGGGCCACTGGTGATTCCCACCCCTAGTGAATACGCAATGCTGAAATAAGTAAAAAGAAAAAAAGAGGAATAATTTTGTCCACAGGGGGCGCCAAAATCAACACAGACTGGAAGCTACTTACAGGAGATTTAAATTGTTATGAATTGTATCTTTTGACACAAAGAGGAAAATCAAGTCAGCAGTCCTTGCATAAGATAAAGTTTACTGTCCATTAAAAGATTAAGCTTAAAATGCATGCAACATATTTAACATTTCTACCCAGTCGAGCCTCAGATGACTATGTAGATGGTCAGTGTGCACAGGATACTGATCTGAAAAAGTCAGGGGTGAAATAACTTCTCATATACAGACGTTTTCCATGATTGGACCCATGATGAGTCATTTTAATGAACTTTGCTGTTCGAATTTTGAATCCGTTTCCTAAAATTGGTGAAAGATGCTGAAGTGAGTGAAAGTTTTCAGCTGTCAGGCTGTCGTGAGGCGATGCACTTCCGAACGATCGCCGTCAGTTACTTTTCAACTTCATACTGTTCATCTATCACACAGTTGTCAGTTCGCCCTTGTCACTCGGCTCTCAGATTTGATGCTGCGTTGGTTGTTGTTTCAGCTCTTTGTGTATCTGCTGGCCTGCCTGAGCTGCTGCTGCACACATGCTGCTGTGTAATGCAGTGTAAAGTAAACAATGGAAGTTGCAATGAGGAAACTAAATGAGTCAGGTTTAATTCTTTTTCGAGTCTGGACTGAAATGTGAGGATGTAGTTTGAGTGATTTCTGTGTATTTTGTGGTACAAGAGATATGTTCAGTTCCATTGATTTGTGTGCATGAAATCTGAAAGACTTTGTGTCCCTGAAACTTGAAGGACTCACACTTTGGTAAGTCTGCTTTTGTCAGAGGTGAAGACATTACTATCCTTTCTGTCACTGTGCTGACAATGAGAGAGCAGCACTTTTATTAAAGATGGTGTTGACAGATACGTAATCCCACACAGTCTGAAGAAAATGACACCAGGATTAGTGCGGTGTGTTTATAAGCCGTCGGCATCAGCGGCGGCTCAGACGGGAGAGCAGTTTAGATTTGAGTGTAAGGCTCCCCGTTGGTGTTCTTTAACCAGACAGGACGAGTCAGAGGAGAAGGTGCAACCGAAAGATTACTCTGAGAGGCTGCACGGATTTTTGAAAACGCATCAGTGGAGTGTAAATAAAAGATGAATACAAAGAAAGGAGGTTAGAAAAATCAAGAACAAGTATGTTTATGTGCACACTGGTAATCTGTTTAAAGAGAATCCTGATTCTTCTAAACCTACAAGTCCTTATCCTGAATACATGAGCCGGTCTGTGTAGAAACATGATAATAAGGGAATATTTTGGATAAGATGGATTACTCATGTTGAATAATTTCCAGTCACATCTTGATACGTAAGTAGGGTTGGGCTATATGGCCTCAAATCAATATCACGATGTATTGAGCAGTTCACCTCGATAACGATAAATGGGCGATAACTACTCCACAAGCTGCTCACCCCCTCCCACATCCAAAACCAACTTTGATTTATTTATTTTTTTGACACCAAATATATTGACATGGGCAAAATGATGTTGGTTAGTGCCGTAAATTTCGTTATCGGTAAATATTCAGTTTATCGCCCAGCCCTAGTTTATCTTTTGTTGTGCGGTTCAGTGCCTGTAATTCGTCCTGTGGTTCCCTGTGTGTTTGTGTCTGTGGTTTGATGTGTTTTGCCGTGACGTAGGTTATTGTCGTCAATTTCAGTATTGGTAAATTTTTGGATTATCGCCCAGCCCTATTTGCAAGTGTTCTGATAGGATCCAGGTTATATTTTTTATGGGTATCTTAATCAGCTATCTATCTGAGCTCATATTTGAAAACACTTTGTAGTCTTGACTCTTGTCCATATTTCCATTTTTCTTTTTAAATGACACTTACCGCAGTACAGCCCTGTTTGATGCCAGAAATCATTTAAAAAATGTACAAATCCAAATTATGACTGCTGCCGGTTTACATTATGGAGTTGTCTCTTTAACTCTGTTGGAAAGTACTGCAGCAAATCTTGGCCAGGACACTCCTCTCATCTATTGTAGAGTGTCATAGTTTAATTGTCTATTATTGCAGGATCACTGTGTCCTGATGTTAGGGAAGTCATGGACCATCTTTTTAGTAAAAGATTCGTCTTTGCCCACAGCGTGACCACTCAGCAGGCACCAATCACAAACTCTTGAGGACATTTGTCATGTAATCTGGTATATGGAGAACTTTTCGATGACATCTCTTTCTCTGTCCTTGTTTTTGCCAGTGTGTTTCATAAGCCCGGGGAGTGTTTTTAGCTGATGCGGTTCACCTGGTCATGCAGGACCCCCGAGGGCCATTAGAGCTGGCACATTAGCTCATTTCCTGTCTCTCTTCCAACTGGCATCAACCTTGTATGTTTGTCCCCTTGATGTGTCACCTATAAAGCATGTATATGTATAATTGATACAGCTTGCCATGCGTCCTTGAGGTTTATCACCAATTATAAAGCTCTTACTCATCATTGTGAGTCGCTTGGCCATCTCTGGCGACCTGTAGACAAATGTTTTAGTACAACTTAATTTATGAGGCAGTTTTTGGCCCGTTATCACACGATCTGTGTGTTTATATCGCACAGGAAAGTACTGAGCAGGATTCATTGCACTCTCAGGACTTTTTTATGCTCTCGAAAGCTTGCACAGAAATATTGAAATAAAGGGCTGTTGGATTTCCTGCAATTTCAACCTGGAATTGGCAACATTTGATGTTTGTAGATCTCAAATAGGGCTGGGCAATATGGCCTCAAATCAATATCACAATATATTGATCAGTTCACCTCGATAGTGATGAATGGACGATAACTACTTCACAAGCTGCTCACCCCCTCCCACATTAACTTTGTCTACTTCAGCCAATACAACTTTTAAGCCGTCCTCCATCTCCTCACCTGTCTTTCCCTCTTTGTTACGGGGTGGAGTCATGTCTCTGACGTAGGACACCATCTTAAAGGGACATGAGACCATAGCCTACCTTCACACATTCAAAACTAACTTTTACTTATTTATCTATTTATTTTGACACCAAATATACCAATATGGGCAAAATGACGTCGGTTATTGTCGTGAATTTCGGTACCTGTGAATTTTTTCGGTTTACCGCCCAGCCCTACTCTCAACCAAAAAAGATTGAGACAGATGCTCCAGAATGTTGTTGTTTTAAGCTTTCTACATTGCTGCTCTGCTCTCTTTTGTACAGTTTCTCTTTTGTAGTGCCGGTAAATTGTCCTTTTGTTTCTCATGAGTCTGTCTGCAGCTTGATGTGTTTTGCTCCCGTCTCCCTAAGAAAGAAGCTCTAAATCTCAGCGGGACTAACCTGCTTAAATAAAGGTGAAATTACAACGACAAATAAATTACATACAAATCCACAGTTTTACTCCTACAAGCACTAATTGGCGCCACTCTTAAAGTCTGGAGTTCCTCTTGTTAAATATTTAAATGTCAAAGAGAAAAGTGATTAAAACTGTGTTTAATGAAGTCCATTTTAATGAGCCAAAACAGCGAATCACTGCATTCAATTTGCAAATATTTGGTAATTTTGCTTGACTAACGATTTCAGGAATTAACGACTGAATCACCTCAGCTCTGCTTGCGCTTCTGTCCGTGTTCATTCAGCTCATTATCACACTAAACCTTGGAAACTTATTCATGTTTAATTATTTTTTCTTTCTCTTTGTCACAGTCCTTCAGCGTGTTTGTGTTGTTGCGTTCTTTGCGATGATTGTATCCAACATATAAACAAAAACAGGATATGACTCACAGCTGGGACACAAGCGTGTGTGTAAATATGCTCATTTTTCACACCTCCATCACAAACAATCAGAATAAAATGGTGTTTGTTTTTTTAGACTCGCTGCCTTTTGTGATAACTGGAACCTCTTGTCCAGTTGAATACTCATACGGCACTAAAATTAGATTAATTATCCACACCATGCCTCGGCGCAGAAGAGCACGACCTGCATGAGTCAGCGAGAAGCAGGAAGTTGAAGGATATTAGATTTAAGTGGGGATGAAAGGAGAGGCCTCCCCCTGTTAACACAAATTATAATCTAGATCTCAAACATCTCCGTGTAAGAACTGAGATAAAACGCTGCTCCGTCTCCAGGCGGCTTCAGTTTGATCCGAGACGCTGCGAGGGACGAAAAAATACTTCAAGTCAAGAGTGATGAAATTAGTCCAACTTTACTTCCAAATACCACAAGTTGAGATAAGGAGGCTTCTGGAGAGAATTGCATGAATTTGATATCACTTCTCGAATCAAGTTAGTTTCGAGCAGCATCTTAAGCCTTCAGTTCTTCTTCAGCTCATCGTAAAATCCTCCTTTAGCCAATCACCTCTTCCTCATCTCCAGTTTGATAAAAGCCTAATTGAAGTGGATTTATTCGCTGAAATCAATATGGCAGCCTGGACTCACTTATCAGTCTACTTCCTTCAAAGAGCCAATATTCCTTCTGTGTTGTATCCTCAACATATAGACGAACATCCATCGATGCCTTCTGCATTGATTCGAAGCTCTCTGCCAGGTCACACCCCCACTATAAGAGACCGCTGCCAATCGACGGCGCCTAAAAATATCTCAGCCTTCACACTGTCTTCAATGGAGACCTCAGCTTTCCTTCTCGATCGATATTAATAAAACCCCTCAAGGCAAAGAAGGGTGGGACGGTCAGGGAGGGGGCAGGGTTTTATTTGTGGCAGAGAGGTGAAAGATTCAGTTTGGAGATGTTGTGCTGTGTCAAAGTTAGAACAAGAGGTCCATAAAATACAACCAAGCCTGAAACAAAGCTTCATTTTTTTACTCTATTGGTCGGTTTTCAAAATCAGATGGTCCCTTAAATGAATCTCAGTGGAGGAATAAATCTTCTCTGAGTTAATGGATGCATAGCTTTGCTTTTACAAACTGGTGTGATTGGACTAAGTCAGTACACATGATTGTACCAGGATGCATCTACATTTTCTCACTGTATTTCCAAACGATCCTGACCTTCTACCCTGATGTATTTTTACAAGCGGGGCCACTCAGGTATATTTTTCTCCCAGTAAAACTGCAGGAGGTTTCGATTCAAAACATTTTTTTTTTTACATCATTAGCGGCCAGTGTTTTGATTTTTGTTCCACTGAATCGAAGTGGGAGGGCGTCTATTTAAGGCAGCAGTTAAGACAAAACAACAACAGCAGAAAACAAACCAAACTAGAATACAGAACATCAACAAGACATGCTGAAGGTCTTGTAACATGTTCTCCCATATATGTATAGAGAGGTTCTGCAAAAGGCTGAGAAGCACCTGGTAGCAAGTGAAGTTCAGACTCCAAAATGAAAAACTACTGCATACGAACATGAAGACATAAATACAACCAGTGAAAATACAGAAAGGAAAAAACTGTCATTGTTGTAGCGTGGAGAGATTACATCTCTAACGTTTTTGGTTGAAATGTAAATGATGTTATTGTAGTGTTACCTATTTTGACTTTATCTGAACTAACTTTCTAAAAGAAAAGTCAGATTCTTGGTTTAAGCTTCTCGAGGTTAGAGGAGAAAATATAAAAACTCTCTTTTACAAGGACGATAAAAATGCGAGGAGGTGTTTTCATCTCTCCATATCCTACTAAAGAAGACCAATAAATCAAAACATTGTTTAATTGCAGATTAATATTAGCGTATTTTTTATTGTTTTATTGTGTCTGTATCTGGTCTCCACTGACTCTCCTGGTGTGGTCACCAGCTTAAGGTTAACTCTGTCCATCTGTAACATTGACATAAACTAATCGTACTTTTTTACAACAAAATCAAACTCACTGTGGATACCTGAGGTGAACTACACCCACACATGTGAGCCACATTCAGTAACACACATCTCAGATCTGACCCCACACTTGAGGTGAAGGACAATTTCTATGTGCTGAGTGGGTTCAGCTGACTTCTTCCACTCTGTGAGCCATGCTGTCTCTCTCTCAGAGTTAATGAAAGGCTTGCAGTCTTAGTCATGACTCTGCTCTCTGTGAGTACATCTGAGATGCCACCCAGGGGATCCTGGAGGCCATTTACTCCACACAACACACCCACACGCATGGAGGCACATACAAACTCACACACACAAACACACGAACCAGAGACGACTGGAGTTGATGGAGCTCCCTGCTGGAGGAAGGAGAGGGTGAAGGAGATGTGGGAGGGGGGAGGCTGGCGGGAATAATGAAGAGCATACGTAAGAGAGGGACCAAACAGAGAGATTGATCGAAGCTCAAAACCTCATGGTAGGAGGTACATCTGAGGGAGAACAGCAAAGCCTGCTGGGAAAAAAAGTAGAAAGGGTGGAGAGATAAGAAGAGCAGAAAGAATGGAAGAAGGCTGACTGTGAGAGGCCGGGGGGACAGAGGGCATCATGCTACGTGAATCAAACATTGAGTTGAAGAAAAAACTTGATTTTCTTGACTCCTTTTACTGTGACTATCTCTGAAATAAACCCTAACCCTGAAACATCTCCATCTGTAAACTCGTGATCATGAACTCATCAAACCTTGAATACGTGGTAGTATGGTAGCATCTAGGTGACAACAACCGCCTCTGCTCGTCAGTAAATCTGTCTTCATATGACATGAGTCTATTATGTTGATCTTTGTCAGAACTTGATCTTTTTATCACGGCTTGTAGAGACCGAAGAAAAAGGATTTCATATTATAAAGTACGATTAGTCGAACTCCTCCAACAGCACCCTCCAAACTCCATCTGTTCTGACTAATAAGTGTTATATGTCCAAATATTTAGCTGTATTACTGATCACTCTGTTAGCATTTGATGGACATTTACCCAGAGTTCCCTGCAGCACCTGGAGGAAATTCAGCCTTCTGCACAGTCATTACTGTCACTCAGTGTTAGGACACCCAACGACGATTTACACTCTAACTCTGAATGACTGCTGAGCCTGTCTGTGATTTTCTGTGATGATTTTAATTTCGATTCAGTCGTTTTATGATGAGCTCTTACCTAGACTTCTAAGAGGTTTCCTCTTTTGTGACTGGACTCTAATTTTCTGTACTTTGACCTCCGTTATCCAACTCTGCCTCTAAGTACTCACTCAACACTGTTTTTACTTGTGCCTCAAAGTGGAAAGTAGAAAGTCGAAAAAAATGCATTTTTTGTTTGTGCAAATTGGAGCTGCTGCTGCTGCTCACTGCTTCAGTTCCCTCTCATCAGCACTTTTCCATCAGCAGTCGGCAGCTTTCAGAAACCCTCTGAGTATTCTGTTTCCAGCACTTCATTACAAAGTAGCAGCAACTTTATTTAAACAATGGGTCAGATGACTAAATCTGAAGTGACAGGACACGCTTGGCGTCAAAGGCACATTGAAAAGACTTCCAATCACAGCAGCAGAGATTTATCATCAGGAGTTTGGCTGAAAATCTGCTTTTTTTCTGCCTCAGACATGTTCACATTTTGGTACAAGAACCTCTGTACAGATAAACATGTAATTACTGAAGATCCAAACAACCGTGTTTTTAACCGAAAATGTCGAAGGAATGATCAATTTTGTTGCAGATATATTTGCCGCTGACTGACCCATCGGAGTGAAGGCACACTGTGCAGCCGAGGATTTTTCTCACTAATGAGCTCAGGATCCTGCAGAAGTATGGGACTGGTTTTACTGCAGCGACTCTTTGTGGAAAATTGGCATTACTCTGATGTGACAGATGCTGATTGTTCTCCAGCGTTGTACTTGTTAATTAATCAGATTCGGAGTGTGATTACGGTTTGCCGTTTGCGGAGGCCGCGGTGTAATGTTTGCTTGTTAGACTGTGAACCCGGCAGATCTGAGCTTCGCTGGTTTTGTTAGAGTTTGTGTGAAGCTGCTGACCTTTGAGGAAAAAGGTCGTTTCTGTTTGTTCGAGTAACCAAAGTCTCTGCAGTGGAGTCAAACCAAAACAGGAGACCACCGGACATGAAAGAGGGAAAAAATGACCTCAGATGTTTTTTACTCTCACAGGTTTAAAAGAAGAAAACAGGGAAGCGCTTTGATTTCCATCAAACGAAACCCTGGACGTAAACATCAGAAATTATCCTCCTGTATGTGCAGTGGACATTTAAATATCAGGACAGACTCTCTCAGTTTGAATACATACATACATATAGGAAAACAACAAATATAGATCGTGTATCACTGGTCTGAAAGTAGAAAAGGACCACAATGCCAGAACTGTTGAGCAGATTGACTGATATAAAAAGTCTGTTCTTGGCTAAATGAAGCGAGCGGCAGCAGCAGCAGGCCGTTTGGCAGCCAGCTCTTCTCTGTCATTCTTTGATGTCTCAGATTCATTTCCCTGAGACCTTCTGCTTCTTTGCCAAACAGATTAAACCGCACCAGCATCTACACCGGTGGCCTCCTAATCTTCAGAATACAGAAACACAGCCCTGAGGGACAATATCACAGAGGCTCTGTGAGGACAACAGTGACGGAAACTAACACTGCAGCAGCTTTGTGTGCTTCGAAACAGTTTAACAGAAACCTAGCCTCGTCGGTTTTATTACAAAGATTAGTTTGAGCAGATCTTAAACTGCAACCTATTTGAGGGAACACAAAATGACAGTCTGGTCAGATTGTGGCTCAAAACATATTTCTATGTTCTCGTGACGAAACCCTCCTCTGATTTTAAGAGTTAGTATTTTAATTCATGAGGAAGCAGCCTGAAAGAGGACTGCTCTGTGGGCAGATGGTTGAACCGAACCAATGTCCTGACTGTCCAAACTAGAAATCTCATAAAGTCTCTCTTGGTTAAATGTGACTTTAGAGTAATTAAACAAGGCAGGCTATGAAAGCTAACTGTTGCTTGTTATTTAGCTTCTTTTGAACGTCTTTCCTTGTCACTTTAGTTGCTGTATTTTCTACTCAATATGCTTCAGAAGCTAAGTGATGGTCCAGGGTGCTGGGGACTAAGGATCAGAATTGAAAACTAGTTCAAGATAATAACTGTTTCTAACTATTTGGAGCCATCGACATCTTTCGCCTTGATACTTTGTGGTTCCTTGGGCTGAAACGAGTACCTAAAGTACCTCGATTACAAAAAATGATCGAGGAATTTTCTCTGTCTCAAGTACTCGTTTAGAAGTTCAACCATTGCTGTTTCACACGGATTATTTTCAAGATGACACAACGCACTTACGTCACCATAGTAGAAGGAGGAGTGAGCGCTGTTTTGGTTTTGCTGAGTGGAAAAAATGAATGATGAGAGGAGCTTTTCTTCTGCAGAGTATGTTTTGGTTTCTCCTATGAAGCAGCACATTGTGGTTGCTTGATTTCAAAAACATAGACATCTTTGCTTCATCTGATGTTCAAGAACAAAGAAAAAGAGAGAAAACACAGACAGAGGGTGAAAGGCACCAAGGGAAAGAAAGGATAAGAGATGGAAAAGGTGGATTTGTGGTAGAAAATGTGTTTAAAGTACTGCTTTGCTTTAACTTCTCCAGGAGGACTAATAAAGCTGTATTACTGCACCACAGGGACACAGGTGGAGGCAGGAGGGGTGGGAACAGAAAGTGAGGAGGAGGAGAGTTAAGAGTGAGAGAGCCAGGGGGATATAAAGACTTTATAAGAAAAGAGGAGGAAGAATATGAGCGAACGGAGAAAGAGAGAGAGGGAGAGTTTGTAAATAAGTGGATGGAGGGGAAACATAAAGCTGATCATCAGGGCGGAAAAGAGGGAGCTGTCACAAACAAGTCATTCCCACAACATGCTACACATGAACACACACACATACATACGCACACATACACAAACATAAATATAAACAAGCCAGTGTCTGGGAAAGAGAGGCATTGTGGGACGCTGCAACAATAAGTCCTGACAGCTCTCTCTGGCAGACCCTCGCCTGTCTGCTGCCATCGCTCAGGGCACAGTGTGTGTGTGTCTGTGTCTACGTGTGTGCGTCTGTGTGTGTAGGTGTGCGAGAGGTGACACACGGCCTGTGACAGTGATCCGAAGTGAAGTCCTGAGTCTGACTCACCTCCGCTTCAGTGACGGACGCTCTGAGCCAACACCAAACACTAAAGGAGTCCTGCTCACTACGGCTTGTCGGGGTAATACCTCCATCCAACCATCCGTCCTTTTTTCTGTCCCACCCTGTGTGTGTATGAGGGGGGGGTGTTACATTTCTATGACGTCATGGGTCACCCCAAATCCCCGCCAGCCCCTGGTTCCTGTTTGTAACTTGGTGTTCTTTATGATTCCAAGAACAAACCGTCCTTTCTCTTCGCTGTGCTTGGAAAAATACCTTTCATTCTGAGTCGGCTGTTTCTTTCAGAGAGGCACATGTAATAATCCACATTTTAGTGCTTGAACAAACAAGACTTTAAAATAGTTTCACCTCTGGGCAGCACTTGCCTTGTAGTCTGATCACACCTCATACATGGAGCCAGCCTGATTTTGCCTCTGACCTGCAGTCCTTTTCCCACATGTCACTCCCAGCCATCTTCCCATTTCCTGCCCTATTTAGTGTCCTTGCATCCCAAATATGGAGGCTTTGCCCCACACAGACAGACTGTGTTGGATCCAAATGCCCAAAATATGTCTGTTTTTTCAAAGGTTTTCTGCTCAGCCAGCTATGATTGAAATGCCACTACTTAAATTTAGTCAGCACAGAGGACTTTAATTTTTGAGTGATTTGATCCAGACAGTCTCAGAGAGTACACAGATTTTCTCAGTAGCACAGAAAAGACGCTGTATTTTGTAGACTCTTAGATTTTATCACCGTAGAGCTGTCGGTCTCACAAAGCGAGTGGATTTTACAGTAAGCCCAGTGTTGTTTACGTTGACGAAAATATTCCGTCAATGCCCTTTTTTCCACGACGAAGACGTGACGTTGACGAGCTAAACATAAGTCTTGGATGACTAAAATGTGACGAGACGAATGTGCGTTTACGTTGACGAGACGAGACGAAAACGTTAGTGGTGGACGACGAACAGTGTCGCAAAATTCATGAGCATTTCGTCAGTCAAACACTCAACATATATTCTGCAGTGTTGTTTTCGTTAACGGAGACGTCATCGTCAACAAAAACAACACTGATGTCGTACCAGTCTATTATTCGAGCTGATGTTGTAAATACATACGTACATTACAAAAGGTCTTCCAGTGTGAGTCCATCAAGCAACAGGCTTTGAACAAGAATATTAATGATGAAAAATTTGTAGCTTTAGTTATTCTTTAATATTTCCTTTTCTATAACTTCTGGGACCAAGAACTGTCTTCTTTAAGACTTTAATATCCCAGTGCTTTTAAGGCTGTCCTCAACAATGTTGTTGATCATCAGCAGAGCTAACGACACACTAATACTCGTCTGTTTTGTGATGACGACAGTATTTTTCACTGAAAGTTAAATTCATGTTAGTGTTCAGGACCTTCTGTTCAGTCTTTCTGGGGGCGTTCAGTAATTCTGTGTCGCAAACACCCCCAAAACACAGAAAAGCTTTATCCAGGCAAGCGGCTTAACACACTCCGAGAGTCCACGCTGATTACTGAACTATTTTGTTGGTTTTCTATTAAACAAAGATTGCTTCCTAACAAGGATTATCTGCACTCACATAGTTCTTATCTCCAGCAGCCTGCAAGCTTGTCTCCTCTGTTTAGACATGAAAATGTTCCTGTACACAAAGTCAGACACAATATACTAAATATATAAAATTGTATATATGTTAACATTTTGTTGTGGAGGCAAGGTTTCCGCTGAATAGTCACATAACTCCTTATTATCAACTGTAAGCCATGAGAGTCACAGCTGAGGGTTAAGGCTGTCATCGGTCCTTTGCTATTAAAGTATAATTAGATATGATTGTAATTACAACTGTGTATTTTATTGAATTAATGTGCTGAAGTATTTATACGACATATACAAATAGAGACCTTTTCTGCCTCATTCTTTTGGAGGAAAATGAGATTTGTATTTTCAAAAACTGGCAGCACTTAGAAAACAGACTAATAAATGTTCAAGGTAGAACACGCTCATGGCTGCAGTGCTTCAGTCAGCCTCTGCTCTGAGATCATGTCGGTAAAAGCACGATATCCTGGATGTCTCTTACTTGAGAAACCGTCAGGGGAAACCAAATGCCCTGACCCTTTTCTGCTGCCTGAGATGGTAGAATTGATTCAGTGATTGGGGTTAAAGCTTTCTAAGGGCTTAGTGATGGACCCCAGTGATGTTCTTGTGACTCAGACTTAACCAATCTCTGCAGATGGTTTCCAATATCTGGATCCAAAACACTGACATGTGTGTTTGACGCTAAGTTTAGTCTCATTTTGTAGTCTTTCTTCTTAGAATTAATTAAATTATTTGGCAACGAAGAGCTCTCCTTTGTCCTTAGGATGCTCATGGCCGCCTGTCAATCAAATGATTGATCACTCTTTGAGTCCTTCACCTTTGACTCAATGGCAAAATCACTATATCTTTTAAGTGTGTGCATGAGTGTGTGTTAGCAGAGGTGCACAAGGTGTGTGTTAGCAGAGGTAACACAGTCAATATTTTGGAGCTCGGGGAGGGGGGAGGCTCTCCTTATAAGGTGACACCTCAAACACACCAGGCTTAGAGAAACAAACACAACGGGGGTGTCCGAGTAGAAAAAAGCTTTTAAATATACTTAAGTCCTATCAGAGACCTACAGGAGATAAATTACGAACAAGAGCTTGAACAATATGCAATAAAATATCACAATAACAATATTATCACAATATTTCTGGAACACTTAAACAAGAGCAGAGCGACATATTACTTCATAAACTAACTCATAAATACTATTTTCATATTAGTGAACATCTGTTGCTAATATTTGGATTCATGATCTAAAGGATCACCAAATCAGGGAAGAGATAATCTAAACTAATTTAGATCTAATTTAATCAACACCAGGATTATACACTCACTAGAATATTCTGCAAAATACCAGACAAACTAGGCTGATTTTTTGTGTTAAGGTGCATTTATATGTGACAAACAGAGCAGACCACATGACCAGGGGACACAGCAAGCTATCTGAGTATGTAGAGAGCACATAGATAAGCTGTAGTGCTGGTCTGATAAAGGTTTTTATAAGAGGACAGTGTGTTCTCGGACAGACTCCAGCCCTCTGTGACCTTGGAGAGGATAAGTGGGTTAAGACAATTAAGGATGTGTGAGGACAGTTTTAGTCGTTGAAGAGAGACAGAGCTGTGCGCTCACATTCAGATGAAGTTATCCTGTGTCTCTTAGATTCCCTCATCTTTAGAGTAGAAGTCACATGTCTCTAAAGCAACACAAAAGCAGCTGAGGCGGTAACCGTGAGCTGTACCCAGTTTACCGAAATCATCTTTAAGGAATTCTAAGAATTAGAGTTCAAGCTGTTTCCTCAGAGTGCCATTTAGAAAAGAGTGAAACTACCCGGAGCGGTTCTTCCTCTGCTCGTCACATCCCAGCTAAAAATTCATGTGGCATGGCGGCTTTAGGCCTCCGTGTTTAGGACCTGCAGGAGAGACTGGGCAGCAGATCCATTGTAATGCAAATAGAGAGGGGGAAAAAAACATGTGAAACCAGAGAGTCAGAAAAAGATGAGCCTCAAGGAAGCATCACCTTCCCTTTCCATTACTGGCCTGAATCGATTCAGGCTAAAAATAAAAGCAGCAGGACTCCGCTCTGATGGCGCTGCATTCATAGATGACTGCACAGGCCGAGTGTCACATCAGAGGCGACTTGTATTATCTAACCTGTGTGTATTTATGTGGAAATGGAGCTGCTGCCTGCCAAACTGCGAGTCTCTACTCTTTGTCTGAGCGTCTCACTTTACTGCCAAGTGTAACACAGACGCCAAATACAACTGCTCACTGCAAAGCTGAGGATGAAATGACATCTCAAATGGCCCAAATTTCAACCTTTTAATGTTTATATAATGAATAAACTTCATTTTTAATCTCTTTGTAAATTTATGTTACACAGCAGAAAGATAACTGCAAATCTGTTCGGCTGATTTAAAGAAGCATAAAGTATACTTTTCATGATAATGAGGCTCTGCAGCTTTTTCACGGCACCATTCAGCTCCATGAAGTCGAGGGGTCAACAGCTGACCTCTGTAACACTGTAATATTACTGCTCATTGAGCCATCCAATGCTGTATAATGACCACGCCGAAGCACAAAATCTGTTAATTAAAGGCTTTGGGGCTGAAACGTGACTAAAATATTCATAACTTGAACTCCGAGGTGACTTAATCCCCGAGACCTTTTTTCTAAGGGGCCGTTTTTAGAAAGTGCTCACACAATAGAAAGTCAAAGGCAGACTTGTTCAATTAAAATCTTTACACTACTGATGCTAACTGAATTTGTAGCTTATAGTATTCTCTGTATATCATATCAGACTGTCAGGCTATACGAGCAGATTCAGAAACAGTTACACCTGAGCATAGGGCTGGGCAATAAACCAAAAATTTACTAATACCGAAATTTACGTCAAAAAGTAATAAGTTAAATAAATAAAAGTTGTTTTTTTGATGTGTGTAGGCAGGCTATTGTCTATGTCAGAGACGTGACTCCATCCCATCCAGTCCGTAACAAAGAGGGAAAGACGGGTGAGGAGATGGAGGACGGTTCAAAAGTTGTCGCAGCCGTATTTTCCAGACTATAAGTCACACTGGAGTATAAGTCACACCAGCCAAAAATGCATAATGAAGAAAACAAACACATACTGGTATTAGTCGCATTTTTGGGGGGAAATTTAGTTTACAAAATCCAAGACCAAGAACAGACATTTAATCTTGAAAGACAAGTTCTAACAAAAATCTAGCCATCTAGGTATTACCATGCGATTAGCTTTTTTTGTTTCTTCATCGCAGTAAAAGTGACCTTCGCTTTTCGCCAGTCCCTCACAAGTTCCTCCCTCACTCCAAACCCTCTCTCTGCTGCTTGATTGCCGTTTTCCTCTTGTAATCTGCGGAATATGATTTTCTTTTTGGCTGCATTTGTGCTCAGTCTTCCTTAGTTGCCGATATGAGTTAACGTTAATTTTTATATCTTCAGTCATACAGGAGTAGCAGATACTGGTACCCCAGCCTAGAGTGCCCTCTAGTAGTTGTCAGTGTGAAAATAACAAATGTGTAAAATTATATATTTTAATATATATAAGTCGCACCTGAATGAAGACACAAACCCAGCCAAACTATGAAAAAAAGTGCGACTTATTGTCCGAAAAATACGATCGTTATCGTTCATTTATTGTTATCGAGGTGGACTGCTTAATATATCGTGATATTGATTTGAGGCCATATCGCCCGGCCCTTACAGGGAATTTAAAAACATGTTAACAAAACTTAAATCAAACCATATAGAAACACTTTGTTCTTGTCCAGTAATGATGACTGCAGGGAGGCATACGAGCAGAGATGTTTTAGCCGATGTTTTGGATGAACAGATGTCGGCCGCACACCAGCTGGCCGTGGACAAACTGATGTTGTGTGAGAGAGCGCTGCTTTGTTTCGAGTCTGAGCTTATTCTCCGCCTCTAATCTGAGCTGCCAGCTCTCACACTTTGAAGATTTCTCTCACGCCACTGAAGTGTTTCGCAGAGTGAAGGGCCCCTCATTGTCAGTGCCTCCTTTTTACAACCTCTTATGTTTGCTTTGTTCCCATCAACTTCAGACTGTATAAAACATGGGCTTGCTCTCAGAGGTTTCTTAAGTGGAGTTTTGAAGCCTAAAAATAGTTGCTGTATGGAAAATGCTGACTCAACCTCACTATAGATTCACCTAACGAGAGGCAGAGAGGTGGAGTGGAGACGAGGGAGTATATAATACTGTGCTCACCTTTCAGTCGAGTAGCTAAGGATGTGATGTTTACTGAAGAAGGTGATGTATATTCTTTAAACCGAATATCACGATAAACTGAGCAGTTCACCTCGATTACGATCAATGGACGATAACTACTCCACAAGCTGCTCACCCCCTCCCACATTAACTTTTGAACCATCCTCCACCTCCTCGCCTGTCTTTCCCTTTTTGTTCAACTGGATGGGGTGGAGTCACGTCTCTGATGTAGGACAGCGTCTGAAAGGACCATGAGACCATAGTCTACCTACACACATCAAAACCAACTTTTATTTATGTTTTTTCTTTTTTGACACTGAATATCCCGATATGGGCAAAATGACGTCGGTTATTGTCGTTAATTTTGGTATTGTTAAATTATTAGTTTATCACTCAGCCCTATGATGATATCAGAAATCAAGTTATCTCGTGTATTTGAACGTGTTAGTCTGACTAAAATCAAACTTCTCATAGTCATGTTAACATACCTGATAATACAGTTGGAGATCGATTTTCTCTGTCATGTTTACGGCTTAGTCGAACTGAAACTGGTTTAAGTGTTCTTCGCATGCTCGGCTCTGAGCCGGTGGTTCAACAGTATGGATGCGTTAGATAGCAAACAAAATCTTGACAGAGGAAGAAAGTGGGTAAAAAAGACCAAACTTTCCTTACAAACAGCACAACTAGGAGACAACAGAAAAGAGGAATTCATCACCGACAGTAGCAGAGGCGGACATGCTTCAGTCAATAATTCAATTCTTGCTTGGTGCTTGTAAACTGGGACAAGGACAGTGACTCAGTTAAATCACCTAATCGAGCTTTGAATGTAGCTCGACTTGGCTGTGCATGCGATTCCAAGTATTTACAGTCCAACTCTTGACTCGAGCAGCAAGATTGGAGTTAAAGTTCAGGTGCATTTGTGACCCAAACCTCTCTAGACTCATTCAGAATCACATTGTTGGAGATAAATGAAAAGCCCGCTTGTCAGCAGGCGTAAGCTGATGAGTTCAGAGGTTGCGATTTGACTTTTGCCTTTTGCTTCTTTTGCTCTGCGCATGGACTGTTTCCCCGCACCGGCCTGCTCAAATGTCAGCGGTCAATTCAACTTCTCCTCTGACTACCGAGAGAAACCAGAAAGCTCCAAATACCAAAACTTTGACCTTTGCCCTTTGATTCTTCGTTCAGTGTGCAGGTAAGTGTGTAAGAGACATATTCACCTTCTCTTTTCTGTCTTTTTAGCTGCTAAATGCTCAACTATCCTGAATATTTTGTGAGCTTTACATCCAGATCATGTTTCGATTTAATTTAGATCTCTAGCAGCAGAGCTCTGAATTGTGTTAGTGTTAAAAAAAAAGAGTAAAGAGCATGTTTACGACTAAGTCTAGAAAAGAAAATGATTTTTAGTTTTCATCACAATTTATCAGACTATGTTTCACTGTTTTCCTTGGCTTCTCATTATTTCTACACCGAGGTCTTTTCTGATAACAAAAACAGACTTTCATGTTTGACTGAAGTCCTGCCTTCATGTTTCAGCGTCTGACTCCAGCTTCACTTCTCCACGTCAGGACAATTACCGCAAACAGGAGCCTGGTCAGCGCTGAGAACGACACACAGCCTCATATAACCTCCCATGCCGCTCTGCTCCACTCTGCCCATTGTCAGCCACCGGCTCCGATTTGGAGGAAGATCTGTTGGACTAAAAACAGCTGCTGGAAGCTTTTCTTCCAGACAAAGAGGCTCAAGCTTTTTGAGTCTCTGATGACAGCATATGGCTGAAAGAGCGATGTGGAAACAGAAAAATCAACTCAGAGAAAGAGGTCAGTCATCTTTGATTCCCCGATGTTTTCTCAGAGCGCCTCATGCTTTCTTTTCTTTCCATCAGTCTACAGACACGCACCACATATCACAACAAATGCATCAGATTTAAGGGACAAATCACAAGTTATCATCACACAGCCACACTGTTTGATAAAGTGTGTTTCAAGAGTGAATTTAGACTTTTTGATACTACCACAAACAAATATATGAACCTAGTAACTCAGCTTTGCTCATCATGTTCCTTCATGTAGCTGGAAATCTAAACGATGCCCAAATATTTCTCTCCCTCTCGCTGTGCTGCATCACAACGTCAATCTGTGAATGAAAAGTATTTTCATCAGCAGTGGGTGGAGTTGACATCGAGAGACCTCAGTTGCACCGTGAAGCTCGAGCTGAGTTCTTCCGTCATGTGAAAGAAAGTGATCTACGTGAAGAAAGATCATAAGTTAGGCTGAGGTGAGATTCCCTCCACAAGCTCTTTCTGTGATACCTGAAACACCATCTGAGGGAGGCTGGTGAAGGTGCAGAAATAGAGGAGGAAATCTTTTTTTGTTTAGAGGGCAGACGGTGAGCGGTCTTTGAGTTCATGTTTCTTTAAGTCATGAGTTTTCATGTTAGCCCAGTATTCATGTCGAAAATAACATCATGTACCGTCGATCAGAGAGTATCAGGATGTAGCGTCATGAATCTGCTGAGTCCTCTGACAGGCGACACCGACCCTACGTACTCTGGGATCCTTGAGTCACCCAAGCAGAGAGCAGACACAGAGCAGCCAATCCCAGACACCTCCCATCAGGACTTGTCTTTATCTATGTCTATATTACTTTTTTTTTATATCACATGCTTTAAACACAACAAAATGTGTCATTTTGACGTTCACTCATATCAAAAAGCACCAAAGCCTATGAGGAAAAAATGATCCACAGTCATATTTTCAACCAGAAGCTGCTGTGAGTGAAAGTGAGAGAGCAAGTAACAGTGGTTAATCGACATAGAGATAAAGCAGAGAGAGAGAGAGCGCCATTAAAGTAAACAACTCAGTAGAGTTCAGAAAATAGAAGCTATTTTCTGAATGTTTCGCTGCAGTTATGAATACGTCCACACCTGCACACAAATGTGCTGTCAGGTACTCACTTGGCTCCTTATGCAGCTGAAGTCGTGCTTCTCCCTTTCTGCTGCATGTATTCATGCTACGCTCACCCACAATCACAGACTGCCTAATCTCAACATTCACATTCGTTGCAACTCTGCTTGTAACAGGCACTTACCAGAGTCACATCAGCAGAGATGCCTCAGATCAGTGAGGTTAGTAAATGCACCAGTCTCCTGCTAGAAAGTAAACAACTCCACCATTAGAGCCACCATTACCAACCACCAGCTGAGATGGATCAACCATCTCGCCCATATGCCTGATTTTCACTTTCCAGCACAAGTCCAAGTTTTTAGACAATTTGACCTCCAGAAAACCAAAAGGAAAGTTTTAGGACAACATCAAAATGAGCATCAGACACCAAGAGGAGCAAAGCAGATAAAACCAGATCTGAGAAAGAACTTGTGTTTGAAGCTGCTGAGTTTTATTATCGTTAGAGGTCGACCAACTATCATCCTCGGCTGACTATCGGGGTAGTTTTTCAGAATTAGGCTGTTAGACTTTACAGATTAAAAATGCACAACTAACACTATCTGGCTAGATGTCACACCCCTGTTCGACTAAACTGTATGGTAAATTTGAACTGCTCAGCTGTGTACTCCTTTGTCTGATGTTCAAAGTTTCAGTTGTTATCAATCGTTTGCTTTAGGCGTTAAAGCTACTGTGAGGAGTGTAACCTGGCTGCAAAACCAGTTGGAATTGGAAGTGATGTCTTTGTATGAAGTACAAAAGCAAATAAGTCTGTCTGAAACAAGGTGTAAAATTCTGAATAGTAATTTTTAATCCTCAAGGCACCATCAGGGGTAGATGTCCTGCACACAGGAGGCACCAACATCAGCTTGAAATAGAGTTTTGTGTTGTGTCAAATTTTGTAATTCTCTAAATTCTGTAGTTTCTCATTTTGACTGTAAATGCAAAACAGATAATCACTATCAGTCCTGAAAAAAACTTTTTTACTCAACTTCTAGATGTGACCTTCACTGCACTTCAGAAAACCAACCCCGACTGAGAAAGGAGAGATCCTTCTCCAGAAAGCCCAAACAAAACCAAACACCGTCACCGCCCACCACTGCCCACACTGCATGAAAAAACACGCCTCCAGTGTCAGCCTCAATACCCACCTGAAAAACCCACAAGGACAAAGAAGGTGGAACAGCCGTACTCGACCCTGGTGTTGATGAGAAGTAAGTAGATTCAATAAACTCGCATACTAGCACCTGAATTAGTCTCACCCTTTCCTTCTCTCTTGGATGAACAGAAAACTCTCTGAAGTTGAGATTTAGTACAGCTACACAAACCGAGTCCTCGGGGTTGGCCATGTGCAGGATTTTGACTCTCTTTCACTCTCAAAACTAGTCAGGATTTATCCGACACGCCTCTTTGTACGTCTCTCTGGTGCGCAGGAGCTTTGAAGTCATTGTTATCCACCAGACCATGTGGTCAAACGCTGTCAACAGAGGTTACACCGAGCAGCTTTAGATGTAAGTTCCCTGATGACAACTCCAGAGACAACTGAGCAGATATATTTAGGAACAGTCTAGACTCAGCTGCAATGCAGTGCAGATTTTGTTTTCCAGGTAAAGCTGTCATAAATCTGCTGGGAGGATCTCTCACACAGTGGATGTGAACAGCCTGCGATGACAATTTAAAGCTTTTCTGAAGCCTTAATCCTTTCTCTGTGGTGGTTTTTTTATTAGTGCGAGCTTCTGTCAGCTGCAAAAAAGAGTCGCCTCTGTGGCCTCGCTGCGAAGTGTGGGGATGAAACTGTTGGCCTGGGAGCCTGGCTTTGTGACCCTCCTGCTGTCGAGTGATGACTGTGAGGCATCAGCTCTACTGTGACTGGAGGAGGATTGTTTGTGATGGCAGAGCATGGTGCTTTAAAAGATGAGATCACAATGATTCTGCAGAGTCACAAAAGAACAAGAAATCAATTTTCGTTTTCAGGATTTTCTAAAAAGATGAGACTGTCTCTTCACATCTTTTCTATGACGTTTGATCTTCGAGGCTGAGTTATATATCCATGGACAGAGAGCTGTTGACCCATATTTACTGTACCGTTTTCCCTCCCCTCCTCTCCCTCCGTTTTCTCATTGACCTCCCTCTTTTACCCCGGATCTATTTTTAGCTGCTGCCACTTTCACTCCAGCTAATGTAAGAATAGATGCTCCTTGCAAGAATCATTCTGCAGGCAATAAAAGGGAGGGATCAGGTTGGCTGCTCGCTGATCCTAACTGATTTTTCGAGTCTTATTTCCTGGTCTTTTCCTGTTAGAGGAGATTTGATTGGATGATCAGACAGTTTGTTTGTCTACAGTTCCCTCCATATAAATCTGTTTTTTGTACATTTTATGGTTTCTTTCTGCCCATATTAGTTTCATACTTCTTTACTCCTCCACGCTGCTCATACTGGCCTAGATGATCGGGGTGGCACATGTCCCCGACTTCCCTTTGTTGCATGTATTTATCTCTCTGGATGAGTTTTAGTGATGTGACTTTCCTGCGCTACATTTCAAAGGATAACCAATTTAGGAAGGACTGCAGAGCCTTTAAATTGTATCAGATAAGCAAACAGACTTTTAGAAGACAGGAACAGGGTCTCTGCTTTAAGTATCTTTTGACATCAAGTCAACCAAACAATGCTAAAAGAACACAAAAATAAAATAAAGAGATATGCAAAATTACAACTAAGAGATGAAAAGCACGCTCAAATGATGTTTACTGGAAAACCCGACATAATGATCAAGTCCCATACTATCTTCAGCTGCATGAGTCTAACACTTGGCAAGTGACAGTGGCAAGGAAACATTTCCAATCATAGGAGAAACAGTTTAAGTCCCACTACAATCTTTTTTGTTTTTTACCATAAGTGTTCTCAGTGGTCTTTAAGTTGTGATTATTAAGTTGTTTTAGTCAAAATCATATAACCTCTGTCATTTTTAAGGACTTTTCTTCTGTAGAGCTCCAGTAGCTCATTAGCTATTCGCTTCTGAGTTGTGGGCGGAGACAGCATTTCTTTGCACACTCCTCTTCACGCTAGCCTGTAGCCTAACATTACCAGTGTAGTAGAAGTGGCAGGTAACATAGGAACTATTCAGCTCTCAGACACTAATGTCCTTGGGGACATGATGAAAGCTAATATCATAATTAGCTTTCTTACAAGCATTGCAAACCGCTAACGCACACCCTCGATTGTCCGCTCTATTATCCGAGTCTGGCTGCATAGTGGGGCTCCGGGGGCGGAGCTTGGATTTGTGACATACGAAATCTCACTGTGTCCGAGCTTGCTGTTTGGGTTTGCCAGAGATTTACGGCAATTTAAATGGGGAAATACTCAGAAATGCATTTTGGTTTTAGAAAAATGCCACATGAACATGTAGACAACAAAAAAAAACATGATTTAACAACAAAGAGACACAAATATGTACAAAAAGATAAAACAGAACAAAAAATACAAACATGAGAACACGCAGACAACCTGAAACAGAAGCAGCGCAAAACTGAAGAGATATAAGATGAACACGAAATGACACAAGAAGAAAACAAAAGACAGAAAATGATTAGAAAAAATACAAAGAAACATTGAAACCATAAAAAGACATGCAAACACAAAGAAAGACAAAAGTTTCCAAGGAGACATGAAAAACATATATCAGTTTTTTAAATCAACCACAAAGACAGAGACTATCAATATGCAGAACAAACAACAAATGCAGATGAAGGCAAAGACACAAAAGAAACAAACACAAGGGCACACAGACAACCACAAAGAGAGGCAGCAAAAAACTAAAGATATGTCAGAGATACACAAACGAACAAAATAATCTTGAAGATTAGCCGAACGATAAAGATTTAAGCCTCTACAGAGACAAAAGTCTAAAAGGAGACACAAACAAAGCTAAACAAGATATCTGCAGAAACTTGCAAAACAACCATAAGGCTAAACAAATAAAGACAGAAAAGGAAAAAAAAACAGAGACACAAACAAAGGCTGAGATACACAATGTGCAAAAAATAGATTCATATGCAAAGGGACATAAACTCACATAAGGTGCAAAAACACCCACAAACATTCAAAGCAGCCACATGTGAGAAAGGTCAAATAAAAGATGGTGGTGTGAAGTCTGTGCGTGTGTATCATCCAGCTGTTGCTTATTTCACAAACCACCAAGTTACTGATCCTCTATTCTGTCTGACAAAACTGAGAGGATGAAGTGTGACTTTTATTCACAAGAGGAAAAACAAGTACCTGTGCTGGAAAATAATCAGCTGAATCATGATGTGTCTGAGTTTGCAGGAGTGAAATGAGCTTTTGTTTGACACATCCACGAACGATGATTAACTGCAGTTTTGTGGTTTAATGCAACAGTTTTGAAGCCTTCATCTATCTTACTTTCCCTCCCACACTTCATCACTCCGTCTCCCCTGCGTTTAGCCGAGACTTAAAAGAAAACCAGGAGCACCTCCGCAGATTCAGTCGACCTCTCCCTCGCGGCTCTCCTCACAGTGTCTGACTGGAGCGCATGTTTCCAAAAATGAGAATATCAAGAGGAGTGAGATAACGTGCCCGGCACATAGCTAACGTAATACGCTTTGATCTACTTCTGACACCTCGAATGATGAAGAGAGAAAGAGAGAGAGAGAGAGAGAGACGCTAGAGATAAGATGAGAGGAGAGAGCACAAACGAAAAGGGGAACACACCCACTTATGAAACCAAAATTCACCAGGACAGTATTTTGGCTTTTTCACCACAATCACCCACTGCTAGAAAACCTCCACTCTTTCCCTTCCTTTACCATCCACAGCCTCCATCCTTTCTTTCCATCCTCTCTGTCCTCTATCCGCCTGGCTCAATGACAATTAAAGGTCAGATTTCTCTCCCTTTATTTATTTAAATCTCTCAGCAGCATCCATTTGTTTTCATAAAGCAGCTGATGAGGCTTTGATGGAGCGTTTAACAGACAGAAGGGGGTGATCTGGTCCTCTGGTGTACAGTGTGTGTACATGTGTGTGTGTGTCTGCATACATAAGCGTGTGGAGGCAGGATGCACCAGCTGCATGCTTCCCTTAATGGGAAATTATGATACAGACACACACACACACAGATGAGTGACCACGCTTTCCCTGAACAGACAGCAGAGCAGTTTGAAGTGCCTCTTGGGTCTCAGTGTCTGAGTTGAAGAGGCTTCTATAGCAATTCAAAGCTATGTGTGTGTGTGTGCGGTCTCTTATTCTCCTGTCTCTGTAAGGACCAGTTAGAGACGTGGAGATTGAGGACACTTTTGGAAAGTGAGGACATTTTGTTTTGGTCTTTACTTCTTACAGCTATTTTTAAGACTTAAAACACGATGATTTTGTTTGAGAAGTGGCACATAGGTATAAACTTGTTTATTTACTTGTTTTGTTTTTTTGACAGGGACAAATGCATGAAACATGCGCCATGCTTACAGGTTAATAGCTAGGGTTAATTTGCAACCCCTGTCTCTGTATGTCTACTTCAGCTCCCCCCTTCTGCCTGTGTTTATGTCAAGGGCGAATTCAGGGCGTTACATGGCCCTCTTAAACCCGAACTGGTAAACCCTTGAATTCTAAGTAGTGTTTGGCAGTTAGCTTTGCGTAAAATAGCATTTCAGTGTTCCATATTTTTGTTTGTGGACAAAGCAGTCTTTGCTTAGCTGGTCATTTGCGTGTTTCAGTCGTGTCCTTTAATGATATTTGACTGTCAGATAAAAGAATAAGAATAACTATTGATCCCTGAAGGGAAATTCAATTGTTTGTTGTCTCATTTGTCACGTCTAAAAAGTCATCTACAATTTATGAAAGAGTTGTAAAGTCTGATGGCTGTGGGTACGAAAGATCTTCTGGACCTTTCTGTCTGCAGCGAAGAGTGAAGAGCTGTCCACCACCATTGGCCCTTTGGTCGATTAAGATGTTGTGAAGTGGGCGATACGTGCCATATGTCTGTTATTGTGAACATTTACTGTGTCAAAGGTACAAACAGCGCCGTCTTCTCAGCTTCTTGGCTGACACTCAGCCAAGACGGTTACAAAAGTCATCAATCTTGTCATTGATTGTTTTGTTGTTTCTATACGTCATAGCAGGCATCCGTGTCAATTTCAGTCTATTATTAGAAAACTCACAGGACCTTTGAATCGCTTGTACAGTTCCACCATCATTTCTCTCTACTCGGCACGCTGATTCAAAACTTCAGGGCTGTAGTCCGCCACCACATGAATCTTCTGGCCCCAGTACTCCAGCCTCCCTCTTCGTCGAGCCTCCCAGATGGAGAGATCTTTTATCCTGTAGTGGTGTAATCGGAGAATGACCGGAGAATGACCGGGCGCGGTCAATGTCCGCGCGGTCAATGTCCGTGAGTTAGTGAGCGGTGGGCTCTGTCAATCTCCGGTGGAGACTGCAGTGTCCTTCCCGAACACCTCGCACGGTAACTCAAAAAAGAATTTGGTAGGTCGCCCACCTTCAGTTGACTCCGCCAGGCCCAGAATACGTAGGTTTTGCCGTTTGCCTCGGCCCTCGAAGACGATGACTTTGGTCTTGAGTTTAGAGTTGTCTTCCCGTAGACCGGAGCATACGCTTTCCATATGTTCCATACATATGTTTCCATACATTGACTAAGGTCGTAGGCCACCAGCTCAAGGGACCCCAGGCATTAACCATGGTCTTCCACCGTAAACCGAACTTGGTCGAACTTGGCTTCTAGCAGGCTGAAAGACTTTTTAAAGTCAGCAGCTAGCGCCTCGCCACGGAGACATCATCAACTGTTAAGCTAGCTGCCGACGATTAAACGTCCTTTTTCGAAGATTTGCCCCTCTTCAGAGTCATTTTAAGCTAGACCACAATAAGATAATGGACGCCAATAAATTACAGCAAGTTGTGTTAGCGAAAAAAGTTTGCCAACACCCCTGATCCAGGTCTACAGGAAGTGAGGTTGGGTGGGCTCCTTTTGTCAGTTGTTACCCTGTTCAGACTGTAAGAGCCATTTGTCATATTTTCTTTGGGTTTATGTTTTAAAATTTAACTTGTAATTGTCCTGGTGCCACACCAGGTGGTGTGAAGTCTTGGGTTTTGTTTGTTGAAGACGCAATAAGTGGCAGGTGTGTTGGTAGCTAGAGGAGCAAACAGTTTTTTGACCATCTATATCTTTATTTGCTTTGTCTTCAGTTTGCTATGGTTTCTTTTACAAAAGAAGAATAAACAAGAAAAATGTGACTTGGACTAAGTGTTTCATTTACACGTGGGAAACAATAGTTAGGAAGATGCGTCAACTGTACACTTGGCTATCTTACACCTCAGTGGCTCTTTGGATCATTTCGGCAGGCGAAGTTAAGTCACAACACAGACTACAGATGGGGAAAAGGTGGGTGTGCTTTAGGCTGTGGTAACCAGATAATCAGGATAGAAGTGAGGCGGTACCATCAGCCCTCTCATCCTAATCTACTTATTCTGCCAAAACAAAATACCAACAATCAGATGATCTTAAAACCGTTAGTCTACAGACTCAGTATATGCAGCTACCAGTCATCGCAGTCAGTATGAAAAATGCAGGTTAGCTGCCACAGCCAGTCATGGTTGTGTCCCAAAATTCCCCAACAGAACTCAAACCCACCTGTACCTGATGAATCAATGTAACGTGGTTGAGGAATCATAGTACACGGATCTCTGTCTTAATGGTAAAAGAAACCAAACACACCTAACAGAGTGACTCAGACATGAGCTCTCGGATCGGTTCGAGACTGAAAGCTTTACATTAACCGTCATTGTGGCCTGTCAATAAACCTTTCAGTGAGGGTGTCAATAATAAATGAAAGAGAATAAATAGGCTCTATTGACTCAGACGTTGGTTGCTGGCTGCTATTATAAGCCGAGGAGAGCTGGAGGAGAGGTATTATTCAGTTAGAAGTGGGAGACATCTTTGTATATTTCATAATACCTGTCGTTTCTGCTCATTTGTGTGTTCTGACTGAAATGTAAAGGGTTCAGTTAAAGGCTTTTGTTTTATTTCGCCTGTTACAGTCTCCTATACTCTTATTTGTAATATTTTATCAACGCTTAACTCTTCTACTGCTTTATCTGACTTTTATTTGTTGAGTTGAAACTAAAATACTGAGTAAAATAGAAGTTTGGTGTCAGAGACGGTCCTCACAGGTATAGCAGAGAATCACTGACATTGCAGATCTGACCTACATGTGCAAACTCACACCTGAGTTTACCCAGCCCCGATTCTGACTCATCCTGCACGAGTCATGCTCCCAAGCTTCCTTTCCATATTTCTGTGCGCGCGCACGCGTGTGTGTGTGTGTGTGTTTGTGTGAAACTCGCTGTGCACTGCCTGCGTCTTCAGTTTATTACGTCTCCGTGTGACGCACAGCAGAGGGAGAGACAAGAGAGAGGAGAGGTGAGGAGGGAAGAGGAGGACAGGAGGAAAGACGGGGTGAGGGAAGGGGAGGAGGAGATAGGAGAGGAGGGAGAAAGGGGGAGTTTTCTCTGTCACCCAGCATGCAATGACCTTAGTTTTGTGTCAAGGCGGAGGTCCCTCTCTCTCTCTCTCTCTCTCTCTCTGTCTCACACACACACACATGCTTCCTCTCTCCTCTCTAACACACACACACACACACACACACACACTGCCTGGTGTCATCCATGTGGAGTCAGGAACGTCAAACCGCATCTTATTCCGCTCACATCCCTGCTGCCAGTCTGTCCTGCCTCTCCCCTCCGCGTCTCCGCTCCAACACACACACATGGACACACACACACTTCGCTCTAATCCCTGTAGTAAACTAAACAAACCCTGCACCCCTCTCTCAAAAAGGGGGGTTCACATCAGCGGGAAAAACACATTTGCAGCTCTGTGACTCCCTGCAGGATTCCTCTAAAAGTGTCACGGTGAAACGATCTCTTCTTCTTTTTCTTCTTCTGACCTTTTTCCAAACACCTCCGCCCTGCAAACCAAGCACGCGCATTCCTCTGTCTGTCAATCTCTCTCTCACTCCCTCCACATGGCTGGAAAAGAAAGCGGCATGTGCTTACTGATCGTCCGGGATCCTATGCAGCCCATGGTGTCTTACAGAGGCTCGTACAGCTCGGGGAAAATAAAATCCATCCGTCCAGCGGGCATCTCTCCGCGGGTTTACTCTCTCTGTGCTTCACCCTCTCCCTCTTCTTCTTCTTCTTCCTCCTTCTCTCTTGTCTCCTCTTCCTCACTGTCCTCCTCTCCTCCGTTTGTGAGACACAGAGAGGGTATGCGCGTGTGTCATCCGCTCCGCTTCCTCCCTCCCTCCCTCTCTCTCTCCCTCTCTCTCTCTCTCTCCCTTCGCTCTCCGTCGTCACACACACACACACACACTCCTGTTTCCCTCAGTCATTGTCGACGTCGCTCCATCGCTCTCTCTCTTTCTCTTTGACTTAGACACGTTGAGCAGACAGACAGGCGCACGTTATAAAACACATATAACGACAACAACTACATTTAAGTCAGATGGAGTTAAGTTTAAATGAGTTTAATTAATGATTTTTCAAAGGCTGTTAATTTGCGTTTAAGTAATTGAAGGTTACAAAGCAATTAAAACTGTATTTTTTCTTCATCTTGTCCTCATATGGCCTCAGTTATAATGTTCTGTTTCTTTTTCAAGCGCTCCAATGAAATTTTTGCGTTTTTTTGTTAATTTCAGAATTTTAATAATCTTGATGGTATGCTGTTTATATATGTATAAACAGTTTTACTAAAAGTTGCTGCTAGCATATATAAAATGCCAATCACAATGTTTTTTATTGTTTGCAAACCATTTATAACCTGTTTGATTTAAGATGACATGAGGACAAATTTTGCGGCTAAAAATAGATATTCATTTTAAGAAAAAATTGTGAGGAAAGCATGTTTATCCTTTGTTTTCTATCACAGTTTTGAAAATGTAATATTTCTCCATTCTTGGTTGAAATACGCTTTCAGCTGCTTAACAATTCAGCATCTCCTTTTTTTATATTTTTCATTTCTTGACGCCAAGACTCTTTATCAAATCTCTTTTAATGCAGTGAAGCGTTATTATCCAAAGATAACAGCCATGCATTGTTGGTTTTCAGGCTTCATCTCATGCTTACAGTTAACATGGAGTTTATGGAAAGGGTCCATAAATCTTTCATGAGATATTTAGTCAATGTATAAGCCATATGATATTGGAGTATTTTTAATTTAACACAGAATATATTGCATTCAGTATCTCTTGGAATTGATGATCGGCGTTTGAGTGACTCAGCACTTGGTACCATTTTGTGGTGAAGAAAAGTGAATTGGTGGTGATGATGGAAGGTCTTGAATTGATTGATTACTTCATTTTTTATGTTCCTTATTTTTTTCTATTTATTTAAAAATAAAAATTCTTCATGGTTGTTCATTGCCTTTTACACTGATTGGCAGTACTTGTGTCCAAATGGTCTTGAAGCACTTGTTGCTCTTACTGATCTTCTTTCCTCCTGTCTCGGTCTTTGCTTGTTTTGTTCTTGTTCTTGTTCTTTAATGTACCTCGATTTGGATAAAAGCATCTGCTGAATGACATCTTGCCATCATCTGTGTCCTCACCTGGTCTTTTGTGTATGCATCTGTGTGTGTGAGCGTGTGAGTGCTGTATGTGTTGAATGGGTAGGGGTTTGTATTTGTATTTTTATTTATTTGAACTTTTTTGTGCTTTAAAAATAAAGTTTGATTGATTGATTGATTGTAACATAGTAGTATATTATTCAGATAAACACACTATTTAAATTAGCTTCTGATGTTTCCACTCATTTTACGAGGGATTATACTTTTAACTTGCTGAAAGATTTTGGCTTTTCTGCAGTCCTCTAAACAATTCACTGAAGACATCCAATCAGATTCATTTGTGCTTTTTGGAGCACTTGCAGCTCCGTGCTTAAGCAGGCTGTTCCTCGATGGTTATGTTGTTGGTCCAGGTCTTGCAGTCCATGTGTCCAAGTGTCCTTGAGTTAGACACTGAACCCCAAATTGCTCCTTTGCATTACGATAAGTGTGTGAATGTTGCTTAAGTAGCGGTTGGCAGCCTAACACTTGGCGTAGTGTCTCCTAGCATCTGTGCGTGAATGCGAATGTGAAGGGGTGAATGTGACACACTGTACATACGTGGTCCATTTACCATCTGCATAGACAGGCTTAGATCATGATTTTCAGTGTTTTCAAAAATGTCCATTATTAGATTTTAGTACAAAATACTGACGGGAGGTATCATCTCCATTTTGGTTCAAATCTTTTCTTTTTCCGTGAGCTAGAAGTTCGGTGTTCATGTCCAACCTCATTTGATGGACTCCAAATCCTCTCAAATGATTTCAGACTGGTCTCCCCATGTGCTCGGTGACTCCCCGCTGCCCCCTGATGAACCGTCTGATGAATAAATTCAATTCTCGCCCTCGCTCAGGGATTGTTAAGTTCTATTTCGCTCGAGTAAAGAAGAGCTGGTGTTGATTCGAGCACTTTGTGCTGCATGTGATCTGTGGCTTTACTCTGCAGCTGGGCTCCTCTCTCATCTCCCCTCCGTCTCTTTCTAACAATACTCTACAGCTGTTCTCCTCCTCCAAACATGTCTGCCCTCGCCTCCTCTCTGCCTCCCCAGCTGCCTCCCTCCATCTCAGCCGCACACAATATGAATATGTAAACACTCAGTGATTCAGCTGAGGAAGGAAGAGCTCCCGACTTTATTAACTCCATCTCCATCTCAGACGGAGGAGCCCTGAACTCTACTCCGTGAACTCCACGCTCAGTAAACACAGACGACTGAGCTGCAGACTCACATGGATGACTCGCAGAGACGATTCAAAACATTGTAAACTTTGATGTATTTGGTGCTTCTTGAGGACAGCCAGTTGTTTAAATTTCAGCAAATCCTATACATTACAATTTACTTCAAATTTGACCTCATATAAGTTTGTTCACTTGTGAGTAAACTAGAAGTGGTCTCTGTTGTAATATTTCCGCTGATTTGAAACTGTCAAGGATAGAGCCACATGTTACTCCATATACTGACTCATGAATAAGAATGACTTGTTATCACTAAACTAATACATTAATCATCACTGATTACATTTGGTTTTAGGGGATTTGATCTTCTCAGTAGGATAGAAAAGCCCTCGGATGACGCAGAAACACAGAGTTTATCTTCTGATGGCTGCTGGACTCACGGAGTGAGTGGATTTTACAGGAAGCCGTTCTACTTTTAGAGCTAATACTGTAAACACAACAATAATAAAGTGAATTAGACAGTGTGTTGGACCACTTCTGTCTCCTAAAGTGTGTTGAGTAGAAAATACAGAAAATAAAGTGACAAAGAACGACGTAAAAAGAAGCTAAGGAACGGGCAAAAGTTAGCTTTTATAGCCTGCCTTTTTAAATTACTCTAAATAGGGCTGTCCTGATATGATATTTGATATAGGATATTGGTCCGATATCAGCAAAATAAAACAATTATCAGATTATATCAGCCTGAAACTAAAATCTCCGATATCAGCGCTCAGATGCAAGCAGTCCATTCCAAACCCCACTTCGGCACCTCTAGCTAGCACCGCCCTGATCCAGCATGCAGAGCCCACAAAATCACAACAGTGTGTACTAAGGTACTAACATAGTAGCAAGGAGTAAGAGTGATGTTGGCTGTGTGGCAGTATTTTTCATTAAAGTCTGAAAAAGGCATTGCAGCTGAGTGCAAAACTTGTCATGCACAATTTTGTGCCAATATCGGATCAATGTCTGTATCGGCCGATACCGAAGGCTACAATATCGGTATCATATCAGAAGTCAAAAAGTTATATCGGGACACCCCTAGTGTCAGTGCTGTTTTCTTACATCGATCTTAACTCACATCGGCCAATAGGGATGATTTGTGTTGGTTTAATCCCTCCTGGATCAGATTTTGGCATAGAAGTGATTAAAAAATGCGAGAAAACTGAACATGAGGACTTAAAAAATTGACTTTCAGGATGCAAACCAAGCCAAGCTTTGTTACGGTGACTTTAAAACAACATCACAGCAATTTTTACTCCTTTGAAACCAACTGATTGTTTGTAATACATCTAAACCCCTAAATATATCTTTTGTAACATTTTATGGACACATTATTTCTAATATTCATAAATGTTCCAGTTTGGATATCAATAATTGACCTCAGGGAATAAAATATTGTCGGGACTCTATATTTTAAACATTTCATGATTTTCAAATCCAACCGTAACAGTCAGTGACCTGTTCCTTTTGGCCATGAATCCCTGACTTTTTCATAGCACTGCTTTCTAACTCGTTAAAAAAAATACACCCACACAGCATCAGTTTGTGAATTTCTTGACACCGGGATCATATTTTGTGGAGAAATGTGTTTTTATACAGGAGGATAGCTTCCCTGAAGTAACCGCCACCTCTGTGACTCAGTGGTAAAGTCAGTCGCCTCTCAATTGTCGGGTCGGCAGTTTTACTTCAGCCCCCATAATCACACCAGAGTGTCCTCGGGCGAGACACTGAACCCCAAATTGCTCCTGTTGGCAAAGCTGTAGGTGTGTGAATGGGAATTGTTAACACTGTCACGTCATCGACCGATGTTGTGATGAATCTGTGAGTGTGTCAGAGGGTGGATATGACATTTGGTGTCAAAGTGCCCGTCGTGGTCACAGTCTATGTGGCTTTAAAGCTCAGGCAGCAGTATCAACATAGCTGAAAGGAAATACAAAGCCATGTTCGGGACTTCACCTCCAACTAGCAGGCACCATTCAGCGCCCTCAAGAGGCCTGAGGGGGTTCTGTGGGTTATGACCATGTTCGGCAGGAAAACCAGCTCTCCAACAAACCTCCATCCTCTAACGAACAGCAGCTTCCCTCCAGGGTTTATTCACAGCAGCCTGTCCCTGCGTCTGCTCCTCAGCTTCTCTCTTAATGATATCTTCCCCGTCAGACGGGGCAGTATAATTCTCCTAAACACCAGACCGGGCTGCCAAAATGTGTCATCCTTCCTCTGTCGTCAGAGCTGGGGCCGGCACAGTCTGAGATGTTTGACAGATTTACGTCCTTCGCCGCGATCCTGACGTCTTCGAATGGGAACAAAAACATCATTCACTGACCGCCTGATCTCAACGCACTAATCCAGCTGCTGATACCAAAGCCTGCTCTGCTCTGCTTCACCTAACAGCAATAATTCAATCAGGAGTAGAGGTTGTAAAAACGTAAAAACAGACGAAATCTCAGCGTCTCAGTCTGCTGTATTTCAGTCTACGATAAAACCAGTCCAGCAGAAATAGCTGAGAGCTGCTCGGTGAATTCTCATCCTGGAGAAGCCGAAGTTTTCCCCGCAGGCTTCTCTTGACGGCTGTGAAGTTGACAGCAGGGGACAGTAATGATAGGAACCCTGCTGCACGGAGCAGTTTTAATGAAATATACTTTTTTCTGCACGTCAGAGTAGCACCCACGCTGCTCATTGACAGCCAGTGTTTGTGAAAAGCACAATCATCAAAATCAGGAGAGACAAAGCTAACCAAACTAAAACGGCCATTTTGAACAGGAGGGATCTCAAAAGACCAAAACTCGTCAGTTTTTCTAATCACTCCATGTGGATGTAAAGTCTTTACTCAGACCTGTAAGTGTTTCAGTATTCAGTCCCCCTGAAAGCAATCACACTTTCTGCTCCTGGTTTAAAGAGCCAGTCACAGGAACACAATAGACCACAATCGTCCAAGACAGAATGACTCATTCCAGGTTAAGATTTCAGAGCCAGAAATAAATGTACCTGATATTTGTGACATGGAGATATTTCCAATATCTGCCTGGAGAGACGTCTATTTTAGGTTTAAGTAGGTCAGAGAAAGAAGTGTGTGTATTACTTGGATGTATCGTATGTAGTCTACAAACATAAACAGATATGAACGCCTTTCCTCATCCTCATCCTTTCTGAAATACATTTTTACAAATCCTGAAAGCTCCTGGGAGGAACTTTTAATTCAATGTGGATGAAGCGTTACATTTGAGCCCCAGTCAGATCCAAGTCACTTCAGAGGAGTCCAAACCAAGTCCTCATAATAATCATTTACTAGAAACAGAGCAGCTCTCTCAGTCGCTGCGTTTACATGGGCACAAATAATCGGGATGAATGCCCAATCGGATGTAAACATGTCGATTGGAAGATTATGATCCAATTTGGCTCAATTGCAAAGAAATTGCATTCTGATCGAGAGGGGTGGTTTATGCCGATCGTTATTCCAAAATGTGTCCATGTACACACTAAATACAATTCTTCTTCTGCGGTTGTTTTAGCGAAATCAGACAGCTCTGCGAATGTCACCCGTATAAACAGTGGATTCAGATTTTCCGATCTCTCAAATTTTTAATCGGATCAAGAAATTTTGCACATGTAAACATGGTGAACCTGGACTGCATCTCTGGGACCTTTTGAGTTTGTAGAAAACACATTTTTAATCAACTTCATATTCTAACAAACTATATCAGTGTTCGTAGAAATTTAAATGATCACTGGAGATACAGCGGTGTGCGTTTCCTCTTTGTTTTTCTGTCGATAACAAACAATATCAAAAGGACTACAGCACTGCTTGTGGCTCATATAAAGACATTAAGCTGGAAAAACTCTCAATACGTATCTCAACAAAATCCATCACAATCATATCAGTATGCAGAACAGCTACAGGCTGCTTCACGCAGGTGTACGCTTGTTACTCACTGTTACGCCCCAGTCTAGGGGTGCCTAGGGCACAACATGAGAAGGCCTCATCATCCCCAAGTCCCAAGTAGCCACAACAACCGAGATTTCAGTTCAATTTAAAACACAGATTTATTTCAGATTTATCAGTAAATAACAAAAGATAGACAAAAGAACTAAGGCTGAATGACTAGACTTCAGGGTGGACCAAGGCCAAAACAACAACCAAAAATGATCCTGTCTGTGGAGTAATGCTAACCTAACCAAACAAAGGAAACAAATGACAAAGACTTACCTCCCTAACTAAAATACACAGGAGAAAATAATGTTAACAAAACTGGCAGTCCACCCCTACTACTAAAGAAAAACACAACACAATACACCATAGTCTTAAAGCTGCAAAATAGGGTGGCCGGTTGGGAGAGGAGGAGGATGAGGAACGCCTGGCCTCTGCACTGCACATGGTGGCTGCCATCTTGGTTCCTCATATAGTTGGTCTCAGCCAATCACCATCCAGGACGTAGACCAACCCACCAATGACCGCGTTGCTGTGGCACACACCTATTTGCATATAAGATTGACACAAGAAAACACAGGGCACACACACACACAGCAGACAGTCCACAAATTATGACCACAGTCATAACACTCACCGTGATCTATGTAGATTTAAACAGCCTGAAGGGTTTCATGTCTTTGAGAAAATATCAAAACAGTGTGGAAGTCTGCAGAAGGAGGAAGTATTTTGTGTTTGCAGGTAAAGAAAAATGCAGATAATTTAGAAAAAAATATATGAAGGTTAAAAGTCTGTCCTCCACACGGCGACTGATCTTCAGTATTTTCTTTTCATGGCACATTTTAGATTACAGCTCAGTCCAAGTGCTCATTCAGATTCAGCATTTTGGAGCAGGGTTTTTTGGAGAAGAGAGGCAGCGTGTCGGAGGTCTTTGTCGAGGAAGTACTAACATTTTGTATGAAATTTAAACGGGGAAAGGAGAGAGAAAGACGGGAATTAGGGAGGAAGGAAGAAACACAGAAAGAGCAAAAAAGGAGGTAAAAACCCGAACAACTGTGGAGGCTTTCCGAATCAAAACTTGCCGGAGAGGGTGAGAGAGAGGGGGGAGACAGAGAGTGGAGGGTAAAGTCTATGAGTCATGCTGAGAGATGAGGACAAAGAATTCAAGCAGAGAAAATTTATGGGGAATATGAGCTTCTGTAGAGTAAAAAAAAAAAAGACGAGATGGTGAGAAGAAGGAAGAGGAGGTTTATTAGTATTCTGTGAGAGGAGGGGAAGGAGAGACAAGAGGAAGGCGAAAAGGGGTGGGGGGTGAGGAGAGAAAGGGGGGAGCTGATAGGAGAGATGGGTGAGGAAAGGTGAGATGAAGGGGAGGAGAAGATAACGAGGGAGCAGACAAGGAGGAGAAATGTGTTTTTCTGCATACGAAGACAAACCTAGCTTTCTATTTATAGCCCTGTGTGTGTGTGTGTGTGTGTGTGTGTGTGTGTGTGTGTGTGTGTGTGTGTGTGTGTGTGTGTGTGTGTGTGTGTGTGTGCGTGAATGCATAATTGTACAGCTGCTAGCTCGTCTGTTTGTGCGACTGTGTGTTTGTGAGGGGACATACGTGGACAAAAGAGAGCGATGAAAGGCTTCTCCTCTGTGGACAATAGTCGCTAAATTGTATTGTAGTTATTAAAAAGAGGAAGACCACATGAGGAGGGAAAATGAATCCATGTGGTGTTTTTTATTTTTGTCATTTCTTTTTCCCTGCAGGACAGATGTCCTCACAAGAGTAGAAAAAGGAGGAGAATGACCATCTTTCAGCCTTTTTGAGCGAGGTAAGGCAGTTTTTTGTTGCAACAGGAATCCAATTAAAACATGAGCGGTAATGAAGCAAAAATATGAATATTGCCCTTCCTCAGCTGCCTGCTGAGCCCCCCCATCAAATGACCACCAATCAGGCGTGCCAACAATCTGTGCGGGACTCAGAGGACAAAAACTCAGAGGGTAACCGATCAATTTGAATCTAGAAGAAAAACAAAAAGTAGCAACTGGTGTGTGCCGCACAACTCAGCAGCTGTGCTCCCGCCAACTCTGAGGCGAGTGAGAGACAGAGCAAGCTGCCGGCACAAGTCACAAAGCCAGATGATGCTAATTTGTACTGAGTCTCTGTGATTGGCTAATTTAGTGCGAGCCAAACTGGATCAGTTTAGCAGAAAACCAGGACGCTGGTTTTGCTCAGTTGGCAGAGCAGGCGCCGCATGTTTCAGAGGTTACAGTCCTTCTCACACAGGCTGAAGGTTCGACTCCCTATACTGCACTTTCTGTTTCTCTCAAGCTCTTCTATCAAAATAAAGGCAAAGGCATGTGATGATTAAAATTTGTCATTTTAAACAAAATTATCGTGAAACAAAAGCTTCAACAACATCTGACTTTGTCTTTAATGACAGTAGCTGTGGCTGTTTTAAGTTAGTTTTTGTTTTTTGTGGCTCAGCTAGTTTCTACTGAAGAACCTCTTTAAAGCACGTTTAACCTTCCCCAAAGGAAAAGTAAGAAAAATGGTCTCCCCTCGATCAGAGATGAGGTCAACAGTTTAGCGGCGCTACAACACGCAGCAGGAGGTCCTGTTAGACAAGAAACACTTCTGTTACAGACACTTGTCTTACTTTGTTAAAGCGGTTTACCTGTCCAGCAGAAAGGTTACAGGGTCTGTAAGATCCCAAAGCGTCCCCCATCATTGTTGACCCGGCTTTTTAGCTCTTGTCCGGTCTACCTCCGTTTTAACCGCCCGTTATTCCACCAGAGTCTCTGGTATTTACTTCGTTTTCTTGCTTGTGTCGGCAGTCGTGGCCAAAGGAGGATTCAGAAAAATGTCCGTACATTCTGGTTGGTTTCTACTGTCTAATATTGTAGCATGCTAACTTTGTTTGGAGGACGTTATTGGAGGATGTGGAGCATGCCTCACAACCAATCAGGCTAAGGAAGGCAGAGAACGGCTTTGTTTACAGTCAGAAAGAGCGGGCCGCTCAAAAGTTTTAAAATGCTGACTCCACAGACATAACAAAACACAGTGATATCATTATACTCCTAAATGTCATTAATAACTAATAACTATTAACTGATATTCAAAGCTTTTTAGCAAATACACCACAAAAAACATTCTTCTTTAACGGATTCCTGCCTTCCCCACCTTTAACCCAAAATAACACCCAATTCTCTCATGTCATGTCATTCTGTCTCTATAAATCATCAGTGAGGAACTCACCAACATCAGAGCTCTGTCACCTCCACCAGGAGGCTGTGAGGGATGAGCTCCAGGTCAGGAGATGTTCAGTTTAAGTCTTTGTAGTGGAAGCGTGTGTGTGTGGAAGCGTGCGTGTGTGTGTGTGTGTGCGGACGCAGAGCAGGTCAGAGCGAGGTGAAAGCAGCAGAGAGGTGTCTGCTGGGTAATCCTGTCCTTGGCAGCCAGAGAGAAGGACTCACTCCTGATTACTAAAAGAGACCTCAGCACACAGGGTCTCCTCTGCAGGACAGGAGGGGCGGCGCACGGTGACATTTCATGATTCAATTTGTTGACTCTTGTGTAATGTAACAGCGACACTTTTCAAAGCCAAACAACAGCGTTTCACGGCTTATCTCTTAACCTTTCCGCAGTGACGAAATCTGGACTCTCCATGACAACAAGAGGATGGATCTGAAAGTGAAAAGACGTCTGGAAGCCCACTCTGGATGGTGCATCTCATCAAAGTGGTCCAGTCTAGTTTGGTTCAGTGAGGTATGTCATTTGGATGTTGGGGTACAAAGCAAACATATCCAACCAAAATATTACAAATCCTGATTTTACATCTACTCTGTGCAGCTACTTCAAAGTATTTTGGCTTTAAATATCTGTGAAATACACGAAAAGCTGTTTCCTCAGTTTGCACCAACAGGACATGTCCCATCGCACATAGCACTGTGTTTTCTCACTTCAGCTCCCTTGTGACATGACAGCATTCACATACAGATCTCATACTAAAGCACACACACACACACACTCACACGTATATACATGCACAAACAAACAAAGTTCAGCAGCAGCAGCAGCTTCACAGAGCTCACAGTAAATGGCAGAACGATTGATCCCACACTCTTGAGTCCGGCCCGATCGATACACTTTGTTTTCTACTCACAGCGTTGCCCCGCCGCTCGGCTCCCCGCTGCTGTGAAAAGGCCTCTGATGCTGCATTCAGGCTGGACGTCAGGCACCCGAAACCAAAACAAGCCTCTCCTGAGGGGTCGAGTCTCTGTGTCTCCGTGCATGCAGAGCAGGAACTAAAGCGATGAAATCTAAACTGTGAAAGCGCTCAGCTGGTTCGGAAAAGGCAAAGTCCTCTGTCCTTGTTACTCTGCAGCTTTTTTTTATCATACAAAGAACTACAGGGTGATTTTTTTACATTTTGCAGTCAGAATTTGAGCCATTACTATAAAGAGGATATAGAAAACAAGATTAACTTGCATACATCTTTAAATAGTCCACACATAAACACATTCCCTGATTTTATTTTTTTTGTATCTTCATTTTTTTATTTCTGCTTATCTTTTGTCCTCTCACATGATCAGAGCAGCAGACCTCAGACCGGCCCTGAGCCTCTGATTCTGCAGAGAGCAGCAGGTAAACTGCAGACATGACAGGAGGACGCCTCAGCACAAAGTCTGACAGAGCCTGAGACAGCACAACGCCCGCGTGAGAGAGAAAGAGAGAGAGAGCGGCAGGTGAGGAGCCATTGTTCTAACTCTCTGCGTGGTCGTCTGTCAGTCTGCCTTGCCTTCCCAATAATGGAGTTTTTCACAGCAGTCAAGAATAAACGAAGACCATTTCCTCTCACTTAGATAGTTACACTAAAAGGCTGCATTGATCACATTCACGGTAATCATATTCGTCTGTGTTAGTGCTCCTCCTCAAATGGTCCAACATTTTATTTAATCACAGTTTTTCTTCTGTCTGGTGTTTCCAGGAGCTTCAGGTCTGAATTCTGGGAACAACAGAGTCGAAACTACAAAGCAGACCTGTGATGTGTGGGTGGAGGCAAACCATCACAACCTAAAAGCATGTTACACTGACTGAAAAATCTTGAGGAAACGCCTCCTTAAAGGGATATTCCTGCGTAAATCACCGAGTGCAGCGGAAAATTTATGGTTTTTTACTTCATGGAAATACAGTCAGAGTTCTTGTGTATCTTGTATGTGCACTGCAGACGCGGTAGTTCTTCTGCCTTATCGTCTCGGTCTGATTGCATTTCTATGAAGTAATAATCATCAATGTTCTTCCTTGAGCTGCGAAACTCCCCTGCACTCGGTGATCGACTCGTCAGGACTCCCCCCACAAACAAGTGGCTGCTGGTGGAGAGTAGGTAAGTTGTGTTTCGTCTCTTTGCCAAAGAAATCAGGCAAAGCTAAAAAGATGTTTGGTGTCTAGTACTATGGCTGGGACCCTATACAGTGAGTCCAAGAAGTATTTGATCCTTTGCTGATTTTCTTCGTTTGCCCACTAATAAAGATGTGATCATTCTGCACATTTAATGGTAGATGCATTCTAACATGGAGAGACAGAATATCAAAAAGAAAATCCTGAAAAAAATCTAAGGAATATATATTAATTGATTTGTATTTCATTGAGGGAAATAAGTATTTGATCCCTCAGTATGCATTAGGAGTTCTGCCTTTCACAGACCAGTTAGACACTCCCAATCAGCTTGTTACCTGAACTGAAGCCACCTGTTCTCACTAATCACTTGTGTGAAAAACACCTGTTCACAGAATCAGACAATCTGACAGATTTCAAGTCTCCAACATGGGTAAGACCAAAGAGCTGTCTCAGGACCTCAGAGTCAGGATTGTTGACCTCCACAAAGCTGGAATGGGCTACAAAAAGATTAGCAAGGTGTTGGATGTGAAAGTAACAACTATTGGTGCAATTGTTAGAAAATTTAAAGAGTATAACATGACCATCAACAGACCTCGGCCCGGTGCTCCAAAGAAGATTTCACCTCGTGGGGTGACAATGCTCCTGAGAACGGTCAGAAATCATCCTGCAACCACTCGTCAGGAGTTGGTAAATGACCTGAAGGCAGCTGGGACCACAGTTTGCAAGGAAACAATTGGCAACACTTTGCGCAACAATGGATTAACATCCTGCAGTGCCCGAAAGGTACCCCTGCTCAAGAAGGCACATGTGGAGGCGCGCCTTAAGTATGCCAAAGATCACCTGAAAGATGAACCAAGTTATTGGGAGAAGGTTCTGTGGTCAGACGAGACCAAAATTGAACTTTTTGGCCTCAACTCTACCCGCCATGTGTGGAGGAAGAAAAATGCTGCCTATGACCCCAAGAACACTGTGCCCACCGTCAAGCATGGAGGTGGAAGCATAATGTTTTGGGGGTGTTTCTCTGCCAAGGGTACAGGGCTACTTCACCGCATCACTGGGAAGATGGATGGAGCCATGTACCGTACAATCCTGAGGGACAACCTCCTCCCCTCTGCCAGGAAGCTGAAAATGGGCCGTGGTTGGGTCTTCCAACATGATAACGACCCGAAACACACAGCAAAGGCAACAAAGGATTGGCTCAAGAAAAATCACATGAAGGTCATGGAGTGGCCCAGCCAGTCTCCGGACCTCAATCCGATTGAGAATCTATGGAGGGAGCTGAAGGTCAGAGTTGCCAAGCGACAGCCCACCAACCTTCCTGATTTAGAGAGGATCTGCAAAGAAGAGTGGGCCAAAATTCCCCCTGGTGTGTGTGCTAAACTTGTGGTCAATTACAACAAACGTCTCACTGCTGTGCTTGCTAACAAAGGCTTTGCCACTAAGTATTGAGTGTGTTTGGCTAGAGGGATCAAATACTTATTTCCCTCAATGAAATACAAATTAATTAAAACATATTCTTTAAAGTTATATTCTGGATTTTTGTCTTGATATTCTGTCTCTCCATGTTAGAATACATCTACCAGTAAACGTCCAGAATGATCACATCTTTATTAGTGGGCAAACGAAGAAAATCAGCAAGGGATCAAATACTTCTTGGACTCACTGTATGTCCTGTTGATGAAGTTAGGTGCTGTTCTGAGCATTATTTGTGGCTGTAGAGTGGCGTTTTGGTTGAGTTTTGTGCGTGGAGACATAGACCGCTATCGTATTGCTATCGTGCGGTCATTACTAAAGTTGGTATAACTAGAGAAGCAAGCAGTCGGCAACATTCATCTCTCAAGGGGGTGTCTAACTCGGTGTTATGGTGTGTTTGACCCTAAATTAATTTTACGCCAGAATATCCCTTTAAGTTGTCAGGAAATAGCTGAAAACATTTTAGTTCACTGGTGTGCCATTTTTGGTACAAATTTGACATGTTTTGGAAATTATATAGTATGGATCAAGAGTAAACATTTAACACATTGTCCTTTCAGTGTCCACATTTTCCTCATTATGACTGAAAGACTAGATGAAAACAAAGTCACCAAAAGGACATCCGAGCCTGCAAAACTGATGAAGTAGTAAAAAAATTACAATTCTCAACTTTTAGGATGAAAATCCAAACTCTTTTGAAACTATGATCACCTTTGAGAGCCAGACTCACCTCTTCATTATCAGGTGCTAAGAAGCTTATCTGTCCTTTTTTCGAATTAATTCATGAATTAAATACAAAATCAAATCGCTCGATAACCTCACGTAACCTAACATGACCTCAGAAAGAGTCAGCCATTTGAGTTTAAGAGGAAAATGTTGAATTAAAATGACGAATGAGCCACTGAGGAGACAAATGGAGGGAGGTAAGTAATTTAATAAACAGACATTTAACAGAGTAGTGAAGAGGAAAGCGTCCAAAGGAAGAACATTACTTGGGAATTTGGTGCAATTTTCCCCTGAAAGGTTTCTCTGAAATGTTATAAATGACTTTATTACCCCGGTAAATAAACCTTTAAATGTCGCTGTGTGGTTTCTAAATGTCACACTTCTCCAAAAAGCGCCTTTTCTTTCAGTGTGAACAAATGAACAACAGGACGGATGAATTATGAATGAATAATCCCACACAGCCTCCCTCAGCAGCATCCAACCCGTCTCATGTACCTGTCCTCACCTGGTCCTCTGCCAGTTATCCAGGCGTCCTCTCTGCAGAGCTGATTAGAGGCCCCTTCCTGTAACAGAGGACGAGACAAGGACGAGCGGCTCTCCGCCTGCCAGGAAAGCTCTTAGATTCAGTCATCCAGGCCGGTGCAGAGGAATGAAGACGGATGGTGTAATCCCGGGAGGAGACGGTAGGTTAAACGTTGGCCTGAGAGGAGACGGACACACAGAGTTTTATTTAAGGAGATCATCACAGACCATTACTTTGTGGTTATTATCCACTCGGCTTTTTAAAGTGTGACTTTCTTCACCTTTGAGTCGAGCTTTTTTCCGCTTTTAGATGTTATTGTCGGTTCATTTTGTTTTTAAAATTCCTGAATGCACTTTGATTCTCATGGTTTAGGTCCCCCGCTCACTGGAGGGCGCCAAATAGCAGTACAGTAGAGTAATTTTACCACCTGGACTGTGGAGATTTCGTCTTTCTGCTCAGTCACTCAGGAAACAGTTCAAGTGTTTCTCTCTCATTGCCATCCTCCTCCTTTCCTCCTTTTCTTCTTTCTAGAGTGTCAATCGATCCGTTCACACTTCTTTCTTTTTTTCATAAAACTCTTTTTCTGAGTGAACTTCAAGTTGTTTCAACTCATATTTGTATTATTTATTTTCTAAGCCCTGCTGAGTTTAACTATGTGAGCAGTGTAGCTCTTAAAAAAAGCAACCGTAGCCTCTCAGTCAGGTTCCGATTTTGATGTTTCTGATATTTTGCTCTGTTTGACCAAATATCTGCAGCTGGCTCACAGCAGCAGCAGCAGTTCTCTGTTATTATAGTTATAAAAATGGATGAAAACAGGCCGTGGTTGTGTCCGCTGTCGACTGTAAAAATAAAGGATTGGATGAGGCAGGTGAACAAAATCAGTTTATTATGGAAAAAAAAGGATGTGGCACAAATTTCACAGAGAAATAACTATAATCCACCATAAGCAAAATATTAACAAGCAGCAGAGACCTGAAAAAACATCCAAAATGAAAATGAACATTTCAATATTGCAGATGTCCGCTGTAGCTCATAAAACTCTGATGTCAAACTGAACTCTTACTGAACTGCTGGGTTAGATCATTTTATTTTAACCCACCTGGTTCATTTTCAAACATTCTGTCTTGAGGGCAGAACATTACACTCAAGTCTCTATTTTTCCAAAGTCATTGTTCAGTTTTGCCTTTTCTAGACTTAGACAGACGGGAAATACACAGGAGTCAGAGTGGAGGGATGAGCCACGAAGATGCTGACAGGCTCTGCGTTGGTCGTCTTGGTGGCTCAGCAGGTTTTTTCGCTCGCTCGCGTCGTCTGGATTTAGATCTTCTTCTTGACCTTTGTCGTTCCTCTGTTTTTTTTTTTTCCTTTCTCACATTTTCTGTCACATCCCCAGCTTAATGAAGCTTAAAATGGAATTATAAAAGGTCATCTCCATAAACAGTTTGAGCCTCCTGCAGAGACTCAGATTGGATCATTTCATGGAAAACAGAGACGGGGGGGGGGGGGGGGAAATCAAAGTGCAAAACCTTTTCAGTCAATTTCCTGTTTTATGTCTGTAGCTTCTGATGTTTTTATATTTCTAATCTGTTTGAAAAGTCAGAGATATGTAGTGATGTTACCATTGTTATTAAATTTCCAGGTGGTTAAGATCAATCTGCATCAAACAGGGCGGGCTTAAAGTAAAATAGTTGAGCTTCATTGTGCCAATTATATAGATTTTAATTAGAGTGGTTTATTGATTTTATTTCCTGCACACATTAGCTTTGATCCTGTTGCTTAAATACACAGGAAACAAATCAATAATCAAGATTGAATCATTGATATTTTGAGATTGATGATGGTTTTCAAATTAGACAATTAAATAATCATTTACGATAAAATGTTTCATGTTAAAATATACCCAGTGCTGTTATGAGATCGATTTTACTGTAAGTTTAAGCTCCACTGTATTTCCTTTTTTGCATAATTTTTCAATTGATGATCTAAATGGCAGAAATACCGATGACAAATTTAAGAATCTGGGCTGTATCCGTTGTGACTCTCGCCTTTTCTTTATATATAAAAAAACAAAAACATAAATTTAAAATAATGTACATGCAGTTTGCAGTACAGACTCCACATTTGTTATTCTTACTGTTTCAAGCAGAGGGCGCCATTTACCCATTTAAGTCCCATCAGGCTAAAGCAACAGTTCTCCCACTCACCACTTGGGGCACTATTTAGACAGCTGACGATCAACATGCCTATGTAAATGAGCAAAGAATGCATATTATGAAAAAAAATGAAGCTAGTGAAAATATTTGAATCAATAACAGACTTTTCTGACACTTACACTGTACAAAAAATTCACTAAATTCAATGCTGCTGATAATCACATAAATGGCTAAGGTTGTATTTATATTAGAAAAGCCTTTTGTGCATAAGAAATACTTTTTTTTTCCAAAAAATTGCAGTGGCAAATATACAAACTGAAAGCTCTGATAGTAAAAAAAAAAAAAAACTATTATTGGTTCATAATTTTTTCATTGCACTTTTCTGATGCGCCCACCTTTAAGATTTCGTATGCTAAATGTGACCTTTGTTAAAAGGGACATATGAGTTAACCTTTATCTCAGCAGCTCATGTTATAATGAAAGTTCTGCCCACATGACAAAAGTGATCCGAGAGCAGGCAGAACGGTCCAAATGAAACATACAAGGTTCTTGCGATACAAATTGGTTTTCTTCAGACGGAGCCGGTCTGAGAATCTGTCTCTTTTCACTGTCAAACTCTGTGAATCTGAGTGAATTTTAAAAACAGCTCACTTTCTCGGAAAAGAACAGCAGCAGCGTGACACAGAATATAAATGTAAGCTTGTCTTGGAGGAAGAGTTTAACTCAGATGCGGTGAAAATCAGCCTGAAAAGCAAAAAAATAAACTGAAGACTGTATTAAAAAGAAAAATGGAGGAGAAGGAATATGAAGAAACTACACCGAGACAGGAGAGAGCAAGACCTGAATTACTAACAAAGCGTGTTAGCACATGGCAGCCAGGTGTGATAAGGCAGGAATTCAGCCTTTACTAATAACAATGCAGCATTTCACAAGCTAAACTGTAAATATGTGCTCCATTACACCACACCCAAACAAAAGACCCACATTAATCTTATCTCAGTATTAGATTCTAGCTTCTTTTGTGAGCTGTGCAGATTTCGTTCACTCAGACTAACCTGCTTTTATATCTTGTTCTCCAGGCGTTTTTCTCCAGACGTGCTGCTGACCTTTGACCGCGACCGCTGGTTCCTGGCTCACCGTGTCGTCCCGCCAAATGTCACACCCTTTGACATATTGAGACTATACGAAGAGAGGAGCGGCTTAGTGCAGGAGAAGGTTGGATGCCGTATTTATAGGCTGACCTTTACTTCACCTCACACTGACTGACTTAAAGGACTGTATGTTCATGGGACTGGAGCATTGTGGGCACACAAAATGGCACAGGTTTGGGTCCCATGTATGACTTATTGTTGACTGGCACCACTTTCTCAGACCAGAGAAATAATTAATGTATTTAATTTCGCTCTTTAAAGAAACGTAATAAAACCTGAGCGTATGCCGCTAACATCCATGAACCACGTAGCGTTTACAGAGGTAAGATGATGCTGCAACTGTGACCTCAACCCTTAGTTTCTGCACCCTTACATTCAGCGTTTTGGCTGCACTGATGCATTTTTCAAGGTTGGATTTGCATTAAAAGTCTCACTCTTGGTTGACAGATTCTCACAAAAGCAGCCTGTCAATTGCAAGTAGCTAACCCACCTAAATCTTACTTACTTTACTGTCTGTTTCAATCAAACTAGCAGGTAAAATCACAAACTTAAGATGAAAATGTTAACTTGCTGATAAAACCAAATGTGGGTTTAAGCTTGTATAAAATTAATCTCACAGACTGCATTTAAGCAGAGAAATCATCCTCAGGTTTAGGTGAAGCAGAATTAAAACTTAAACATGTGTTCTCTTAATGGCCAGCAGGGGGAGACTCCACTGTTTGTAAAATATGAAACCAGACTGTAAAACATCCATTTAGAAACAGAAAGATGATTATTATTGGGAAAAACTGTGGGGTTTTTTTTATAACCAAACATTTTATAATTTCAAAACTACACATTTGTGATTTTTTAAAGACATATTCCCTGTAGTGACAACCTGAAGACTTAGAGTTAAGACCAGAAAACAGTCAAAACTTATCACTTATTGCTGCTTTTTCCTTTTCACAGGATTTATTAACAAGATTGTAAAACCAAACTTAATTTGGGACACAAATTTGATAACTTTGTTTTTTAAATAAAGGTCTCAGTCATCCGTGACTTCTTCCTGTAAGCTCATTCATACACTTGCAGCTGTAATTTAAAGATCACCACTTCTGAGTCAGTGTCATGTTAAAGAAGATGTTTCATGTCATGTTGTGACAGGAGATTTTAAAACTCTTCTGTTTATTTTGGCACACTCAGTCCGGTGGTAATAAACTGCCCTGCAAACACTATTAATAATAGACCGGACAGATGTTGCTCCATTGTGTCTGAACAGCGTGTTGACAGATCGTAATGGATGGGATTTATGGTCTGTGGAGATCTGGCCCCGTAGACTGATTATCTAAGAATAGACTTGGTCGGTCTCTGTGTGATGGACATACAGGAGATTCAGAGAGACAGCAAACTTAATCAACACGAGCGTTAGTGCATGTCACGTCTCCGTCTTTATTTAATTATGGAACTGAAGCAAAGGGAGCTGAAGTTTCCCTTCACCTTTATATGAATAAATCGTAATTTTTTTGTTATATTCTGCGAGGATTAACATTTAGGAAACATGGTGGCAATGGGAGTGATGTCTTGACCTTTCTTCTTCCACTTTTGATCAACAAATTAAGTCTATTTGTAATTTTAAATAACTGAGTAGTCATGCCTTATTCTCACGTTTACATCATTTTCTGCAATTCCTTCATGACTTTGTGCAGCTGTTACATGAGGATATATCTGTCATGTGGTGATTGTGATTCAACACACCCTCTTTTGCGTTAGTGGCTGCATGTTTGCATCAACAACCTCTTGAGACATATCCTCATCAACACACCCAGCAGGCCTGCAGGTATCAGGACAACAAGAACTTCAACGTACCAAGAAGTCAACATTTCTAATTTAAACTTAACCCTGATTTATCCTGGAATTTTCCCCTCCATAAAGAAGCTCATGACTATTAATAACCCGTTTAAAAGCCAAGCGTATGTTCAGTGTAACGCATGTTCAACTGTTTGCCTGGCATTCAAACTATATCTGCATGTCCTGAGGGAGGGTAAAACTGAAATGACTGAGGCAGTTCGAAGCGTCCTATGACATTTACCCTGCATGTCCTCTCTGTGCATGCTGTGGTTCACGTATCGGCTGGCTTTGCAGCATCACATGACTTACAGTGTCATTCATTGAATATGAGACTGGATATGCAGATAGTGAGGGGCCAGACTGAGGTCTGATTTTGGACCAGGGACCACTGTAAAGATCAGCTCTATGAAAAGCTTCCATCTCTATATAGTCTGGGTGTGAGAAGTTATTGGTGTGCAAAGTGATGTTTGTGCCGCCAGCGGTTTTTATTTCTTAATCAATAGCAGTAATAAAGATTTTATGCTCAGAGTTTGTGAGAGGACCGCTGCTACAGTGATAAATAAGCGGTAAAGAAATCAATACTGAACAAGTTAAACTGTCAGTAAAGACAGTCAGAGTGGAGCCGTTTATGGGATTTGCAGTTCACTGGTGTGTAACCAACCATCATTTCATGGTTATTAAAAAGATGGTTCTGAAAATGTTATTAAATAATATGGTTTAACCCCTCAGTAAGTCCTTAAAAGCTTCGAGCGAACGCTATGAGTATTAAATTATCATTTCTTGCTCATGTAGTTAAAGAAAAATGTGTGGTATCGTCTTAAAAGTCCGCTTTGGTCTGATGAGATTTAAATGCCTAAATTCCTGATCCAGTGGCTATTGTGAACATCATTAACGTTATCGTAACACATCAAACTTGTTTTCCAGATTAATTTTGCTTAAAAGTTAGCTAGTCTAGCCATACAAGCTGTGTTAGCTAACATTGACCACAGTAAACCAGGTTATAGCAGCTAAATAAACAATCAAGAGTGCATGTTTATAGATGCTTATTGCACTCAATAGAAAGAAATAAACCTGTTTTTCTGTATTAAAAGGTAGTTGGATAAGTTTTTGACTGTTTAGCTTTAGCTAGCATTTATTTTTACCTTTAAATAATACCGCACACCAGAATAAGCAGCCTCATACACTAGTACTGTCTAATTTATCTTCATGCTATCAAAAAACTGGTGATAAGATGATTTGGGATCAACTTTAAACAGGTATAAAAATGCGTAAATCTGTTCTGGATGTTTCCATCAACTCTTCACGCGTCCTTGACATTCCGTTAGGGGGCGTGGCTTCGCGGTGCGCGGCGAGTATAAATCTCGGTGACGCCTCCGCTCGTCCCCGCTCTCACTTCTCCCCCCACAGAGGAAAAGCTGACTGAGGTGCCTTCACAGACGGTGAGTGTGAACTTTTAATCACTTTAAAGTTTCAGTGTTTACTTCAAGTTTGTGCAGAGGAGGAATTAAGAGGGGGAAGTTTAGTTTTTACACAGACTATCAAAATAAAAGTTTGGAAACTCGATAGTTTTACATCTGTATGCTCTGTTATTTCAATGACATCCTCATCCTCTGAAACTTGAGATAATTTACTGTAATAATGTTTATTCTCCTAATTTCTCTTTTAGGTTTTTCAGGGTAGTATGTCTAAAGTGTGTGTAATTTTTTATTTGCAGTGAGGATTAGACCATAACAGACAAAATGGTGAAGATTGGAATCAACGGGTGAGTTCATGCAGATTTTATTATTTTTATTTTCTTATTTTAGCCTTTTAAAAACACCCTAATCTGGACATAAGGATAAAGTTTTCATTGAAGTATGTGCACTGCTTTGGAAACTTCTTGAAAGTTGTAGATTTGTGTTGTAGAAGGAATAGATATCTGAGGAGTCTGTGAAGTAGTCATGAGACATACTGTATATTGGTATGAATGTGAATTAATCAGCAGCAAAACGTGGAAAATTTCAGTAATAGAGTCCTCATTTATTGCACTTGTTCTGCAGCTCTTCAGTGTGCACTTCAGGTGTCTATTTAGTATTAGCAGTGTACAGCAGATGCACCACCAGGGTGCATTGGCCCTCTTTATATTCTGTATGAGTTGCATGCAGACATTCTCATTTCCTAAATTGGTAATGATGCAGCACGAATTACAGTGTTTTAAGTGCAAAGATCTTCAAGAAACAAGACCCCAACAATGTTTCTGTGACCTTGAAATGATTATCTTAAAGTAGGTTTTAATTATAAATTCACTCAAAGTTCAAAATAGAGGAAATTGAAGCGAATAAAGTGATCCAGTAAGAATCTGATACAACTTTTTGTCAAGTAGATGAAGTCTTAGCGGCATGATAAGACAGAATATGAGTACTTTGCAAACACCCCAGCTTTGCTCCAGCCCTCATTTGTGAGATTTTTAAGTACTAAACTCAATATCTGAGTTTTTGAATAACTTTTCAAAGAAAAATAAATCATACAAATTACCTAATAAGTTTTCCTGACAGCGCCTTAAAGTGTCATGGCTAACAAAAAAAAAAAAAACAGTACTTAAAAATAATGATGCTACATTCCAGTCAGTCTCAGGTGTCTGTGGATCGTCTGCAGAGTGACATAAATCTGTGAAGAGTAGCTGCAAACTTTCATGATGGGAATTCTTTATTTTCTCTTTTTATTCAAGTTTTCTCTGTGAAAGTTCTGTTAAAGTGACAGGAGAGGACTCTGGACAGGACCCGTCTATTCTCTGGTTATTTATAGTCCGGTGGTGTTGTGGTGTCACGGTTGGCGTCCCCTCTTCTTCCACACCCTTCAGAGAGACCTCCCCCCTCCTCCCCTCCGTCTGTATCTCTGCCCCTCTCAGCTGTCACATTCCTTTTATTCTCCCCTCGTCTATTTTTAACTCTCTAACCTTTCAGCTGAAGTTCAGAGATCATCCGGACGGCTTTTATTTTTTTATGGACACCGCTCTCTCGACGTGGAGATCACCGGCGAAACGTTTCCTCCTCCTCTGTGAAACAGCTGCTGTCAAGCTGCAGAGAGATTTAGCGCCTTAATCCTGGATCTGTACCAACACCAACACTGGGCCTAGAAACAGAAGACGGGCTCGGGTCCATTTTGGCCTTCTGGCTTCTTGGTGACTTCCCAAAACTAACTGAGGAGAACCGCGGGGTCCACTCACATCAATCCTCCTTTGAAGACGTGTAGACTTCAAGTATTTTATAAATGAAGGTCACCGCTTCAACTGCATCCATCCTTCATCCATCATTCAATCAGTCAGTGATTTATTTACACAACAGAGTGTAAATAAGTTATTAGACCTGACTGTTTCTTTGATACAGAGTCAATCTAAGATCTGCAGTTCACACCCATCATACCATGTCATGAAGCAGTACTTGTAGTTAAACGCCAACGCAGGAGTAACGTAACATTAGCAAACCCCAACTCTGTCCTCGGGAGAGCGAAAAGACCAGAAAGCTTAAGGAGGATGTCTTTGAACTTGTCGATTTGGAGAGTGCAGGATATTGCTGTAGTTTGGATCCAGAGTGTGTCTCGCCACCTTGACTTTACATTTCAAACATTGTTACCTTTACTTTTTGTGTCTGAATATTGAATTAAGAATGAGCTCTTACAGTACTCTGGGTAGGAGTTTAATTTTATGCAAATACAAGTATCAGAGTGTGACTTGATATTGGCAAATAATTGATATAGTTTTAAGGACCATCCTGAAAGACAAGCTAAGCTGGGCGAATATTTGCAAAAGCTCAACAACCAGCCTCTCGTGACGTCCTGTGTCTGCTTAAGAAGAGTGAAACTTGATTAAAACTGTTTTGTAATTTGTCTCAGGAACTCTCAGTCAAAACATCTCTATTCCTTCCCTGTTTGTTTTTTAAAGCTCTTAGACAGAACACAGTATTTTATCGTTACAAAGATGTTCCTGATGAAAATAACAAGCTGCTCAGTTTACACGACAACTCACTAAACAGCCCGTTAAAATTGAACTTGCTGCAGCCGTGACCTTCCACCATGAATGACAACCAAAGCTGATGATGTAACTTCCTGCTGCACTCTGACCTTTCTTTAGATAGACGCGGTCTTTAATGTTGGCATGCAGGGTGCGTGATTGTCTCTGTAACAGCAGAGTAAAGTTTCAGACCGCCACATGAGAATTTACAGTAATACTGTAACGTGACTCCTGAGAGATGGAGATGTGAGATGTTACGAAACAACTCAGACGGTGTTTAACTCGTGAATCAGAGGCAACTTTTCATTCATCTCTTTGCTACGCTCAAGGTTATTTCAGACTATAATTACAGTTTATACCTTTAATTTTTGTGTTTTTGTTTAGTGTCAAGTTTGTGCAGATATGAAAACCTTTCACACAAAACGTGACACAGAAAACAAAGACTTGGCACTATTTGTTAATTAAGCCATCATATATCTTTTCCATCAGAGGGCACTTCCTTCTCACAGCTAACGATGCTCTCAACACTGTCTGCAATTAGTCTGCGATGTACAAAACATGAACTATTTATCACTAATAATATCTGCTGCATTCAGAGTACACTTGCATGGTCACGTTGCTACAAAACTTTCCTCATCAGCTCGACAAATGCAGTTATCAGAGTTATTTGCACCTGTGTTTGGTGTTGACAGAGGTTAGTTGGACTGAAAAGGAAAGGTCTTTTCTGCGTGACTGCAGCTGTCTGCTCTGTGCTCTGCTAAAGGTTAAACACTTTGTTCAAATCAGATAATAATTGCAGGAGCATGAATTGTATGAATTGCAGCTGAAGTTTACTTTTCATGTTGCAACTATAACTACGTCAACCTTTCAGATAATCAACCCACCGAGGAGGTGGTTTGGATTTGAGCTTCTTGATTGTTTCTTATCAGAGAGCTGCTCTTGCCTCGGTCGTCATGCTGGGTGAAACTGTTAGATATGTCGAATCAGCTCAGCTCCTGTCTGGACATTTCTTCCCTCTGTTAGGTCTCCTCTCCTCTTTCAACTCCTTTGACCTGCTGTAACAGCAGCCATATTAGGCATAAACAGGCTTTGTGCTGCCGGTGCCAACTATTGTTATCTTGAGTCAAGGTTGGCAGGCCTTGTATGGCGCTGCTGTCTCCGCCGCTGCAGCCTCCAGTTGAAGGTTGGAGTTTTAGTGCCATCTGCTGGTCCAAGAAGAGAAGTGTAGTCTGGTTTTTGCACAAAATACAAAAGGTTTCTACAGGGGATGAATGAAGAGCATGGAGCCGGAGAGACTTTCTGACACCTAAAATTACATATTTGACATTTTATTGCGCTTTAAAGCAAAAAGAGTTGAAACTCAAGTTATTTAAAAGGATTGCTTTTTACCAAAAATAACCCAAAGAGAAACCCAATGAAATCAAACATGATGTTACATATGTGGTGTTTTTTTGTTTTAACATTGACTTCATCCTCCTGGGTTTCAGATTCGGACGTATCGGCCGTCTGGTGACCCGTGCCGCCGCCACAGGAGGCAAAGTGGAAGTCGTGGCCATCAACGACCCCTTCATCGATCTGGACTACATGGTAAGAAAACTCAAGTCAACTGTGGGTGAAGGTTGAATCCCTTCAGTGAAGTTTTTGAAGCATTGATGAATAAAGAAGTTTTGATACCTACCAGCTGGACTTTGATGCTACATCCTGCAGTTATACTCTTATCAGTTTTCATGTCATTAAAATGCATATTTTTCTTGAAGGTGCAAGACCAAAATCACCAAATCTTGCTCTTTTCAGGTCTACATGTTCAAGTATGACTCAACTCACGGTGTGTGGAGGCATGGAGAGGTGAAGGCCGAGGGCGGCAAGCTGATTGTTGGAAACATGCACATCACAGTCTACCACGAGTACGTGTCTTAAACTTTCAGATTCAGATGGATACTTAGTCTTTTTGCTTGAAGAGGCTCTACATCAAGTTGTAGAGATAGGGATGTCACATTTATATCAAACATTTAAAGGATACTCCAAAATATGTCATCATTCTTAGTAAAAATACAGACGTAGGACAAATGAGCATTTACTGTTCTTTAATATTTCACTAAACTAAACCACAGTAGTCATAGATGTCAAGCTCTAAGTGATTTAAAAGGATCTACGTGGTGGTCTGCGGGGTGTAAATTGTGTTTAATCTCTCCTCTTTGTGATGCTTCTTCAGGAGAGACCCCGCCAACATCAAATGGAGCGATGCTGGCGCTGACTACGTGGTGGAATCCACCGGTGTGTTCACCACCATCGAGAAAGCCTCTGTAAGTTTACCAGCTGATCCCAGGATGGTTAAAGCGTGGATAGTGTGAAAGAATTTTAGTGTTAATTTAAAAAGGATTCCAAGTCTTTGTTTTTAAAGTATTTTGTGTGTATATGTATGTGTACTTAGACGTGTTCTTGGTTCCTGTAGGCTCACCTGAAGGGCGGAGCTAAGAGAGTGGTGATCTCCGCTCCCAGCGCTGATGCTCCCATGTTCGTCATGGGCGTCAACCACGAGAAGTATGACAACTCCATGAAGGTTGTCAGGTAGGTCTCTGGATAATAAAACTATAAAGTCTGAAAAGTTTAAATATTTCACTTTTTTAGACTTCATGAATGTCAAACATCTGTAGTTCTGACCTGGAGGATTTTTCTGCTCGGTGAAAAAACCTCAAATGTCAAACCCATCTCTGACTAAACTGACCATTTATTCACTTCTCATACAAGACCCAACATAATCCTCTTTATCTCCGGTAAAATGCGTTTTCCTCTTGTCTCCATAGCAACGCTTCCTGCACAACCAACTGCCTGGCTCCCCTCGCCAAGGTCATCAACGACAACTTTGGCATTATTGAGGGTCTCATGGTGAGAAAAGATGTTTCAAAGATTAGAAAATTTACACGACATGAAAGTTTGAACTAAATTGTCTTTTCCTCATCAGACAAACTTTGGACCTTTCCTCAAACGCCACGTCACCTTCTGCTCTCTCTTTTCCAGAGCACAGTCCACGCCGTCACCGCCACACAGAAGACCGTTGATGGTCCCTCTGGTAAGCTGTGGAGAGATGGACGTGGAGCCTCTCAGAACATCATCCCCGCCTCCACTGGAGCCGCCAAGGCTGTGGGCAAAGTTGTTCCTGAGCTGAACGGGTACGATCGATTTTTCTTTTGTTTTTTTGACATTTGAAATCTAAGGAAACTCTTTGCTTTTCGACCAACTCTTCGCCATCTTATTTTTACAGAAAACTCACCGGTATGGCTTTCCGTGTCCCCACCCCCAACGTCTCTGTTGTTGATCTGACCGTCCGTCTGGAGAAACCCGTAAGATTCCTTTTACCTTTTTAAAACAAGCTTCATCGATAAACAAGTTTACACTCAGCTTTCTGTGTCTCATGTCTCATTTCCTGTTCATCAGGCCAAGTATGACGACATCAAGAAGGTCGTCAAGGCTGCTTCTGAGGGACCCATGAAGGGAGTTCTGGGATACACAGAGGACCAGGTAAAAAAAAAAACTCAACATGTGCCGTCTTCTTTACATGAAATAGACATGAAACCAGATTTACTGTAGGTTATATTCTGAATGAGTTAAACGTGATTCACAAACTTATAGCTGAAGTCTTTGACCGCACACGTGCAGAGATGAACAGTTTTGCTTCTTTCCACTCAGGTTGTGTCCACAGACTTCAACAGCGACCCTCGCTCCTCCATCTTTGATGCCGGCGCTGGAATCGCTCTCAACGAAAACTTTGTCAAGCTGGTTTCATGGTAAGAAAAAAGAGCGTACTGTGGCGGGATCACTTCTTCCTCTGGACCAGTAGAACTTGATCTGATTTTCCACCTCTTTTAAGCTCAAGAAGCTGGAAAACCAGATCAAGTTAAAGAGGTTGTTAAATAAAAAATCATTTAAAGCTCATGTGAGGAGGAAAGACGACCTGCTTTTGATGGGACAGGTGTCTTCAGGTGAACCACAGTTCCTCCCTCGCTCTGTTCTCAGCCTCCTCTCTCATGTCCCTCTGCAGGTACGACAATGAGTTCGGCTACAGCCACCGTGTGTGTGACCTGGTCCTGCACATGTTCACCAAGGAGTAAAGTCTTCAAACGACTCATCCTTTCTTCCCATGATTCCCTCCTCCCTCACCTGTAACTGGATGCCGTGCCATCCGTCCTCGGGAGCAAGCTCTTCTTCGACAATCGTCTGGCTGATGATAAAACATTTTTTATGACAAAGTCACCTCTGTTCTGTCCGGCAGTGAGGACTGCAGCAGACAGTGTGTGTAGAGGTGATTGGTATTGTTCTGAATGATCTTGTTGCACTGAACATGCACAGTGTCTCCTTTGCACTTAACATGATAATAAAGCCCTCCGATTGTGGAAAGACCTCAGGCTGCTGTTGTAAATATTTACATCCATGACACATGGTCCACCCCCATATTTGTCTGGGTCAGTTTATGTATCTGACACTTTGAAACCAACTTGCCTGTTTATTTTGTTTTATTTCAAGTATTATGTTCTAAAATACACAGTTACATGTGATTGTCCAATGGGTTTAGGATAGCAGAGCTCGATTCACTTTCTGCTGCTGATGCTGCAAGCAAACTCTCAACACTCGACTTTGTACACATAAGAACAATTTCTGCACAATTTACCACCTCATTTGATTCTGTTGTTATTGCATTAGCAGCAGAGCTTCCCTTTTTTCTTACACTTTAAAAATGGGACAAACCAAAACACTCAGATTAAACCCATCAAGTATCCTATGTGACCTGAAGTCCGGCCTCATATCCAGGATGACACTGAACAAAGTCTGGCTGGAAGAAGAGAGAACAAGCTGGACTTGAGTTGAAATTCAAGTCCGTGAAGACATTTTTCAGGGAGAAACTGTGTCCCTGCAAAAGTCCTTAAGAACACTAGAAGTTTTTTATTTGTGTTTGGACTATTGGGAGGAAGGTCATGAGAGGCAATGTCTTCAAAAAGGGTCGAAATAACCTTATGAAGGCGTTCGTGTTTTGAGGCGTCTCTGAGCGCTTTTTCAGAGTCTCAGTTATACATTCAATAACTGGTTTAAACTGACAACAACTTCAGTTCCTAACAGCTTTGACCACAAACTCTCTGAATATTTTGATGGCATTTGTATTTTTCCAAAACATGAAGAATCCAAATACTTGTTTTCACATGACCACTAGATGGAGTCATTCACTGACAACCCGTCCAGAAGGATCCTGCAAAACCCGGTCCAAACTCTACTGAAGGTATGTTTATTATTAATGAACATCTACCCTAGATTTGAGCTATTTGAGGCAAAGATCAAGTTTTAAGCTAATTATTAATAAACAGGCAGCGAGGAAAGATCCTGGATTTGTTTTGACTCGAGATGTTCATTAGCTAGACTGTTGTAATAATTTTCAAGCCGGTCATGAGATTTCTGTAACATGTGAGGCGCTGCAGTTCAGTCATTTACAGGGGAGAGTCTGTTCTTGAAAACCTAAACATTTAAAAGTATTTAGGTGTGTCTGAAGTGATCTCACCCACGGGAGGAGCTAGGTTGATACACATCAGGGTAAAGAGGAGGAACCACTTAGAGATCATCTCCTTTTACCTGCGATCCCACGGGAATTTTAGTTCACTATGTAAAGTCAACACATCTGAGAAGGGACTAAACCTCCAACCTAAACATGAGGACTTTGGTGCTGCTGCTGTTACCTCTGTTCAGCCACTTTGCATACTCAGGTAAAATTTTATTGACGTATATTTAAAGTAGTCAAACCAGAACCCTAAACACTGTCTAGTTTTATGAGTCATGTCTGAGCAAAGACTCTCAGCCATCCTGTATGTTGAAAACATAAGAGTGCTAAACCTAGCTAGCTTTAAATAATATTTAAAGAGTTTGAAGATGATGTTTTTAACATGATACTGAATGTATAAACTTTGTTGTACAGCCAAACACTCCCTGAAGTTTATCTACATTGCTTCGTCTGGAGTCCAGAACTTCCCAGAGTTCATCGGGGCTTCAGTTGTTGATGAAGCCATGGTGGTTTACTGTGACACAAAGATCCATATCAAACAGGACTGGATGAATGAAGTGTTTGAAAAAGATCCTCATCATTTGGAGATCTACACTCAAGCATGTCTGGAGAGCCAGCGAAACTACTTCAAGGAAACCATCCACAGCTTGAAGTGGCGCTTCAACCAAAGTGAGGGTGCTGTGTTTTCTGCACTTTAACAGTTCTCCGGTTTATTGTAATGTTAGGATTAAGTTGTTTTTTACATTACCTAGCAAAGAAATATAAATCCATGTAATGCACATGTGCTGATTTGGCTCTATCACTACCAGTCAGTCAGCATACCTTCGTAATAGCTGCAGGTTAGACATGCTGTCAGGCGTGTCAGACACAAACTCATCCTGCGCCAGACAAATTTAATTTCTCAAGTCACACAAGAGTCAAAATAGCTGCACAATTATATCTTTAAATCAGGAAGCAAGGCCATGACTTCGCATGTGTCTGCGCCGGTTTTTCCCCAGTTTTGATGTCACTAGTTACTGACACTGACGCAGGTCCAACAAGACTAAACACAGTGGGAGGGTGAGGCCAACTGGCACAGGTGAAAACATTAAGGGTGGGGCCAACAATTAAACCATCAGAGACACACAAAACAACAGCTGAAGTACAGCGAACAGTGTGTAGTATGATGCACAGACAGAATAAAACAACAGAGAAAAATCTTATTGTGGTTTTAGAAGGGGTTAATTAAACCAAACATGTAAATGAACACATGCACTTTGAATGAGTCCTGGAGATTTGATCTGTACACCTGTCTCTGTGTCTTCCAGGTGTTCACATCCTACAGAGAGTGAGCGGCTGTGAGTGGGATGATGAGACTGGAGAGTTCAGGGGTTATAATCAGTACGGTTATAATGGCGAAGACTTCATATCATTTGACTTGGAGACAATGACGTGGGTTGCTCCAAGACCGCATTCCCTCCTAACCAAAGAGAGATGGGATTCTGATAAAGCCAGAAATAATTTCAATAAGTACCACCTCACTAACGTTTTCCCTGACTGGCTGAAGACGTATGTCGACTATGGAAAGAGCTCTCTGATGAGAAAAGGTAGAGTCACATGGTTTGATGTTGAAGCACACTGTTATTTCTGTCTGCAGCTCATCAGACAGATGTAGATGTCTGCACCTGCATCAGATTTCCCCGATTACATGAAGAAAAGCAAATATAAGGTGTAAAGAGTATATCTCTCCCCAGATTTTAAAACTTTATGTACCAGAAAACCTGTTTAACAGATCATATGTGGTACATAGACTTGAGAGAATGCTTCAAATTCACTGTTTACAATACTCTTACCTTCATTTGCTGCCACTTAAAAAGGTCAAAGTACAAACTTCAAGAGGTAATTTTTCATTCCCACTCAGAAATGTGTCCTGTATCGACTGTCAGAATGAAAAATTGTCTGTTTTCACTTTGATAGTAAATCTGAGATCGTTCACTTTCTCTAATCCTCTCTCTCACCCTGTTCAGACCTCCCCTCAGTGTCTCTCCTCCAGAAGTCTCCCTCCTCTCCGGTCACCTGCCACGCCTCAGGTTTTTACCCTGACAAGGCTGTGATGTTCTGGCGGAAAGACGGAGAGGAGCTTCATGAGGACGTGGACTACGGAGAGATCCTCCCCAACCACGACGGATCCTTCCAGATGAGTGCTGACCTGAAAGTCCCATCTGATGACTGGGGGAAGTATGAATGTGTGTTTCAGCTCAGTGGAGTGAAGGAGGACATCATCACTAAACTGGACAAAGAAGTCATCAGGACCAACTACAGTAAGACTGTACTTTAGTCAGGCTGGGGATTCATCTGAGAGTTCAAATCCAACTCTTTATGCTTTTACATAGAATTTTAAATATGTACGTTTTTAAACATTCATGATACTGAATCATCTGAAACTTAATTTACTGTTAAAATCTTAGAAGCCTGTAAAATGTGATGGAAGGATGGGTATTGTTTTTGTTTTATTGTTTTGTTCTGATCCACAGAAACTCCCAGTGACGTGACCCTCCTCATCATCAGTGCTGTTTTTTCTGTCTGTGTTCTTCTTCTCATCGCTGCAGCTACTTTGAAGAAAAAGAGAGGTAAATGATCAGATGATGTTGAAAGTATAAGACCTTAAAAATAGGCCTAACATAAGGAAAATAGATGTTTGTCTTAAAAGGTAAAAGAAATAAAGAATAAAGTATAAAACACAGTTACTAATATGTATTTCTTTGCTCATTTGAGTTTACTGCCTTCAACCCTGTCAGTTAAAACCTATAATCTATTTGTACGGATCATAAAGACTTTATGTTGTTTATTAAGTTTTTATGCTTTTGTTTTTCATAAAACTTTGGTGTCAGGTGAATTGACTTTGTAAAGTTGTTGATTAACATTTGTTTTCTTTGTTTCCTCACAGTTCCTGAAAATGACAGCTCAGAGCTTTCTGACAGACTGAATCCAGACAGCTGATGGATGAACACACTGAATGAGTAACTGAATGAATAACCTCATAAAAGTGAAGAGCTGGCTTTGAATCAGTTTGATAAATGACTTCACATATTTTGAATTACATCAATTTACAATATCACAGAAAAATATTTGTATCTTAATTTTTCTGGGTCTTTAAAAGTGTGTTTCCTATGGAAGTAACTGGTCGTTAAAAAGTGTTTTGTATATATTAAATGTGACATTTTTATAATATAACAGATTTCTGTGATCAGAAAAACTGACAGACTGTTAATTCCTTTAGCAACAACTACTGTGAGTGTAAATAAGATTTATTGATAATGACTTAATTTTTTAAATATAGAATTTGCCATAGTACAGATAATAATACACCTCTGCGTAGTTTGGAGAAACATTGTGCAATATTTACTTATTTCTATTTCCTGTGTTTTATTTGTGTCGTTTCTGTCTTGTGGTTTCAGGAAGTGACGTATTTTAATGTGAAGTCTCGCGTTCTCGATACAAATGCAGCATAGCAGCACAACTGTGCAATACTGTAACTAATGTCTATAAACCTTATCATATCGTCACTCAAGAGTGGTTATGAAGATAAACCGAGTTTGGAGACATATGCTAAATATTAGAAACTTATAGTCACTAAACCAGACTTTCACTGCTCCAACTTACAGTTTGTTTATATACGGTCAGCACAATTAATGATAAAATAACATGCACCGTTTGCTATTTTTGTACAAAAGTTTTTATTTTGTTTGAATAAAGTATAGATAGATAGATAGATAGATAGATAGATAGATAGATAGATAGATAGATAGATAGATAGATAGATAAAGGGTACATTTGTATGAATTTTCAAAATATACTGTTTCTACTAACCTATTACAGACACCTCTGAATAACAGTCTGTAACACCTGTCCTTGTTTAAAAATAAAGAGAGGGAAGTCTAACTTTAACACCTGTGCAGATTTTAATAGAAAAGTTTCCACTTATATTTATTTTATAAAGATTTATCTATCTGGTTTGAGAGAACCAGTCTAAAGCCATCCTCACCTGAGCTACTTCTGAAGGGAAAGCGGAACTACAAAATACCTGTGCCGTTTAAGTCCAATAATAAAACGATTGAAAATAAAAAATAAATGTATTTTTTACAGCTTTTTCTTTGTCACTTTTTACCACCAGTTCTAGTCACTTTTGATTCTTTGAGCTATTTGCTTTATTTTGAAATACTTTACTTATTGTGCTGTACAAAGCCAAAATAAACATGGTCGGATGAAAACAGCATGACCAAACCACGTGACTGACTCAGCATTCAGCATGAGCGGGCTCTGATGACAACCAGAAGTGAAATTTTAGTAAAATACTATCTACTAAGTGCGGAAGGATTTAATTTAGGTAGCAAAGTATTCTCCAATAAGTTTATTAGAAATGTTTTGACTGCACAATATTTCCCTTATCAACTAAAAAGAGAATCTGTTCTGAGAGATTTCAGTGTTGATGAAGCAAGAACGATGAGAAAATGATATTAGTCTTATCCAATTCCTCATGAAGCAAAACAGGTCACATTTAAAATACTAAATGACATTTATCCATCAAACTACTGCCTACATTTAAGATTTAATTGGGATAACAATATGTGTGGATTTTGTGATAGCGACATTGAAACAGTAGAACATATTTTCTTTGAATGTGAGCATGTTGTACACTTTTGGACATTATGTCAAAATTGGTTATTATCTAAACAAATTATTTTGCCCCCATTATCAATCAATCTATCAAACTTTATTTTTAAAGCACTTTTCATACATATGATGTAGCACAAAGTGCTGTCCATTCAAGCAGGATATTAAAAACAATAAAATAAAATAAATACAAATACCAAACCCCACCCACCCTCCTGACACCCATTCAACACATTCAGCACTCACACACAAAAGGCCAGGACTCTTCAACTTGCCACAGATGACTGAGGAAACGCTATCTTGAGTTAAATGAAATGAGGAAACACTGGATCTAGGACTAAAACGATAAAACCATAATAAAATATAATAAAGGTGATAAAGCATTAAAAGTTAATTGAATAAAACAGTCTGAAAATCGAACAATAAATGAAAGTAAATCAAAAAAGATGTAATAAAACACAAAATTATTACTCTAGAACTAAAATAGGGTAAAATCACATCATGCAGATTAAAAGATTAAAACAAAATTCAACTAAAAGCCAGATTTAAAAGGCAGGTCTTGAGTTTACTTTTAAAAATATGAACAGTAGGTGTCGCTCTCAGGTCTACAGGTAGGCTAGTTCAGTTTTTACTTCGGGAACAACTAGAAGACCACGACCTGAAGACCTGAGAGCTCTACCAGGCTCATACGGTAGATAAATAAGAGGGACCAAGACCATTAAGAGCTTTAAAAACTAACAAAAGAACCTTAAAATCTATTTAAAAGACACAGGTAGCCAATGCAGAGATTTTAAAATTGGTGTGATGTGGGCTCTCTTCCTGGTCTTTGTCAGCATGTGTACAGCTGAATTTTGTTGGAACTGAAGCTGTGAAATGTTCTTTAAACTGAATGTCGATCAGTTAAAGTAAAAGACCTTGGTGAACACTTTAATTACACTTTGAAAACATTTCATACACAGATGTAAATATCTCAAGATGAAGCCCCACTTCAATAGATGGACAAACGAACTCAGTACATACAAAAAATCTTTGAACTACATGAAAAACAAAAACGCCCTAAACGGTTTTCTTTACTCGACTACTCTGTAAGTCGACTACTCGACTTATTCACTATCCCAGAATAAGACCCTAACATTCTCTTTTCTTTTTTTTCATGTTCTTTTGTTAATCTAAAAAACTGGTTAAACACTTTGTACTCTAAGTACCACCAATGTGCCTTTAATGTTTGAGTTTCGACGAATACTAACACGTTTACAAAAAAAATACCATCTAAAAATGACGGCGACGGCGTTGACTCTTCCTGGTTCTGTCTCGGTTCAGAGAGGAGTGAAGGACCACCACCTCTCAGTGTTCTTCGGCTAATACCAGCAGCTGGAGATGATGATGCTCCTCCCTCATAGCGGTCTTATTTAGAAAGAGAAAGAGAAACTACAAATATCATAACGGTTCTGTGTTCATGAAGGGACATCTTGAGCGTTTAACAAAGTCAAGTCAGCCAACCTGAGGATCTTCTGAACCTCGTACAAAAACATGAAGACGTCGGTGTTGCTGTTTCCTCTGTTCATCCTCTCCGCATGTTCAAGTAAGAGCACTCTTAAAGATTTACCATCAAATCTACCTGAAGCTTTTTCACAGTAAATGTAAAAATATATAGCCCTTATAGCTTCTTTATGGTTAGGGGAAGTGGAAATGTCGATAAAGTTCAGTTCCTGACTTTAGTTCCGTTTATTCAGATCAGAAGTAACAGTCCTGTAAGCACAGCTCACAGTTTCTGCTCTACGCACTTTAGAGCAAAAATAAACATCTACAGCCTGAATCAGAAATCATTCTTGGTCTGAATAGATCTTTTTTTATACACACACACACTTAACAGTGAGTATAGTTTCAAATAACTCTTTTGCTTCGAAGATATTAAGATAGTTTAGTAAATTAGAGGCATGACTGGCTTACCCCATGAATACTTCCCCAAACTATAATGGCTGCAAAAGTTAATGAGAAATAGAATAATGTAATTAGAGTGAATCCACCTGCTTTTGTTCATACTGTTAGATGATCTCTTTAGGCACACTGACAGTACCTCAATTATGTCTGTTGTTTATTCAAAACTGTACCTTTTCTAAACTTTTTCTACCTTTCCCCTCACCTTTGAAAAGGAGATATACTGAAATTTTAATCTATTTTGGCCTCTCTTATATTTATATCTGAATCAGATCACCTGAGATGTGAATGTAAGAGAGGTCAGAAAGGGTGAGTAAAGGGCTCACAAAGTCCTTTAGAGATCCCCCACCCTCACGGGTTTGATGCTTTGACAGTGTGGTCCTGACCTCCTCGTGAACTTCCACATGTGCTTCCACTTCCACTCTAGAGTCAACTGAAACCACATCCGTGTATGAGACTGTTATGTTCTCAGGGTGCTAAACTATTTTAGTCAGCATGTTCTCTTTATACAGTTTAGTGTTGCACCAGTGGAGAAAAGCACCTGAAAGAAAAAGCAAATTTCAGACCACCTTCCACTATGACTGATGAGTTTGTATGTGACAGTAGCTGAGGACATTTTGAATGCATGTACTTGTTTTTATTTTGGTCCTCATGGTCTCATTTTATATTGCATTACTTTTGTATTGTCTGAGTTCCTTATGACATAAAAATGGCCTTAAATTCTTTGCTTTCGATTTCGATTTGCCTTCAATTGCTTTTTGTTTTTATCTGTCCTTTTCCGTGTGCCCTGTGACTATATGTCAAAGCACTTTGTAAACTTCTGTTTTTTAAAAGTGCTATACAAATAAAGTTATTATTATTATTATTATATAACTCATTCATTAGCTACAAAAACAAGCCTTATATTAAGAAGAGCCATTGCTGTACATTGCGGGACATATATTAAAGTTTAAGCAGTGTATTTGTATAATGATTCTGAATTTATCATTTTTGTTTTACAGCCAAACACTCCCTGAAGTATATCATGATTGCGTCATCTGGAGTCGAAAATTTCCCAGAGTTCACCGGAGTTATGGTGATTGATGATGTCGTGGTGGTTAGCTGTCAAACAAGGATGTACGTCGTACAGGACTGGATGAATGAAGTGTTTAAAAATGACCCGAAACAGTTTATGATCCACAACCAGTCGTGTGTGGAGCACGAGCGCAACTACTTCAAACAAACCATCTACAACTTGAAGGAGCGCTTCAACCAAAGTGAAGGTGATTTGTGTAATATCTAATCATCTTTACAACACAACAGTTCTTCAGATTATTATACTGTTAAAAAAGGTTACCCTCCACACAGTCTTGATTTTATAGCCTCATTACAGCAACATAACATGAAATACCATGTAAGGCTCATGTTCACATACCTGCAGAGGCTCGATCACTTCCAGCCAGTCTGCTGTTTTTTTTTTTTTACCTGCAGAGGACAGATCTGAGCTGCTGAGTTTTGTTAGGGTTAAATTTCATTGAGAAATGCAGCTTAGAAAAAGTTTGAAAATAACTTTATAATGTGAATGAATTTATCAAAATAACCAGATGAATGTTTAGTTGGCATATACATTAAAGAAGAGCACAGTAGTTATCAGCACTTTGATAATGAGCAGACTCAGACAGACAGGTGTTACTCTTTACTTGTAGATTCCTTCTGCACAGTTTTCTCTAACTCTGTCTTCCAGGTGTTCACATCGTACAGAGAGTGAGCGGCTGTGATTGGGACAATGAGACTGGCGAGTCAATTGGTTTTGACAAGTATGGTTATAATGGGGAAGACTTCATATCACTGGATGTGGAGACGTTTAAGTGGGTTACCTCAAAGACACAGGCCCTCTCCACCAAACTGAACTGGGATGCAGACAAAGGCAAAGCAAATAGGGGCAAGCATTACCTAACTGAGGTTTTACCCACCTGGCTGAAGATGTATGTCGACTATGGAAAGAGCTCCCTGATGAGAAAAGGTAGAGTCACATGGTTTGAAATGTCCTTTGTTAACCAAAGAGCTTTGTCGACAGATATTGTCATACCAATAAAACAACTGCATGTAAGTTGATGGTTATTTATGCACTAATACAAAAACTTCAACTCTGTGCAGCAGAGAGAGTTTACACCACCAGGCCATACTGGTCTAAACTCTCTATCTGTTTCTGAGTCTCTTTCTTTCCATTTTCAGACCTCCCCTCAGTGTCTCTCCTCCAGAAGTCTCCCTCCTCTCCGGTCATCTGCCACGCCTCAGGTTTCTACCCTGGCAATGCCTCAATGTTCTGGAGGAAAGGTGATGTGGAGCTTAACAAGGAGGATAACGAGATCCTCCCCAACCACGACGGATCCTTCCAGATGAGTGCTGACCTGAAAGTCCCATCTGATGACTGGGGGAAGTATGAATGTGTGTTTCAGCTCAGTGGAGTGAAGGAGGACATCATCACTAAACTGGACAAAGAAGTCATCAGGACCAACAACAGTAAGACTGTACTTTAGATCAGGCTGGGGATTCATCTGAGAGTTGAAATCCAACTCTTTGTGCTTTTACTTAAAGTTTTAAATATGTAACTTTTTTAACATCCATGATACTGAATCAAATGAGATTTAATTTGCTGCTAAAATCACAGAAGCCTGTAAAATGTGATGGAAGGATGGGTATTTTTCACTGTTTTATTTTGTTTTGATCCACAGAAACTCCCAGTTACATCATCATCGTCAGTGTTGTTGTTTCTGTCTGCGTTCTTCTTCTTCTTCTCATCGCTGCAGCTGCTTTGAAGAAAAAGAGAGGTAAATGATCAGATGTTGAAAGTATGAGATGGGTATGGACCTTACATGAGGAAAACAGATTTTTTTCTTAAAAGATACGGACTCAAAATTCTTTCCAAGTATTAACCACAGTCACTATTTTTTTCTTTTGATAATTTCAGCTCACTGCCATCAATCCTGTAAGTAAAAATCTATCATCTTATTTGTTCAGATTGTAAAGACTTTATGAAAACATGTTTTGTTTAATTTACTTTGGTGTCAGAAAAATTGACTTTACAAAGTTGTTCATTAACATTTTGTTTTTGTCCCGCAGCTCCTGAAAAAAACAGCTCTGAGCTCTCTGAGGGACTGAATCCAGACACCAGACACCTGATGGACAAACAAACTGAAGAGTAACTTTTAAAAAACTTTTAAGACTCATGACTGCCTGTGAATAAAAGCTAACTAGATATAAATCTGCTTTATACAAGCGCATGACAAAAACTGTTTTATACTACATGTCAAAGGAATGAAAGCTACAGAGCATTTTAAGCGTTCGATGCTACTTTTATTATTTTACATTTTTTTAACATTACAGATTTTTGTAAGACATGAACTCCTGAAACTGTGTTTGCAGTGTTACATTTAGCAGACAGCAAAGAAAGATACATGTGAACAAAAATCCTTCAGGGTCACAGAAAAAGTGTCTGCTCTTCAGAGAAACTCGTGACAGGTCAAAGTATCATCTCAGTGAAACTCCCACAGCCACAGCAGCTTCCACTTTTTCAACGCTCAGTGTTTTTTATTGTGCACTTATAAATATTGATGAATGCTATGGTAACATGCTTGTTTTGTATTTGACTTGTGATGATGTTTTTTTAATAAAATACCCAACTTCAAAAGTTGAGAAAAGTCCTCTGAGTCATCTCTGAATGAACCTCCAGTAATATTTATGCTCTTAGATAATGATCTTAATAAACTGTTGCTCAGGTTTAAGAGTTTCAGCCTCGCACGAAAAAGAAAGAATTTTAAGAGACACTTCATGACAACATCTGCACAGATTAAAGTACAAGTCCACTCATGTTGACCTCCTGTATATTTTGTAATGATTAATCCATCAGACCTGAGATCAGATCATAATGTCAGACTAGAGCCACACCCACCTAACTCCTGCAGGAAATACAGAATCCAGACCAGTCTCCGTCCTTCAACAACGTGAATCGAAACGAGATGAAAACGTTCTTTTTGTTTGTTTTTCTCTGTCCTGTTTCATCACCAGGTAAATTCTTTAAGTCTTTCCTAAGATTCGCTTTACTGTCAATCAAATATGTGCATGTTATGCTGATAAAGCTACTAAAGGCCTTATTTTCTCTTCCTGCAGTCAAACACTCCCTGAAGTATTTCACTGCTGGATCCTCAGGGATCCCAGACTTGCCTGATTTTATCGGAACAGCAGAGGTGGATGAAATTCCTGCAGCTTACTGCAACAGTGACAAAATAGTCAAACCAAAAGAGGTTTGGGCGGAAAAAATAATTCAGAGTGACCCTGATCACGTGGAGTGGTACAAAAAGCAGTGCTTTGTAATTCAGCCGCACTTCTTCAAAGCTAGGATTAATAATGTGGTGACGCGCCTCAATCAGAGTGCAGGTAGGCTAAACTTATTCAGTTTCTTCTTCTTTCACAGCACTAATTTGTAGACACATTAGTTTTTCAATTGCCCCCATGTATTGTGACTGGTTATCTTCAAATCCAATTCATTCATGGAAATAAAGTCATTTGAATCCATAATTAAAGCCGCCACAGGGTCTTGCAACTTGTATCTTGTGGACGTCACTGACTATGGAAAACACAATACAGGTACTGATCTGTTCACTGTAATGTAGAGGATTGTTCCTGGCATGAGCCTGTCCCTGTAAGTAGGTGGTTTATTGGTCATTTAGACAGTAATGTGAGTGAGTCTGTGTGTGTGTGTGTGTGTGTGTGTGTGTGTGTGTGTGTGTGTGTGTGTGTGTGTGTGTGTGTGTGAGATCATCGCAGTAGTTGTGTGTGTAGCAGCTCCGAATAAAAGTACGCTGTTCAGAGGTTATGCTCCGTTTTTTCCCATGTTTCTTCCTGCCATGTCAGCTGAACCAGTGAGTTACCAGCCTTGAAGAAGCCAAAGTAGCTGTCCCAAACCACGGCTAGGAACGAGGTAGCTGATAAGGTAACAGGGTGCAGATTGAAAGGAGTCCCAAAGACTCACTGTTTAATGATGAGAGGTTGGAGATCATTGAGCCAGAGGAGCGCACTCGCCACAGACAACAGTGTTTAGGGTAAAGCATCATTCAGCTTTCTCTGATTTCATTTAGGGGTAGATATGTTCAACAGATTGAAAACGCAATATTTCCTGTGACCAGTAGGGAGTGACATAGCTCATAGAAAATATTGCATGTAGTCCTAACTTCCTGATTTATATGTGGTACCAAGTTCTTTGTTATAACCTGACCTTATATAGTTCCTCCCACTTTGTGTTTTTTAGTAAATGTTCAATCCACCAAAAGAAAAAAATAAACATTTGCACATAAAATAGGGCTCTGATAGGTGTCATATTGATACTGATATAAGTGGTTTCTTTCCAAATGAAAAATGTATTTGACAGCAAATCAAATGTAAGGCTAACTAGTGTTTCTATTATTTCTATTTTTGTTTTTTGATATTTCAGATATCGCTATAAACTGTCTGTGTGTCCCTCTTTCAGGTGTTCACGTCTTACAAAGAATAAGTGGCTGTGAGTGGGATGATGAGACCGGAGAGACTGATGGTTTCAAGCGCTTTGGTTACGATGGAGAAGACTTCATATCGTTTGATGTGAAAAATCTAACATGGATCGCTCTGACACAAAAGGCTGTCTCTACAAAACTGAGCTGGGATACTGACAAAGCTCGATTAACACCCTACAAGAACTTCCTTACTCAGATTTGTCCAAAGTGGTTGAGAGAGTATGTGAACATGAGCAAACACTCCCTGAGAAGAAAAGGTACATGGACGTGCCCAGTTTTATTTATCTGGATAAACCCCCAGTGTGTGTAACTCAAAACTTTTTAGATAAATAAGGATCATTTTGATCCTAAAATCAGTATTATCCTGTACACACCTTTCTTTTTTTGTATGTTTCCCTTCATCTTTCTCTCTCTTTTCTTCTCTCTCCTCAGACCTCCCCTCAGTTTCTCTCCTCCAGAAGTCTTTCTCCTCTCCGGTCACCTGCCACGCTTCAGGTTTCTACCCTGACAGAGCCCTGATGTTCTGGAGAAAAGATGGAGAGGAGCTTCATGAGGAGGTGGACCTCGGAGAGATCCTCCCCAACCACGACGGATCCTTCCAGATGAGTGTTGACCTGAACATTACATCTGTCGAACCTGAAGCCTGGGGGAGGTTTGAATGTGTGTTTCAGCTCCATGGAGTGAAGGAGGACATCATCACCAAACTGGACAAAGAAGTCATCAGGACCAACTGGGGCATATCTGCTCCAGTTAAACCTAAACGTGAGAAACATATTTCTTGCTTTTCATTGCTAAATGGTTTTATTATTTTTCATACTGCTCAGACTTTTGTAACTGTGTTTGTGAAATTGTGAAAAGCAATACAACTGCTGGGTAATACAAATGATACAAAACATAGTTCTCATTCAAGACTGATATCAGTGTTCACTTAAACATACTCACATCCCGCTTCACTGAGAGTTGGGACGCTGTGTAAAATATTGATCAAATGGAAAATCATTTGAACACAAGGCAAATGTTGAAGCTGGAGACTAATTCAACTCTTTTGCTCTTTTTAAACCCAACACCTGCCCAACATTTATGAATAGTCATGTCTAGAAACAGGCACGTGTTGCATCGTCTCCTCCTGTGACAACATTTAGAAACCAAGAAAACCAGTTTCTGGAGTTTTGGAAGTTAATTCTGTCTGTTCTTTTTCCTGATATGGGATTTGAGTTGCTCCACTGCCTGTTCTTTTCATAAAGTTTAATGCTTCCTGTAAAAAAGAGGCTTACTTTCATTTTTAAATATGTGTTCTGTTGGCATGTTAAGTTGGCTCCCAGCTGCCTTTACAGCATTTGCAGGATTGTATATTTCAGCAGATTAATGCTTGTTGTTCTAACTTGTTTGGTTATCTGTTCTGTTTGTGTATTTGTTGTTGGTGTTGTTGTGTCTTCCTCAGCTGAGGGTCCTGAATGGGTCTCACTCGTGGGTTATGTTGTGAGTGCTCTTATTTTGGTCCTTGTCTGCGCTGTTTGTGGATTCACCTTTTACAAGAGGACGACACGTCGGCTGAGCCCTGAAACAACACAGAGAAGTGCAACCCGTGATCCACATCATGAGGGGAAAGAGAGGTTACACACACATTGGCTCAGTCTATCTCAATATGAGGGGCTTTAAAACAAATCAAAGACAGTTCCAGGTTAGAACAGACGTCTAAATATGACCTTTAAAGACTGTAGCACAGAGGATTGTCTCCTTGGGTCTGATCTGTTTGGAGGTTTGTTTTTACACACAGACAGGAAGAACCAGCTTTGGCATTTCACTGGATAAATACTTCCTCGAGTCTTGTGTTAACAGGTTTAAAAAAAGGAGCATCGCTATCTTCATCAAGATGATGAACAAGATACAATAAAACGTTTTCAGGTGAACTGCACAAAAAAGTCCCCGAATACTAAAAATATTCGACTGCACTTAAAAGGATTTGATCAAACTCAATTCAAACTTGTTTGTAGTGTAAATAGCTTTTTTTTCACGTGTAAATATGATGTTTTTATAATTATAAAGAGAAAAATAATGAAGAATAAATAACCTTTTTATGACATGTTTTTGTACGGATGTCGTATTTTTGTCAAATAAAGATATTCTTGTAATATGTTTGACTTTTAGTTGTGAATTGAGTCATCTCTATATATTTTCAACATCTACAGATTAAATAGATTTGACTTCACTCTGCAGAGCTTTGAAGGAAATTCACTTAATGGTTCATAATTTGTGCTGGTTAAAGACATGAAAAGTGAAGTTTAAGACAAGCAGTGATACTCTTAACACTCAGTTAATTTCAAGCATTGTCTACCTGTCTTTATTGTTGATGTTGCTCATTTCTTGGACCTCTCCTTAATGATTCATGATGCGTGTTACTCATTCAAGGGTCTCAGATCTGCAATAGTGTACAAGCTATTTTCTTGAGGTTCTGCTGCGTCCCCCATCCTGCGCTTTGTAAGAATGAGCCTTGTAAATATTTTGCTGAAATATCACCTTCCTTGATTAGTTTGTTCTCTTTCAAGTGTTAATAAGTTTATTTTGATTTTATTACATTAACTATGTGAGGGTGAAAGAACTCTACAACTTCAGCACTTGTAATATGAATTGCCTTTTAATTAAACCCTTGCCCGTTACAACGCACTGACAATCTAGAATTCTATAGAGGCCTGATATAAGTAAAAATCAGTAAAGAACTCTAGTCAACAAAGAGCATCATGAAGACCAAGGAACTCACCAGACAGGTCAGAGAAAAAGCTGTGGAGAAGTTTAAAGCAGGGTTAGGTTATAAAAAATATCCAAAGTTTTTTTAATCACAAACAGAAATTCTTCAAGTGACTTCAAAAGTTTTCGATATTTTATTTAGAATTCATTAAATAATTTCTTTTTATAAATGACAAAAAATGCAGTAAATTCATGAAATATTATAATACAATTTTCTCTGAGACTGCCAAGTGGATAATTATTTATGTATGTATCCTTTTATTTAATTATGAGTGCATTTACTTTAATTTTATTGTAGGTCATTATTGTCTTGTCTCCTGTGTGTATACTGTATTTATCTTGCTGTTTAATCTGTCCTCACATGACTCTCCGTGGTTCAGACAGGTGGAGGACCATGACGTCTCAGTGTGCTTCGACCAATAGCAGCAGTTGGCGGAGATGCTCCTGATACTCCGCCCTAAAGCGGTGTAATTTAAGAAGACTAGAAAGCGAAACACCTCCACAGAAGTCGCAGTGATCCTGAGATTCTAAATATGATTTTTTCTGCTCTTAAAAAAGTCAAGTCAGCCAACCTGGGAACTTTCTGAACCTTTAAGAAAAACATGAAGACGTCGGTGTTTCTGTTTCCTCTGTTCATCCTCTCCGCATATTCAAGTAAGAGCACTCTTCAAGATTTACCATCAAATATACCTGAAGCTTTTTAACAGTAAATGTAAAAAATATATAAATTTTATTCATGGCAAGGGGAAGTGGAAATGTCGATAACAGTTCAGTTCATGACCTGTTCTATGCACTTTCAAAAGCTCGTATATGGAGCAAAAATCAACGTCTACAGCCTGATACAGAAATCATCTTTTTTTTTTTTTGTCCGAGTTGCTCATATCTTTAACCACATACATTGTTCAGTGGTACAGTTTTGAATAACTTATTCGTTTCTGAGATATTAAAGGGGTTATTCCGGCGTAAAAATAATTTAGGGTTCAAACACACCGTAAAACCGAGTTAGACATCCCAGGCCAGTCCATTAAGGACCACAGCGGGGTGACGCAGCTCAAGGAAGAACATTTATGATCATTTCCTCATGGAAATGCAATCAGACCGAGACGCTAAGGCAGAAGAACTACCGCATCTGCAGTGAAAAATGATGGATATGGTGATTATTACTTCAAGGAAATGATAAAGAAACGATCAGAAATGTTCTTCCTTGACCTGCGACACCCCGCTGTAGTCCGTAATGGACTGGCTTGAGGTCTAGCTACAAACAAGCGGCTGCTGGAAGAGAGTAGGTGAGTTGTGTTTAGTCTCTTTGCTAAAGAAATTAGTCAAAGTTAAAAAGATGTTTGGTGGCTTGTACTATGTCTGTGACCCTATATGTACTGTTGATGAAGTTAGGTGCTGTTCTGAGCATTATTTGTGGCTATAGAGTGATATTTTGGTTGGCATTTGTTTATGGCGACTCAGACTGCTGTGTATTGCTATCCTGCGGACGTTACTAAAGTTGGTATAACTAGAGAAGCAAGCAGTCAGCAACATTCATCTCTCGAGGGGGTGTCTAACTCAGTGTTGTGGTTTGTTCAACACTAAATTAATTTTATGCCAGAATATCCCTATAAGAAGGCAATTTAATGGCATAAATGACTTGCCCAAGAAGCCCCATGAAAAGTTCCCCAAACTATTATGGCTGTAAAATTTTATGAGGAATACAATAATGTAATTAGAGTGAATCCACCTGCCAGAGGATCTATTTTAGGCACAGTGACAGTACCTCAATTATATTAGTTGTTTATGTCCTCTTTATACACCTCTATGTTGGACTAATGGAGAAATCACCCGAAAGTAAAACCGAATTTCAGACGAACTTTCTACCATCGCTGATGAGTTTGTAATGTGAATTAATTTTATTGTCTTGTAGTATTATCACAGTTATGAATAGTCAGAAGTGAAATTGAAGATAGTGTGTGTGACCTGTTGATAAAGTCTTTGAAGTTTATGCTCTCCATTAGGAATGGGCATTGATCGATTAATCATGTAAATTAATGAGCAATCATCGATGTAATCGAAAATACGCAAAAAAAAAACCCATGTTTTTCAGGGGGGTTTTTTTGCAGGTTGGGCGCTCGCTGACAGCTCTTAAGTTATAAAGTTAGATCGATCGGAATTTTGCGTGATCGACGTAATTCTCAATGATCAATTAATCAATCATTGATTAATCATGCCCATCCCTACTCTCTATGATTAAAAATAAAGAATAGAAAAGGCAGTAGCTGCACAAAGTACGTGTGTTCAAAATTTCCTCAGCTACTGCCTGAATGCTGTAGTTGGCAACTACACTTAAGTAATACACACAGTAATCTGAAATAGTTATAAGTTTGAGGGTGAGATCTGTCTAATGATTCTGAATTTATCATTTTTGTTTTACAGCTAAACACTCCCTGAGGTATTTCATGACTGGGTCATCTGGAGTCGAAAACTTCCCAGAGTTCAATGTGGCTGTGGTAGTTGATGATGTCATGGTGGTTGCCTGTCACACAAAGTTGTATGTCAAACAGGACTGGATGAATGAAGTGTTTAAAAATGACCCGAAACAGTTGATGATCTACACTGACTCGTGTGCGGAGAACGAGCGCAACGACTTCAAACAAATCCTCCATGGCCTGAAGGAGCACTTTAACCAAAGTGAAGGTGATTTGTGTAACACTTAATCATCTATCAATCATTTAATCAACAGTTCTTCAGATTATTATACTGTTAAAAAAGTTACTCTCTACATGGTCTCGGTTTTATTTATGTTTAGTTGGCATATACTTAGACGAAGAGCACAGTAGTTATCAGCACTTTGATAATGAGCAGACTCAGACAGACAGGTGTTACTCTTTCACTTGGAGATTCCTTCTGCACAGTTTTCTCTAACTCTGTCTTCCAGGTGTTCACATCTTACAGAGAGTGAGCGGCTGTGATTGGGATGATGAGACCGGCGAGTCAATTGGTTTTGACAAGTTTGGTTATAATGGGGAAGACTTCATATCACTGGACTTGGAGACGATGAAGTGGGTTACCACAAAGACACAGGCCCGGATCACCGAACAGAAATGGAATGAAGAGACATGGAGAGCAAATAGGGGCAAGCATTACCTAACTGAGGTTTTACCCACCTGGCTGAAGATGTATGTCAACTATGGAAAGAGGTCTCTGATGAGAAGAGGTAGAGTCACATTTCTTAACCAAAGAGCTTTGTAGTGACTATGCTGACCTGAATTTTCGTCACTGTCTGGGTGCAGGAGTGAGGTGTTTTTTAGGTGCTTCCAGTACAATCTGATGTTCAATTCAAGGTTGTTGTTGAGTTATATTTTACCATTTATTGATTCAATGAAAAACAAAAAAAAGATAAGTCCAACTTACAACAATGGTGATGTACGTGATGAGGGTGAGGGTGGTGTTGGAGATTTATGGTAAAAAACGTGTGCTCTTCCCGTTCCCCAGATCACTGCGTCACCTGTGTCCCTTTTGTAGCATTTACCTGAAGTGCCCCTTGTGCCGATTGTACGAGTAACAAAACAAAACCTAAAAAAATATATAGATAAAATGGCTCATACAAGCGTGGTCAAAACATATTGTCATACCAATAAAACGATTGCATGTGTGTTGATGGTTATGCACTGACATGAATACTTCAACTCTGTGCAGCAGATCCAATATTTAAAATACTGGTCTAAACTCTCTTTCTGTTTCTGAGTCTCTTTCTTTCTGTTTTCAGACCTCCCCTCAGTGTCTCTCCTCCAGAAGTCTCCCTCCTCTCCGGTCACCTGTCATGCTTCAGGTTTCTACCCTGGTAAAGCCCTGATGTTCTGGAGGAAAGGTGATGTGGAGCTTGATGAGGAGGTGGACCACGGAGAGATCCTTCCCAACCACGACGGATCCTTCCAGATGAGTGCTGACCTGAACATTGCATCTGTTGAACCTGAAGACTGGGAGAGATATGAATGTGTGTTTCAGCTCCATGGAGTGAAGGAGGACATCGTCACTAAACTGGACAAAGAAGTCATCAGGACCAACGACAGTAAGACTGTACTTTAGATCAGGCTGGGGACTTTTACTAAAAGTTTTAAATGGTTTTAATATAACATTCCTGTTACTGAATCAAATGAAACTTATTTTACTGCCAAAATCACAGATGCCTGTAAAATGTGATGGAAGGATGGGTATTTTTCACTGTTTTGTTTTGATCCACAGAAACTCGCAGTGACATGACCCTCCTCATCGTCAGTGTTGTTGTTTCTGTCTGCGTTCTTCTTCTTCTTCTTCTTCTTCTCATCGCTGCAGCTGCTTTGAAGAAAAAGAGAGGTAAGTGATCAGATGATATTAAGAGCAGATTTTTGTCTTAAAAGGTAAGAGAACAAAAAATGATATTTCATAGAGACCCAAATATTCCCTCAAAGTATTAACCACAGTCATTTTTTTATTCTCTGCTTATTTCAGCTCACTGCCATCAATCCTGTAAGTAAATCTATAATCTGATTTGTTCAGATTGTAAAGACTTTATGAAAACATGTTTTGTTTAATTTACTTTGGTGTCAGAAAAATGGATTTTACAAAGTTGTTCATTTACATTTTGTTTTTGTCCTGCAGCTCCTGAAAAAAACAGCTCTGAACTCTCTGAGAGACTGAAACCAGACACCTGATGGACAAACAAACTGAAGAGTAACTTTTTCTAAACTTTTGAGACTCGACTGCCTGTGAATAAAAGCTAACTAGATATAAATCTGCTTTATACAAGCGCATGACAAAAACTGTTTTATATTACATGTCAAATGAATGAAAGCTACAGAGTAAGTGTTACATATTTATTATATATATTTATTATATTATTTTACATTTTTTTAACATTAAAGATTTTTGTAAGACAGAGAAAAAGTGTCTGCTCTTTAGAGAAACTCGTGACAGGTCAAAGTATCATCTCAGTGAAACTCCCACGGCCACGGTAGCTTCCACTTTTTCAACGCTCGGTATCTTATGAACATTGATGAATGCTATGATAACATGCTTGTTTTCTATTTGACTTGTGCTGATGTGTTTTCTTCTTAATAAAATATCCAACCTTTAAAAGCTGAGAAAAGTCCTCTGAGTCATCTCTGAATGAACTTCCAGTAATATTAATGTTTGAAGAAGAATAAACTGTCTCTCGGGTTAACAGTTTCGGTGTATCTTACTCTTATGGAAATCTCCTCAACTGCTAGTTTTTACAAACATTGGAGACCACTATTGAAGTATCTCGATAGATTACCAGCACAAGTAATCTCTCCATAGGTATTTTTTTATGATTGAGGTGGCATCCGTCGTAATGTGCCCGTCCGCCAGGAGTTAACGACCATAGACTGTATATAAAGTATATATATACAGTCATATACTATAGTAGTAGTAGTCATATGTGTATCATGTAGTCATATACTCATATACTTATATACAGTCTATGGTAACGACCCACTAAACTAAATTTGCCCTGATAGCTCGAGCTTCATGGAATCCAAGAGACAAGCAGCAGAATTTTAAATTTTTAACTTTACTATCATAATTATTGTTATTATTTTATTTTATTTTTTTTAGTTTTGATTTTAGTTTTTCATTAAATTTATTTAGTTTTAATTATTTTATTAATATTCTGTCTTCCTTCTTTTTGAAATTATTGATCCATATATTTATTTTAATTACTGTTGTTATTGTCATGTTTACTATCTGATATGTGTATGTATATATATATATATATATATATATATATATATATATATATATACATACACACACATATTTATGTACATTTATTTCTATTTTATTTACCGTCTGTTTTGTAAGTGTATTGTCTATTTTCTAAATGTCATCTGGCCGGATGGGAGATTTGGGGTTGGGGGGAGGAAGGGTGTTCTTGGTTCATTTATGTTCAAAGTTAAAAGGAAAGAACTTGTACCTCTCTGAAGTGGAACTGTATAGTTGCCGCTCATAAATAAAAGTTATAGAAAAAAATAATAATAATAATAATAAAAAAATGGTTTTGGTTTAGCCTTGCACCAAAAAAGAAAGCAGGGAGAAGATTGAAGAAAAGTTACTGAACCATCTCAAAGATTTTCATGTGACTAAAAAGGAGGAAAAACTTTTATAGTCTGTTTTTAAAGGGTTATCTGTTAGATTTTTTATTTTGTGACAAGAGTTTACAGGCAGCTTTGACCAATATATAACAGTTGATGTTAAAATAATGAGAAGCTTATAGACATCTGCACAGATTCAGGAAGGGAAAGTCCACTTATGTTAAACTCCTTCAGTATTTAGTAATGATTAATCCATCAGACCTTAGTTCAGATCCTAAAGCCACACCTACCTTAATCCTTCAGGAAGAGACAAAGTCCAAACAGGCAGGGCTGTCTCAGTTCGTTTACAAGTCAACAAGAAAATGAGAAAGTTTTTTCTGTTTCTGCTTTTTTGTCACGTTTCATCACCAGGTAACGTCAAGTTCAAGTATTTTTTTAACGCCTATTAATTTTGCTGTTTAAAGCTGCTGTGTACACCTTTATTCTTATGTTGTTGGGTTTTCTTTTACTTCCTTCAGTGAAACACTCCCTCAAGTTTTTCTTTACTGGATCTTCTGGGATCCCAGATTTGCCTGATTTTGTTGGAGCTGCTGAGGTGGACCAAATTCAGACAGCTTACTGTGACAGTAACAAAAAGTTGAAGCCAAGACAGGATTGGGTGAAAAAAATAGTCCGTTATGATCGTCAACAGTTGAACTGGTACAAAGAAGAATGTTTCGTAATCCAACCTAACTTCTTGAAAGCCACGATCAATTATTTGATGGAGCGCCTCGGTCAGAGTGAAGGTAGGCTAATAAAATTGCTTTACTACCCAGAATATAATCAGCACATCTTCACATAAGTAAGGGCTTTCAAAGACACCAGGAAAAAAAACACGTTTCTGTGTTAAACATCTTTCTCATTTGAGGTATCATCCGTACATCATTGTTAACTGCAGTCTGTGTCTCCCTCTTTCAGGTGTTCACGTCTTACAAAGAATAAGTGGCTGTGAGTGGGATGATGAGACTGGAGAGACTGACGGTTTCATGCGCTTTGGTTATGATGGAGAGGACTTCTTAACATTTGATGTGAAAAGTCTGACATGGATCGCTCTGACACCAAAGGCTGTCTCTACAAAATTCAGCTGGGATACTGATAAAAGTAGAATAAAACACTACGAGAACTACCTCACTCAGGTTTGTCCGGAGTGGCTGAAGAAGTATGTGGAAATTGGCAAAAACTCACTGAGGAGAAAAGGTAGGATCAAATGAAAAGAGTTTATGTTGCTCAGAGCCCCAAACTTTCAGTGGGATTAACTTTAATCCAAAGAAACAATATCGACCTGAACACACCGTTAATCTCTCTCTTTTTCTCTCTCCTCAGACCTCCCCTCAGTGTCTCTCCTCCAGAAGTCTCCTTCCTCTCCGGTCACCTGCCACGCTTCAGGTTTCCACCCCAACAAAGCCCTGATGTTCTGGAGGAAAGATGGAGAGGAGCTTCATGAGGAGGTGGACCTCGGAGAGACCCTCCTGAACCACGACGGATCCTTCCAGATGAGTGCTGACCTGAACATTACATCTGTCGAACCTGAAGACTGGGGGAGGTATGAATGTGTGTTTCAGCTCCATGGAGTGAAGGAGAACATCATCACCAAACTGGACAGAGCAGCGATCAGGACCAACTTGGGAAAATCTTTGTCTCTTGAAGCTAATAGTGAGAAACATATTTGTTATGATTACTTTATGATATTTCCTTTTCTTATTGCCGTAACTTTTCTGATTTTCTGATTTGTGACTCTTGAATGTCAAGACTGTTTGTGTTTGTGAAAATCTGAAAAGCAATACAACTGCTGGGTAATACAAATAATACAAAACATAGTTCTCATTTAAGACTGATATCAGTGTTCACTTAAACATACTCATATCCCAGTTCAACCCCGGTTCACTCTGAGTTTTCTTCTAATGAATGCTTCTCCTCTGACCTGTTTTGTAATCTGTTCTGTTTGTGTATTTGTTGTTGGTGTTGTTCTGTCGTCCACAGATGAGGGTCCAAAACGGGTCTCAGTTGTGGGTGCTGTTGTGGGTGTTTTTATTCTGGTCCTTGTCTGCGCTGTTTTTGGATTCATTCATAACAAAAAGAAGACACGTCGGCTGAGCCCTGGAACAACCCAGAGAAGTTCAGCCCCTGATCCACATCAAGAGGAAGGAGAGAGGTTAAACCCATGAGTTCGTTAAGTCTTCTACAATAAGAGGGGTTTTGTTGTGACCTTTAAAAACTGTGAGATAGAAGATTGACTCCTTCTGTGTTTTTCTGCCATGAGGGCCAGATCTGATAGGAGGGTTTTTACACACAGACAAGAAGAACCAGTGTTGGCATCTCACGGGACAGTTACTTCCGTGAGTCTTGTGTTAACAGGTTTAAAAAAAGGAGCATCGCTATCTTCATCAAGATGATGAACAAGATAGAATAAAACTGGCGTTTCAGGTGAACTGCACAAACAGTCCCTGAATACTAAAAATATTTGACTGAACTTAAAACGGTTGATCAAACTCATACACAAGTCAAGAAAAAACCTTTTAATTTTTTCACATATAACACAAAACAACCGTTAAGTTTCCTGCATTTTTAAAAAGAATAACAATTTTACATGGTGTCTTTTACCACAGACCAGCTAAACAAATGCAGGTCAATCATTACCAAAGCAGTTTGAACTTGTTTAAGTGTAAAAAGCTTCTGTGTTCATTTGTAAATATAAATGAATTAGTTTGTTTTTATTTTAAAGAGAAAATGAACCTTTATATGATATGTTTTTGTACAGATGTTGCATTTTTGTCAAATAAATATATTCTTGTAATATGTTTTTGCTTTGTTTTAGTTGTGAACTGAATAATTTCAAATATTATTAACATCTTCAGATTAAATAGATTTGGCTTCACTCTGCAGAGCTGTGAAGGAAATTATTATTATTATTATTATTATTATTATTATTATTATTATTATTATTATTATTATTAGTATTATTATTATTATTATTACATATTTGTATTTCCATGACTTAACTGAATCTCATGGTCTCAGGCTGTCTTTACATCATTTGTCCACTAGAGGGCAACTTAACCCTGAGATTCCTCAGCAGAGTTTTAGAGACACCAGCTGCTGGAGCGCCTAAAAGTTTCCTTAATTTAGAGTCAAACATTAAAACACAGTTTATAGTTTGACAACAGTAAATATCAAATACATATTAATAACTTTGAACCGATGTCCCTCCAGATTTGTGAAACAAAAATGTCTTTTCAGTTTCTGATCAAACCGGAAAGGCTTAAAGGTGATTCCTCAGATTTAAAAAAAAAATTTGAAACGATTTCTGTGGAAAAAACAGGAATTGGCCTCTTCTCTATGAGTGGGGCAGTGATTAATTTTTACTGATTTAATGTAAATATAACCCACGGAAGTGGTGGAATAGGCCCCACGGTTCAAAAGGTTGATGCATTCTTTCTAAAATCCAGCAGGGGGCGACATCGAGGGGACTCAGACTGTAAGAAACCAGAGTGAAAAACTTACTCTTGTGTTTTAGAGGCTTTATTACCTCAGATAATATTTTATTGACAAGTTTACAGTTTCTCTGCTTGTAAAAAAAAGTATTTTTGTCATTATATTAATAAAAGTCCTATAAAGTGAAATTCCCCACAGAGTAGGTAAACCCAGAGAGAGACACAGCAATCTTGTTCTTTTGGCCCCAAAGCAAAGGATGAGTTTAACTAGAGGCTTTAATAGTAGTTGTATATATATAAATTATTTCATACAATACCGTGACATACATATGTAAATACAGATCAGGTTTAAATACTGAGAAACTGTTCAAGCACTAAATGTAAGCAGAACAGATATTATAGATTACAATGATTAACATGAGTAATATGTAAAAGTGACTCAAATTAAAATAATTAACAGTGCCAGGCTGTTAGGCTCCCTAACATCTTTGTGAATGTTTTTGAACATAAAAAATAGACGAACGGTCTGTCCCTAAATTCAAACAAATGAAGCTCGTTTCCTCCTTGTGACCCTGACCCATTTTTAAGAGTGAGGTGGTGAAATGTTGATTCTCAGTCAGTTTTTAAAGCAGAATACTGAGTCCGCTGCTTCACTTATTTTAGCTGTGGAGTAAAAGAGAGGCCGAATAACAGAAAACACTGGATGTTTGTTCCATTTCACACTCTGAGAAACAACATCTTCACTGGAATGGCAGATGTCAGAAGCTCTCCCAGACAGACAGACAGAAATTTGAATCAATCAATATCCCTGTCATTGAATAAAGTCTCCTTCAAGTTCACACGTCCTCAGGGGCGTCTGCAGCCGGCTGCTCATTTTGTCCAGGGGACTCCGCTGACCCCTGAGCCACTGCCGCGGATTGTCCTGATGCAAATCAGGAGGGGGAACCAATTCATCGTCGCACAATTCGATTAGACATCTGCATATTGAGCATCTGCACCCCATGAAAATCTGCCAATACTCACCCTCCTCCCCCACCTCCTCTGGCCCCCCACGGGGGCAGCGCCCCACGACCTCAGGGGCAGCCTCTGTCCCTGCTCTCCACCCGCCTCCCCTGTCTCCCCCTCTCGTCCCCTCCTGACCCTGTCAGGCCTGGCTACAATACCTGACCCCGCCCCAGAGACGGGACGAGTGGAGTTCAAGGTAAACGTCCTTTTCTCTGCGTCTGTCTGCAGGCTGCCCTGTCCGGCCTCTGTCCCATAATCACATGCACCGCTCTTTTTTTTTAGACGTTCTCACACACTCACAGAAACTCAGAGAAACTCACACACTGTTTTTTTTTTTTTTTTTTCATTAAAACCTTATTTTTTTTAAGCCTCTCTGAAAATGAAGATTTTCCTTTATCCTGAGCTTTTCTTCAGTAATTGATTTTGACCGCTGGCTCTTATTCAGACGTCTCTGCCACTCAGAAAACTTCCCTCCTTTTTTTCATTCCTCTCATTGAATCACTGGAAACACTCTCAGGGCTGAGAGCAGGAACATCTTAAACTGTTTAAAACACCAATTTAAACTTTACCACACACCAAGAGCAGTTTCACCGACCAGAACTCGCTTTTTGGATGTTTCTTAACAGAATTTTTCACAATCAGCATGTAATACACACCATTTAAGAAAAGTTATCCTGGATCAGACTATGACCACCTAATAAATAATGACACGTCCACCTGGAATATCAGACTAATGTCGATGAAGAGTGAAACTAAGAGTACACAGAAAAAGTTGGCCTTTCTGCATTCATTTCAATTTTATCAATATTTGATAAATTTGGTCGAATGAATGCCTTAAAGTCAGGATGTTACGGTTTTATTCTGATACCTCTTTCTCCTGATTAAAAAAAAAAAAAACATGTTTTTTTTGTGTAAACATCATTTAGCTGTGGTCAGTGAAGGTATTATAACTCAGGACTGGAAAAGTCGATCAGCTGCAGGGTGATTTCATGGATTTTTCTAACAAGTCTGTATTTCGTATCTTCTAACAGCTCCTGAACTGACTTGAAAATCTTCTAACATGATTGTTTTCAAGGCTGAAGACAGAAGTGACCACGTCCTCTCCACTGACACACCTGGACTGTGAAGCAGCACACCAGGGGGTAACTATACAGCAAAATTAGTTCCGTGTGGACAGATTCTAATCAAGAAACTATTTTAACATCTATGGACATCTGCAAGTAAGACCCTATTACGTTTGGATTTAGAGGAACAGTGTGCAGAAATGGGAAATCATGAAATCTAGATTGAAGTGCTTCTCCGCTCACCTCTCCTGTCGGTGTGTCGACGGTGGCCTTTGAGGACAAAAAGCTTCTGTGATGTGTAAAAGTTTTCACTGTCTAAAATTACTTCTTAAAATTATTTCTCTTGTTCTTCTTCGTCTTCCACTTGGTGCATTTAACAAAGCTGATCACTCAATACAAAAATCTGTATGTCACTAGTTTGTCCATTCTGTGCCACCGTAGAAACATGGAAATGAAAACTGGCATGGCTCCATATAAAGATGAGGCTCATTCTGAGTTATCAAATACAACGTGATTTTTATATTATACACATTTAAAGCTCCTGTGAGGAACTCTGTGTTTTGTCAAATCTGGCGCCCCCTGTGGACAAAGCAGTCTTTAATCAATCAAAATATGATTAATTATTAATATTTTTATTTAAACGTACCCATTGCAGGTCAAAGCCACCCTGGTCGTACAGATCTTTAAATTCTCTGCTAAAAAAGTGAAGCATCTGTGACGTGAAATCTTCAGGTCGGTAGATTTTCCTTTGATTTTAAAGTCGTCCATTTTACTGAAGGTTTCCTATCTAACAAACTTTGATCTTGGTCAAGATCAGCTTCTGTATCTGACCTTCTTGTATATCCCACGCTCCCTAAACTCGTCGTGTTACTCCCTCATCTTCCAGGAAGCATCCTGACATCAAGCATGGCCTTGAAGCATCCACCTGTTGTCTGCAAGTCGGTGAGATTTCTCCTGTGACCTTTAGTCACAAACGTACTTCATGGTTTCAGGAATAATAACTGTGATCAGCGCAGACTGAAACATGAAGCTAAACTGCGTCATAAACAGGGTTCGCCTGTGTTGTGTTTATTATTGCACGTGTGTTTGTTTGTGCGCCGCTAACGACTTTGAACCTCGTCTCTCTGGATCTTGGCAGGAAGTGAGCGTCAGCAGCTCCTGGTCGTAAACTTGCTTTTTGGTCGCTCTCCCAGAATGCACTGGGCAGGGAGAGGACAGAGAATCTCTGTGTCACCTCGCCATGGCACGGGATGTGAGGGATTGCTGCGAATGTCAATAATCGCAAGGACCCAGGTGGAGCTGCTGCTCGCTCTCAGAGAAACAGAACCACCTGGGTATCAAGTTAAAGGACAGTTACGTGTTTTTTTTTCTAAAATAAAGAGATTGCACCTCTCTCTCATTGAACTCTGTAGTAAACCTCTGAATCTAAAAGGGTTTTTTTTGTAGTGTACTAAACTAAACATGAAACATACAATACATCTCATGATTCTCATATTCCTGGCCTTTGCATGTTTGGATATCAAAGTGTCACAACAAATAATATGCAGAGTTAATAGATCAAGTTCATTAACTTATTTCTGGAGATATTTTTGAATATATAACAAGTAAAGAATAATATATAGTGAGCTGGTGGGTATGCAGACTAGAATCCAGGGTCAGCTGGACCCTCATACTGAGCAGAGTCTCATCTCACCCTGAAATTAATCTAATTTGCAGAACTCCTCATTATGAATTCCTCTTCTTAGACATGTCAACAACTCAAGAAATTCATGATTTAAAGGTGCAGTTTGTCAAAACAGGAATATAGAATTTAGTATTTAATGATAGATTCTAGACTGAAAGCTCTCTTACTCACTCCTTTACTATAGCTCAATATGCAGATGTCTTACTCAGCTCCTGTGACGTATGTTGGGTCTGAAAATTTGATCCTCTATTGTTCAAGATTTTACCATCAAAACAAATTGTTTGCATTTGTTCACAAATATAATATTCCATTGTTATGAAGACTGTTCTGTTAAATGTATGCATTGTACCTCGGAGACAAAATACAGATTTAAAGGAAATTTATTGATTCAAAATAAATGATTCTTACAGCTCTTATCTGCATACTTACAGGTCTAATTAACATTAAGTAATTAAGACTTCCCTTCATATCCCATGGCGTTTCCCTGTTGGCATTTGTAGTTGAGATTTTCTTTTCCCTAAACTCGTCCTTTGACGCTGCAAACACCTGTACTTTGTTCTGTTTTGTGTTCGACTAGTGTTTTCTTTTTTCCATTCAACTCCTTCTTCTTCCCTGACTGTTTCTGCACTGTTCTGAGTTTTTTATAACCAGTAACTAGTCGGCCATTTACATCAAATCAAAAGTATCTGAAATATCTTCCATGTTGATTACTTAGGCTGGGGTTAAATGCACCACACTCCTTTCTTATGATTGATTTAATTTGACGTGTGGGTCAGGTTGTCCCAACAATACTTTGCTGTTGAGGATTAAAAACTTTTGTCATGGTGTTTTGACCAATTAGAATCGAATATTTGTCACAGCTGGGTGATAATCTTTAAATAGATCAAGCAGATATCCTCCATTTACACAATTTAAAGGAAAATGGTTTCATATTTCAATCGATCCTACTTGTCAACAGGTTGGTATGAGATTTATGTGACTTTTTACATACCATAATGAAATTTTCATGCCCCCCCCAAAAGAATTCACATCTTATCCATGACTTTTCCAGGCTTCATAAAGTTATTGAAAACTGGAATAAAGCAGACGGCTGATACGACCAGCATTCAGCTTTTTAACACATTTTCTTTTGTAGATTTTGAAGAAATAGTTTATATTTTTAGTTTTTCTGGATTAAAAGAAAAAGAACCAACAAGAGATTTAAACTTTTATGAATTTTATATTAATTTAAACAAGAAAACTTTTCAACTTTGCAGTAACTTAGAGGTTAGGAAACTTTGGAACTTCCTTTATAGTTGAGACCACTTGTTAAACATGACATAAATAATGATTTGTCCTGACAGATGAAGGGTATTAGTCACAGTATAAGACTTATTTAACTATCCTGAAAGAATCACAGTTTGATAGAGCTGCTTCAGTTTTTTTTGATGAACTGGAGGGTTTTTCTATCTCTGCTTAAAATTGATTGAGTTGTCAGAACCGCTGTCTTGAACTTGGGGCTCAGCGTTCTCCCATCAGGGTATATTTGTCGCTACAACACAATGTTCAAAAGCTTTTGTCCCTCATCCTTTCGCTGTGATCTGCGTCTCAGGGCTCGAGGACAAAAGGTGTCAAACGGAGCGCTGGACTTGGCCTGCCATGTCGTCCTGAGGCTGCTCCTAATCCTATTACTGAGCTGTGGAGGAGTATGGATCCTGCACTGCCTTCATCCCACTAACTATTAAAGTGTAAGGGGGCCCTGTGTGTTTGTGTGTGTGTAATTGCATTGTAAAAGATGTCTTATCCTTGTTGTCATAATGTGTTATCCACTGATGCGGCTCAAGGTCTGCTGTCTCAACGGTTTTCTACGGGGCAGGTGGACATTTCAATCTTTGGTTTTCACTGCTGCGAAAGTTCAGCACAAATCAGAGCTTCATCTCAGACATTTTACATCTCAAAGTTTTTGATATGACATAAAAAAGTGTATTTATTAACTACAGCTGTAGGAATAGCTCGTAAAATAAAAAAATATAGATATATCTGTCAAAAGATTGAGGATCGCCCATTTTTGTGAACCAACAATCTGATCTTTATGTGTTAGAGATACACAAATACAAGAAAAAAGCACAAACTAGAAGCAGATTGGAGTTTATCCATTTTTTCATACGTAAAACCATAAGACAAACCTTTCTTCTCACAGTCCGCCGATGAAGCAGGATTTCTATCTTCGATCCTAATCAACAGAAGACTGTTTGACACACGGACAACATCATACTGATTCATGTCTTAGTGTTTAATTTTTCTCAGAAGTTTAGTTTCAATTAAATATTTGATTATGAAAAAATATCTGTTGACAAATCTTAAATGTTCAGATAGGAAACACACCAATCAACAACATCAGAGTCAATGAACTTAAACAATACAGGAATCTCTTCTGCTGTGGACTGTGCCTGATGTTTCAGCGTTTTAAGGGGATGTCAAATGTATGATCAAGTTTGCAGAAAGGGTGTGACATCAATTCCAGGCAGAGCGCTTCTGAATGAAAGAGATATTTTTGTTTTAGATCTCAAAACAGGAGAGAATCGAAGGTTTGTGTTTATATTAACATTCAGTCAAAAGGATCAACAGAATTTAAGACATTTTAAGTTCCTGGTTTTAGGGCGCAGGTATAGCCCTCTGGTCTAAGAGGTCTCAGTACTTGTTGAAGTGACCTTTAATTTGAATCTCAGCCTTGACTCTTTGCTGCATGCCATCTAGGAGTGGGAATCACTCGTGGCCCCACGATACGATATTATCATGATACTTTGGCCACAATACAGCATTATTACGTTACTTGGGCCATGATACAATATTATCATGATACTTGGGTCACGATGAATATTATCACTATACTTGGGGCATGATACGATATTATCTCGATACTTGGGCCACAATAAGATACGATATTATCACGATACTTGGGCCATGATACGATAAGATACGATATTATTGCTATTGTTAATGTTTTGCATTACAGCGAGTGTTGCGATACTATATATTGTGATTTATACAATCTTTTCAACTATTTAGCATTTGGCTTTCCATTCTATTTGTCTCATTCATGCAGTATTTTATTTTCATGCAGCACATCTTGCAAACCTTATATATTATTTGTTGAACTAACTTTCTCCTGCGCTATGATGTCACCTCTGCCAACCTCACTGGACAAACAGTTGATTTTATTTTTCCATTATTGTAGATTTGACTTCATATTAGCGATTAATTTGAACAATTGATACTTGGAAAATGAGACAATAAGATATATCACCAGACAAAATATCGTGACACTATGTTGTATTGATTTTTTTCTCCCACCCCTAGCACCATCCCTCACCCTCTAGTCCCCACATTTCTTGTCTCTCTACCACCAAAAAAATTGATTTAAGAAAGAAAGAAGGAAACACTTTTTGAACAATTATTAAATCTGGTCAAACTTCTTCTTTTGATGATATCAGTAACTTTTGTTAAAGCAGGAATACCAGTCCGAAACTGTGGAAGGATGGCAAACTAAATTCAAGTTTAACACTGCCTGTACAGCAGATAAGAAACGATTTGATAATGGAGAGATACAGGGCACACGGTTGGGATCAGGGGTTTAAGCATGCTTCATACACTGAGGATGAAGTCCTCATCGCAGCAGCTGTGAGTCTGATTCTGACCTTGGCCCTTTGCTGCATGTTCATTTACCAGTTTCTCCTCCCAATGCTTCTTTATTTTAAGTTATCTTCTTAAATAGAGGCCAAAAAATATCAAGAAAAAGGAGTAAAATTTTCTAAAATGAGACATCTTTTCAGTGTTAAACTCAGTGCACACCTCATGAGGTTAAAATTGATTGTTATTGGAGCTGTATGCTACAAATCATGACCAAATGTACCAAAATTTTAAAGTGGAAAGTTTTTTTTAAGAAACAAAATTAACATAAAATTTTCTGCTGTTCTTGATTGATTCCTCCTTCAGTTTGTCTGATTGTCTGTGAGCAGTTTTGAGGTTAAAATAACCAGAATAAACCGTCTCAGACCGCTCTTTTGTTTCCTCCGGGTATCACTTATCAGGCGACCGCGGCCACACAGACAGTCACACACGCACACGCAGCCGTCCGCGCCTTCTGAATGGTCACATTTACGTGTACATTGAACAGAGTCAATTGGCTGTCAAATGCTGTGCGCGATTAGACACCAGTAGGTATAAGACCTAATGTGACCGAGCCTCCCAGAGCCTGGACGATGTGGGGCCCCGCTCTGTGAACCCCATGGCCCCTCTCACTCCCCCTCTCCCCCGTTTTCATCCCACCGCCCCAGTTCAATGTTAATGTCCAGCTCTGTCCACTCTGCGGACGTCTCCCGAGAAGAAAGAGTTAAAGAGAGAAAGAAAACCAAACCTTCCCTCCTTCTTTTCTCACCCTGGCCTCCTCTTGTGTGCTGTCCAGCTGGCTGTGACCCTTGACCCCCTGACCCTTACTCCTGACCCCTGGACCCGTTCCCACGCCACGCCTTTTTGTGTCCACCTCGCCATGGCAACACCTTGGCCACTGCTGCTACCACGGTAACAGATGGACAGGGCCCTGGAAATAACTTCATTCAGCCCCGCCCGGAGGGGTGAGCACCATGGACAATCTGCCCTAAACTCCCCCTGCCTCACTCCTCCTCCTCCTCCTCCTCGCTGCCTCACACACACACACACACACATATACACACACTTGGACACACAGAGCGCCCCCAAACCAACTCTGACACCTCCTGCGCCACACTCTAACACCCCAATCCTCTTGGATGTATTCCCTCAGCAGGGGCCTTTGGCTATCAGAGCCTGATAGAGTCATTAACACACAGATCCCAGATTCGGCCTGGCATCTACGCGGGACATACATGGGAATGAGAATAAGTTCCTGTTGTTGGCACAGAAGAGCACATAAAAAGACACCCAGAGTCACCCACATATCCCATTTCACACTGCCGGTATTTATGGTTCAGGGCGTAGGAGCGCTGACTTCATCGCCGCGTTGTAATTATCTCTCTGCCTCTTTTATTAGCTCCTTTGTTTCCTCACATCCTCTGATGAGGAAAGGGGCCGGGGTGAGAGTTGTAAAGACACAGAGCTGAGCAGCGGGGGATCTGTTTGCTAACTCAGAGACAAACGACAAAGTGAATAGCATCGCGGAGGAGCTCAATAAGGTGCAACAGGAAAATGAACTGCAACAGTGTTGGTGCTAATCAGTAACCAACTTCGAAACAAGGTTGTGTGTGTTTTGTCCCCTTCTTTAAGGGGAACACCTCTCGGACAGAGACTGTGAATAGATTAGAGGGCTAAAGTGTAATTACTCCTGTTGAATGGGGTCCTGCATGGCCGTGCAGAGGAAGAGAGGGTTCATGCTGTTGAAACACACTTGTCTTTGTGAGGCCCGGCTCTGATCCTCATCCTCATCTTGTGCTCCCTGCAGAGAGAAAACAAACAACAGACAAATAAACAAACAAACAAACAGAATGGCGTCAAACTCTCCCGGCTCGACTCGTATCTGCAGCCATGTGTAAAGAAAGACGTATATCATTTATTTTTGAAGCATTCGGAGGGTCACTTTCTGAAAACTTTCACTTGAATCTGCCTCAAATGCGAGCCTGTGGGAGGTTTTCTGAGTTGGATCTTCTGGGGAGCAGGTGGGGAGGGGGGCAACGCAAGCAACCGCCAAAATACTGACCATTGAGGCAAAATCACACAAGCGAAGCCACTTATTCAATTTTTGGGGTTCGGTATCCCCCTTCCATCTCTTCATGCATCTACATCCTACTATCTTTCCCTCGAGACCCCCACCCCTCTTGTGTGTCCAACACCCCCTCATGCAACCCTGTCCCCCCCTTTTCTCTCCCCCTCCTCCCCTCTGCCTCTCGCCCAGTTCATTGTACCAAGGGAGATTTTCTCCATTGAGGCCCAGTCTCTTAGGTAACCCCAGCGCTGCATGAAATGAGGAGAGGAAGAGAGCGAGAGACAGGGAATGAGAGAGAGAGAGAGAGAGAGAGGGAGAGGGAGGGAGAGAGAGAGGGCGGGGATATTAAAGGAGAGCGAGAGGGCGAAGGAAATGTAAAGGCGGAGGGAGGGCCGGACAGAAAGTGTTGAAGAGGGAGAGGTAGAGGGACGCAGGATCAGAGGAGGCTGAGACGAGGAGAGAGGAAGATGGAGAAGTAGGACAAGTGCGGTCAGACGTCGACAGCGATGCAGCGAAAAACTCGACCCAGAACTGAGGGAGGAAGACAGAGAAGCGAGGATGACTGTCGCTCATGTAAGGATGAATCCTCTGTGGCTGAGAGGGACTTTATCTCACACTTTCTGCAGTTAGTCCTGCTCCAGGTTTTAGGCCCTTAAGGGTCCCAATCCTGGACACTGCTGCACTTTTATCTTTTCTGTTTCTTGTTCTTTTATTTTTATTTTTTTGCTTTGAGCTGTTTTTAACTGATGTTGAATTGGGCATTTCTAATTTTTCCACTTTTTAACAGGGCAGGTCTCTCTAAAATGAGGCTCAGTGGTCTGTGTGGTAGCAATACCTGAAGAGAAGTGTCCACCAGATGAGTTTAGGCCTCTAGGCCTCTTTTCAGACCTGCGTGGTCCAAGCAAAGGGATCTGTTCTTTAGTTTTATCAGGAAAATGGAGCAACTTAATTCAGTTTGCAGCAGATAGTTAGGAAAAGGAAAGTTCTGTTTTTTACTAGTGTCTTATCATGTTTTATTGGTATTTATCACTAACTGTTATTTGAAGCACATGCAGAAAAGAGGTGTTACAGTTTAAGTAAGATAAAGTAGAAAAATTAACATTTGTATTTTAGCTTTCAGGCGTCTTTGCAGACTTTTTAGTTGTACTTTTAAAACTTTTGTTGTGATGATGTGTTGGCTCTGGGATTTAGGTGCAAACTCTGTTCTGAGCAGAGACTTTGACTGTAAGGAAAGGAGTCTCTGAAACGCTGCCATCCTTTGTGGCCATGCTGCTCTGCACCTCAATGGTGGGCACACAGCACATGGGGTTCCCATGAATAGACCAGGCCTCACCAAAGACCACATCATTTGGATAAAGACGGGCTCCCACAGAAAGAGAAAAAACCTCACAGAGCGAACCAGATAAAGATAAAAAGTTGCATACGGCAAATCAGATTAGGGCGAGTCAGAGCTTTACTCTTTCGTTCTCAGGTTTTTTTTTCTTCTTCTTCTCTCCCTCCGCCCTCCTGCCTCCAACTCTGTTAAATTTACTACTGCTGCTGCTCATGCGTCTCATAATAATGCGCTCTACTGCTGCGCTGAGTTATCATCTCAAGCTTTTGTCTTCTTTGATCGGTGTGACCGTTGGGGGACCCACTTCTTCTTTTGTACAGGGTCACATCACTGGCTCCTTTTGGACAGGCCTGCCCCCGGGTGGTGACCCCTTCGTTCATCATGGTGTCACCCTCACAGAGGACAAGCATGAGTTAGAGCTTTCTCCCTCTCTCTTTTCTCCTCTCCCCTTTCTCCTCGCCTTCCCGCTCATTCCTCTGCTCTGGTGTGACCGTCCTTTCCTTCTTGTTCATCCGTTCGTGTTGACCTGAGGTGAGCCGGGGGTCAAACGCTATTATCAAACCGAGCTTAGGCGAAAGGAGGATGGAAATGCACCATTCACTCTTTGACACAACTGAAGTGAAAGTGACTCAACTTCAGAAACCTTCAGTCACCAGCCAGAACACCAGGCCTTCAGTTTCTCACAGTCCAGTGTAAGTGTGTGAACGTCCCAATGACCATGAGAACCGTAGGGATCCGGAGCTGATTGTCCAAACGCAATTCTTGCGTCTGCCTTTGTGAAACCAGGAGTTGTGGATGGACATCACGCCCCTGAACTCTAAAATCAGCGATGGTCTGACCGCCACGGACGAGATCGAGCTCGGTGTCTTTGTGGATGGATGAGCGAGAGACACTGAAAGACAAACAGAGAGAGAGAGAGAAAGAGAGAGGGAGGCTGTGTGTTTATGTAAATGTAAAGCCTGTCGGAATCCGTCTTGACATTTCTGGAGGTCGGATCAACTTTTTTCTTCAAACAAAACCTGAAAAGTTTCACATTTTTGCTTGGACAAGATTCCTCTTTGAAGTCTTGGCAAAAAGTTTGAGTATTAGCGGTGATTTCTGCTTTTTAGATCAACTCAGGTGTGCAGAGCAAGACTATGAGGTCGATCATACAGAGTTTGGGGGACAGCAGCAGAATAAGAAGTTCATTTCTGCTGCAAATTTCAACCTAGCTGACAACATATTTCACTGTAAAGCTCCTCCTTTTAAAATCTTTTCATGTCACACTGACGTTCAAACTTTAATTTTTTTAGTTGGCAAGTCGCTCAAAAGTCTGTGTGAACTTTTGGGATTAAAAACACCCATAACAACGATTGTTGCAGCTATTGTTTTCTCTGTTTTTGATATTTCTTCTGCCCAGGTGCGAAGTCTTACGTTCACACAGGCTCGGCTCTGCAGATCAGGGGTGTCCCATTTTGGGGAAAGGGGGTTAGAGTCTGTCTGAGGAGCAGAAAGAGCTGAATGGCTCTCACCATGTTAAGTACAGTTGAATGTGTCCGGTTCGCACTTCAGCAGCGGCGTCTAGAGAGGGGTCTCACTAAATCTGCACTGGAAGGGGTGAGAGTGACAGAAAAGGAGAGTGAATGAGAATGTGTGTGTGTGTGTATGTGTGTGCGCATACGTATTCTTTCTGTGTTTGCCTCTGTGAGTTTGCCTCTGTGTGTTTTTTCCTGTGTTTGACAAAGTTCAGGGGGCCAGACTTGGAGAAAGAAAGGGGAAAATGAGAGAAAGTGAAGGATTTGAATGAGGTGGTGAGAGAGGGAGTGAGACGGCGAGCTGGATGAAAAAAGAAGGCAGAGATCTGACAGAAAGAGGGGACAGAGAGGAGATTTTTGGAGGGAAAAAGGATATCCAAGCACCTTGAAATATGTGTGGCGAAACAGTCTGCTGCTTCACAGCACGAGCGGCGTAAATTGGTGATATTAATAGATAGAAGCTGCAGGAAGCAACAACTCGGTCTGGGAAATACGTACGGAGAAAGAGAAAGAGTGAGGGGAGGAGAGAGAGAGAGAGAGAGGGTGGGAGGCAGATCAAGAGCGGGGCTGTATTAATATGCTAATGGCCTGAGTGAATGCACAACAGGCCCACTGACCAGGCTAATCACTGGTGGACACACACCAAGGCTAATCCCTCACGCAGCACTCTCTCGTAGTCACACACACATGCACATGCAAAACAGGTTCGAATTTTTGAACAGTGGCATAATTTTCAGGAGTTATTTCTGTTTCCCAGCACACTGAACCTGAATAAGACAGACTGAAGATGAGGTTTGAGGGATGACTTTCAGGTTTGGTTGAAGATGTTGTGTCCAACTTTGTGCAGTAAAACTTCATGTAACATTTTCAGTCATTTGATTAAAGTGTAGAAAAAATGGAAGATCTCATACTGATACTGCACCTCATTTTTTTCCCAATCAGCACAGGAGAGCAGAGACAAATGTTTTTTAAATGCATGTATTTTCCAAATAGACAGAGTTTGCATCTTTTCTGTAACTTCTTTTTTTGCCTCATGACAGGTTAAAGGATGGACTTTGCAAATAATTTAAATAAACATTTAAGTCCACTTTTGGAGTGTGTGTTTTTCTTTTCTGGACTATTTGGGGTATTAAAACTCCTCAAAAGTGAAACGCCTGCTGAGTTTCACACTCAGCACACTGCTTCAGTTTCTGACACTAAGGATGAAAGGATTTTTATTCAGGCTGTAACTACGCAGCGGTGATTGTTGAGCCTTCCTTTTGGTATCAACAATGTACATTTAAAAAAAAATGAAAAATCTTTATCCATCATTCTAATATTGAGAAAAATTAACCCAACATGTTAAATGAATGAATGGCCAATTAAGTGAAAGAGTGAATCTGTAATAAGTCTTTACAGGAACACAGTGAATTTTGTGTAATTCCACTTCAGCCCACTTGAGGGTGGTAAAGCATAAAAAACCTGCTGTGGTTCTCAATCAGCGTAAGGAGGGGAATCAACAATACCATAACACTTCTGCATGGGTTTAACTAATTAACTGTATACATAAACAGTTTATAGTTTAACTCTTTACCTCCATTTTTTAACAGCCACTTTTCAAACGCGGCAGATGAGTAAACACAGAAAAAGACTTTGATATCTCATAATTTTCTATAAAAATAGAAAAAAATTCTGTTGGCAGAGTGAAATTCATGAGGAAAAGGCAAAGATGTTGTAACATGATCACATATTGCCAGAATAGCTTCAATTTGATGGGGAAAATAATGGTTTACTTCTGGCCCGTGGAACAATTATATCTGGCCCACAAGATCATATCATATTTGTATTATTATTGGCCCACCAGTATGACATATGCAGATTTCCTCCAGTATAATAATGTAAACTTTAGCACCATTATTTAAAATGTCCTTAATAGACCACAAAAATCTAGGAAATTAAAGAGTAAGGGAGATTTGATAAATAGTCAAGAATGTGGGGGAAAAATATTTGGTGTTTTATTTCACATTTTCAATTTTGCATTTCAAGATTACATGTCAAACATTTTTCAACATTTCATTTTGTTCAAGTCAGTATTTGAACTTGTGTCATTTTTACACTTTAGATTCCACTTTTAAATTTTAAGTCCTATTTTGACCTCTGATACCCGATTTCAATGTTCTCCCTGTGTATTTGCTCTTTAAAAGCATTATTTTTCTATCTTTAATATCATGCTCTGATCTTTTAAGTAATAAATAAAAATAGAATAAAAATAAAGTATTTTTTTCTATCTCAGATTGCCTTTAACCTTTTTTTTTATATATATATTTTTTTTGAATTTCCAAATGATTTATAATTATTTCTGTTTTTGTTACATATCTTTTGAAAAGGAGGTTGACAGTTTTGGTGAAATGTTGACCCTGTTTGACCCTCAGGTTAGACCGAAATCCAGATTATGGCCCTTGCTGTGGTTGAGTTTGACACCCCTGGTCTATTGTGTATGGATGTCACTCTTACCAGCACAGACCAGTACTTGCATTATTGATAAAACAGCAGAGCAGATCAATATTACTTCAGGATCGTAACTGTAACCTTGGTTTGCTTTTCACCGCACTGGGCTCATGATCGCGCCTGTAACCGACAATAACCTTTTGCAACCAGCCGCTGACACACTCAGCTGAACTCGTCTTGACCTCTTGACCTCGTGCTCTGGATGTGTTTCCCTCACTCAAGAGCGCGTGAGGAGCAACATGACCACAGCAGCCATCCCCATGTCTGTGCGAGTCAACCCGCACTGTTCTGTGGCGATTATGAGCCCGTGTTCAGCTGTAAGAGAGCACTAAGCCAAATCCTCCACCATCATCATGTTTTCATCCTTGCAGGGGGAGGGAGGGCTGACTACGAGGCAAAGCGGGGGGAGAGAAACAGACACACATACACACACACACACACACACATACACACACGGGGCCTAGTCGCCACATCTTTCATGCGAGGAAGCTGTGCTGCTAAACCGTCAGTAACCTTTTTGTATGCATTAAAATATATCTCAAACACGCATCTAGTTTGAGGTTGAGATAGTCTCGGGACACTTTGTACTTCACGGGTGTGTTTCTTATTCCAAGCTCTCACGTTAGCACTTTGGCTAACTAGCGTGCTAGCTAGGCGAGGTGGCTAACTGTAGATAGTAACAACCGTTAGCTCTCGAGCACGAGACAGAGCATGTTTTAAGAGAATTTAACAGCATGTACGAGCTCAACGTTATTATTTAACTGTTTTTTCCTCTAACAAGCGTATCTATATCGAAGTGGGGGCATAACGTAAGCTATGTAGGCTAACGGTACGCTCAGACGTTTGAAGGGAGGGTTAGCACCGTCGGCTAGTTCATTAGCTATGTGTTAGCTTCCAAACACGGTGGATTGTTGCCATCTGCCAGAGCTCCATATTTAACCGGGGTGGGACATTTTCTTTATTTTGTTGACTCTAGAGAACATGTCAGTGATTTGGCACTAATATGCCGATTACTATATAAGAAGAAAGTTATGTCTCTGTCCTGATGTGCATCAGAGAGACAGAGAGAGACAGTCCTGGCATCAGTCAAGCAGCTGTATGTTCTTCACGGTCCTGCTGAAACGTTGACTTCTGTCAAATGTCAAAAATGCATAGAATACGTGCGTAAGTATTAGGAAAGATGAGTAAACTCAGAAGTTAACGGACAGTGAGGGGGGTATGTGTTTTTGTGACATGTTAACGGTCAAACGGTCTGAGCTGCACCATCATATCTCATGTAAAGCTCATGTGTTGGAATTTCAGACCCGTTTTTGGTTTCCCAAAACAACTCCGGCCCGGGCCTCAGTCCGCGGTCTAGAGTTTGACAACGGGCTGTTTCAGACAGAAGCACGTCGGCGTGTAGCTGCCAACCTACCCCTGTACCCCAGCCACCATCATGGGAGACAGCAGAGGTGAGAAAGTATCAAGGCTGATTTGATGAGTTTTATTTCAACGACGTTTGTTTTATTCAACTATTAGTCTTAAATTTTGCAATCCATCAGAGGCCTCTGTGATTGAAAATCTTTTGTAGAAGGATGGCAAGACAGACAGCACATTTTAGCAAAGATACAGACCTACAACTCTTAACAATTACAAACAGACTGTCATATCTTGGCTCACGTTGTAGAGTTTAGGACCTGATACATAATGTTCCAATGCTTACAGTGCATTTTTACAAAGTTACAAGGACACCAGGTCCTCCAGACCCAAATTCTCCAGCACTTTGTGCCTGCAGGACTGCAATTCTGAGTATGCATTTCTTTGAACCTTGTGTTGCAACAGTTAGGGTTAGGGTTATGGTTAGGGATTAAGACTGGTTACATTAGAGATTAAAAATGTGGTTCTTGGCAATGTAATGCACTAGGTGGTGCCGTAGCAAACAACAAGGGTCTCAGATTTGTTTTCCTGAATCTGCAGTATCTAGATCTGCAGACAGATGCAACCCTATGATCATGAAGCATCATACCAGGGGGATAGAAAGCAAAAATTAGTCTTGCCAGCGTGACATGAAGCAAGTACTGTGGCTTCAAGCTTTTTTTGGATAAATGTAAGAGGGTAGTAACCTAAGAATGTGATTTTGTCTATGTATGGACAGTGCAGACTGATCATAAGTTGTACCAGTCTCAGAAATCTATTGAGAATTGTGAGGGGCAGAAAAAGATTAAGATCCTCACATTCAAAATCCTCATATTCTCTGCATTTTTCCAACTGATTAGTATTTGCATGTCAGTGTGAGCACTGATCTCCGTGGACCACTGTGAGTGAATGCTCGGTTGGTTTGTTTCCCGTGTGTTGAGGCAAGAAAAATAGATTAGATCAGTTGACAACCAAGTACAGTACACAGCCTCAAGCGGTTAAAATGCAGCACACAGCCGACTGCAGCAGAAAGTACCATCTAAATTCAAAACACTGCCTAAACAAAAACAAATAGATTAACATCTGAAATCCTCAAATCTGAGCCAATGAGTGTAGTTGAAGGATTTTTAAGTCATCTACATCTTTTACAACAGGGTTCACAGTTAGTTCAAAGCTATAGTGAGGGGATTGGAAAGGCTGAAATCGATGTAGACCCCTAAATACCAAGTTTCTCATGCTCAAGCTAGAACATACAGATGGAGAATAAAGAAGACAGCTGAATAATTGTAAAATGTTTTGGTTATTATTGGTTATTTCACATATTATCGGTTGCATTTCAGCAGCAATACGCCATTATTTGCTGTCTCATTTAGATTCCCGTAGCCCAGACAGTTCGTCTGTGTCCTCCCCTCCATCGGGCCAACGCTCGCCCCCCCTGGTCCCCTCAGCTGCAGCCTCTATGACCTCCCTGCCTCCCATCACAACAGCTGGAGTCAACAGTCCCATCAGTAGCATCGGCTCCCCCTTTTCTGTCATAAGCTCTTCACTGGGCTCACCATGCTTACCTGGCACACCATCGGTGGGTTACGGTCCTATTAGCAGCCCACAGGTAAGGGGGAAAAGTTTGTGTGTCCTGCGTAGGACACACAGTGTGAATATGATTTTTGCTTTGTCGGCATGATTTTGGGCTCGATAGTAAAACCGATAGAAAATGACACAAGTTCTAGTGTCTTCTTGTGTGTTTTTAGTGCCAACCTGACCTTTTGTTCAGAAGTAAATAGACGCTTAAAAAAATTCACTGGAAAGAAATACTGTAATACCTCCCTTTCCTCTGTGGTTCTTTCAGATCAACTCCACGGTGTCTATGTCAGGGCTTCATGCGGTGAGCAGCTCAGATGATGTGAAACCTCCCCTGGGTCTAAAGCAGCTAGGATCCCACAGCCCAGGGCCGATGCTTTCCCAGAAACGCCTCTGCTCCATCTGTGGAGATAGATCCTCTGGTACAATACAACTCTTTTTTTACTTTGACTTTGGTAGCCCAAAGATCCCTAAAACTGTCTCGCTTGTCTTACGTCTTCTGCTCTTTCCCTCCTCATTCTCACACCTTGTAGGCAAGCACTATGGTGTCTACAGCTGTGAAGGCTGCAAAGGTTTCTTCAAGCGGACAGTGCGCAAAGACCTGACCTATACCTGTCGGGACAATAAAGACTGCATGGTGGATAAGCGACAGAGGAACCGCTGCCAGTACTGCCGCTACCAGAAGTGCCTGGCCATGGGCATGAAGAGAGAAGGTGAGCACAGAGGAGCATCTCAGCCAACCCTCTAAATCACTGCTTATACCCCCCTCTGCATATCATCCCTAAAAGTAAGAGTGGATGCACTAACTGGTTTCTCCTCACATAAAACAAGAAATGTACTTTATGTTATTTGGTCTACATGAAGTCAGTTTTACTTGTTAAAAATGACCTGATAGCTGAAATAAGCCATTCAAGATTAAAAAATGTGAGCATTTTGGGGGGAACTAAATATTTGGAGGCTTTCATTCTTTTTACGCTCATCAGTAATGACATGGATTAAACATAAATTTGTTTTTCCATGCCTGGAAGAAAGTGTCCTCCTTAAACAGTTGCATGTTTGTTGTGCGAGTTGTGTTGATTGAAACTACTAATAAAGTTGTACTACTCATATTAATTAGAAGATAATCAAGGGATGTCAGTTTGGCCTTTGGTTTAAACTCACAAACTCTGTCGACAAAGACTTTAACCTTTGAAGCAAGTGGCCTGGGTTCAGTTCCAACCTGTGGGCCTTTGCTGCATGCCATTTCTCATTCTCTCGCCCAGATTCTTCCTCCATCTACTGTCCTGTCCTCTAAATAAAGGAGCAAAAGCCCCAAAAATAAATGTAGAAAATAAGAAAGACAGTCAGACTTAAAGTGAGATTTTAAAGCTCGGTATGTCATCTGGTGTCTTCTTTCAAAATAAGTGGTTCAACAAACTCTGAGCTCCTCTGCCTCCGTTAAAGGTGGGGCTGCTGGACCACCATTCGTTTTTGTGTTAGTTTAATATTCCTAATCATTTAACGGAACATAACAAGAGAGTAAAATTCAGTTTTGAGTGTGAAAAGAGCATTTTTTAAGGGATCAAACTGCCACTTAATACTTACTTGACAATGTAAAACATGATCAAAATGAAAAAATGCTGATGTCTCACCTGAAACTCTGGGTTTACTGAGTTAAACCTGCTCCCGAGCAGGTTAGGTTCACGGAGTCTGTTACTGTGGTAACTGACCGCGAGGTTGAGTTACCTCTCTTTGTGAAACAGGTTAGAGTTACCCCTCTCTCCCTGGTTTAACTAACCCTCCTTTGTGAAACGGAAAACTCAGAGTTTCCCTGATTTCAGGGTTAACAAACTCTGAGTTTCCATTAAACCTGCTATGTGAAACGGACCTCTGGTGTCTTCTTTCAAAATAAGTTCAAAAATGGTTGCCATGTTTTGCCATACCGTCAACAAACAATGATACAGGTAGATTCTCAAAGTATTCCCTCACAAAGATCTCAGAGATAAAACTACCAAGCAAACAAAGTTTATGAGGTGAAGTCGAGGCAGAGCCCAAAAGTTCATCCTGGGTCAAATATCAAGGTCTAGGGCACTACTGAGTAAAGGAAGCGAGAGAGCAACAGGTAAACGTGAAGACAGTCTGGAAGAGAATTGGTCGAAGTTGTACGATGACAGGAAAGAGTGGCTGGGTGTGAAATGACAGGAGAGTTAGATTATTGTAAAAAGCACAAAACAGAGTATATAAATGATTGAAGAAAGGACATAATACATCAAAACCACAACAAATACTTAACAAGACAACTTCTCTTTTATTAACTGCCCACAGTGTTGTAACATCCAGTCAATTGCACCTTGAAAATATCGACTACCTCCTTCAGTATATCACAATAGCTAGTTGCTTGTCTTCAGGCGGCCATAAAAAAAAGATGTCATGTCTAGCACCCTAAGAGTCCTACCACAGCCACCACCTCCAAAAAACTTCTAGCTGTGAGAGACATACGCAAACAGACAACTTCGGAAAATTTCAGGCACAGAGCTCCAGAAATTTTCTTGACGTTTTCAGGAGTGCATGAGCAGAAGAGGCTTGTACCTCCATAACTAAAGTCACTTAACATGCTAACTTTTTCCATAACCTCACGTCTCAAATGCATCAGCAGGTTTCTGTATTTAGTTTTCACATTTGTATGAAGAAGATGATGAACAAGAATGAATGAGAGCAGAGTGATAGAGAGGGAATTGGGGGTGGGTAAGCCTTTTAAACACTAACCCCCTTTCCCCTCTCTGCCTCTTTTTGTTTCCTCTTGGTCTCTCCCCCCCCCCACCCTCCCTCTGTAGTGGTCAAGATCAACGACAGATGTAAGGAGAAGAGGGAAGGAGGGGTGTGTGTCATTGCCTGAATAAGTAAGCCAGGAGCAGAGAGATATTGCATTGCATTTCTATGGGAAGGAGCTAGCTGGGAGAGTTTTTCCACAGCCTGTTGCCAGTACTGAGTGAATTAGTGCCAAACTTGAATCACCTCCCAAAGTTTTCTGACCTCTATTGATTAAGAGAAGTTTGTTGAGTGTTTACTCTCCTCCACTCAGTTATATTATATTTTCCAGTCTTACCTGGGTGCTGTGGAAACAACCAACAATAACCCACAGTCCAGTTCCGCTTCTGCTTTGGGAACAGTCGTCAGCATACATAAGGATCCTTTAATGCTCACTGAACAAACTAGTTTTAACAGCTTTTTATCACAAACCATGTTGCAAGACTTGAGACCACTGCTGTGCTTTTTTATGTCCTAAATTAAGTACAAACACATTGACCAGATTGGTGGTTTTGAGCAGATTAAAGTCAAGATTTTTCTAAATGTCTGTTTTGTTTGAGTGTGAGTCAACACTGCAGTAAGAAAAAAACATAGGCGGCTTCTTTAATATCTCCACAGAGTTTTTAGTTCTCAATATTCAATATATCAATTACAAATAACTTGTTTCCCCTGTGGAAAATGGCCTTAATTTGAGACATGCTGTTACAGCGCCTTCCAAAACAACTGGGCACAGAAGTCTAAGTTCTCCTCTGGCTATGACGGATTACCTTTAATTCAATAACTGTTACAGCCTGTGTGTAAACAGTTTCAATATAACAGAAAAAAACAAGCAGAAAAGGGGTTGATGATTTGAATAAAGTACAGTTTTTACTCTTAGACGGGTAATTAAAGTAAAAATGAGGCTCTAGATCGCCACTTTGTTTTCTCCAGCCAGAGAAAAATGTAAGAGAGTTCTGATCTTTTATGTGACTGAGGAATACACATCAACATGGCAGGTGATTCAACACCTGCTTCACAGGACACTATACTATCAAACATGTTTATAATAACTACACAGTCTTGATTTTTACATTAGCATAAAAAATCAGAAGAGACTTACTTTGTCGGGTTTTCTGACTGTGAGGTGAAAAGTGAAAAAGCACAACTATTGTTATCTTCTCTTGTTGGTCTGAATTTGAAGAACATCTCCAGCATATCTTCATCTGTTTTTTTCTTCATCACCATTTAGCCCCTTTTTCATTTGACCTTCCTTGTTCATTTTTTTATGTATCCCTGCTCTAACATCTACGTCCTTAACCCTCTGTCATTTCTCATTGTCACTTTTTATCTGCTCTTTATCTTCCCTGTATTTGTTGATCTTTAATCCGGTCCTTCAAGGTTCTCCATTTCCATTTGTTTTCATCTTTCCTTCAATGTCTAACACCGACCTTCTTTTGTTCGTCCTGTCCACTTACATTTGTCCTTCATGCTTTCCCTGATCTTAATCCCCTTCCCCTCCTTTTCTTGTATTTATTAGTTTTTATGTCTTGCCTTTGTCACCTCTGTCCTGCAGCTGTCCAAGAAGAGAGGCAGCGGAACAAGGAAAGAGAGGGCGAGGTGGAGTCAACCAGCGCGGTGAACGAGGAGATGCCAGTGGAGAAGATTTTAGAGGCAGAGATGGCTGTGGAGCAGAAGACGGAGCTTCATGCTGATGGAAGTTCAGGCGGCAGCTCTGTGAGTAGTTTGTTTGGTAGAAATGAACCATAGATTGTTTTATGTTGAGGTCTGACTACATGTTAGAAGCATGTTTAAGGGTGTCGAGACCATCAGCCTTGAAAATCAGTCATTTGATTCTGTGTAGTTTGACGCCCCACAACCTCCCGGCAGGAAGTCTTATCACGTTTCATTTTTCTATTTATTATTAATAACTGATAATCTTCTAAACCTGTTCTTTTCCAGCCCAATGACCCCGTCACCAACATTTGTCAGGCAGCAGACAAGCAGCTCTTCACGCTGGTGGAGTGGGCCAAGAGGATCCCTCACTTCTCAGAGCTGCCCCTGGATGACCAGGTCATCCTGCTACGTGCAGGTGAGCTCTGTTGGACTTATGGAGGTGCAGTGTATCACAGATGACAGTAAAAGCAGGCAGTATCATCACAGTAAAAGTGATGTTAAACAACAAAGAAATCCTTTCTTACAGTTGACTTTATTAACCACCATTTCTGTAGTGTACCTCTCCTAACTAGTTAGGAGAGGTAGTAACCGTCTATCTTATTATCCAAGACTGTATTTGCTTACCTACATCATAGAGACACATTACTGTCCAAAACTCCTCACAGGAGCTTTAAAGATTCCTGAGGACAATGATTCCAGGCCTGCTGAGACTGAAGGAATTAATCAAAAACAGAAAACATCCACTGCCCTCTAAAGCTATAAAATGAGAAATGTGTGTGAGTTTAAGACTGTATGTTTGTTCCAGACTCAAAATAATAAAAGTTGGTCGTAAGAGAAAACTTATGACATAAGGACCAGAAACGACCCCTCACATCAACTACAGGAGAATAGAAAATGCTCAATGCTTGAAGATTTAGCTGTTTTGATTCACCAGAAATACTGAGACACCAACTCTTCAACAGGCTGGAATGAGCTCCTGATTGCATCGTTTTCTCACCGCTCCATCTCGGTGAAGGACGGGATTTTACTGGCCACCGGCCTGCATGTCCACAGGAACAGTGCTCACAGTGCAGGTGTAGGAGCCATCTTCGACAGGTAATATATCAATTTGTGAAACTGTCCCCATGATAAACACACAACATTTGAGCCCAAACCCTGGAGGACCTGCCGTGTTAAAAAATGCTCAATTACGGTCCAACAGCATAAGGCGCTGTAAGTGCTCTTTCAGAGGACTTTGCACACCACTTTGAAGTCTGAAATGTGTAGGCTGCCAGCTTTTAATATATCTGCATCTGCAGTATTAGGACCACCTACTCTTAGCTTTAAATATATCAACCCTCAAAAAGCCAGGCTGAAATCCAATTACCTTTGAAGCGCCCGTTTGATTCACCTCAGTCTAGAAAAGAAAGCTGATGAAAGAAAGAAAGAAAGAACTCTCGTCTTTATTCATCCACGTGGATTTCTTCACCTCTGATGTTTTCAGTCAGTTTCCCTTGCAATCATAACACCCATTATTCAGCTTTAGCTGTATCAGTGATTTGGTGAAATGTAGGACTGCATCTTCATCTTTTTATCTGGCTGCAGCTGCTGTGTTCTGTGTTGGCTGTGATTGTCTCAGAGACGTTGCTTCTGTAGCACTGCCTGTAGGGTGACAGCGCATGCTGCAGAGGCTGGTGACTAATGCTTACCCGTAGACATGCATGTTTGCACAAATACACACACACCCAGTGGCAAAACACATATTGCAGCATTTGGTAATGCAATAATGGCTGGCTGATGTGCAATACTAACCTCCAAACACGTTATAAGAACGTCCCTTATGGTACTTAAAGTCTGTTCATATAGTAGGTAGTTACATCCCATTATTGTGCAGAACACTGTAGAGGCCATTCATGTACATGTTGAAGTTATGTGGGATTTTTTCTCTGTTCTCAGAGTAAATGATGGGTGACCTTGTCTTGAGATGAATATTTATGACTATTAGATAATACCAGTGTACACACAGACATTTTTTATGATTATAAGATTCAAACATGTCATCTGTAAGTCACAAAACTGTATAAGACGCATGATGCTCACATGAAATGAAAACTGGGACCACAGGTTCTCTATTAGTTTAGAGTCCTGTTCAGTTTCATCTATTTCTTGTTATCTTAGAATACTCAACCCACCTTTACTTAAAACCAAAATAACATACAACACTTAACGGCCTCTACAGCTCTCTGTGTTATTGCATTAACCATCAACTATTGATTCAAAAAGGAAAAGAAACAATAATGAGAGGAATAAAAGACCAGTGACAGGTATTAAAGACAGCTGCTGTTTGTCTCCTGGTAGCCCAGACTAAAACTACAGAAGACATTGGACTACATGTTAGCTTGTAGCTAAGTGCTGAAGCCTGTTGGTTTCCCCATTAGAGTAAATTTACAGTGCTAATGGCCCATCAGTGTCTTTATGTGAACCGTGTGTGCATATGTTGCTGCACTGCAGTAACTGAAGCATGAGTGACAGATGAGTGAGATTTATTGGCTTCTTGTAACTGGTAGTAACATTTCAGTCCACATGGATGCAGGCACACAATAACTATTCAGGTGTTAAAGGTGATGGATGTAGCATGAAGTGAAAGGTCCTCAAGTATCAATCAGGCTTTGTATGTTGTTGGTTCATGCAATAATGGGATGTTATTGTGTAATGCAGATCATTCACATCAGTGAGTTATTTTAAATTTCACCGCTTTGAGCTGCTCCTGTTTTATCACCTCAAAAAACTCCTATTCTCAAAATAATGTAAAACCCCAACATCTTCACAATGTGTCAATTCACTGTTAATTACACAGCAATTACATTGTTATAAAGGGTTAATTTTGCTTCTAAATCTATTCGAGTGAAAGCTAACTGGGCTCATTGCAAATGGCTCAATGATTTGTTTCTGATACTCTTCAATTCCCCCCCGTGGCACTGCTCTCTTCTAGCAGCAGGCTTTTGTTCCAGCTTTGCATCTGTTTGAAGCAACTGAGTCATAATTTATCAAGGAGGGTGTACTAATGAAAATGCCATTTCTGCAATACGTACTGTAGGTTGAGGTGAGCTTTTTAATAGATTGGCCCTGAAGTGCAAAATGCTACAACGCTCAAGAAAAATGTTTCTCAAGGCAACCGGTGCATAACTTTTACGAGGACAAAAAATCAACAAAAGAGAAAATTCAGAAAATTTTTAAAAAATTCAAACTGTAAAGGACGGGTGCTCACTTTTCTGTCATTCTTATCAAAGAAATGTACTGCAAGTGAAAAGCACTCCTTTATTTTATTCAAATTTGGAGTAACAAGGTAGCCATCAAGAAGAATTTATTAGCAGCGCTCAAACCTCTATTTTCTATCGCTTTTTGTTTTCTGAAATGATGTGTTGCTAATTTCTAAGGTTTTTTATTCTATATTTCGGTGCATTTGTTTTCTCAAACGTTGTATTTTGCACTTTTTCAGCTCCAAATTGAAGTAAACTTTTAGTCCAGATCTGAAAGATGTGGGCTTGTTGAATAAAAACAAGTTTTAAATGGCCCAAAAGCTAGAGTTTCACAGTGTGAAATCATATGAATGCATCGAGTGTCTGTCAGCTGAAGAATTGACCAAACAGACACAATTGTGTAATAACAGTGTAACTGTGTAATGGCATTGTAATAACACATTGTGATTGAATACACAGGGCGCACAATGCCGAGGTTGGGGCCATATTTGACAGGTAACTACTCCACTACACAAACACTTGTTTTTTCTCAAACCCCTCCTCTTGAATCAACATTTACACAAACACAGAGCCGAAGCTTTAAGGTCACTGCTTTCTGGATTTTTCACAGCTTTGCAGAAACCATCAGTTTTAGATGAATGAAATAATGTCAAACAAATCTACTGAGAACGATTTACCCAGACCATAAATGACAAAGACCACCACTGCATTTTGACTGGACTCAGTACCGTTATTCTTGATTGCAGCTTTGACTTTTAGGAGCCTTGTTCAATTGCCTGCAGAACACTTTTCATCTTTTGCCCATTGACGATACCCCCTCTTACCGAACCAGTGCTTGGGTTGGCTTATGTGACACCGGCTCACCAAGGGAACTTATGGTGTGACATGGTCGTATATGACAGTGTATTGCAGTGAACCATCATACACAGTCATCTTAGTGTGTTCACAGATTTCCTGATCTTCTTTTGAGCTTTATGGAGTGGTTTCATCCCTTTTTTCATTAAAATAATCATAAATCACTCAATGTTCACTTTAAAAAGGCTCAGATTTTCTTCCTCTTATTGACTCAAACATTCACTGTGTCTTGATTGAAGCCCTGTCCAAACTATTCCACAAAGGGCCGGTGTGGCTGCAGGTTTTTTTTTCCAACCAATCAAGAGCACGCAGTCTGACCAATCAGCTAGTGCAATCTGACATTTTAAGTTTTCAAATCTGGCAAATCTTTTCATTCTTATGTTTCAAAAGTTTTAAAAATGGTGGAAATTTTCAAGAGTATGATCAGTCTGTCTCTGTAGTCCATCGTCTTCTTATATCTTAGGTGAAACAAGATACAAAATTGAGGATGTGTTTTAATTTTTTTTGCTTAATGAAGGTTCAAGGTAATCTTTTTTTTTTTTATCCTGCATGTGGGACCATTTGTTTTGTTGTCAGGATGAAAGAACGTATATCCATTAGGCCAACATTAAATACAACATGTAAGACACTGAAATGGATAAATGGGGGTCTCAGTCACAACATGACGTTGAACTGCAGTGCCAGTTTAATACCAGTTTGAGCTCCAGTGGCTCTTTTATGGATCGGATCACCGGTCAGTCATGTCGGTTCATGGGCTGGTAGGTACTGGCCGCTGTAATGAAGGACACCCCACAATAGCTGTAGGTTTGAAGATGCTCTGACTCTAACCATCAATATTAGGCTCTTGTTAGGGTCACGAACTTTACACTGTTTTCCAACACATCATCCTAGGCTACATAGAGGTGATTATAAATATTTCTCCATCCTCGGGTTAATTTAGAAACAGTTAAAATTGTCCACATATGCACGCCAGGTCAGTAGGTAAGTTTAGGTAATGACATCAGCGTTCCCCAACATTTACCGTATTTTTCGCATTATAAGGCGCACTTAAAATCCTTTTGGCTTGTCGGAGCGCTGCAGCTACCGTAGCCTCACGGAGTTATTGAATGAATTCAATTAAGTTTGACTTATCTGATTGTTTAGTTTGGCTTAATGCGCTTTATAATCCGGTGCGCCTCATGAATGAAAATCGACGCGAGTACACGCGTTCATTGATGGTGCGCCTTATAGTGCGAAAAATACGATACTTTTTTACTGTCCACATAAATACAAACAAAATAGAGTCATTAAAAATCCTCCAAGGCGTTTTCCAGTGTGCTTGGGGGCGGGGTCTTAGAGGACAAATGCATGTCTGTGATTATGATCTTATGGCTGGTCAGTCTTTGATGCAGAGCCCTAAATGTGAGCAGAATCTAATCAAGTTTATTCATCTTTAATGAGAGGTGTTTTCTTGAAAAGATTTGTATTTTTTAGCTCAAGTCATTAAAAATATGTGCTTATCTGCAGAGCCTCGACTGCCTGAACTCTGTGAACACTGTGGCATTAAAGACCGTGTGTAAATCAAACAGAAACCAGAATCAACCACAGGCAGGAGTTAACGCCACATGGTTGCAGCAGAGACATTTTTATTATTAACGTTTGCTTTTTTCTTCTCTGCAGAAGCAGCAGTTCAGCCGTGCTCTAACTTTTATGGACGAAAAAAAGTCACTGCACTGAAAAGTTACTTTTGTTAACAATGTGATCATGGAGTCTGGCCCCTCTGTCATTCTTACTCTGTTCCCTCCTCTTCTTCCTCTTGTTTTTATTGCTTTCCTGCTCTCTCTTTTTTTCCTTATTCTCTGCCTTGCCTCCTCTCTCTTTCCTACCTGACATGTTCTCCTCTCTCCGGTTCCTTCCTGCAAATCTTCCCTTCGTCATCTCTTCTTCCCTCTCCTCCTGTCCTTCCTGCAGGGTTTTGACAGAACTAGTTAGCAAAATGAGAGACATGCAGATGGACAAGACAGAGCTGGGCTGCCTACGAGCTATCATCCTCTTTAACCCAGGTACATGGAAGGGAGAAGGGGTCATTAAAACGACAAGATTATCTTCAGTGTTCAGAGTTTCTGTTTGTGATCAGAGATATATAAATGTTCTGTGTTGTCACTTAAAGATGCCAAGGGTTTGTCTAACCCCAGTGAGGTGGAGCTCCTGAGAGAAAGGGTGTACGCATCCCTCGAGTCTTACTGCAAACAGAAGTATCCGGATCAGCAGGGCAGGTAGGCTACTGTGCCAAACAGACAAACTAAAAAGTAAGGAGGGAGGTTGTTGACAGTAACTACTGAAAAATACATGTTATGAGCTACTCTGAAACCACAAAGTATGAATTTTGGCACCACAAAGACAGTTAACATGCTTGAAAATGTGCCTTACTGCACACTACAAAGCATGTCGTCTGTCTAATCACACTTCCACATCTGAATCCTTTGATGGATTTTAGGTCTGTCTTTATGTGAATGAATCATTGTACTGTGGAGAGAAATACTCCAGCTGAATGCACCTTAAATGCTGTCAGAACTTTTATCAATGTCCAACACAATCTTTAACATTATTGCCATGAAAGGGACAGAAAAAAACAATACGAAACGATACAAGAACTTGGTAGCGCTTTCTTTTACGGTACACTTATTACCAGGTAATTAACAGGTAATTACCTAGTAACAACATGAAATTATCTGGTAATTACATGATAACTACTAAGTCAATACTGTCTAGCTACCAGGAAGGTAACCTTCCATCATCATATAGATTTGAAGCCGAATTGCTCTGATATTTCCAGGATTTTCTCTGCTTCCTGGAACCACCACTTGTGCAGTAGCATTGTACGCATTCGGCGGGTGAGTCGCTGTGATAACGCTCGTCTCAATCAGCGTTTCGCTACGCAATCTTCGCACGCCCATAGGCTGTATCAAGTGTCAATCATAGAAAATAAGAACCCCAAATAGCTCTTGAAAATGGAGCTGCACAGAAAAAAGAAAAACTAGACAGTATTGACTTAGTAGTTATCATGTAATTACCAGATAATTTCATGTTGTTACTAGGTAATTACCTGGTAATAAGTGTACTGTAAAAGAAAGGGTTACCAAGGACTTAATTTAACCCCTGAAGGGAAATTTATTGGAATTATTGACCTCCTTTAGAAAATACTGTGAAAAAGATGCAGATTAGACAAATGACTGACAGAGATAATAAGCATGAGATAAAAAGCTCCACAGTTACAACAAATCAGCAGATGTCTCTGGGTTATGTTAATCTCTTGTGAATATACCACTTTATTTCTTTCCTCAAACATCTTCTGAATCGTTCATTGAATTTTATATAAAACATCGATGTATCATCATTTCTAACTTTTACTCTCCTCCTCATTCTCAGATTTGCAAAGCTCCTCCTCCGGCTCCCAGCACTGCGCTCCATTGGTCTGAAGTGCCTGGAGCACCTGTTCTTCTTTAAACTTATTGGTGACACGCCTATTGACACCTTTCTGATGGAGATGCTTGAGGCGCCTCACCAGCTCACCTAGAGGAGCCAGGTTCGGTCCGGTCAGGACCCGGTGCACACAAGGATTACCAACACGTCACCCCATGTCGGGTCATTGGCTCGTCTCTATGAGCCTCACTTAACTGCAGCACCTGCTGGTTTTAAAATACCAGCCATCACATTTACACACACACACACACACACACACACACACACACACATCCTCTGTCACTGGCTAATTAACTTCACACACACATACACACACACACATACAGATCTTAGCTTGCGTTCGTGACTCTAAATGCAACACAGGTAATACACAAATAAAATGTCTCTTACTGAAAAATATGCCAACACACACACACACACACAGATTTACACACACACACACACAGAGATGTTCACCACCTTTTCCATACTCTGTTTCTCAGCACAGGGGTTTTGACTCATGGATTTCATCCCCTTTTTATCACACTTTTACCGTTCATGTCTTAACGATAGCTTTCAGTTTTCACATCCTCATCTCTCACAGCGGGTTTTGCTTCTGCGTAACTGATAAACTTCCCCTGTTTTCACTCGGGTCATTTGAGTTACACTGCTAGCTGCCCCTCTGTCTATCACATTCATCAGTAGTCTGTTAGTTATTCATGTATGGTTTAAGCTTCAAATCAGGTGCGCAGCATTTCAATCAAATGTCCTCATAAATAATTCACTTCTTTTAGGGCAGGAGGTGTCCTATCAGAGACTGGCAGGAACACCTTCCTAGTGAGTTCATCAAGTCTGGTAAACATTGAAATATTTTTTTGCTTTCTTCAATATTCATGCTGAAACTTGAGTTTCTATTTTGAAGTACTGTACTCATGAAATGAGAGCTTTTTCCAAGGCATTGAAATCCAGGAAAAGGGGAGTGGGGGAACTTTGTTGAACAGACAAACCTTGTCCCTCCCACCATGATGCGCACAGCGGGCTTTGTAAGGCAAGAAGAATGACTTGAATTTATTTCCTAGTTTTAATTTTATCCTTTTCTCTACTTTGGCAGCAGTTTGGCATTTTAAACAGCTTGAGGCTCGCAGAAAGTACAGCTTCATGCAAAACAAAATGGTTTTTGTGAGTCTATTCCTCCTCCCCCTAAATATTCCCTTTGCTGGTGGTCATTAATGCACTTTTGTGAGTTGTAACTGTGTAAATGTTGCTGTTTCCTAGAAATGACCATCAATTCTCAGACACCTAAGATGACCTAGAGGGTACTATGTGTAGGATTTTCTCACTTTAAATTTACCATCCGCTTGCAACCAAGTTGAGGATTTAACACAAACTATGACGAGAATGGCTGAAAATATTGGCAGGAGGCAGCTATATTAGCGTGTCCCAGTGTAACTGAAAGTCTGTCTCTCGAAAATGTTGCTGTCTTACAGAAATCTGTTCTGTATTGCTCTCAATCAGCCGTGGAGCTGAGAATATATTTTCCCCTTTAGGCAGGAACCGACTGCTCACTCAGACTCTGGCGTCTGATCACCAAGTTTTCGGCTCGGCCTCTACCCGGAAAAAGATGCAAGTGTATTTTGGTGCCATGCTTAAAACAACACCAGAGAGTGAAAATCAAAAACCAAAATGAAATGATCTGATGCCGACAGTTGGGCAACATTTAATTTTGCCTGATAGTTTGTCGTGTTTTATTTGCAGTATTTCTGCAGCCTGCAGCTCATGGATAAATTACTGGTAGTTTTGTAGATCGGCAAAATATGAAGCGGTCTTTCAATCACAAAGCACCTCTCTGTGTCTGTTATTGTCATGCAATAATGAAATAAGTCAGTGTTATGTAACGGAAATCCTACACCTGCTACCTGCAGATTTAAAAACTTTGTTCATTGTGTATCGGTTAAATGCTTGCCACTTTTGTACAGTAGATGTAAATAATTAAAAAAAACACACACACAGGAGAAGCAAACGCCTATTCACACTCATGTGAAGTGAAAAATGAAAAACTAACCAAGTTAAAGGCTCTATTTTATGCTGTCAAGTTAACATTAGACCTGCCTCCCGTCTAAAAACATCACCATTGAATTGTCAAAGAGCCCAGGGCCAAACCACACCTCACAGCTGCTTTTGCACCGACTTCCGCCAATGTTGACGATTGATTGGCTGAGTTGAATTGAAAATGGCACTTGACATTTACTGTGATTGAAATTTGTCGGCAACTTAATCAAAGCATTGCGATGAAAGGTCAAACGCAGCTACCAGGTCATCAGGACTTTAACCATAAACTATGAATGCACATGCTCAAAAATGAGCAATACCGGGGTACACACACAGATTTATGACAAGTCTTTTGTTACAGAAGTATTTAAAAGACCATCGTCGACGTTCTGAAGTCTATTTAGCAGTCTGACAGTAACCACATTATCAAAGTTCGTTTATTTTGCAGTGTCATTATCCAGGGGAAGAGGCACAGCTTTCCTCTACCAGGTGCTAAATAACTAATACGGTCTTTTAGTCTAAGACTTGCACATGTTCATCAATGCAAACACAGTATGCAAGTTCACAGACAAATCAGTAAGCTATTCTCACTCTACCAACAGGTCTGCTTAGGTTTTTATTTTTCCTGATTTTATTTTATTAACCCCCGTTTTTATTGCAAACCCCAAACAATGGAAAATGAACACCAGCTAAGTGCTTGCACATTTTGGCTGTGGCTGCTAAGTCTTTGTACTCCACCGGGCACAGCCAGTGTCTTTTATATTTTTGACAGCATTTTGGCTGGTGAAGCAATGAGCGTAGCTGTTGAATTTTGGGGTCCACCAGCTACTTTGACCAGAATGAGCAATGAGCTTCCTGCCTTGCAGATAGTCCAAATAAATCTTCTCAGAGAGGAACCCTTAGCCCCCCCCCCCATGTGATGTGGACTTAGGCAGCAAGGTGACCTGTAAGACAGGTGCTTTTGTTTAGCATGTCAGCAAGTTAGTCTAACCTTAGAGTTTGGTGTTTTAGTTTTTCTCTATCCATGCCTACAGCCAAATCAAAGTCATCTTCCTGTAAGAAGAAGAGTCAGACCTTCGTGCACCACTGCTCGGTCATTTTGGTGTTCTTTGGCAAAAATGGCGACGTGGTGCCAAGCTGATGTTTTAGGTGACAAGAACCAACATCTGCCAGCTTTCTTCTATTGTATTTGTTGGGTTATGATTTCAGTGCTTTAGCAAATTGAGCTGCTGCAGATGAGATACTAGGACTCCGAGCTTTGAGATTTGAGTGCAAAGGATTTCGTGTCCATCGGGCTCTGAGAACAGTAGTCTGGATTGGAGCTCAGCGTTCCTAACACAGTCAGGCGGCGGGATGAGGTTTGTGAGTGCAAATCAAAATGAGTTTTTCTACCTTGTCCCTCAGAGAAAAGCTGACTTAGACTTGTGTTTGGTGAATAATCTCATTCTCTGTTAGGTTAGGTCTCAGCAGGTGTCTTTTTTGGAGCTTCCTTTTATTGAATGTTTTGGCCTGCTGCTACTGCATCATCTTTATAGCTGGGGATGGGAATAATAACACAATCAGTCATGCACAGGAACATCCACGAGTTACTATGAAAAGTCATTATCAAAAAAGTTAAATATGCAACTTGTAAACAGTATTCATATTGTGATTACATTGTCAAACAATAGTCATGCAATATGTGCATTGTGTTACTGGTAGAAGTGTGGTTTAGCCCAGTCTGTTACAAAAGGTGATATATCGATTGGCTGTAATATTAGCTGGAATTCCCATCCCTCTGTATTAAAGCAATTCATTTAAGTTTTGCAACGCCATTTCTGTAGGTTTTGCTATCAGCTTAGGTCATTTAGAGGATGACATACAGACGCAGTGAGAAAATAAAAGTATACAGTCACTGCAAGCTCTGTATGCTAAACCACTCGAGCTTTGCTGATCCTTTTAGCGACGGTTTGTGGCACAGTGTTTCAGTTTTTTTTTTAGTATTTGTTTTTTAGGTATTTGTGACCACATGTGTATGCATTAATGCACAAGTGGAGTGTGTCTGCAGCTATGCCTTTTGACTGGCAGATACTAAAGCTTTGGCTGTGATGTGCTGAGCGCTGTTTAATTGTTGTTTAAGCAAAATAATGAAAGGATGCACAGAGGAAAAAAAGGAGCCAGGCTGGAGGAGTGATTCGCCGGTTTGTTGACCCAATGCTTTATCAACACGACTCAGCCTCCTCGCTTTCTTCACTTTGCCCTGTCTCCACTGCTTTACTGTAAACTGAAACGCTTACACACTCACCCATGTGGGCTGAAAATTACCAGGCTTTGCATTGGAATGGACTTGTAAAATAAACCTATGATTCTTGGACTGTTTGAAAAGGATGTGAAGCTTTTCGTGGGACAAGCATTGGAGAGCTGTAAGGAAGGGATTCAGTGCCGTGTGTCCCTCTTTGCTTACTTTACTTGACGGCAGAGCAATGACAATCTGTGGTCGCCATGGGAGACCTCCAGATTGCATCGCACTGCCCACAAATGTTTGTCGTTGCAACCGTGTGCACTCAAGGCAGACGCATGCTGTGACCTTTTGACTGTGTAGCAGTATTGTTGTCGCCATCTTTGTTACATTTTGGAATAACTCGCTTTTTAAAAACATAAAGACATTGATTAAAAATGCTTTTTTGAAATGAATCACAGGCTGTGACTGAAGAATTGATCATCCTGTATAGATGAGATGTCAGGGTGGCATTTTTACCTTTTAACACAGGCCCCCTGGAGCCAAGGCCCATCCCGTCATGATCAATGAGGCAGTGCATGCTATGCAGCCTGAAAACACCAACTTCACCAGTTTATTTATCACTGCCAAGCTGTTTGCGGATGTGGCCATTTAGATACAGGGATACAGCGCTTGATTTTTCATGTATGTTGTGGTTGTTGTGCATCGCACTAGAGAGAGTGCGCTAACCTTTGCCTGTGTAGTGCATACTAAAGAGGGTCCCTAATAGGAATGGGATGACAGCTCGTGTGAAGAGGGGAGGACTGGTCTTTGGAGAGTGAAGTAGACGAGTGTGTGGTCCCCTCTGGGTGCTCAAGCTGTGCATTGGTGCTTTTTACAGGGTGCCCCGGCCTCAAAACGTCTACTTTGGTTTCCAAGACACCGGGGATTGCAGATATCAATAAATTGCAAGTAAGGAATGATTTAGCAGGGTTAGCCTCGCCTAGCTCTACACACGCTCTTCTCCAGTTACATTTGATTAGTTTTTTTTTTTTTCTGCAATTGGGTCAACTGCGAACTGTTTCCGTTCACTGTGTTCATGTGTGAATCCCTTTGAAATCACGAGGGACAAACTCGGGCTCTAATCCCAGTGCGGGGGCCTCTACAACCCACAGGTCAGGTTTGCAGGAGACACCTTTGAATGGAATCTGGTCACATTGAACGTACTGGATGGTGTGGATCCACTAAGTATGGTTGACCTCGTTGAGTGGGAGGTTGTTTTTAGGGTTTTGCATTGGACAAATTGTGAAGGGTAGGTCAGAGAGGAGAGCGGGACCTAAAGATCAGGTCTCATTTTGTTGATCGAGAATAAAAAAAAAAAACAGAACCTATTTTACAGTAGATCTAGAATCTTCCTTAATTGTTTACTCTTCACATAAAAATTCACACACTGTTTCTTTGTCTTGTTTCCTGTCTTTCTCTTCTCCGATTATGCTATTCATCTTTTGTTTATTACAAAGTATTAAACAAATACAAGAACTGTAAAATCAGAATGGAATCTGTCACTCTTTTTTAAAAAATTTCTGTCTTTCTCTCGTGTCTGTTCTTTGTCCTGTTTGTATCATATTCCATCGTACACGTGGAGCTTGATTGACTATTGTGTGCTTCGGGGATTGAAAGAAGTAAAAAAAAAAAATATGAATAATTTTTCAGTCATTAATTCTGAATCTTGTTTCTGTTTGTTGTATCATGTCTGAGTAAAAGTTTTAATACTGTAAGTGAAGTGTTTTTGATTTTGTTTCTCCTAAAACCTGTTTAAACTTTGCAGGGTGTTCTGCTGTGTGAAAAGAGTAGATAAAAGCAGAATTGGATGGTTTGCAAATTGTTTAAAACTTTTATTCAATTGATAATGGTACAAAAAAAGAAACACTTCAAATGTTTAAAATGAATAATTTTTTATTTAAGAATATTTGCTTTATTTTACTTTGATGCCAGTTACACATTTTAAAACCTACTATGTTTAAGCAGTGTTTTATATTGTGATTTTGAACCGATGCAGTGATTTCAAGTCTGTTTTCATGTCTGTTTTAATGCAGTGCAACCTGAGCACCCAAAGATCCTTTTTTTTTCTTTTTTTTTTTACCAAGACTTCCTTAGATACTCTGATCCTTTAAATTTTACTCTATAGATGTGGAAATCCCCAAACTCTTTGTAATTTTACGATTGAATTAACCATTTCCTTCCATCTTTTCTTTTGAGAGACTCTCCCTCTATTAATGCCCCTTAATATACTCAGTTACTAATCTATCGCAAGTTAATATAATCAGTTGGGAGTTGTCTTTCTTGGTGTTCTGTCAGAGTTTTGTTGTCCATGTCCTAACTGTTTTAAAACATGTGACTGGCACCAAATTTAGGAATTACTTTTTTTTATTATTTTTTAGAAAAACATAAATTTGGTCAGATTTGGCCTTTTTGAGTTAAATATGGATTTGCACACCATCCAAATCTGTTCCTATCAACATCTTTAACAGCGTCCACATGTGGTCACTTTTGTTTAGAGTTGCAATTGTACCTGTCAAAATTTCAGGCCCTCTCTGCAGTCGTAAAATGCAAATGAAAATAACTCAAAATTACAGTAGTTGCGCCATTTTAACACCCTCTGGGGTTCGAAAATGACCGGAGTGGACTCATTTCATGTCTGCTCCTCATAAAACACCCACTCTCTGCCCATGAAGTGGAATGTCCCAGGACTGCTCGTGCGTTGACCTGGAGAGATGTCTGTGCACTCGTCAGTCCAGCAGGACCCAAAGGCCCCAGGTGACCATTGGTGCTGCACATCCAGCTTTCGTCCTCTAGAGGGAGTGCTGACCTCTTATCCTCACCCACGTTCCAACAACCATGGGCTCCTTCTGCTCTAACTCCTCCCTCCATCGGAGCTGCTGGGGGATGAAGTGTCCTCTCCTTACCTCCCCTAACTCTGCCAGCAAGGGAGCATTAAATGGAAATCTCAACTTTTTTATTTTTTTGTGTAAATTTTACTCACAAATCTGAGTGGCTGTTTTTCCTTCACCGTATGCTGAATCTAAGGACAGATAGGAACATGGGTTTGCATCTGTGTGGCAGTCCCAGTCCATTTCCCCCTCTTTCCTCCCACCTCCTTCAGTGTGTCTCCTCCCTCATCGCTTACTTTGAGTGCAGACCAGGATTTGGAGTAGATCTCCATCCTTCTTGCCCACGGTAGCCACCGGGCTTTAAAGCCTGTGCTCACCCTGCTTCACTATTCAACAACATAGCGCTCAATTTTCTTGAAAAGAAAAGTCACTGCAGCAGTCGTCTTTATGCCAAATTTCAACCCAGTATTTAATCTCTTAAAAAACCCAAATATTTCACTGTTTTTTGTAGCAGTTGAAGAGAATTTAAGCGCCTTAAATCATCAAATTGTGAGCAAGTTAAGAGCTGTTTTTAAAAAAAGCCATGAAGTAATTGGTCTGCATTAAACCCATACATACCAGAGTGGGACTTCCTGGATGAGGTTTCTGTGCAAACCAGGGTGGCAAGACAGTATTTCATATAGACAAAGCTGTTGTTAGAGTATGGTGTTTTTTTCCAACTTGTGGCCAGCCTACTTAAAGACCTCCCAGAGCGCTTTGGTTTCTTAGGTTTTTTGTTTTTGCTGAGAATAAGTCACACTTTTCTCCGTTTGCTCTGGTGTAAAACTGTGTTAAAGAGGTTGTAAGACAAGTTTGTATTACCTGACATGATTAGGTAACCTGAGACTAATGAGACTGAGGTTAAGCATCACTTTTCCATGTTACAGATGTCTGAGCCAAGTGTGTCAGAGAAGAAGGGGCCCCTGTAGTACCGGGAGCTGCCAGTAGAGGGAGTGAGCACAATGAGTGTTCTGTTCAGGCGCGTCACATTCACAGAGGACCGTGTAGAGAGGTAGAAAGTAAGTTTCTTTTTGTGATTCAGGGAAGTAGATGCCAATATGAGTTAATGTTTAATGTCACAAGTTATTAACGTGTTGAACTCCCACTGGAGTGTCTCCCTTATCTTGTTGGATAACCTCCTACTTCCCTTTCCTTTCTTCTGCGTCTTTTCGTACATCACTTCTTCTTTGAGTCTACCTTCCTCTGTCTCTTTCTGACAGTATCCATCTTGTCTGTCAACCCCTCCATCTCTTCCTCACTATCACTTAAATCTCCTCCCGTTTCTAACTCCTCCTCTCCCTCCCTCTCACCCGTTTCTCACCCCACTCCCAATCCTCCAGTGCCGCAGAAAGACACCTTTGTAACTAGGGTCAAATTCCTCTTAATTTCTGCTTCACAAATGTCAATTCTCACCGCCTGAATGTTTTGGCTATACGCGCTGGATAAATGAGTCCTGTTTGAAGTCGCTTGCCAGCAGCGCTTTGGTGGATCCTGTGTGGTACAGGTACCCCACACATTGCGCTCACACACACACACCTGAGGAGGACAGAGGTTTATTGAGTTTGCGTCGTCTCCAAACAGGACAAATAACAAACAGGAGGGTGTTTGATGCTCACTGTTATTTTCAGTTCTCTCAGGTGGACCTACACAGTAAAATAAATAGAGTTAGATAATCTTAACTCTGAGTTTCAGGATTGCATAATTACCCTGACCTTGCAAAAAGAGGTCTCTTTCTGAACTCGAGCACTGAGCTGGAAAGTGGAAACTTCTGCAGTTATCTGATGAAAATGCTCATACATTATAGAAGACAACAAAACAGTTTTCTTTTTTCCTCTTTAATGATAAATAGTGTTTTTTAACCACAAAGAAAAGAGTTTTAAGTAAAGTAGTGACTATAAGGAGCGATCTTTTAGGCAGGAATTTGCACCAAAAGAAAGGAAATGACCATAAAAATTAAGAGGGCTTGAAAATTCAGACTGTAGTTGGACAATTATAGTTGGAAAAACATTTAGATTTCCAGTTAAAAACCTTCACCTTTGGCAGTCAGACTGTTTATACAGATAAATTAAAGGCAACATCTCGATGTTAACTGGCAGGTTGGATACAGGTTTAGTGCCAGCTGGTTTACACTAAAGCAGGTTTTACATGAGGACAGAGATTTCTCTGTGGTAACTGATCCTTTTTATGATATATACCGTCAAACTGGCTGCCTCACTGTGCAGCGTGTTGACTCTGTAATGTCCAGACTGTTGGGATGGAAAGAAACTCTGGAATAACTAGTGACAACATTTAGCAAAGCCAAATTACTGGTCAGCCACTGTCCCCGTGTTCTTTCTGCTGTAATGACATGCTAGCTTTTGGGTACACACAGCCCGAATCTGAGCCAGGGTACATTTAGATGACTGAGAGCGCCTCCTGAGCAGAGCTAAATCTGGCCGAGACTGAGAATGGGTCCCACATGAAGGACATAATTCCACATTTGAGGGCTGTTGGTTTTGCTTTCTAATCAAAAGAACAAGTCAGATAAAAATATGACAGACTGAAAGATGAACCAGAGGAAATATTTCAGGAGGACAACATCATGGTGCCACTGCATCTGGGGATGCCATCATGACTGTTGGAAACAGCTGACATTTACATCCATTTTGTGGGGGAACTAACATGAACTATGGAAGCCTGAATTTTACATTTGTCCCATCAGACAAGTGTGTTGTGTCTGTTTAAGATCAAGAAGCTGGTTGTGTTTGCTCCCTGTTTCCCTTAGCAAAATAGAGACATCGATTGAGCAACAGTCTTGTAATTTTATAATGTAAGAAATGCAGAAAAGTCCATCCATAATGTCTTTATTGTGTCTGACGCGTACATAGACAGGTTTAGAAGTTTCACCTGGAGAGAATGCAAAACGCCGCCCTTCACTTTAAGTGGCCCTGTCATGAGAGGGGAAGCCGGGCGGGCCGTGTGTGGGAGGATTAATGAGCTGTTGTCCGAGTGCCAGGACTGAACGTGAGAGTCTAAAATGTGTCAGAAGAACAGAGGATGGAGAGGAAGAGGGGGGTGCAGATGAGAAGACAACAAGGAAGAGGGAGGGGAGTGTTTTCACTCTGCAGCATCACAGTTAGTTCTGCTGACGCCTTGGCGTGTGCCTGTGTTGTCGGTACAGTAATGACCCTGATGGGTCTGATCTGAAGGCCGAGATGAAAAGCTCTTTGAAGTTCAGTCAGAGGAGAGGCAGACTGCAGCGAGCTCATGATCATAACAGCTCTGATTGTTTTTATTGCTGCTTTTCCCTGACCTAATTAACAGGCTGCTCTGTCTGTGTACAAATACTCTACACATGCAAGTTCAGCCTTTAGTTTGGAGGAGGAATCGTTTGTTTCTCCTTTTTGATCTTCTGAGCTCCTATCCTGAGCAGCCGGGCCTCGCCTTTACACAGACTTCCGATTCTGTAGACCCTCCCTCCGCTCACTCCTTCCACTTTTACTTCTTTGAATCACCTTCTTTACTTTCTTTGGTGCTTTTCTAATTCATTCAGAGTGAGTATCTTCTCTTTATATATTTTTCCTGCTTTCATTTCTCTCTTGAGTACCAAACAACCTTCCTTTACCCAGGGACATTTAAAGCTCTCACACATATAATAATGTCACGGGGGCACCAGTTGGCCTGGTGGTTTTTTCACACACCCTTTAACCTCAGAGGCCACAGTCCTGATTGTTAACTTTCACTGGTTCAACTCCTGGCCACAACCCTTTGCCTCATGTCATCTCCCAATCTCTGCTCCCCACATTTCCTGTCGCACTACTAAAGGCAAAAATGTCCAAAAGTACAAAAGTACAATTTAAATATTGATTTTTTTT